GCAATTTAGCCAAAGACAGCACTACAGGCAGCAACAGCATTAGCCACTTGAAGTCGGCATGCAAAACAATATAAAGCATATCAAATGCCAGACAGCAAACACCTTCGCGCATGCGCAACACTTGTGCGGCTCTTGGGAGCGCCAGACGCAGGCGGGTGGTCTGCCCGGGTCTGGTCTAGCCTGGCCAAGTCTGGCCTAGGCCTGGCCTGGCCTGGAACCAGCAGCAACAACTACATCGAAATGTGCAGGCGCCGCAATCTCAAATGCCGGCAAAGTGCAAAGTCACGGATGAATGAGCCCCAGTCGGAGTTGGAACTTTGCTTCAGCGATTCGTTTTAATTGATTTTGTTTTGGCTGCGGGAACAGTGCTCACCCAACGCACTCCGCCCCCTGATTACACACTAAAAAAAATTAAATACAAATTTTAAATTATTTTCTTTTTTTTTTTACCAACGCAAGAGATTTTCTTAGATTTAGAAAGTGTGGAAATGAGACATCAATTTTATTTGATTTAAGGATGTATATTTTATTAGCTATCCCACAAACTTATCATATTCTCTAAATATAAGATTTTCTTGTCTCTTATTCCTGTTTTTAAAGACTTTTTAATTTATTAAAGCTTTTATATTAATTATAATAAATCTTAAGCCCCGAAATATCTTAAATACCCTACCATCCTATTCCAAAGTAGGATATATTACACATAATAAACCCAATAAATACAACACATCATACACATACATATTTGTATGGATATAAATAAAAAACTTATCAGCTCATAATTTTTTTTATTTTCCATTCAATTTTATTTCTTACAAGAGTATTTTTTCTGCATGCACATTTTTAATTTTACTGCAAACAAAATGCAAGCTTGGCCAACTAATTTTGGCTAAACATGATCTGGCCTGGCCAAAAGGAGTTGGCAAATATTTGCTGCCATTTCCCGAGTCCCCTAATTGTGTACACTATACGACGCTGTTGCTGTTGTTGTAATTGGCACGGTTGGTAATTCTTTTTTGGCTAATTTTCAAATACGAGCCATTCGGATATTGGATTTTCTTGCAGTTTTGTATTTTCATTTCCATTCGCGCGCCCCTTGCTGGCAGCGTTGTGTATTTTGTTTTTTTTTTCGCTGTTTATGCAATCAAAATTCTTACCGTTCCCGGGGCGATCAACTGCAAAAAAATAAATTTAAAAATAAAAAAAAATATAAACAAATAAGAGACAACAAACGGCGACAGCCTGAGCTCAAATGGCACTTGTGGGTGCAATTGTAATTATCCTAATTTATGTTGTGTGGTGGTCTGGTCGCTTTAATGCAGTTTTCGCTTTTGCGAATTCTAAAAAGCCGCTCAGATTTATTGCAAATTATCTCGCAGCCTGACAATGATCGATAGTGCAAAATTTATAGCCACCACGGCTATAGTCCCCTTTATGCTTTTTATGAAATTCCAGGCTCCATTGGCTGGCTTTCGGTTTCAGTCAAAACACGGGACTCTTTGGACGCTGACGGCTCGGTTTCGCAAATAATTAGACTAATAAATGAGACCGCAGTGCTGGTGGAAATGCATTAGTGAAATGGAAATGCACTAAACGAGAGCGAGGCAAAATTGATTGACCCGTGAAGTAATTAAAATGGCTATTTGCCACACACAGCTGCCATGAATATTGAAGAAGTCGTAAAGGGAATTTAAATAGGGAGCCACGAACCAAAGCCAAATTTAATTAATTAAAGGGCCAAATCAAAGTGGCCATAATGTTCAGTGAAGCAGGAAAATATATTTACATTTTTGTGGATAGCTTCTCTGACAATGGACACTCGCAGGTGTGGTCCGCCAATGAGAATGTAATTGAAATGTTCCCGTCAATCGACAACAAATAACGCCAACGATTGTAAGCCAACTCCAATGATTTATGATCTCTAGTGGGATTTAAATTAATAATAACAGCCGACTGTCCAATGGAGTTGTCAATACCCGATGAATTCAATTAGCATTTTTATTGTGACATGGACAACATACATTATAAGTGCATGGTGTCCACATGAGTGTGAATTATACGCGGGAAACACGCAATGACTGAAGTGTTTTGGCTTCATAGGCTTTGCCACAAAAGTCATCGGCTCTCGGCAAAAATAAAAAAAGTGAGACAAGTGAGTTCCCAGCCTGTCTCAGGACAGGTGAGTGCCCATGGGGCTTGAATCACCTCCATTAATGATCCATCGATCAATCGACAATTAGAGTCTCCCAGCAGCTGCGGCTGGTGAAAAGTTTGTATATCATCCCTCGGCCTCAAAAACAACTCAGAGCTCGGCGTACAACTCAGTGGAATACCCGGAGCGATAACCAGAAGCAGATGCATCACCGCCCAGCACCAACCAGCCGATGTGGTAAACGTGGCTAAATCGTTCTCCAGCTCAACTCTGAAATCAGTTCTAAACCTGCGCCTAAACGCAGCGGACTAAACGCTCCAAATACCATTTCAGTTTGGGTTTGAGTTTCAACAAGCAGATTCCTGGGATCCCTCAAAATTCAAACAGTGTCGAAGTCTGCTGGGACTGCAACTTTCAAGTGTGAGTTTTCAGTGAGTTTTTTTTTTTGAATTTCGGGAAGGTATGGAGTTAAAGGTATTTCCTTGGGAGGATACATAAATACCTGCCCTTTCCTTGAAACACAATGATTTGCAAAAACAAAACTAGAGAAGTTTTTCTGTCTTAGGTTAGTCCCTGAATATTAATAATTATAGTTTTTACTAATGATATTTCAACTTATATTGTAAAGTACATTCATATATCATTATTTAAAATACCAGATTTCATTAAAAATTTCATTCATTTTTTAATCTCGTAAAACCTGTTCCATGGACCATAAATCAAAAGTACAAATTCTACGCCAAATCAATTAGAATGTATAGTATGTGTTCTAGTCACTAAAGTTAGACAATGAAGAGTTTAATTAATTTGGTGGCGACAACCTTTGTCAATATGTGGGGAGCCCCTCGAAACGTAATCAAAACCGAATATAGGCTGGGCTGGTTCAGGCTGAATTGAAACCCTCTGTATAGTATCTGCCTGCCTGAACTCGATTATTTATTATACATCAATTGATTGATTCACGATTCGTTCGTTTACCTCTCGCAAACCTGATGCGGCATCGGTGCTCGAATCTCTGTTTGTGTACCGCCACTGCCGCCGGCGGTAGCAGTGGCAGTAGGTCATTCGGCGACGATTTGGTCTTGAACCGCAGATCAAGTGAACACAAAAGCCAATTGAAATTAGAATCCATCGGAGCGTTGGGAAATTGCATAACATTTGCTCTTGTGTGGAGCAGAGGGGCAGAGTGCCTCGTACACGCACATGCAACACGGGTTGCAATGCAACAGAATTGCTGTGTGCTTTTGTGATGCGAGATTGATAAACAGACCTGCCGGATAATCTCGGTCATAGTCGCTAATTAAAAGGTTTAGGGGTAAAATTAGCATATGAGCCAAATGGCGATTTCCACCGATGACGGCCCTTGAACATAAACACATGCCCGGGGCGGAGCATCTCCCACATATTCGAGAGATATATGTTTGTACCTGTAGCTGTGCGTGTTCAGTGTCCATGAATGCGAAACTCATACATGACGTGAACAAAAGCCATCCCTCCAGCCACTCGAATTCCTCTCCTCCACTGCCGCGTCCTCCTCGGACTTCCCTAATGGCCATATGCAAAGCGAGACCGCTTAGAGGAGCATGGCGAGGTGCACGGATGGAGAGCCCAGGCACATTAGATGGCATCGCATGCCACCAATTACCCGCATAATCTTGTAATACTAACCCGGGCCGAAATTCCCGCACCCCGAACGCCCACACTCGATGGGCCAATTTGGGCTACAGTTACGCCTCGGAGAGCTTTAATTCCCTTTAAATAGTGTGCCAGATTACGCCCCTCGAAGCCCCGCCCGACCACGTGTGACTCGAGTAGTTAGTGGCACCCAATGACGCCATATCCATTACACTTCAATGACCAGGCTTAACGGCTGAGTTATGCGAGTCGCTGACAGGCCTTAAAGGGACGATTGCCAAATTGTCTCGAATGGAGCAGATTTATCTTGGTTTTTAATACCCAGTAATCTGAGAGGTTTTATGAACATCAGACCTAGACATAAAACATAAAACCTGATATAAATCACAAGAGTTTTCATGGGCACATTTAATACTTGTATTTGATTTGATGGAGGGTTTAAAATAATTGCACAGCTCCCGCTCTGGGAAAACAATCTGTCAAGAAACATATAATTTTTATTGAGCTTTCAACCTTCAAAATTTGCAATTAAATAGTATTGGTAAAAAAAAAATACAATTCGATTAAAACACCCGATCCAACATATATTATATATACTTACTTTGAGACGCACAATTTCAGACCTTCTTAAGAAAGTTCTTAAATTTAAGATGTTTATAAATCAATTCGGAATGTAATGAGCATCCTTCCGTCTATAGTTTATGGGCTTCCCATTATTGTGAAAAACTGAGCTTAGATTCCACCGACTAAACATAGGCTAGTAACCTCTGGACAGATGTCCGACATCGGGCGGTGCAATTGTTTTGTGAAATTAAATTAAATTGATTGAATTTAGACGCTGCTTGGACAGAGGTCAGTGCAGAGGAGCCCCTGGTACTGCTAGTCCAGTGATAATGACACTAATTTTGGCGGGTCATCTGAAAGATGTGCCTTTGTGTCGCCTTTGGCGCTGATTAACCAAACCAGAGGCACAAAGACGTATTAACGCATCGATTGAGGTTTATGGGTCAAATCAGGGCAGAAGATGCCATGTATTTCCTGCCTCGTTAGATCTTACTTGATGGGTATTTATGGTATTTTTGGATCTTGGATCAGATAAGAGACGGCAGCGATAACAACCCCCTGCTGATGTTGCCACAACAGTCGCATGTTGCTGGAGGCTATTTGTCGCTCAATTGTTTGTCGCGCGCCGTGATTGCGCATCCCAAGTTTCAGTTGCTTTCAGTTGGCAATGTGAGCGCGACTCGTCCGCTGCTCTCTGCCATCCAGTCCAGTCCAGCTCAGTCCATTCTCCGGTCCACGGATCTCCGATCTCCGGTCTCCGGCCCTCCATTCTCATTTTGGGTTACGTCCCGTTCGGTTCGCCAACTGCGTCGCGCAAAAAATTGCGTTTAATTAAAGTATAAAGGCCAGCGAGCTCCTCAATTACAGCCGCCCGTGGGATGAGTCGCCACAGCTACAGTCCCAGCCAGCTGAAGCTAGCGATGCCCTCGGTTCATGGCGCAGCAGCTCCTGGTCCGTCCAAGCTCGCGTCCTCATCTGCCAAGGATCGCGGCGTTAAGCTCGGTTTGGGGGTCAATCAGCGGACGGGTCGAGTGCAGTGGTGTCCTGGAATAACCTGTTGCAAACTGTTCTTGTTGCTTCCAGTGGTGATGCTGCCACTGACCCTGGTCCTCATCCTGATCATGCGCCTGGACGGGATGCTAGCGGCGCTGCAGCTCAGCGAGCAGCGAATGCGGGATCGTCAGGATTCCTCAGTGCCCGTCTATGCCAGCGACTTCGAGCCTGTAATGCCGGAGGGCAGTACCTACAACGAACTTCTTCAGGAGGAGTTCCTCCTGCCGCACACCAAGGAAGCTCAGCAAGAACGTCTGGCCGCAGAGCGCGCGCGAAGGTGTCAATCATTCAGATATGGTCAGGCAGAGACAATGGACCTGGAGGAGCGAAGCACCCTAATGAAGGATTCCCGTACCTCCTTCCTTCCACAGGGAATTCCACGCGAATGTCTTGGCGACGGCATTAACTTAGATATCAAGCCATTGGAGGGTGACCTCTACCAGCGCCAGAAGAAGCGTTACCAGGACAAGGCCCTCTATTGGCTGGAGCGGAGCAAACAGCGGGAACGCCGCGAGGCCGAACGCCAGTCCGACGAGAGTGCCCCGGAACAGGGTGTCCAGATGAACGAGGCCCTCGCCTCCCTTCAGAGCTTCTGGAACGAGGAGGGCACCCGGGAGGGCATCCGTTTAGCCCAGGCCAAGACCATGCAGCGCTACATGGACACCCATGTAGATCCATGCGTGGATTTCTACAAGTACGCCTGCGGAAACTGGGAGAAACTGCACCCGATTCCCAAGGACAAGGCCGGCTTTGACACATTTGAGATGCTACGCGAAAGCCTTGACCTGGTGTTGCGTAATCTCCTCGAAAAAAATGAGCCAAAGCACGCCTCAGTGTCGGAGCACCGGAAAAATCCGGTCCGCAACACGCTTTTTAAGCTCAACGAGCAAGGAGAGGTGGAGGAAGAGGCGGCTGGCGAGGTGGAAACAGACCAGGCAACCGCCTTGGATGCGGAGCGTTTGCGGAGGCACATTGTCAGCCGGAGGCGTCTCCTCAACCAGGTTCTAGTCCGCTACAAACGATTCTCCAATGGCGGCAAGACGAAACGGCTGATCGACACTCGCGACAAAACTAAGGAGGAGGAGGAGGCCCAGCATGGCCGACAAAAGGAGCGAACCGAGCCGGAGGAGCAACAGGCTACTAGCAACGAGCACGATGCTCAATTGAAGGCGAAGAACCTGTATCGCTCCTGTGTTAACAGCAAAGTCCTGTCCCAACGTGGTCTGGAGCCGTTGCACACTCTCATCCAGGACTTGGGCGGCTGGCCTGTGCTCGACCCCGACTGGAGTGACTCCAACTTCAACTGGCAGGTCCTGGCCGCCACTCTGCGGCGCTACAACAATGACATCCTTATCGTCCAATGGGTGGGGGCGGACATCAAGAACTCGGAGGAGAACATCGTGCAGTTCGACCAAACGGGCCTAGGTCTTCCCACCCGGGAGTACTTCCTCCAGCCGAGCAACAACAAGTACCTACTCGCCTACCAGCGCTACATGAGCGACGTGATGCACAAGATGGGTGCCACCAAGTCAGATGCCCAGCGGGTGGCCCACGAGCTGGTGTATTTTGAGACGCAGCTGGCAGGGATTACGGCACCGGCGGAACAGCGTCTAAATGTCACCAAGGTAGGTTTTTATTACATATTTGATTTTTTAGAGATGACTTTAATTATCTCCCGCTCCACAGCTTTATAAACGGATGACTCTCGACCAGCTGCAATCGTTAGTGCCAGATATCGAGTGGCGGGCCTATCTACAGAGCCTCCAGGATCGCGAGGTGAGCGGATCCGAGGAGGTGGTCATCTACGCGGTGGAGTACATGACCAAGCTGGTAGCCCTGCTCCAGGAGACGGAGCCGCGGACAGTGGCCAACTATATGATGTGGCGGTTTGTACGCCATCGCATCAATAACGTGGACGACCGGTTCGACGACATCAAGCAGAGCTTCTATCATGCCCTCTTTGGGCGGGAGGAGAGTCCGCAGCGGTGGAAGGTGTGCATCGCCCAGGTGAACACCAATATGGGTATGGCGGTGGGCTCAATGTTTGTAAGTCGGTACTTCGACAACAACAGCAAGCGGGACACTCTGCGGATGACCCACGACCTGCAGCAGGCCTTCCGGGACATCCTAAAGACCACCGACTGGCTGGACTTCACCACCAAGCAACTGGCCGAGGAGAAGGTCAACGCCATGTCCCTAAAAATCGGCTACCCTGACTTCATCCTCAATCCAACTGAGCTGAACAACAAGTATGCTGGAATCGAGATCCACCCGGACAAGTATTTTGAGAACACGCTGAACGTGCTGCTCCACACGGCCCGCACCGAGCAAGCCAAGTTGCACGAGCGGGTCAACAAAACAAACTGGCAGACGGCTCCGGCCATCGTTAATGCTTACTACAGCCGTAACAAGAACCAGATCATGTTCCCGGCCGGTATCCTTCAGCCGCCCTTCTACCACCGCTACTTTCCCAAGTCGCTGAACTTTGGCGGCATTGGTGTGGTCATAGGTCATGAGCTGACCCACGGGTTTGACGACAAGGGCAGGCTATTCGATCGGAACGGCAACATTCACAAGTGGTGGACGGACTCCTCAATCCGGGGCTTCGATGAACGTGCCCGGTGCATCATTGCTCAGTACAGCAACTACACGGTCGAGGAGGTGGGCATTGTCCTCAATGGCGAGAGTACCCAAGGTAGGAACAGCCTTCACATTAGGAATAGAGGTCCTGCACTAACACTCCCTGCATTTCAGGTGAAAACATAGCCGATAATGGGGGACTGAGACAAGCCTTCCACGCCTACAAGCGCTGGCTGAAGGATCACCCCAACGAGGTGCAGGACGAGATGTTACCCGGCCTGAATATGACGGGGCCGCAGCTGTTCTTCCTTAACTTTGGTCAGGTGTGGTGCGGAGCCATGCGGCCGGAGGCGATTCGAAACAAGCTGAACACGGCCATCCATAGCCCGGGCCGCTTCCGGGTGATTGGAACTTTGTCGAACTCCCACGACTTCGCTCGGGAGTTCAGGTGTGCGTTGGGCACGCCCATGAATCCCGCCAACAAGTGTAGCGTGTGGTAGCTGCAGCCTAAGCCTAAGAGTATTATTAATGAGACATACACCATGCAGTTCCAGACCAAAGACCAAGGCATGCCAGCTGGTGAGTATTTGTCGGGGAGTGCTCCAGCCTCCAGCCCCCCATCGAGTCTCTAATTGGAGCCGGGGGGTGGCTCGTTACTGCTGTTAGATGTTCTTGTTGTGCCAACATCGATTTAGCACTTCAATTGGGCGGCACTCACTCGGTTAATTAATGGTGATTTATGCCCAGCAGTTGTCTTGGGATGCCTTGGGATGAGGAGAAACTCCGTCAATTGTCTTTTCAATAAAATTGCAATTGATGCGTGGCTCTTGGTATTCAGAAAGGGGTTGGAGTGCAACACTATATACTATACAATAGGCATATCACTTATCTCATCCCGTCTATCCATTAACATTGCAGTTTTCAATTGACGGAATCAGCAGACTGGCTCTATCCGGAGATATGCCAAGGATCAAGTGGGCCAATAAACCCATAAGCCGCAAAGATAATGTGCCAAAAATTAACTTTCAAATCTATATATATTTTTTTAGCTATTAACTATTTATATTTGTAATTTGCAATAGTTTAGTTTTTGAATCCATTTTATGTTTGTGATAATTCTAATTAAAAGTGACACTAATGAAAAAAATTCGAAAAAAAAAACTATTATTGAGGGAGGAATTTTCTCAACACTGGAGCAGCTTTTGAAAGATTTCAGTTTGAAAACTTTTGAGTGGAATTTTTGGGGAAAATATGAGCATCAAGTCAGTTGGGAACGTGCGCTCGGCGACCAAAGAACCAAAAATCCGGGCACACATCGCGCTAGTGGGTGTTCCAAAAATATACGTATATATTTATATATACTCAATAAGAAATATCCGGAAAAACCAAAGTGTGGGGCATGAAATTGAACTTCAATAAATAAAGGCAATGCAGTTCTGTTGGCTTCCACTGGCATTCCTCTGGCTCGACCTGGTGGGGGGTCAGTATTATGGAGGTGGAGGCAATTCCTACGGTTCTCCCGCTGGTCAAGCTATTCGCTTGGGTGAGTGAAAGAGCTCAACGTGCTCATATCCAGAGCACTCCTCTCCCGAACTATTCGACTCAACACACAAAGCATGCAGGTCTTATCACTGACGACACCACCGATAGGATCCGGCAGACCTTCGAACACGCCATATCCGTGGTGAACAATGAGCTGGGAATCCCATTAGTGGGCGAGACGGAGCAGGTGGCCTACGGAAACTCCGTCCAGGCTTTTGGCCAATTGTGCCGCCTGATGCAGGTGAGTTGGCAAACAAAAATCAGACAAAGAAAGCTTTAAACACACATTCTCTGCAGAATGGAGTGGGTGCTGTTTTCGGGCCTTCTGCCAAGCATACAGCCTCCCATCTCCTCAATGTCTGTGACTCCAAGGACATTCCGTTCATCTACCCCCATCTCTCCTGGAGCGGCACACAAGCAGACGGCTTCAACCTGCATCCGAGTCCCGAGGATATTGCCCATGTCCTCTACGACATAATCAACGAGTTTCAGTGGTCCCGCTATATATTCTGCTACGAATCGGGTTTGCATAGTGAATGTTAAGACTCTTCATAGAGTACTTATTTCTAATATCCATAGCTGAGTACCTCAACATTTTGGATCACCTCATGAATCTGTATGGCATCAAGGGACCAGTCATTAAAGTAATGCGCTACGATCTGAATCTAAATGGCAACTACAAATCCGTGCTAAGACGCATCAGAAAATCGGAGGATAATCGGATTGTAGTAGTTGGTTCCACCGATGGAGTGGCGGAGCTGCTGCGCCAAGCCCAGCAGGTGGGTATTATGAATGAGGACTACACCTATGTCGTTGGCAACCTGGACCTGCATACCTTCGAACTGGAGGAGTACAGGTACAGCGAAGCCAATATAACTGGCATTAGGATGTTCTCACCCGACAAGGAGGAAGTGCGCGATCTAGTTGAGAAACTGCATCAGGAGCTAGGCGAAAGTGAGCCTGACGGTCAGGGTAGGGAGAAACTTTCTAAATACTACCCATAAAACAACATTTACTCCATATCTCTTTATTAAGGTTCTTCATCTATTACCATGGCCATGGCCCTAACCTACGATGCAGTTAGGGTCATAGCTGAGACAACCAAAAACCTTCCCTATGAACCTCAAATGCTCAACTGCTCCGATCGTCACGACAACGTTCAGCCTGATGGCTCTACTTTCAGAAACTTCATGAGATCGGTAAGTTACAAATATACAAACCTAAGACTTCATTAAAAACGCCACTTTCAGTCGGATATTAAGGAGAAAACCATAACTGGTCGCATCTACTTTAAAGAAAATGTGCGCAAGGGCTTTACCTTCGATGTGATAGAGTTGCAGACCACGGGATTGGTCAAGGTTGCTACTTGGGAGGAGGGCGAAAAATTCGAGTTCCAGCGACCACCCCAAGCGATTACCTATCACGACGTCGACGACGGATCTTTGGTTAATAAAACCTACAGGGTTTTAATCTCAGTGGCGGTTGGTACAGTAACTGAATTGATCTTTAATGGTAATTTAAGGCAATTTAAATCTTAATTAAAGACCAAGCCGTATGCCAGCATTGTGGAGAGTATCGACACACTTATTGGGAATGACCAGTATCAGGGCTACGGAGTGGACTTGATAAAAGAATTGGCCGATAAACTCGGATTTAACTTTACCTTTATCGATGGTGGCAATGATTATGGTTCCTTTAACAAGTCCACAAATACCACGACAGGAATGCTGAAGGAAATTGTCGAAGGGGTCTGTCTTTATTAAAATAAACTTGTGAATCCTTTTTTAGTGACTTTATTTCAGAGGGCCGATTTGGCCATCACGGATTTAACTATAACCGCAGAGCGGGAAGAGGTGATCGACTTTTCCATACCCTTTATGAATTTAGGTGGGTTTTTTCTCTTTATATATATTTTTTAAAGACAATTGTTAATATTTTCTTTTTAAAGGCATTGCTATTTTGTATGTGAAACCGCAGAAAGCGCCCCCTGCCCTATTCGCCTTCATGGAACCTTTCTCTTCTGAGGTTTGGCTTTACTTAGGCATTGCCTATGTTGGAGTCTCCCTGTGCTTCTTTATCCTGGGCCGGCTCTCGCCCACCGAATGGGACAATCCATATCCCTGCATAGATGAGCCCGAGGAACTGGAGAATCAGTTCACATTAAACAACTCTATATGGTTTACAACGGGCGCTTTACTTCAGCAAGGATCTGAGATTGCTCCAAAGTATGATTGCAAATATCCTTAAAAATTGTAGTCACATTATTGTCTTCTATTTTCCAGAGCTCTCAGCACGCGAACTATTTCTGCAATTTGGTGGTTCTTCACTCTGATTATGGTTTCATCCTACACAGCCAACTTGGCTGCCTTCTTGACCATTGAGAATCCAACCAGTCCCATTAACAGTGTCAAGGATTTGGCCGATAATGTGGACGATGTTCAGTATGGAGCCAAACGTACAGGGTCTACAAGAAATTTCTTTTTGGTAAACTTTGACTATTTTCTCTTTTTGTGATATTTTGCCTTTAACTTCTAAAATCCCCAAAAGACTTCAGAGGAACCAATCTACATAAAGATGAACGAATACATGTCCAATAACCCAGACATGCTGGTGGAAAATAATCAAGAGGGTGTGGAAAAGGTCAAGTCTGGCACAAAGTACGCCTTCCTCATGGAGTCCACCTCCATCGAATACAACATGGTGAGGGAGTGCAACCTGACCAAAGTGGGTGATGCTCTGGACGAGAAGGGCTACGGCATAGCCATGGTGAAGAGTAGGTATTCAGCGTAGCAACTGAGTTCTTTAAACTAATAGGCAACCCAACAGATTGGCCATATCGGGATAAATTCAACAACGCCCTGCTGGAGCTCCAGGAGCAGGGTGTACTGGCCAGATTGAAGAACAAATGGTGGAATGAAATTGGAGCTGGAGTCTGCAGCGTAAGTATCCTTTCTTAATGTGATAAGTATGGGTAACTTTAAAATATTCTTTTTCAGGCTAAAAGCGAAGATGACGGTCCTTCAGAACTGGCTATAGACAATCTTAGTGGAATCTATGCCGTCTTGATTGTTGGTACTATTTTTTCTATAGTCGTGTCTGTCCTGTGTTGGTGTTTCTTTGTCTTCAAAAAAGCCAGATTCTATGCGGTACAACTAATCATAAAGTCTTTAAATTAAAATTTGTAAAATATATTTAATTTTAGGTTCCTTTTTGCGGTGCCCTGGCTGAGGAATTCAAAATCGTCATCCGTTTCTCGGAGAACGAACGAGTCCTGAAGAGTGCCCAGTCCATTTATTCGCGCAGTCGGAATTCTTCCCAGTCCATCGAATCCCTTCAAACAGATTCCGAGGAGAATACGCCGTCAGGGGATTGATATTGAGTTATATTTTTGGATACTCAATTTTCTATTTCAAGTTTTCTCACAAAGCTCCAAAAAACTTTTACTCAAAAAATATTCAAAATTGACATTTTGGAAACATCTGTCAGTTGAGGATCTTCACTCGAAGTGTTCGGTATCTAGATCGGCGATATTTTCGTGGAGTCTCAATAGATATATCTATAAATATATGTAACAAATAAAAACTATTAAAAATGCTTGGAAAATATTCCATAAATATAGTTTTCATTGCCCTCATTAATTTTCACCTTATAAAGGCCCAATACGAGAGTTATGGGAGCTATAATAATTTTGAGAACATGGGAAGTGTCCCCATTGGTAAGTGAATTCCAAAAAAAACTCAAAACTCAAAAATATGTGTCGCGTGAAAAGTTTTCATTTCGCTCCAAAAACACTGTTTTCAACGGGCGATTTATTTTTAATTTCTCATAAAGAGAACAAGCTGTTCGTTCCATCAACGCCGAAAGCTCATAAAAGCCATTTTAGTATTTGTTTGTTTGTTTGGGTTTTCCGACTGAATGGGACGGCGATTGGGTCAAGTTGTTGTTTATAAACAAACCGGCAAGCGGCGAGCGACGAGCTATGGCAATGAATGAGTGCTCAGGGAGCAGAGAAATTTTCTCATTTCAGGCCTACTCACCGACCAGAATACGGAGCAAATGAACATAATCTTCGACCATGCCATAGATGTGGCTAACCAGGAGGTGGGCACCACATTGACATCCCTCAAGGCGGAGGTTAACTACGGCGATGCCTACCAGAGCTATGGGAGACTCTGCCAAATGCTTGAGGTGGGTGTTCCAATAAATGTAAACAAATTTTAATGTGTTGTCTAGGTCTCTGATTTATTGATAGACTGTGTATGTTTAGTTCTCAATTAATGACCTCTTCGGCTCGTTGCCAAAAGTGAATAGTACACATGAACATTTTGTTTATTTTCTTGCATTGTTAAGACCGGCATAGCTGGGGTCTTTGGACCGTCCTCACGCCACTCTGCCCTCCACTTGATGTCCATCTGCGACGCCATGGATATTCCCCATATATACTCCTACATGAGCGATTACGCCGAGGGCTTCAACCTCCACCCACATCCCGCTGACTTGGCCAAGGCCCTGCACAGTCTCATCACGGAATTCAACTGGAGCCGCTTTATTTTCCTCTACGAGTCGGGTAATACTCCAAAAAAGCCAACTCATTAGTTAATAATTCCTGTACATCGCTTGCAGCTGATTACCTCAAAATCCTTAACGAGCTGACGACTTTGTTCGGCATGAATGGTCCTGTGGTCACGGTCCTGCGGTACGACATGCAGTTGAATGGAAACTACAAGCAGGTCCTCCGGCGTGTGCGCAAGTCACAGGATAATCGAATTGTGGTGGTCGGATCCAGCGACACGATGCCCGAATTCCTGAACCAAGCCCAGCAGGTTGGCATCATCAACGAGGACTACAAGTTCATCATTGGCAACCTGGACTTTCATTCCTTCGATTTGGAGGAGTACAAGTACAGTGAGGCCAATATAACAGGGCTGCGGCTGTTTTCCCCCGAGAAGATGGCCGTGAAAGAGCTTCTTATGAAGTTGGGCTATCCCACTGACCAGGATGAGTTTCGAAATGGTGGGTCAATATCTCTAATCCCTTAATTTCCTTTTAATATTATGTATGTGATCAGGTTCCTGTCCCATCACCGTCGAAATGGCTCTAACCTATGATGCTGTTCAACTGTTTGCTGAGACCCTGAAAAACCTTCCCTTTAAGCCGATTTCTCAGAACTGCTCCCAGCGCACCGAAAGTGTCCGGGACGATGGTTCATCCTTTAAAAACTACATGCGAACTGTAAGTAACTGGGATGAAAGTCAAATTTATATTTTGAATCAAATATTTGTCTCCATCCAGCTACGTCTCTCGGAACACCTACTCACAGGACCCATCTACTTCGAGGGGAATGTCCGCAAGGGCTACCACTTGGATGTAATCGAGCTGCAGCCCTCGGGCATTGTGAAGGTTGGCACCTGGGATGAGAATCGCGGCTACAGACCCCAGCGACTGGCCCCCACCACCTCCCAGTTCGATGGCCAGGACAATTCGCTGGCCAATAAGACTTTCATTGTTTTGCTATCAGTGCCGGTTGGTACCAATCTCAAACAAAATTGCCCCTAATAATATAACCCCTGATTATATTGGATAATGTTATCCAATTCCAGAACAAACCATATGCCCAACTGGTGGAAAGCTACAAGCAACTGGAGGGCAACAACCAGTACGAAGGCTATGGCGTGGATCTCATCAAGGAACTGGCCGATAAGCTGGGCTTTAACTTCACCTTTGTAAATGGCGGCAATGATTATGGAAACTTCAATAAGACCTCCAATGAATCCACTGGCATGTTGAGAGAAATTATGATGGGGGTAAGTTACTTACAAATTACAGATTACTGATTATATCCAATAATAACCATTTTTTCCTTCAGCGAGCCGATTTGGCTGTTACGGACTTAACCATCACGGCAGAGCGGGAACAAGCCATAGATTTCTCCATTCCCTTCATGAACTTGGGTAAATTTGTAAGATTTTTTCGGTTTTAAAATTTGTATTGTATAGATATTTCTAGGCATTGCCATTCTCTACTTGAAGCCCCAGAAAGCCACACCAGAACTCTTCACTTTCATGGATCCGTTTTCCGAAGAGGTTTGGATATTCCTGGGATTTTCCTTTTTGGGCGTATCCTTGAGCTTCTTTATATTGGGTCGTCTGTCACCCAGTGAGTGGGATAACCCGTATCCGTGTATCGAAGAGCCCGAAGAGCTGGAAAATCAATTCACGATTGGGAACTCCATCTGGTTTACCACCGGAGCCCTGCTCCAACAGGGCTCGGAAATCGGACCAAAGTATATTGAAATATTGGTAGAATTTAGAACCTGGAACTAAAGATGTATTTTATAGAGCTCTGTCAACCCGCACTGTGGCCACTTTCTGGTGGTTCTTCACTCTGATTGTGGTATCCTCGTACACTGCCAATTTAGCCGCTTTCTTGACTATCGAGAAGCCTCAAAGTTTAATCAACAGTGTCGAAGATCTAGCGAATAATAAGGATGGTGTGGTTTATGGCGCCAAGAAAACAGGATCTACCAGGACTTTCTTTTTGGTAACATTCGAGCATTGCTTATCCTATTAAACTTTGTTTAAAATACATATTTAACTTTCAGACAACTGAGGATGAGCGCTACAAGAGAATGAACCAGTTTATGTTGCAGCATCCGGAGCATCTCACACAGGACAACATGGAGGGAGTGAATCGAGTCAAGTCAAGTACCCACTATGCCTTTCTAATGGAGTCCACTTCCATCGAGTACAACACCAAACGCGAGTGCAATCTCAAGAAGATTGGCGATGCTCTGGATGAGAAGTGCTATGGAATAGCCATGCGAAAGAGTATATAGTTCACAAACCCTCACACATCAGATAGTCATGACTATACATATAAATCTTTTAGATTGGCCCCATCGCAACAAGTTCAATAATGCCCTGCTGGAGCTGCAGGAGCAAGGAGTTCTAGAGAAAATGAAGAACAAGTGGTGGAACGAGGTGGGCACCGGAATCTGCGCTACAAAGGAGGAGGCCCCCGATGCCACGCCTCTCGATATGAACAATTTGGAGGGCGTGTTCTTTGTGCTCCTTGTGGGCAGTTGCCTGGCTTTACTTTACGGAATCGTAAGCTGGGCCTTCTTTGTGATGAAGAAAGCCCACCATTACCGGGTATGAAATTTTAATATTTCTTGTTTAAAACTCTATTTACAGAGTCTGATTTATGTCCTTCTAGGTTCCAGTGAAGGAAGCTCTTAAGGAGGAGTTCCAGTTCATAGTCGACTTCAATAACTATATCCGTGTGCTAAAGAACTCTGCTTCCATCTACTCGCGCAGCCGTCAGTCTTCCATGTCGGTGGCTTCCATGGCCCAGGAAGACAGCTAACTTTTAGTAGATGTTAAAATTTTATTACAAAAAAATGGAATGCTTGTTGAGGATCGTCATGTTATATAGTCACTGAGATAAAATAATACAAAATAATAAAAGATCTTGATGTTTGAATAAAATAAAGCTTTCAACAAATAATAAGATATATAAGTAACAAAATACAGTCAAATGAATAAGGTATAAATTGCACTTTGGTTAAAAAAAAAAAAAATTATTTTCCGAAAAACATTAAAAAGAATAATAATATTCTGTAAAACCTACGACCCAGTGCCCAACAATTTTTTTGTAGTCTTTGTGTTAGTGGATTAAGAAATACGTCAACAATTTCTCCAAGTTAGATCCCATTTATGTCCAGTGCTTGGCGCGCCACAACAAGCAATGAATGTGGTTGTCCACATCCGCCGGTGGCATAGATTTGGCGGCACTATGGGTAGGCGTGCTAACAACAGAGTAGGATGCAGAGGACTCCGCGGAGTCCACATAGCGTGAGATCAGTGAGCGGTACCGCCTACCAATAGTGGCAATAAGCGGTACTTTGTCATTAGAGAGCGTTATAATGGATTTTATCTACAAAGAATACACAAACGTTAATAAATATTCCAATAACTAGAAACTTACAAGTTACCTCATTTTCGTAGGGCCGGAATACGCTGATGGGTCGCAAGGTCTGCAATTCGGCAACGATCAAGCATCCCCAGGTGGTGCCAATATAGAGCTCGGTATGGTGAGCTGCCAGAGCCGAGATTTGGCATTTAATAAGATTAACGTGTTCGTCGATGGCGATGCTTTGCAGAGACTCGGAGCAGGGCAAAAGCTTAGAGCAGTCCAGCTTGTTTTCAATCTGTTTGGATGTGACACCCCACTGGTAAACCATGCAGCCGGGATAAAGGCAGCTAAAGACGTAACTATTGTTGCTGCACATGCGAGCTACTTTGACGTCCTCGATCAGGTTGGGCTCCTCGCTGTGGCAGAGAGCCTGGTGACCCGATACGCCGGTCTCGTTCAAGGGGAAAATATTGATCTTGCCAGCGATTTCCCCACACCACAGCTCGTAGTTACTAAAAAGAATGAGAAACAAATGTTATTGGGAAGGAAAACATTGGTTTGGTAAGCAAACATACCCATCCACATAAACTGAACAAGCGGCGTGCAGAACGAAGCCGGAACAGATCTCCGTGAGCACAAATGAGCCCTCAGCAAAGGCACAATTGCTGGGCACTTGAGTGGCGTCCACCAAAAAGACCCGACCGTTGTGCGTTCCCACTGCTACGCGGGCTATCTTCTCCATGTAAACCAGACTTATCACAGCCGACTTTATAGCCGGGTCAAGCATGTAGGAAAATAAATGAGCATAGGTAGAGGTGCTGTACGCATGCAGGTTGCCAGACACATCGCCCATCCAGATAGCATCCCCCACCAGGCAGCAGCACAGCATATTGACCTTTGGCGCGCGTTGGGCTGATCTGGCACGGGAGTGAGCACCATTTTCTGGAGTCTTGGGCGGAGCCACCTGCGGCTGAGATGAGCAACTGATGCTGTGGCATTGCTGAAGGCTGCCAGATGGCGTGCAATCCAAGATGTCGATGCGGGATCCAAAGGACGGTAGCCACAGCTCCAACCCGGAACGTTCATCTTCGCCTATGCCCACCAGAGATTGAAATACACCGCACACAATCTTCTCGCTATGGGGTAACGCTACGACATCCAAAAGATGAATGCACTCCGGGGCACTGAGAATGGACACTATCTGACTGGCTGTGGGACGACGACGTGGCTGTTCGTGCCAACAAAGGACCATCAAATCCAGACAGCAAGTTGGGAACTGAGTCTCCCGTTGAGTCAAAGCTGGCCTACTGCCCTCCAGTATGCACTCCTTAATAGACTCGTGTCCTTCAAAAGGCTGTCTCAGGCTGATGTTCTCATAGATAAACATGCCAAAGGAAAAGCAGTCCACCTGGAGAAGGTAAAGGTATTTTAGATTTAAATTTAAGCAACAATAGACTTAATATTACCTTTTCCGTGTACTCCTCTTCGCCGTTGTATCGAATAATTTCGGGAGCCATAAACCCTTCGGTACCGCCGAAGCCCTTAGCCCCACTGGGAGCTGTTTGCCTGCTAATACCATAGTCAGCGATCTTTATGTGTACGTGGTTGCGAGGGCTATCCTCCGTATGAGGTTGGGGCAGCTCCCAGACTAGAACATTTTCAGATTTCAGATCGCGGTAGATGATCCTGCGCCGGTGCAGGTACTCGATCGCCCGGGCTGCCTGAAGGACGAGCGTCTGAAAGGTATGGGGGCCCATGTGAGCTCCACTGCGGCGGTACTGGCGCAGCAGGGCATCAAGACCGCCCATCGGTGCCAGTTCGAGGACCAAAGCCAAGGGTTTTATGCAGATTCCGACCAAGGGAACAATGTTGGGATGTTTAAGCGTTAATAGTACGGCCAACTCCTGGCGGGCCGTGCAGTAGGCCTTGCAGGAATGCTGCAGTGGATCCCGATCCCACTTGCCTAATGCCACCTTGTAAGCCATTAAGGCACTCTGAAATAAAATAAAACATATATTTAAGCTTACAAACAAATAAAATGTATGACTACTTACTTCCTTTGCCCGGGCTCCGGGTGGAACTGGCTGCAACATTTTCATGGCAACTGGCTTGAAGGATCTGGCGCCCCTCACCTTGCAACTGGCCTTGAAAACAAAGCCAAAAGCACCACGTCCCAAAAGAGATCCTTTGATAATGCATTCCGTGGGAATGGTGTGCTTATCGGGTATATCTGCGAAAATCACATCCGGAGCTAGCTGAGCCATGGACTGTTCCAGATGAACCGGACAACTAAGTTTACTCTGGTTGTAAACGGAGAGTATGCATTCCTCGATCATCCAGGCATAACAGACATTTGAATTATCGGGCAACGGATAACCTGGATGCCCATCCACCGACGTATTACGTGAAGAATCAGCGGAGTCTGGACCCACTCCAGAATCCGCATCCGAGCCTGCGCCCAACGAGTCTTCCGAGCGTCGCTCCCTTCTGGCGGTGGCATTGAGGTAGGCGGAAAATACATTAAGAGCACCATCCTCACCGGGATCTCCAACACCGTGAAGAAAGTAAGCACCAGTGCCGCGCCTAACGCTTCGACTTGGCCTGTTGCAGCCTATAGGTGGTATCTCGCGGTCGACAGGCTCATTGACATTTTGTAATTGTAGCTTCCAAAGGCAGCGAGGGCACAAGACCATCCGGGTGATAAGAAAACGGCCCTCCGAGGTGTGCACAAAACGAGTTCCCAGTGATGGATACCAATCCTCGAGCAGCAAATCAATGTGATCCACTGCCAGAGCTAGTAACTTGGCTACCTGGGACATTTGCGGTTGCACCTCGGCCAACAATTGGCGCTCCCCTCCATCCAACTCGTGCGAGATGTTCACCTGATGCAGAGGAAAGTAAACCTCCAAAATGCTTGAGGAACTTAGATTCACATCGCTCCAAATGCCATCTAACTTGAGCTTGAAACGATTGCCGTTGGTGCGGAAAGGCTGCGTTCGCTCGGTGTTTTGGAAAGGGACTTCCCAGATTCTAAAGATTAAAATGGGCCCATAGTATAGGGCAAATCCCGTCTGCCAAAGATTCCACTGGGTATCCTGCTCCAAGGAAGTTCGGAGATCGAACTCTACGTATTTCTACAAAATAAAAAGTAAAATGTGTTATTAAAAATGGTAATAAAGATACGTATCTACGTACATCTTGAGCAGCTGCATACACCCCACGAATCGCTTCAATGATTTGCTCATCGGCCAGAATCCTTGTGATAAGTCGGGACCAGAAACCAGATGGAAAATATGTCATCAATAGAATCCGTCGCAGGCCCTGACTGCCCATCGAAGTGGATGATGTCCGGCTTGACTTTTGTTCATAGATTAAGTTATTTAGGTTAACTTCCTGCGAGACAGAGCAACCCAAACTACGGCCACGCGAACGCTGGGACAGCTTCACTGTGGTGCCAGTATTGGGAATGGCGGCTTCTTGCTGCGGTAGCAATGAAGGAATTAGTAAGGTGCGGGAATCCCAGGTCAAAGCCACCTCAAACTTGTTCAACAAGCTCACAATGTAGCTGAGAATAACCAAAAAATATTAGTGACATAAACAAAATCATCTTATTCTCGAACTCACCTGCGATTCCCATTGCCCTGAACCTGTCCATTTCTAAAGAGAAGCTGCAGGTCGTCCAACTTCATTACACCCGTGGGAGCAAACGGATTGATCTCTCTCACAGTAACCACATGAGCCAGCATATCGCATAACCACTGAGGATCGAGAAAGTAGTAATCCCTCAGCGTGGCATCATCGTAGTGCAGCAGAACGCCATTTTCGTGGCACCAGGTTGTCGCTTGTTGCAACTCAGCTGCGTCGCGGAAGCTTTTGTAATTATGCAGACGCATCTGCTCGGTGACCAAGCGTCGATACTGTTCCCCATCAAGGACTGGATCGCGACCTGCAGCGCGTAAATTGCAGGCAATAACATTTACTATATCCTCCAAGGCGATGTAGCTGGCGGGTATCTTTTGAAGCAGCATGGGTTCCTTTGATCCAGGGGATCTCAGCTGCATCGCCGTATCATAGATAATGTTGGCCAGCAAGTGAATGTTGTGCAAAGTCCTGAAAAATTTTATTATTATGATAATATTATTTTAGTATTTTAATTAAGACTTAATTAAGACTTTTTAATTAAGACTTACCGGCAACTTATCTCGATGGAATCAATAACTCGCGGCAATCCTATCTTCTCTGCATCTGGGATGGCAATAAACTTCTCGCGGATCAATTGCTGCAGCTGCTCCGCCTTCTGGGCAGAGATAGATTCACCAACTGCATCGAAATGAGTCCCCACAATGATGACTGGTGAATTGGGGGCCCTTGCTTGGATGTTGCCCAACCACTGAAGTAGCTCCGCCAGACCCTTGTGACCGTCGCTGATACGCCACAAGACTAGATACAGGCTCCTTTTCGAGAGAAAGTACTGGTGCGTGGCATAGTACTCCTTCTGGCCGCCAAAGTCCCAAGTACGAAACACTACCGGACCATGGGATCCCGGAGCTCGCTTTCGCTTTTCGCAGATCCAGGTGCCGATGTCAACGCCCACTGTGGATATGTTCGAGGTAGAGGAATTCCGCTGTGACCGGGAGGTGCTGCGTGAATGCCCCATCCTCTTGGCCCAATGATTTTCACTGGCACGGGATCTGTGGGAACTAGAGCTTGAGCCAGAGCCGACTCCCTGGCGCAACAGATCAAGCAGTGTGCTCTTCCCGATGCCCGCAACGCCAACTACCATCAACTTCATTCGAGCATAAGGCTGGGCATCCTCGTATATCGACTTTAGGTATCCTACTATATCCATAGTTTTGTGTTTTTTGCTTTCGATCATCGAGCGCAGAGGCTCTTGCAGAAGACAACCTCGAGTGTTGAGGTTCCAGAGCCGCGAAAGGAGACCCAAGTGTGGGGGCAGCTCTGTGACATTAACATTTCCGCTGATGTTCAACACCGACAGACTACTAAGCTCGTGCAGAGAGGCAGGAATCTCCTTCAAGCAGTTGTTGGTCATGTCCAGCATAGACAGGTTGGGGAAAATCACCTTGGAACGGTTCACACCTACGACACTCCAATCAGAATCCTCGCTTTCGTTGAAGAGGGTACTGGCATCATCTGTTGAGAGTTGGATGCGGGTTAGCAGGTTGTCCGCCAGGATGAGAGTTCGCAGTGCCTCCAGGCGTAGGTGGCGCCTATGGCGGCAGACACTCTTCAGCACCGAGGCCCTGAATGAAGTGGCGGACGACGAACTGCCCGGCTTCTTGAAGCTTGACTCTTCGTCCCTACCCTCAGAAACCTGGGCGCAACTGTAGCAAAGGAGATGCGGATCAGATTCTGTGATCCGTGGCAAGCTCGGCCAGCAGGAGATCTCGTTGTGGCTCAGGTCCAGTTGCTTCAGAGTGGCTGGATAACTGGTTACATGGCCCATGGAGCGCAGGCTGTTGTAGGACATGTTGAGCCTTGTTAAGTTAACTGCCAAGCATGGGAGAGCTGCGGGAATGCTGGTGAAGAGGTTGTTCGCAATATTGAGACTACTGAGCTGGGAGGATCCGGCTCCTGACGTCTTGCCGTCTCCCAGGTCTTGCTCCTGTTGCCATTTTAAGTCGTTATCGGTTATTTCCAGAGAGCCGGACCAGAGGTTTCGATGCGTTAGCCGCTGTTGGGTCACGTTGCGTGGCTTGTTCGACCGCGGCTCCTCAAAAGCCTGCAGCTGCAGCTTGTCCAGGCTCAGCAGGGAACTACTGGTCTGCATGGGCGGAACCGGTAGATCCCGCAAGAGGTTGAATGCCACATTGAGCTCTCGCAACTTTGGAGCTCGCCACAAGTCAAAGGGCAACTTTTGCAGTTTGTTATTCGAAACATCCAGAATGGTCAAGGCCGGCAAATGGAAAATGGCTGAGGGTAGACTGGTTAACTGGTTATCCTGCAGGAAAAGCTCGTCCAAAACTGGGCAGCTATAGGTCTTTCCAACAGGCGCTGGCAAATCAGTGATCCTGTTCTGAGCAATATTTAAGTATCTGAAAATAGAGAAACCAATTAAAAACTCATCCTCGAACTAGGAATCAGTACTTACTTAAGACTGACTAGATGAAACAGCTCTTGAGGAATTGTGGTGAGCACATTGTGCGAAAAGTCAATGCGGGTGATGGCGGTTAAAGAAACGTCTGTGATTCGCGGATGCGATTGCAGCTTTGGGTTCAATAGCAGCACCCCACTGACCAGCCAAGGTACCCGCACTACCGACAACTGGACACTGGATCCTAAGCTATGCCAGTCGATAATGGTCGGCACATTGGGGAACATGGCGCTGTACGATATGTTACTCGTGGAGGGCAGAAAGACATTGACTTCCACCGGAGTGGGCAGACCCTTCTTGTTGATCTTGTAGTCCGAATCGGGGTGGACACGGCGGGCCAGCAGGCGGCTAAGAATAGCTTCATCGCCGCCACTAATTGCCATTCCAATGGCCGAACCATTATCGTCGCGGGCGCCGTGTTTCAGCAGGAGATCCAACATCGCCAGGGATCGCTGTTTGCATGCTTCGGCAATGGGGACGTTGCTTAGTCCATAGATTTCTTCGCAGCACTTTGGATCGTTGTGATCCTCCACTGGCTTGGCCACAATATTCGGATTAGCACCATGCTGGAGTAAAGACTGCGCTACGTCCAAGTGCCCGCCGCGCACAGCTGCCAGGAGAGCAGTCTCTCTAGCGGCGCCACAAAGTAGATTCACATTGATGGGACACCTGTGACATTCCGTTGCTTCCTGAGCGGACTGCTCGACTTCTAGACCATCAGATTCGCCGGATATATGCAGCTTGGACATAATGGCTTGAATGCCGAACGAAATGCGTTTTCTGGTTGGGGTTATCGGTGTGCTTACTGCGCTTCCGGTATCACCCAGAGACCGCCTGCACAGAAGCTGCCACTTCAGCAGAACCCCTACTAAATGCTTGTTACCCAAAATACTGGCTATGTATAGACTCGTCTGACCCGTAACATCGTGCGCATTAGCATCGAAGGGCAACTGCCACTCCCAGTGCCCTTCCTCGTCGCGATATGTCTGGTAGAGGTAGTCGGGATACTTGTAATTGATAAGTAGCTCCAGCAGCTTGATGTGTCCGTTAATACAGGCTGCATGTAGTGGTAACCAACGTTCCACAGTTGGTTGCTGGATGAGTTCCGGGAAGCGGTCCAGCATCAGGCGAGCGATACCCAGGTGACCGCTGTGGACGGCTGCGTATAGTGGGGAGTACTTGGTGACGGCGTGGGAACGGCCATCCGCTCCAGCATCCAGCAATCGCTCTGTGATGCTCTCGTAACCAGACTGACAAGCACTAGAATGAGATTTAATTTTAAGAATCATAAGCCCATTAATTGTATTGTACTTACATGAACAGGAGCGTATTTGCGCCAGCTGGAGCCATATTGACAATGACCTGGCGCTCGCTTCCCAGAGCCAAGAGCAAAACTCGGACAGTTCGCTCATCGCCGGCACTAACAGCGGCTCGGAGCTCACCGTGTTTGATCTGTCGCACCTCCTCCCGCGCATCTTTAAAGAAAGATAGGTATTTTCATAAAACATATGTTATGTCAATGAAGCCAAAGCCTTTCGGTGTCCCCACCCCGTATCGAGGCGGATCCCTCAATGACCTCATCCACAAAATAGTCGCACGCCTCCAGGGCAGTTTCGGTGCCGGATTTAGGCTGTTCCATACTGAATTTCCAGGACATTATGTAACCTGACTCCTCCTGGCCTAGCCCAAAAAAAAAACTATTAGCCAAATGGCACAGACATTTGGAGGAGACAACCCGAACACGGCACCGTCTAGAACCGAACTGAGTGGGGAAAATCGATGGCCAGGCCACGTTTTTGTGGTCATTGATCCAAGCCGGAGTTTAACGCAATGCGCAAGACCAGCATGGAACGCAGAGAAGCAAATATTACAAGCAGAGACTCTGGCAACTGTTGCACGTGGTCAAGGACTGGCATTGATTTTGGCACTTGGTTTGTTTACTTTCTTGTGTTTGTTATTGTGGGTGTCAAATGGCTCAGTGGTTGCAGCGCACCAGTTGCTTCACTTCACCAGTTCGTAATGCTTTTCAAATATTTGTTTCTTACGCGCCAATTTTTTTGCAACACCAACGTGCGTTGTTCAACTCTATATTTTCGGGTTTAGTTGAAAATCCAATAACTGATAAAATATGAATATTCGCATTCTAAATATTGAATATTTAAAAAGTGGTAATCTTAAATTTAAGAAAGTATTTTATTTTTATTCCTGAATTAATGCAAATTAATATATTTATTAAGCCATAGCTGTTTGATTCAGTTGGTGTTTTAAGATCTTTAATTTACCCAAATCATTATTAAAAAAAGGCAAGCCAATTTAATGTTCCCTTCTAGTCCAAATATAGATATATATATTTCGTGTTTCAATAAGCAAATGAGTTGCAACACAAATTGGCAAAATGGCAACAAACAAATTACCTTCATCCGAATCGCTCATTATCAATGTTCCACCAAACTTTTAAAGAATTTGCAAAATTCTTTAATTTTGTTGCAATACGTAGACGATTTTCTCTTTTTATTAGACCATAATATCACCTGTTTTAGCACCATAAAATGTTTTATGTTACACTTTTGTTTACAATTTTCTATTATGTGACCAGAAATACAACCCTTAGAAAATACTTAGATTTGGTATTTTTATGTTCAAATTGTAAATAAACCTCTCAAACTGTACAGCTGTTACGGTTTTGAGGAGACTGGGATAAGTGTCAAAAATCTGGCAACCTTCAGCGGCTTGTGATATTTAAATTTTCTTTTTTGGTTGAGATTTTACTTATAAAAAGTTTAAAGTTTAAAAAAGTATGCTGTTTTTACTTTGAACGAAAAAACTTGAAAATAAATCTCCTTGTAAATTTTATAAAATTGTACAAAATTGTTATTTTAATTCTTTTGTATTGTCATCCATGTAAAAATGTTAAAACATTCATTCCTAGTTTTATTTATTTTTTTTTTTGTTTTAATTAATAACAAAATCAACAATCAATAAAAATACTTGCCATATGAAAAGACATAAGAAAAAGTTTCATTTTAATGTTGTTATACTTTGTATACTTAAATACTTTGTATCTATCACTTTAATTGTAATATATCTTTCTAGTTTTTTTATAACTTACAATCTTACAAATACGTTTTTTTTTTAAATGTTTTGATTAGAATTGGGAAATTAACTTAAGGAACTTAACTTGTAACTTTCAAAGGAACCTAAGCTTGTTTCGAAATTTTATCTCGACGGCTCTGGCTCTGTGTGCCCCATAAGAGGGAGACCCTTAAGATTGGGTTTGATTTCAATTTCCAATTTTCCTTTTTTCTTAGGAACCATTTGAAAAAAGTTGTTGTGAGTACAATTTATTATATTTGAAAATTTTTAAAAATAATGTGATACATTTGCAGAATGCCCCACCGGATGGAAGAAGAGAAACAATTTCTCCATAGCGCTGGTAACACTGAAAAAACTAAAACCAAAACAATGACTCGATAGTGCCATCGCTGATTTTCCACCTCTAGACACCAACAAACGTAACACAACAATACAAAAATAAAAACAATTAAAATTCCTTAATCAAACTTAAATGTGCTTCAATTGAATTGTGAAAATCTGTGATTCGAGAATGTTACGATCGCTCCTATTATCGTAAGATGCCGGTACAAACAAAAACGTAAGCCCGTTGGCAGTAAACTGCTTAGCTCACACCCAAAAAAAAGCGATAGGCGGAGAAGGCTGGTCAAAAAAAAGAGGAAAACAAAAACAAATGGGCCAGCGCGAAGCGCGTTGGGGCAAGTGGAAATCCGTAAAGTGGGGAAACTAAGGGAAGTGCTGTTTCCCAACGTATGCTTTTCCTGTTTTCCTGTGGCAGAAATTCCCATTTGTGGCATCGCGACTTAGAGATGAGACATCGGTGCCGCGTAACTTTTTATACCCTTCCCTTGGGTCGAACTCCACCTGTTCTAAGGTGGAATTAGCCCACCGCCTTTAGTTGTCCATTTGGAAGGTATACAGACAAGCAATGGCTTCTGTTCCAAGCAGAATTAAATATCTGTGCGATATACTCCCGTTCAGCTAGACTTGAGCATACAATATAAGTACCATAGAGGGCAGGGCATCGGCTCTTCGCCTTGTTTTGTTGAATTGTTTTGTTTTTAAGTTGACACCACCATCCCCTCCCTGACCACTCGAGCGATTGGTGTGATTCATACTAAATTTTAAGTCAGCGTTTTTATATTTTAATTAACAAGAAGTTGCGGTTTAGCTTTAGCCACATAATTAGAACTCTAACTGGCCAAAGATCACTAATGCCGCCCCTGTAAAGATGGTTTAAAGCTGATAAGCCCCCAAGGGCCTTAGGATTCCCATAAAATGTCAAGGGGTACTGCTTTTGGGGCCACCTTATCAAGGGGTAGGCGAGTTATTTTCGCCATTTCCGTAATTGAACATCAATATGAAGAGTCAATCGGAAATCGCCATATGTTTGCTTTCAAGTAACCCGGCGCCACCTTTTGATTTATTATTCACAGAGATCGGCATGACTAACGATGAGATTGCGGAGCTGATTTAAATGGAAAACTTTAAAAACAACAACGGGCCCAGTCTGGTGATAACGACAAGAGCGAAAACTAAACTAACAATTGCATGCGACGCGCTAAAGAAATGCGGAGAGTGAAAGCGACGCAAAATCGCCATTAGAAGCAGGTGGATAGTGGAGAGCGGCTTTCCAAACGAAAGATCTCCGGATCGTAACGTCATGAATGAGCCTTCCATCATGGATCGCTCTTGCATGGACAGCATGCAAAACATGGACAACATGCAGATGCAATGGCACCAAGATCAAAGCATGGGCCTCCCCCTGATGGATGTGACGGGGCAGGAGCTTAACCACAGGTTCTCCGTTGACCTGTGGCGGAACGAATGGCCCGAATACGTTAATTTAATCTGCATGCTGCCCAATGCCTTCCTCACAGTACTCACCACCCACTCAACGACTTCCATCAGGGACATAAAGGTGGAGCTGGTCCAAATAGCAAAGCAGATGCCATTGGGGGAGTTGATCAAAAACGCCTGCGACTATCAAGTGTATGGCATCTCAACGTTCAACATTGAACCGTATATTGATGAAACTAAACGCATATGCGAAGTCCAGCCATATTTTGGACTGATACGCCTGAGCGATCGGACTGATGACACTAGCTTCTCTAGCGACTATGAGCTGGCCAAGTTGGTCAGCGGCATGATCGGCAAATCCTTCGACCACCATCGTACGCTGGGCACGCCCGAAATCGACGACTTCCGACTAAACATGACGCAGATCTGCGACAACATTGAGATGGAACGGTCCTTGTACACTTGGCAGCAGTGGCTGCTATACGAGTACCCCCTGAGACTGGCCAACTCAACAAAGATGCCCCATCTCATACGCGAAAGGCATCCAACGCGCACCTTCCTGATCGTGGTGAAGAACGAAAATGATCCGAGCACATTCACATTATCCGTAAGCGAACAGGACACACCGTTGTCGCTGACGGAAAGCTCACTTCAAAAGATGAACCGGTCGCAGATGAAGATGATCGACCGCGCCTCAGACTACATACTCAAGGTTAGCGGCCGGGACGAGTATCTTTTCGGAGACTACCCGCTAATCCAGTTCCTGTACATCCAGGAAATGCTCTCAGACACAGCGGTGCCAAATGTGGTGTTGCAGTCGATATACCGACTCGAGCCTTACTTAAACCACAGCAATGATCAGAAAATGGTGCCGAGGCGGGTGCCGCCCAAGAAGAAGTACGCTATAATGCCGAAGGCACCAACATCGCTTTGGGACATGGGGAACTACTTCCAGTTCACGTTGCACAGCATTGCCAATGTGAACTACGACAAAACGCGAGCCCTTAAGGTCGGTGTGCATGTGGGCCTGTTTCACGGCGAGCAGCAGCTGTGCGCCCAGCGAACGTTCGACGCGCCCAACAGTGGCTCGGATACGTTCTCCTTCAACGATCTGGTGATAAGTTTTGACATTCAAATGCGCAACCTGCCCCGAATGACACGGCTCTGTATAGTGATCTTCGAGGTGACGAAGATGTCCCGTTCGAAGAAGTCATCCAACAACAAGGACAACTCCTTGAAGGACGTCTCCTACAACAAGAACCCACTGGCCTGGGTAAACACAACACTCTTCGACTATAAGGATAACTTGCGCCGCGGCCACCATACGCTCTACACATGGACGTATGCGGATGACATCCAATCGGACGAAGTTTTCCATCCGCTGGGGACCATCGAATCGAATCCACGCAAGGAGGAGTGCGCCCTGTTGCATCTCACATTCCACAGCAACGGAACGGGATGCGTGCGTTACCCCAGCGAGGAGGCTGTGCTGCAGTTCGCTGCTGATCGCGCGGCAGCTAGTCTGTGGGAAGCTCAGCTGCAGCAGCCACAGAAACTGACGGAAAACCCTCTCAAGATGCTTAAGGATCTTCTGGCCAACTACTCGGGCCTGGATAAGATCTACGAAATGGTCGACCAAGATCGCAATGCCATTTGGGAGCGAAGGTTAAATTAAAACTCTTCACTTTTTAGAATCTTCTAAAATTTCCATAATTTTCAGATATGACATTATGCGAGAGTTGCCTGAAGAGCTTTCCATTCTGCTGCACTGCGTCTACTGGAAGGAGCGCGACGATGTGGCAGACATCTGGTATCTTCTAAAGCAGTGGCCCCTCATCTCAATTGAACGGTCTCTGGAGCTGCTTGACTATGCTTATCCCGATCCGGCGGTACGACGCTTTGCTATCCGGTGCCTGCAGTATCTCGAGTAAGACACCCTCACAATCTTGAGTACTTGATCCGACACTATATTTAACCTATTTTCGCAGCGACGAGGACCTGTTGCTTTACCTCCTTCAACTGGTGCAGGCCATCAAGCATGAATCTTATCTGGAGAGCGATCTGGTAGTGTTCCTGCTGGAGCGAGCACTGCGCAATCAGCGCATTGGGCACTACTTCTTCTGGCATCTGCGCTCCGAGATGCAAACGCCTTCCATGCAGACCCGGTTCGGCCTCCTATTGGAGGTCTACCTGAAAGGCTGCAAGCATCACGTGGCGCCACTGCGGAGGCAGTTGCAAGTGCTGGAAAAACTAAAGCACAGCTCTGTGATTGCCAAGAAAGGCAGCAAGGAGAAGGTCAAGTCGTTGCTGCAGGACTTTCTGCGAGATCAACGAAACACTGGAATCTTCCAAAACATATTAAATCCGCTGAATCCTAGCTTCCGCTGTAGTGGCGTTTCGCCAGACAAGTGCAAGGTAATGGACAGCAAAATGCGTCCCCTTTGGGTGGTGTTTGAGAATGCGGACAAGACCTCCAACGAAGTATGCATCATCTTCAAAAACGGCGATGATCTGCGCCAGGACATGCTTACGCTGCAGATGTTGCGGGTCATGGATCAGCTATGGAAACGAGATGGGTAAGCAATATATCTATAATTTTATATTATAAAATCTATAGTTTTCTTTCCGTAGTATGGACTTCCGCATGAACATCTACAATTGCATCAGCATGGAGCAACGCTTGGGCATGATCGAGGTGGTCCGCGACGCCGAGACTATTGCCAACATCCAAAAAGAGAAGGGAATGTTTTCGGCCACGGCAGCATTCAAAAAGGGCTCCCTCTTCAGCTGGTTGAAGGAGCACAATCCGAACCCAAACAGTCTGAGCAAGGCCATCAACGAGTTTACGCTGAGTTGCGCCGGATACTGTGTAGCTACATATGTTCTTGGCGTGGCCGATCGTCACTCCGACAATATAATGGTTAAGAAGAATGGACAGGTTCGTATGAGAGAATAAGCCTACAAATATAGCTTACCAATACGGTTTGGTTTCAGCTCTTTCATATCGACTTTGGCCATATCCTGGGACATTTCAAGGAAAAGTTTGGCGTGAAGCGCGAGCGTGTCCCATTTGTGTTGACTCATGACTTCGTGTACGTTATCAACAACGGCTGCAACGATCGCGAGGCAAAGGAATTTTGCCACTTTCAGGACTTGTGCGAGAGAGTATGTGTCTGCTTGATAGACCTTTCATCCACTCTAATATGTACTATTTCCAATCTTCTAGGCCTTCTTAGCTTTACGCAAACACGGCTGCCTTATTTTATCGCTGTTCTCAATGATGATTTCAACGGGACTGCCAGAACTGTCCTCCGAGAAGGACCTGAACTATCTGCGTGAAACTTTAGTATGTCTTGCACTGATTTATAGTTAAATATAAGTCTAATTGGATTTTATTTTATTGTTTAGGTTCTCGACTACACGGAGGAGAAAGCACGTGAACATTTCCGGGGAAAGTTCAAGGAAGCTTTGGCCAACTCCTGGAAGACTTCCCTCAATTGGGCCTCGCACAACTTCTCCAAGAACAACAAACAGTAAACAGACAACTGAATCGACTTAAAAATCTTAGCAACACACAACCCCATTCTCACGCACACAACCGCTCACCCAGTCTAAGTGGATCCACCTTTCGTTTCTGCCTGCCTGCCTTTTCGTGCCTCTGGGACAGGCGTAGTACAATTTTTTATCCAATTCATAAAGTTCAAAGCTATGTGTTCACTATGTTAGGCCGAAATATACAAAAACGAAAAACTACACACCCCCCACACACACACATACTACACACAGGCAAACCCCCTTGACCTGATAATGTCTAGCTGATAATGTCGTCCCCATAAGTGCTCCAATATAATTTACTGTTTAATTTTGTAAATTTACATATGTGTACGTGTATACCAACTATTGTAACTTAAATCATTTAGTATCCCCCCCCGTCGTGAAGTGACCCTTGGACCCTGAAATTGTTTTGTTGTCTATTTTGTTGTTGTTTCAACACCTTCACCCGTGCACACTCGGGCATACATGTGCAAAAAATTGTATCCTATTATGCTATATTAATTTAAGAGACATTAATTCACTAAGTTTACAATTAACGGATTGATGAATAGCCCCAGATTATAATTATTTGTGTACTATAATTTGTGTCTGCCTCTGTTGCCAGCAACAAGACATCAGCATGTTCATGTTTTCCGGTTTCTTTCAATAATGTTATCTAATATTTGTAACGTATTTTGTAAATCACTGGATAATTACAATTAAATGAAACAATATAAATACAAAAACCGAACGAATGTATACAATTTAATCGAAACGTGAAGAAATATAGATACACAGTGTGCTTCTATGTTTACCCATAGACTGTATTTGTCACCGAAATTGTTTTATTTTCCCCAAAGGGATATGGAAACTGATCCACCAGGAGCCCTTCCGACCATAATGAAAAATTCATTAAATAGTTTTCATACATTTAGTACATGTTTTTCATTTTTATTGACATCAAGTATTTAGTTTCAGTTTATATATACCTATATAAAATATATTTGTTTAAAATTAATTTTGTTTCCGTTACTTTACATACATTCCAACATCAAGAGATGCAGCATTATGCCATCATAACTTTAAAACCCTTTATTTTCATTCACTTTTTGTCAATATATTTGGGGGCTATGCCAACAGCAGCTCCCCCCAATAGACATCAGACATCAGCCATCGATCGATATTTAAATTATAAACACTATATGTTTCAATAAAACAAAAACGTCGTACACAGTACCGTTGTAAAAGTAAAAATAAAATAATAGATCCTAGGCGCATAGCTAGCTAATCAGTAGGTAATAAAAACCGTATGGAATTTTCATCGAAATTTTATTTATATTCGTTTACGTTCTCTAAAATGGTTAAATAGCGCAATTGTGCAACATCTTCTTGACCTCTGACCTCTTATGGAATCCTTTCGATTTTCATTCATTCTGTCTACTGTCTATTCTGTTACAAAATATACAGTATTCTCCATTAAATCGTTTATAAAAATATTTATATTTAATATATTGGTTATTTCTCTTTTTTTAATTTTTTCCCTTTCTCTTTTTACTTTGATGTTTTTGTAAAAATACTGTATTTACAATTACAACTATTTACTTACACTTTAACGTACCCAGTAAATATAAATAGTCATTTCGTTTATGTATAAATAATTTAGAAAATATGAGAAACCGCGTTTTGTTTTTGTCTTTTTTGCATTTAGGAATATGTTTTTTTTTTTCGTTTATTTGTATCAGTTTCGGTTAGAATTTGTCTGCTTAGGATTTTCCTTCCATTTTCCATTAGTATAAATATAATTTATATGTGAATTTTGTACATTTTCATTTGTTTTTTGATTGGGCAGCATGACAGTGGATTTGCACTAAGCAAAGTTATACAACATAAATTTTAGTTAGGGTTAATTATGAATTTAATTGTAAAGTTCAACATTAGATCTGCTTAGAGCTCTCTAAGATTGCCCATTACAATTTAAAAATTGAGGGAGGGAGAAACTCAGTGAGTTTCAAAACATTCAGTCGACTCATTGAGCTTCTCGGATAAAAATAAGGTAAAACTTGAATGGAATGTTGGCTTCTTTGAATTAATTCAGAAGAAAAACATTCGTAATTAATTCAAAAAATTAATTCCCAGTATTGTTAACAATCGTATATAATTGTATATAGTCTACTTAATACAAAAGGCTGTCGTTTTTGCTCTTTTGGACCTCGTTACTTTTTACAGTAAAAACACTTTAGTTTCATAAATTGGATGTCTTCTTTTTTGTATTTTTTTTAAATATTTTAAATTTGTATCCCTAGTTTTCTTTCCACTTCAAAAGGCACTAGCTGTTTTATAAAAATCTGTTCATGTATCTTTGTTTAAATATACTTTAAAAAGTTGGATCGATAGCTAAGTATTTTTTTTTTCTAAAAAAAATTCAGGTTCAGTCTGTTTCAAGGAAATGTTTTGATGAAAAAAACGTAACTCTTTTTTTTTATATTTCGTTTGAGATTCTTCAAGACGTACAAGTCATAGAATAAAATTCCTTTTGCATATTAAATATGTTTGTCGAAAATTCCATTACTCAACTGATTGTATAAGAAAGTTTGGAACGGGGTTAGAACATGGTTGAGTTTATCAGTTTTCTTCGTAATTATTTCTGGTTACTTTTCGAAAAATCCGGCCTTAATCGCGAACCTAGGAGTAGACTTAGGCTAAAACAATTACACTAAAACTAAACTAGCAGCGAAACTTATTAAATAATATTACGTGTACTTGAATGTCGTCTTAAGCGCTACTAGTGCGGTAAAGTACTTAACTCGATGGTGGCCCAGAAACTGGGGCAGCTGGGGCGTGTGTGTCTCAGTGCTTTGACAGATTCAGTGGTAAGTCTGGGTGCGAAATTATCGGATTAAAATGAGGTCTATTGCAAGGCTGTGGAACTCACCTGAACTTTGTTCATTCCTTAGGCTACTATTATGAAACATTGCTGAGGAGCTGGCGCCGGCGGCGGCCACCGCTGAGGAGGCTGATGCACTCGAGCTGGTCGGCGAAGTGGAGGCGGTGCGATGACTGGACGCTGCAGACATTTGCTCGCTACTACTATCAGTCAGTTTTGGCGTGGCCAGATGAGCGGGAGTATGGGAGTGGGCGGTTAATGCGGCCGGGTGCGGATGCGGATGCGGTTGCTGGTGCGGATGGGCCAGATGGGGATGGGTGTGAGGACTGGGAGCGGGCTGGCCGAAAGCCGCGGCTGCCGCAGCTGCCATTGCAGCGGCGCCCACTCCATTGTAGCCGAACGCCGGCGGATGTGGTGGCATTAGTGCTCCTCCCGCCGGGTAGGGATGCATCCACATTGGAGTGTGCCTCAGTGCTGCTAAAGTTGATATGAACGGATGGTACAATGATGGGGGTGCCACCGAAGGAATGTAGCTTGCTGCGGCTGCAGCAGCCGCGTGCAGAGCGTTACTGCCAGCCGATGCTGGCGCTGTGCCGGGACTCGCTCCAGAACTATTTCCATTCACCTGCGGCGGCGGCGGGTACATGTAGTAGTGCAAGTGCTGCTGCTGCTGTTGCATGAGTCGTCTGTCGGGCGGCGAGGCGCTCCGGTCACCGGGTGACGGGCAGCTGCTGCTGCTAGCCGAGGGAGAGGCGAATTCGCGGCGGATCGAGGCAGTCTTCTTGGGCACGGTGCGCGGCGTGGTGGCGGGCGAGGCTGACGAGGAACGTGGTGGCGACAAGTCTTGGGATGCCGCCCGGCCCACACCTGCTCCCGCATAGGGATCTCTGTAGAACGAGTGCCCGTAGTCCACGGGCAGGGGCGAGCCTGCCGAGTACGGTGGCGACCGTTTCTTTGCTCCGGCATGTGAGGGCGATTTTCCACCTCCGTTGCTGCCGCTCATGTCCGGTGACTTCGGGGGATAGCTCGAGGTGCTTGCCTGGTACAGAGAATGATGCGGCTGGTGCACATTACTGATAATAGCCGCCGGATGGTCGTTGTTCTTCTTGGAGGCACCCGTTGAGGAGGAGGATGAGGAGCCGCCACTACCACTGCTCCCGCCCAGCAACGAGTGGATGCTATAGGAGCTGTTCAGTCGAGTTGGCTGCGCAGCCGACGCTGGCGCAGCTGGCGAGGTGTTGGAGGAGCTTGCACTGGGGCTGGGTTTTCCTTGGGGCGGGGCCAAGTTTATCGGCGCCGACTTGCCAGCTGGTGACGACGTCGATGCCTTGGCGCGACTTCGCTTGCCACCAGCGCCGCCGCTGCTGCCACTGCCCCCGCTGCCATTGTTCGCGCATCCATTGTCCTCCAGCGAAACCTTCTCGAACTCGCGAAGGATGCGTTTTCTGGGTGACACATGCTGGTGATGGTACTCCACCAGGCGACTCGCTGTTGCTGCCGATGAAGGCGGAGAAACCTACAAAGATAACATGATGGAATCATATGAATAAGTTAAAGGGGTTATGTAGACTAGCCCTCAGGTCTAGCAGGATAGTCCTAGTCACCTTGTGGGGCAATGAGTGGTTTAAACTGGCCACGGGTCCACCGCCTCCGCTTCTCTCCGCTGCTGCCGTCGCAGCTGCTGTCGTCATGGGGGTCTTGGACATTTGCTCCAGACGGGCTGGGACGCCGTCGATCAGTTTCTGGATTATGCTGCTAAGCTTGGCCCGCGCTTTCGGCTTTGGCGTGGCCTGCTTTCCAAGTTTCGACTTCAAATCGCCGTTGAGGTCGCCATTAACGGGCTTAGTCTCAACCGCGACTTCGTCGTCCTCGCTCGTGTTCATCTTCTCGACAGTCTCATCATTTGCCTCTGGCTCGGTCTTCACAGTGGGCGGCACTTCATCTGACTCGACACTCTCCTTAACCTCCGGCTTGACGTCCTTAACTTCCAATGTACCATCTTCCTCGGTTTTGATCGTTTCTGATTCTTCAGTTTTAATCTCATTTGCAGAAGTATCCGCATCTCCGCCACCTGCAACATCCTCGGAGGCTTCTGCCTTAAGCGTTTCGTCGCCGCTGTCCGTTTTGGCCGCTGACTCGAAGATGGGCTCCTCGCTGGCGGCGAGCGGCTCGTGGGGTCGTCGGCGCTTGCGAATGGCTGTCTGGAGAGCGGCCTTTCCGAGCACACTGTGCCTGGGGCGGCGGTAGTATAGAGACAGTTCCTTGGAGATGCCGCGTCGGGGGCGGGACTGCTTCCAAGGCTGATCTCTCTGCCACGGCGAAGATTGTATTGAGCTGTTGTCATCCGAAACTAGAATTAAAGGGTTTACAATCGAAAGCTCGAATATTATTGTTTTTCTTATACTTTTTCCAAAGACAACTTACAGCTCAGCGATGTGGAATTCTCGTTCTTTGGATAGGCTGTGGCCACGGCCGATGTCGGCGTCACAGTCGCCGAGGTGGCTGCGGAGGGTGGGCGAAAGGTTTTACGCGTCACCGAAACCCAGCCGCTTTTATCGCCGTCCTTGGAGCGTGCCAGTTCCAATATAAACTTGCCATCTAAGTGGGGTTGAGAATTTTCGACATTAACTCTATCATCGACCGGAAGTGAGACTTAATCTTAAACTTGCCTTTAAAGAACTGCAAACGGCCGCCGTAGCCAGTCGAGCTGTTGTTGCTGCTGTGCGTCGATATCGGATGCCTGCCCATATCAAATCCGCTGCTGCCGGAGCTGGAACTGATCCCGCTGCTGGTGCTACCCTTGCCGATCTTCACTGCACCCCCGGCAGTGGGCGGCAGAGATGCGACTGCGGCCACAGCAGCCGCTGCACCCAAGGAACTGTAGTCGAGAACACCGCCCAGTACATCCACGGGACTGGGCTTCGGGCCGGGAGCTCCCACAAGGGCTCCGACGCTAGACGCGGCTGCCATCGCAGCGGAGGCCGCCATGGCTGAGGGGCTACTTCGGCTGGAACTGGCGCTATTTCTTCTTTCTGGCTTTCCCGACGGCTGTGTGCTAGCATGCGGCAAAAATCCATTGGAGGGTGTGGTGCTGGTGGAGGAGCTTGAGGGCGTTGTGCTCAGATTGGCGGGCAGGGGTGGCGGTGGCGCAGGAAAGCTGCCGTTTAGACCATTTTTTAGCAAAAATTTGGCTGCCGCCTCTGCAATAATGGTGCTATTGTTGTTGCTTTCGTTGTTGCCGTTGCCGTTGCTGCTGTTGTTGTTGTTATTATTGTTATTGTTGTTGCTGTTGCTATTGCTGTTGCTGTTGCTCGTACTGTTACTGTTAATGTTACTTTTATGCTCATCGGTCATTGTTGTCTGTTGCACTCTGTTACGCTTGTGACGTCATTTAGACTGGGCCTTCAAAGAGAAACATTGCAATTTTCGATTTGCGATCTCTCGAAATTTTACAGTAATTCGCATTTCCGATTCCGATCGGTGGTCGCATGCAATTTAAATACCATATTCATTGTTTTTGTTGCTGTCGCTTTAGCTGTTGCTGTTTTTGTTGTTGCTGTAAATTCCTCACAGTCGCGCAGAGTCCGCGGCCGGGGAAAAACGCGTCGACGGCGTCGCGCACCAAAATATGCCAGCTCGGCACGGCGTTGGGAGCGTCTTGCACCATTTTCATGTTTTGAGGCAGGAACCGAACCGAGCCATTTGCACTAATGCACACATACTCTTATTGAAACATTATTTGATTTAAGGCTGGATCTTAATGGGATTTCACGGGCACGCAAATCGCTCTTTGCTGGCTGCATACGGCGAACCGAAGGGGAGCGGGGGGCAGCGCACAAAGAGAGCGAACGAAGTGGAGGAAAAGGAGGAGATAAAATGGAAAAAACGAAACGAAAACGTTCTCCAATTACCGTCAGCAGATAGCGATATCCGATGGTGCGCGAGCAGGGCGGTGGACCGAGGTAGCCCGGGCGGGATAAGCAGGCTTAATTTTGCGCTCAGTTTCGAGCTAATAAACTAATAAATAAATTTAAAAATTATCAACGAAAAACGCAACGGTGCGCTGTGTGACCGGATTTGTACCTAACTTAGTGTAACCAAGAACCTATACAAATTTTGTACCTTTGGATTTTTTTTCCGTTTTTTTTCGATATTTGTTTGGTATTTTTCTGGCGCACCGTGCCAGAGCGCTCTTCAACGGTGTAGCCAGAAAAAAATATCGAAATTTGAATTTAAATATCCTTCTGTCATCTGGCAACACTGTCGGCTTACCGTATTCGTTTGAATCTTCGCGCCAAGAAAATGACCAATTTCAAGTTTAAAAGGTAAAAAGAGCATAGAAAGTCAAAAATAGAATTTTTGTAGAATAAAATATTTTATTTATTAAGTCCGGAAGGTAAACATTAAGCGATATTATATTACGGTAGTACCCACGACTCCGATGGGTTAAATACTTATGGTTGAAGTGTCTTTTTATTGCGTTTAATACTGTTTGCTATCGAATTATTCGAATTACTCGTAATTTTAATGTGAGCGCTGGCGAAATAAACAATAAATATATATTTAAATAGCCTTTGCATGCGAAATACAACCTGCTTCTCCTTCTCCAGCTTCTTAAAATTAAACACAACTCTTTCCCCTGCTCATCTGCTGTTAGTGCAAATCATAAGACATCTTAATCGCCTAAATTGCCGGTTATTAGTAGGTGATAATATTACATAGCTATATTCAAGTTACTTTTTGATATGGGCGAAAGGTCGTCGATTGCACGAGAATGGCTAAGAATAGATGGTTATTACATAGATATTGCACAAAGTAAATCGTAAGACTGTCACACAACATAATAAAAAAAAATTTAGTCCTGCTCCTTGTCGCCAACATAATTTAAATATCACAGACGTTTTGCCAATTGTTTAACTAATTTGTCATTTTGCTTGTTAATTTTGCTTGCCGAAACGGGGAAAACACAGTGTGATGAAGACGAAATCAAAATCAGGATCCACCTCGTCCCGATTCCTTTTTAATATGTACCTAAGTGTCAGTCAAATGTGAAAATGAAATCAAGTCTTGCGTTGAACATGGCACATAATTGATAAAAGGAAATCTTGAGCCAAGTCTACTGGGGTGAACTACTGTCCTTATCCTTTAAATATGTATATATGTATTAGTGTAAATACTAAGGGCCCTCAAACTGCTCTGGAGGAAGGTTATTCAAGGGATATCAATAGGTAACCGTCAGACTACCGCCTAATGCATGTTGTCCACTCTGCCCGGCGGCAGACCCAAAGCCGCACTTAGGTTGAGTCCCGGAGGAACACCCACGCCAACGCCCACTCCGACTCCAGCGCCCACGTTGCCCTCGCTTTCGCTCTTCCAGGAGGAGACAGGAATATGAGGAGCCGGCAGGCAGTTCCGCAGCGTCTGCACGATTTGAATGGTGTCCATGAGGGCTGCAGGGGGAGCACAAGGGAGGTGGTCAGTAACACTCACTATCTGAGATTGCAGACAGACACAAAAACCGGTTGTTCGACTTGGTACTCACTCTTTTGCAGACTCTCGCTCTGCTTGCCATAGGGCTTGCACATCGAGGGTCGTATGTAGGTTTTCATCCGCGACATGTTCCGCATTAGCTCCGCAAAGATCCTCACTATCTTGTCCTGGCCCACGGCCATGTGGTCCACACGATTGGCATCGCTGGTGGCCCAAGCCCCATTATGCAACGCCAGAAGATCCTTGTTGGACTCAATTGAGTCCAAATTGGAACTAGAATTAAAAAAATATTATAGGATGATGAAAAATATAAAACATGGGTAAAATTAAGACTTACCGCAAAGATTCCGCCACGTTCTTATGGGTGATCTGCTCCAGAGAGGAGTGCGAGGAAGACGAGGACGACGAGTGCGGCGACTGGGATGGCGGCGGCAAAGGATGGTGGCCATGATGGGCCTGCGACCCGCCACCAACTCCGGACCCACTTGCCGTAGATGAACTGGTGGCAGACAGTGAGGACGTGGGCTGGTTGGCGGCCACGGCGGCAGCTACTGCTTGCGACTGCATGAGGCCCTGAATTTGGAGATTTGCTGCAGCAGCTGCCACGGCCATTGGATCAAAATGCTTGGGGTCCAGCTGAGCGAAGACACGTTGCTTCTCCAGGGGGCTCAGATTGCTCAGCTTCTCGAGACTTTGTTGGGCAAGGACGCGGTTTTGTTGCTGGATCAGCGCAGCAGTCAGTTGCTGCTGGTGCTTCGCTTGCGCCTGAGCCTGTTGCTGTTGCTGCTGTTGTTGTTGTTGTTGCTGCTGCTGCTGTTGCTGTTGTTGGTGATGCACTGCAGCAGCACTGATCTGGGATAGCTGCGTCTGAATGCTGTTCTGCTGCTGCTTGGTGAGATGCTGTAGCTGGGGTGGCACCGGCACCTGAGGAACCTTTCCACCTGTCGACTTGGATAAATCAATCTCCACGTTCCCTGAACTAGCACTGCTCCCTACACTGGATGCCGAACCAGCGGCCGAGCTGGCTCCAGGAGCTCCGCTGGGAGGCAGGTGGGATAGACGCTGCAGAAATTCGGGGGTGTTTACTCCTGGATACTGTTGTTCCATAAACGGCATAGGTGAGATGCCCATATGGTTCTTGTAATAACGACAAGCGGGACTCGGGCACGACTGCACCACCTCGATGATGAATTCCTTCTCCATTCCGAACTGATCTCGCCCAATGGTGTACGACTCAATGACAGCCCTTACCGTGGCATCCACACTCAGGTGAAGGCCATGGGGTCCGGACATGTGCTTCAGCATCACCGCATTCGCAAAGTGCTCAAAGGGTAGAACTATCTTTCCGTTATCCCGCAGGATAAGGCGTCCCTGGGAGTCTAAGGTGAGACGGTTAGCTAGAACTCTGAAAATATATACATTTATAGAAAAATATTTAGTGGTAGACTATTACTGTCTACTTACTGCAAATAGGCGGCGCTGGGTAACATGGCATTATCCTTGAGATCGCTGAAGCACTGCAGCAGTTCCGCACTCGGATTCCAGCCCTTGTTTTGCAAGTATAGCTGCAGCAGCATGTAGAGCTTCTCCGTTACATAGCCCACCCCCGGCACCCCGGCATTTGGCTGCGGAAGCAAATCTCCGCCTGGCATGCCGCCTCCGCCGCCGGGTCCCTTGGACAGAGCTGCCTTCATCGTCTCGGACAGATCCAATTTGTAGTTTTCGGGGTAAAAGTGCTTGACGTGCTCCTGCAACGAATGAATGATATACACACATTTACACTCTCAGACACTTGCATGGCACACAGACACACCCCTGCCCACCCCCTGGCACCCACTCGCCTTACCAAATTGTTCATCTTTGGCTGGAAGTGTAAATCAGCCAGACATTTTAATCTGCAAGTCTTCGCCGGAGCATCCTGCTATCGAGTCACTACTGGGCTGGAGCCTGGATAACTGGCGGGCACGGAATGGGGAAAAAAAACTGTATGTGTCCGCCGTCTAATTGTGTTGTCCTTGCAAGGAGGTTGGGGGTTGGGGGAGTCCAGCAGTGTGACCGTCAAGTTTGCAGGGTAAATACCTCAAAGCTTAGATCCAAGTGGTAATTTTAATTTTTTTGTTGTTTTAATTAAAAAACTTTTAAATTTAGCCAAAAAAAAAAACATTCATGAAAGCTTTATTTTGAGTTTGGTCCAAGCTTTGTATAAATCGCTGTGCAATTAATATTTAAAAAATTGTGTGTTACCATATCCTTGCCATTTTGTGCAGCGCTACCAGACTGTCAGTTTAAATTTGACCGTTAAAAGCTTACATTTTGTTTCTGAAATTAATTTAATTTTGTAACTTAAAGTTAAACACTAAGATTGACTTTGATTTTCTATAAACATAAATTTAAAATTGTTCGTTGTCCTTATTAGTAGTATCTTATACCGGCTTATACAGCTGAGTCGTTTAGGATTTACAATCTTTTGTCAAATTTTCTTGAGTATATTCTTCAATATGTGGAAAATTAATAGGAGGGACAATATGGCTATCATGGGCTACATTTTTGCCAAAACACATTAAAGGAATACCTTAAAAGATTTTTAGATAGATTCTCCACCAATCTGAATCAAAGCCTAGAAACACATATTTTTTTTGAAGTTTTGCTTAATTTTCGGGAGGGTCCCCTTCAAAATGGAGAAAATGCATAAAAAGACACAATGGCATCCTGAAAAGGGTTAATAGGATCATATCTTTGCCAAAACTCACCTGCATCCTTAAAAGATTTGCAGATCTATTCTTCAAAATTTTGTATCAAAATCTTAGATTTTAGATATTTTAGATATTATGTCAAATTTTCTGGAAGATCCCCTTCAAAATGGGGAAACTACGTGGAAGGGACAATATGGCCCACAGAGAAGGCTATATCTATTCCAATTTACATCGGATTTATGAGAGGAATACCTTAAACGAATTGTAGAATTCGTATTCGATTCTCCAACAATCTGCATCAAAACCCACAAACAAAATATTTTTTAAATTTTTTGTAACATTTTCTGGGTATCCCCTTAAAAATGTGGCAAATGCATGGGAGGAACTAAATGGCTCCCATCAAAAGATACATCTTTGCCAAAATTCATCAGAATATTAAACGGAAACGGATCGATCCTCCATAAATCTGGGTCATAAAATATAAACCAGTTTTATTTAGGATTTTTCGTCAAATTTTCGTGCGAATATCCCTTAAAAAACCCCAAAAAGGGATAGAAGGGCAATTTTGCCACGTCAAAGTTTGCTTGAACCTTTAATAATTTAAAGATATATTCACTTTTAATTTGCATCGATGCCTACGACAAAATTCTTTTCATTTTTCCCATATCAAGTGTTCAATCGTATGCAAAATACCTGGAAAGTAATGATTGAAATCATAATTTACTGCACGCAACACGGTGAATTATAAAAGTAGCCACAAATAGGGTCTTGCGACAATTCCAGGGCGCAAAATGTCTCAGGTTATTACCAGAACTTTGCTTGACCTCTTCACCTGGCAGGGAAGAAACCTCCTTGGCCCACCCCAACGTATAATGGCCATTTTGCATGCGTGCCCGGCACATTTCCTGGGGTTGGAATGGGTAGCTATGGCAACATTGCGCCCACCTTAGGTCCTCGACTTGTTTACTTGCCTCCTTGGTCGTCCTGGGGGCGATTGCAGCTGCAATCGATGTGACTCGGTTCAGTTCCCATTTGAATTTCGCCGCAAACAGCCAGAACCTAGAATACGACGATGTGCTTCCCACGGGTCAACAATTGGATCTTTCTCCTTCTATGGCTAGCTGTGCTTCTCCACCTCGGAAACGGCTCGTTGCCCACTCCCAGTCCAGTATCACCCGCACAGGTGCCAACGCCACACACATTCCGCTTCCAGAATCCCCAGCAGTGCCTCAAGAATGAGTACTACAACCTCAACCTCTTCGACTGTGCCCCGTGCAATGAGGTGGGACTGGGTCATGGTGATGGGGGCTTGGAGAAACTGCAGCCAGACAGTAAGTATTGATCAAACAGGACTCAGATGGAAGGTGTTCCAAAAAAAAGAAAGAAGTGCATATAAGAAGTAATTTAGTTCAAATTTTGTAGAATGATAAGATGGCGTGATTAGAAATTGTATTTCACAAAAATTGCAGTCATTATTAAGGTCATCCTATCATTATTAATTTCATGTAGATATTATGATAATATATATTGTCTAGTCTCCTAGATTATCCTCATTTCCTAAAACTTTTCCAGAATTCTCTTGCAAATGTCCCATTGGCCATTTAACCATCTACGAGCGGGGCAAACAGTGGCCCACCTGTGATGAAATCTGTACTCCGGACAGGAGCGACAACTGCACTTCCGTGTGGCTACCTCAGCCGCGTCCCTCCTCATCGGTCTGCACTTATCGGTACCTGAATGCCACGTCCGTTTTCGCCAGCCAGCTGCCAGTGCATCCTATTATTACGGGAATTATCCTGACCAAGACGAATCCGTCCTCCCAAGAAGGAGACTGTCGCACTTGCGATCTTAACTACAATTTCCGCTTTCAGGACTTTTGTATAGCCAGCACTCTGCTCCGCCCGTATATGCATTACAATTCCTTTTTGCAAGCCACATCCAATGCTCCCTCCAACTTCGGTGACCTTAAGTTTGTGGCCTTCTTCTGTCTGACCCTGCGAAACGATACTGCCTGCCAGCATTTGGCGAATCTTTGCGTGCTGTCGCATTTCTCGCTGGAGAAGCATTCGCCGTGCAGCGCCTTTCTGCTCACCCAGGTCTCAGACGTGGTCATGAAGTACGCCCACACCGGGGAGCAGGCTCGGGCTCTGCAACCGTTCCTCTTCTACAAAAAAGGTCGCGTCACCAAGGAGCTGCTGTCGAAAACCCTTCAGTTGGCAGATCGCAAGGATCTGCGCCTCTTCAGCACCACCTTTGGATTGGGTGGAAATCTTAAGCGTTGGGGCTCCTTCGACCTGGAGGCTGTGAATCTTTGTCAGCAGGAAGCACCTTCCTTGCAGCTCTCCTTGCCAAAGGATAAGTCGGAGATTTCCTGTAGGTTGACTCTCGAGCGGCTCATAGATCTGGTTACTCAGCAGGACAACGATGAGTTCTTCACAGTGTACCTGAACTTTAGCAGCAACTGGCAGTTTCTGCTCCACCAACTGCCAGTGCTCATTGAAACCCTAACACCAGAGAATCAGGTGAGGATTTCATGAAGGGTTTATGGATTTACGGATAACTTTTCTTGTTTTCCAGCGAAATCAACCGGAAGAGTGGCAGTTGGTCAAGAGATTTCAACTCATTTCCGCCTCTCCACGAGACAATCGTCTCCAAAAGTCTTCAGTCCCCCGTTACGAGGATGCCCACAAGTTGCAGATGTACCGCTCCCTGCGCTATGTGGAGGATCTGGAGATCCATTACAGCGTAGACAAGGATCAGCCGGATAGAGTGGGCCTTCCGCTCATCCGGCTGCAGTATCGCCACATCGAATTGGGCACTGGAAACAGTTCCCTTTCCCAGTCCTATCCTTTCCGCTTAAGGATAAGCTATCAGCAAGTGAAACGAGGCTGGGAATGGTTAGTCCTGGAAGTGGCGCTGCCCCTGCTCTTGCTGCTGGCCCTTGCGGCTGCTGTCTTCCGCCTCCAAAATCTGCGAAGACGACGAAAGACCGACCTCTGTCAGATGAGCAGCCTGCTGGAATTTCTCCTGCATTTCGCCGGAAATGTGGCGTATGCATTATTGGGAACTGCTCTCCTGCTTCTCGTCCTGCAAACATCCAACGCACGGCTTCTGAAGTTACTCATTTATACTGCCTGCCTGCTTCAGTTCCTCTTCCTGGTCATCCACCTGTGGCGTTCCAGCCAGCTGGAGTTATTCCTCATCGACTGGGAGCGGCCGAGAAGCAGCTGCGAGGGCCAGCGCCTGAACCTGGACAGCTCTTCCCTATGCTCCAGTGTCCGCACTTTCGTGGCCGAGAGCAGTGTCTCCGCCTGGCGAGTCCTCTTCACGGCCAACGCCTGGATACGACTCAGTGTGAAACAAAAGTACTCCACCTTGGGCCAGGTGTTTGTCGCAATCGCTGCCTATCAGTTTCTTGATCGATTCACCCACGGGGAACTGGGTGGCCGCTGCTTCCTGATAGCCTCCTGCTACCTGCTCACCTATTTTCTGCAAGTGCTGGTCCATCGACTCCTGGTTGCCAATCCCCTTCAGAAGTTCATCGACCTCTGCAGTCTGGCCAACATATCTTTGTTCTCGTTGACTGAGCCGGGGTTTGGCTACTACATCCATGGCAGATCCCCGCATGGCTTCGCTGACACGGACATGTCCTCTATGATCCTGCAGCTGCAAAGGACCCAGACCATGTACGGACGTCGGGGATTACTCATGGACTCCGACAAGCAGGCATACATCATCCTGCCGCCCAGAAACTTGCAGTCAGTATTTGAATAGCATCTCATATGTGGAGGGGATTGACTCTTCTTTATATATCCCACAGTATCTACCTGGAGCGTCTGCTCCTGCCCTTTCAGCGCAGCCTAACCAGCAGTCTATCCCAGACGCTGCTCTACCAAAAGGACATGGTGCCCAGTGTGGATGGCCAAATGGAGCGTACTTCCATAGCCTATGCGAGTGTTAATCGCTTCTTCTGTGCCTTTATTGATCATGTAGGTTTTTAAGATCAATACCCCTATATAATACCTATAATGAAAGGCAATTGCAGGCCATCAAGGACATGGACTACATAATCAAGGAGAAGTCCTTTGTGGAGCAATTTCTAAACTGCGAAATCGATAACTATATTACTGAGAGTATGTTCCTTTCGACTAGTAGTTCATAATCCTTATAATCTCTCTCTTCAGATAAGGGAACTTTCTACATTGACGATTCCCTGAGCTTCTCCAGGGTGCTTCTGCTGGGAAATCATCTAAACATCTTTGTCCTGGAGCTACTTACTCTTCTATCCCTCTACCTGTTGACCACCAACTTCCTTATTGCAGCTGCTGGAGCTAGTATATTCAATATGGTTTGTTAGGAACTATAGCCAGATGTTAAAATAATCCTAATTATTTTCCAATTTTAGATACTAAGCTTTGTGTATCGATATTGGGTGCGCCGCAATGTCTCTCGAAAGACCCTCATCGACGAGAGATTCCTCTTGTAGCCCCAGGATGAAGAGCAGCACCTGAGGGAAGACGGTTTCTTTGCAATATGAAGGAAACATAGGGGATCATTTAAGGTTTGCCATTGGTTTTATTTCATAATCCACTCGATAGTAAGTAGTACATCCATATACAGAGGTTAATCTTTATCGTAAAACTTATAGACTAAAACAGATAAAATAATTTCCATAGTTTCACATTTAACATACAAACATACGCAGATGCTATGCATGATCTACTTTTTAAGAGTTTTCTTTTATTTTTTTTGTTTCTAGGATAGCACACATTGTCGTTCATTTGGGAACATCGTACATCGATTCATGCATGGCTATATAATTTCATGAATAGGTTTTCCACTTGTCGTCTCCATCGTGGCATTGATAGGATTAGCAGCCGTAGTTTACCATCTAGTTTTCGCCTATTTCTAGTAGTCCAGTGAGGATTATGTTCGTGTCTGTTCTTTGTGTCTTGCATTTGAAAGAGTTTATGAAAATATTTGTCATCTCGGATTTGGGTTAGGCTTTAGTTTAGATCCGTGATCGTAGACAACCGTACACACACCCATTTAAAGATACTTTTATATTGTATGTGTTTAATAGTCGATACTGTTCGGATAATGTGTATACTACATGTAAGGTTCACTATTTACATCGCCTTGGGGAGAGTCTGCGGACTCCATCTAATCGAATGGTAATCGTGAGAGTTACCCATTATATCTTACATCTACTGTATGCTATGACGTCAAACGTACAACATCCAAACATCTACGCTTTGCTTATCCGTAAGCTTTTAAGGTTTGATTCTTTCGCGAAACTTAGAAGGCTAGAGCGCGGCTAACTTATGGTGAAGGTCTTCTTAAGTGGTATAAGAATGTATGTGTCTCGGGGGTTGAGCGGGATGAGCCCGGAGGCCCAAACACTGATGGGTTGGATGGTTAGCGGTCAATAAATACATAGTATAACGTACATGAAAAATTCGAAGTGAACGGGGAAACTGAGCCACAGAAGCTAACTTAACAATAACTATTTTAATGAATAATGTTTAATTTGTTCATCTTATTGTTTTTGCTATCACAAAAGTAAATACAGTACAACTTCAACAGAGATGGGGCATGAAAGGATCTGCGAGAAGCCCAAATCGTTCAAATCAGGATGAGGATTTAGGATCTCCAACACGAACACTTAAAGTTAGTTTAAATCTCTACCGGGTCTCTACAAATAAAGTATACATATTCATATCGATATTTACGGATATTCAACACTTAGAATTTAGCTAAACTTATCGAAATCCATTTATTCCATTTTATGTAATAATAAAATCATATCAAATGACTTGCTTGGCTTCACTATTTACACTGATATCGGGGAGGGTCTATGCTTTAATCTTTAAATGCTTACAATATACAGAGAATACTATGCTACGCTACGGAGAATGGGGAAGTGAGAGTTTGGATATGCATCAATGGTATAACCGAAGACCAGGCCATGCTACAGCCTACAACCCAAAGGCAGCGGCGTAAGCGTGCAAGAGTTGAAGCACGTAGTCGGCGCTCTCCTGGATCATATTACTGCCCAGGCTATGTGGGCGCTGGGGTACCTCAAGGTCCGGCTGCTCCATAAGTGCCAGCAGCTGCTGCTGATCGTCTTGGCGGCGCTGCTGCTGCTGCTGCTCCTTCTCTAGTCCCGGCTGCTCCCCAGTTGCGCCCTCCCCGCCGGGCTTGAGTTCGTTCTATTCGTGCACCGCCCGACGAGCTCTCTTGGCTGGCAAGCAGGCGCCGTCGCTGTCGCCGAGGGACGCCGAGCCGCAGCTCTTGCGGCCGTTCTCAATGGGCGATCCAATGCCAGCCAGTCCAGGAGAGCTGGCGGTACTGCCCTTTCCCACCTTGCTGCCCTCAAAGTTGGGCAACCACTTGGCCAGCTGCTCCTCAAAGAAGTTCTCCAAGTACTTGGCGTTGGAGTATGTTTTGGTGTCCTCCTGTCAGATGAACAAGGCATGAGTGGATGTTGGGCAAGGATTGGTACCATCTTACCTGGTAGAAGAGGTATGTGTTGGTGAAAATCAAGCGAACGTCGGACACGAAGCCTGCAATGTCCTTGTAGTGATTGGGACTGGAGGGATCCAGGCGAGTGCGAATGACATCCAAGGACATCGGGCTGCAAATATTTCCATAAAATATAGATTATAAAATAAATTTTGTTTAGAAAAGTAAACTCACTTGGAAATAATCTCGTAGTAGGATGTATTGGCCGGAGATTCCGGCTCGCGGAAGTTGAGACTCTGCTCATACTGACAGTACAGCTCCAGGCAGATGCGCTGCAGGATGCGCAGCTCGAGGGGGCTCAGCTCACCCGCGGGAGCCTTGTCCACCCCCTCGACCTTGATGAGCTCCTTGAGATTGACGCACAAGAGGCACTGCCAGCTCTCGCTCTCGTCCGGCAGCGAACTGATCGCAGGGATGTGACAGTTCTGGTGGAATACCTTCGGACACTTGTCGCAGCACATCAACTCGCCGCCGTCCAGGCACACGGCGCACCAGTCCTCGTTGGGGTCGTCTTTTTGTTCGTTTTTATTATTAACTGATATGATTAGTTTCGGGTTCGCATTCATTATTCGGATGTGTTTTCATGTGGGTGTGTGTCGTGTGTATGCATTGTTGTATGTTTGTTTGATTAAAATTGTAAAATTCATTCGTTTTTGTTTGTTGGATGTGTTTCGAGTGTTTATTGAATTGTTAGTATTTTATTCGATTGTCGTTTATTACGCGATTGGATTCGATTCGAAAGCGAGTTTATATTCGGACAGTTGGAAAATAGAAATAAAGAGAGCAAAGTTATATGAGAATTTTTGGCGAAACAAATGGCAATTTCAAAGCAAAACCCAGATCTCAGCCAAACTATAATTCCAAAACCGTAACCAAAAGCTTAAATCAGTCGGATAATTGGATCACCTCCACCGTCTTGGCGGCTCGGCAACTACAATGCCACACGCCACACAACATGGAGCACACGATTCCAAAGAAACAGCGACGAGGGGTACTCACCTTCCTGGGTGTTGGAAAGATCTGTGGAACTGTGCACCTGCGGCGAGGTGGTCTTGGTGCGGCCCTCCGGCAGCACCTGCACCCCGTTCGAGTCTAGCTTGGCGATAGTGGCGATGAGGTCGTTGATCGAGTCATCGCGCACCTTGTCAATGGGCTCCGTAAAGTCCTTAGTGTTCTACACAAAAGAGGCACAAGATTAGTAAGAGGTTTCAATTATCCAGTCATCGACTGGATACTTACTTCATGGGTGCTGGGACTGGGCGTCTTTGGATTTGTTGAGGTGACGTTCGAGAGGATCGAAACGGCTGGGCCCAAGCCGAGAGCAGCCGCGTTCAGTTGTGCACTGGCGGACGATCCATTAGGGACGCCGGGCAGACCTGCACCACCGGCCCCCAGGCTGGGCGGGGTGCTGTTCTTGAGCGTGTTTGGAGATTTCAGGGAGATTTTAAAATTTTCCGATGTCTGGCGGCCATTCGCGAAAGGCAGGAGCGGACCCTGCTGCGAACACACTGAAAGTTTTCCAAAAAAGTCAACTCCAGGATGCAGGAAAACGGCTATTCATGCTACTCACTGTTCGACTGCTGCGCGGATTGCGGAATGTGCCACTTGGCCAGGCTGTGCATGCCTCCGCCGCCGCCTAGTTGCGGCGAGGTCTGCGGTGGGCCGGCATTAAAGCCAGCCTGGCTCCCATGAAACCCCAACGACTGCATCAGAAACGCAAACGAGATGGAAAGAATAATTATTTTTGGTTAACTTTTGATGGCGATGGTGTGCACTCACATTCTGCATGGGATTGGGCATCATTTGTGGGCGTTGTAACGCCCCCGGCGACGGTATCTGGCCGCCCCCGCCGGCCGCTGCGGCTCCAGCCATGGCCGCGGCTGCTGCCGCCTGCTGGGCGTGGCTGGCCATGCGCTGGTACTGCGACTGGAAGCGTGCATTGCTGTTCATGAAGCTGGTGTCGCGCGGTCCGCCCCCCGGGCCACCGCCCTGCGAGAAGCCCTGCTGGCCGGGCATGAAATGCGGTCGCATCTGGGGGCCCATCTGCTGGTGGGCCGGCGACGGTGCTCCCTGCGGTCCGCCCGGATAGCTGGGCGGGCCATTGAACGCCATGTGGGCATTGGGGCTCTGTGCCGCCTGATTGTTCAGCAATCCCCGCAGGCTGATGTCTAAAATAACCAACGAAACGAATTAATTTTCCGCCCCACCTGGCAATATGACAGCCCGCGACGAAACTTACCCATGTTCTGGGGATGCGTGGAGGAGCTGACGTGTGGCTGGCCATGGCGCTGCATGCCCACTGGCGGCATTCCCCCGAAGCGGACTGCAATGGATACGAAAACTCATTATGAAGCTATCAAGTGCGGAAAACGAGGTCTTTCTTGGAAAATGAAACCAAACCACCAGTTGAATAAACAATAATTTTAAACTTAAGAGTAACTAAGGTTTTAAAAAATAAAAACAGTTTCCTACCCTTACCTGGCCCATCGCCCGGAAAGGAGCGACTGATGGACAGATTGTTGAACTGCTGCTGGGCGGCATTGCTGTAGAGAGGAGGCCCGTTCTGGGGACCAAAGTTGACGGGCGGTCCGTTGGGCGAGAGGCCGGCCGGCATGCCGGGCGGAAGTCCAGGACGCAGGGGTGGCGCCATGTTGGGGCTGGGCGGCTGGCGAGGCGGCGGCTGGGGAGTGCCGTTCGGCGAAGCAGTGGGCGGATATGGCTTGCCATCCACAATGATGATGCCCAGCTGGGAGATGACCTTTTGCAGGTCGGAGACCTGGTTGAGCTGGACCTGGATCCGGACAGGGATCTCCGGATTGGGTATGTCAGCCCGCTGACACTTGAGCTTCTGCAGATGGCGCACCAGTGACTTTTTGCTGGACAGAATGGCAAAGTCGCTGCCCTTCTCCAAGGCATTCTGCATGAACTCGATGCAGTGATCCGTGTTGTCGGACAGCAGCTGGAGGGTCTCCTTCTTCTCCACCAGCACCTTCAGCTTGCTGTCGCAGACCTCGTTGAGCCGCATGATGAGCTGCTTGCCCCGGGTGTTGACTGTGTTGGTGATCTTCACCGCCATGGCGGTGATCTCTTTGATTAGGTCCTTCTTCTTGTCGTGGATGAGCTGCTGGCGGTCGTCGATCACCTTGGTGGCCGAGGAGAGCAGGAAGCGCTTGTAGTTGATCTCGGACACCAGGGTGGACAGCGCCTGGCGCGACTCTGTGGCGATTTCGTGGGCGAACTTGTACTTGTGATCCCGATGGTCGCTCAGCTGGCAGTCGCGACAGGTGAGCTTGTCGCAGGTCTCGCAGAAGAGCGACAGCTTCTCCTGGGGATGCAGCTGGCACATGTGCAGCTTGTCCACGCCGGCGGCTCCTGCCAACTGCTCGTTGTTGGCCTCGTCCTTCGGCTTGATGGTGTGGTCTTTGGTGATCTTCAGCCGCTGATGCGCCTGCACGCAACTGTCGCAGATGTACTCCGAGCAGTCCACGCACCACGACGTGGCCGCTGCCCCGTCGGAGCAGCTGCTGCACTGGATAGCCGCGGCGGCGGAGCTCTTCAGGCCCTCGCCGGAGGCCCCTGCCCCGCCCTCGCCATCGCCGGCGGTGCACTGCTCGATCAAGAACTGATTATCGACGATGAACTCGTTCTGGGAGGCGTTGTCGCACACCGGACAGTGGATGAGTGGCGGCAGGGATCGGTCCAGCTCGGAGAACTTGGTGCTGACGCACTGGGCGCACGCCACGTGCAGGCACTCCAGCAGCTTGGGCCGATCGTTGGAGCCGAGTAGCTGGGCGCAGTAGACGCACTTGAAGAGCGTGAACTTGACGGAGGCTGATGAGTTCGATCCCGACTGGAATGGAAAGAATGAAAGGGGGAGAGAGGGGGTTAATCGATTATATAATCCTTGAGCAATCAAATAATTTACTTTATTAGATAACATCCTTCAAGGGCACCTCAAATACCGATAAGAGAAACGGATTGTGCAACAAAATCATGGACGGATAACACCCGACCAGCACTTTCACTTCGATCTATGGACTGATCCTATCTTATCTTATCTTTCCATGCCCCGATAAGGTTGGCAAACACTTCATGAGGGTACTACGATGTTGATGTATGTTGATGTACAGAGGAATGAAAGATGTTTTTCTTTACATCTAGACCTGAAAGATTCTAAATATGTAATCTTCCTGCCCTTCAAACAGGTCAGAGTCTGGTCTGATATTTCATCGCCTAATCTTATCTGGACTTGAACTTTGTTACCGGAAATTACATTAAATTGAAATTACTTTGATTTTGAAATATTACAATGGATTTCGTTGGCTAACCCAAAGTGCTCTCCCCATCTTTTGGTTGGTGGAGTATATAGGCTTATGGTCTACTAAGATAGGGACCTGGGATCATCTCTCACCAGCCTGTCTGGCTTCTTTCTTGAAACTTAATCACAGCCACTTTCGAGGGAGACGCGTAATGGAGTGATGGAGAGGGGAGAGACTTCCCCACACTGGAGCTGTGCTCCACGAGCCCCTTCACTCCCCAACTCTGTCTCGAAATGTCGCTGGCGGAGATTGATTAGATTTATCTCGAGTTGGAGCACATAAATCCAATTGATTGATTATGTTTGTGCTCGATGGAGATTGTTGCAGTGGTGTGCGAGTATTTTACATGCAGAGCCCTGGCTGAGCTACATACATATATATGCCATCTTTTCAGTGTACCCCAGCGGAAATGCCATAGACATTGATGAATGCGCCACGACAGTCTGAAGGAGCAGTCCGGACATTGCATTACTTGCCAGAGGCCAGTAGCCAGTAGGAAAAGGAACCTAGGATAGAGGACAGAACTGCAGCTTCAAGCCCCGAAGCCGATCCAGCGATCCATCTTCCATCCAAAAGAAAGTTTCTCTCCAGAGGCTGCCAACTCATCTGGCCACTTTCGAAGCGTCTCGGCGGCGCTCATAAATCATCCGAGAAGCATCCATTCCAAGCAACACAATCGAGGCGGAAATGATGGATTTATTTTTTATTTTTAAATAGTTAATAAATCTTAAATGGAAAGTGTTCATAAATTAAAATTCCCTCTTGAAAATCTTGTTTAAGATTCTTGCAACGAATTGGGATACAATACCTCTACAAGTATAGATTCTTTTTAAAAACCACTACAATTTTGGCCACTTGTGTGTGTCGTTTTTTTTTTTTGGGAGCTCATACCCACGCATGGCGGTGGCCAGTGGAGCGCTACGGGGGGGCACAGCAATGGCGGAGGCGGCTGAGTGCTCGGAAGGCTGCGTCCCACTTGAGAGCCATTTATCACGGAGCCGGAGGCCTTCCCCCCACGGCTCTGGCTCTAGCTCGGACTCGGGTTCGGATCGGACTATGCTCGGCGGTTGAGTTCGGGTCGGGTCGGATCGGATCGGTTCCGCGCAACCCACTTAGAGTTGCCCAAGACCCGCGGCACTGGCCCAGAGACCAGGCCATTAAATGTGTGGCGAAAAACCAGCTGCTACCCCCATGTTTCCAATGACTCGACTCGTCGTCTGGAAGCGGGTAGCAAACTCGTTTTCTCGGCCCGCACCTCCAATATACACAGATATATGTACTGATATATATATATATACATGGTATATCTAGATGTAGGCATCCCAGACGAACCAAACGGCCGGACGGACGGACAGGCAACATGTGGCAGGAATTCCAAGAATGCTCATTTTTGCAAGTAATTCAAATTAATAGATTTTTCAATCGAGCGGAGGAACTGGAAAATAAATGCAAGATATTACTTTGGATGGTTTATTCTTAAAAGTGGCTAAGCTCATGGGAACTAACCCTATTCCCCCTTGAACTGTGGCATCTATTCCCCATCAGTTGGTGCCCCATCAGGCACATCCCAAAAGGCATCCAAAAAGTCAAACTCTAAATCAATTTCAATTAGAAAATGCTGAAAGGATGTCCTCCGGCAGAAGGGGCACCTCCATGGGAAGCACTAGAAATGAGAATTGATGGAATGGCAGCGACATGACAACAGCTGAATGAGTGCATTTATGATTGATGTAATTTTGATGAAAGTGACTTCTAAAAAAAGATGTATTCCACGTCCAGGGGCTTCTCTCTCTGGCAGTCGATTGGGGGAAAGCCTTTAAAAGGTTTTCACGAAATTTAATTTGAAATTTATTTGAAAAAGTTTCCGTCTCGTTAGTCATCAGGAAAACTTTGTTGCAGAAATGAAATGAAAGAAGTTCTACAACTGCTCTCCATCCTCCCCCCTTTCCCTCCTCCAGCCCCCTCACTGGTTTTGGCGCTGGGACAAGGCCAGCGCCGGTTGAAAGTCCGAATACTGACAACTTTCAGACACATTTCACATCCGAAATCCATTTTCCGAGGCAGCCATAATTCCATTAATTTTTAGTGCTCCCACCCGAAAATTGGACTGCCCCCCAGAGAGTCCCCACAGCGAGCAGACAGGGTTGTGGTTTTCCAAAATTTCAATTGAAGTTTTCGACAAATGACCTTACGACCTGGCCTATCTGGTAGGGTTTGGGAAACTAGCAAGAAAAGTTTATAATTAGTTCAGTGGTGATGAGAGTGTTTCATTTTAAATGTTTCATTTTTTGATACTAATATGAGAAGTTTTCGTCACCAAAATTAATATAGGCCCCTTAACATATAGGGCATGGGCCATAATAGAGCCCTAGATATCTAGCTTTGACTTCTCCGGGGTTTTGTTTTATTTTATTTGGAAAAGTTAGTTCATTTCAAAATTTTTATAAAATATCTTTAGCGGCATGCGCTTTCGTCATCTATATTTCAACTTATCCGTTAAATTTTTACCCTGAATTTTTTTTTTTTAGATTTTACCCTAATTTTAAATCTGGATCCTAAATGTACAATTTTTTATACCAATATTGGATGCTTTCATCTCGAAATTTTTAAAAGAGATCTTGAACATGTCAAGCGCTTTCATCACTGCTATTTTTTGTTTTTTTAAAGGGGTTTTCCTAAAACCCCTAAATCGCCTAATTCGATACGATTCCATGAACGTTACGTCACTGGTATTTTTACTTCCCGGGGGGTTTTTTTTTTAAATTTTATTTGGATAGTATGATGAATATAATTCATTCCCAAATTGTTTAGTCCCAAGATATCTTGGACGAGGCATACGCATTCGTCACTGATATTTAAACATAGCGGGGGTGACCAATATTGGATACTTTAGTCATCAAAATTTTTATGAGACATTTTGGGAATATCCGGAGTATCTCATGGTTTTTATTTTATCTCTTAGATCCATTTAATTTAATAGTGACTATATAGAAATTTGTTGTACGATTTTGTACGTAATTGTAGGATTTTTTAAACCAGTTTTGGCTTATTACTTCTCTTAAAATAATATCATATTTTTCTGGCCTGGCATTCACTTTCGTCACTTGTATTTTTACTCATCAGGATGTTTTTTAACGCTAACTTATGGAAAAATTCATTTATTTATTTATTTTATCAATGGAATATATTTGAAAACATGATAACCAGGAGGTAATTGCTTAGTTATCTCAGTCAGAAGCTCATAACTGACAAGAAGTATGACCTTTCAACTTGCTACCATTTCCAGCTCCCTTTTTAGGTGGATGCCTGCTGCTGGCCGCTTATTTGTGGCTTCTGGCTGATAAAAGGTTTTCGTTGTCGCACAAATTCCAGGTAACAGAGCCAGGCTGAAAGGCTTGAAATTAAATTTCACTTCATTTAATACAATTTGAGGAAACTTGTGGAATATCTGGACTCTGTTGTGCAACCAGCAGTTGTTGCAGTTGCTATTTTCATGTTGCACTTATAGGGGCTGCCTCTGCCTCTGCCTACCACCCACCGCCCACCGCCCGCTGACCAAGCCATAAATCAGTGCAATTTGATGCATGCATCATGGGGCGTCCTGCAGGCTAGCCCACCGACAAGAGAGAGCGAGAGAGATGAAGCCCGATGATGGTGGTCCTTTCTTGGTTTCTTCGAATTTCAGGCCAGCGGGCGCCCAGGAGTTGCGTCCTGCGTGGATGGGCCTTTGTTTATTGTTGCATCCAACATCAATTTCGTTTATTTTGCAAATTTGCAACTCAAAGGGGGGGCGGGCAGGCATCAGATGTCTGTATGCGTGAGTGTCCTTTGAACTCTAGGATATCAGAACAGAATCCTTTGAATCAACAGAAACGGAAAATTAATTACGTTTAGAATGTCTGTCAGGGACTGTCATCTGTTATCGTTGCACAATCCACAAGCTACCTAACAGAGAATACCTCAATTTAATTAAAATATCCAATTAATGCAAAATAAATTAGTGAGCAAGTCGCATAGTTCTCGAAGCACCTCGGTAATGTGTTGATTTGGAAGAGTTCCCCATTTAGGGGCGCAACGAATACATCGGTTACGCTCTGGGATCGGTTCATTGAGTCCGAATCGAGGTAATCGAATTGGAAATGCCTCCCCGATATGTACCCCTGAGCCATGTTTATAGCCACAGATATGATAACGATAATAAATAGCCGGCAGAGTTCAGAAAAAGAGTGTATGATTCATCGGGAGAGCTCCTTATCGAGTGCTAGGACTCTCAGGTGACAGACAGGCCATCAACCTCGCCCATAAAATCCCCAGACTGGATCCCAGTATAGGAAACTTGCTCTTGAAATATTTATGAGGCTCCCCAGTAACGCTCTCCAAGATGGCCGCCATAAATCGGAGTCAGCGGAGGAGGGCAGATGGAGATATAAAATATATTACTACTCCCCACCGATAATAAAAGCGAAAAACTTGATTGTACCCGAAGCTCACGAGCGTCGGGCCAAGGCGGGTGTCAAGGGGCGTGGCTGTTGCGATTTATGGGAGGAGCAGGGGGCAGGGTTTAGGGAGGAAAGGTGCAGCAGCAGCTGATAAATATTAATGGTGTGGAGCTCCCAGCTCCCAGCTCCCAGCCAGAAGAGGTATGAATCGCGAGCGCAACATAAATAAATGAAATTATAAATATTCCAACGGAATGACTATCCCAAGTACAGTGCCCACCATATCGAAGGGACCTAACTGGCTAGGACACCATTTTTGGGGACATTTGGCCATTCGGTTTAATCGCGGACATATCCGGCCAACGTCGCTGCAATTTCCGCCCAGGATGGAGGTCGTCGGGAGGGAGGAAGTAACCCGTCCACCCACCCCAGCCTCAGCCCCACCTAATGGGCAACCCTAATGACCTGACATTACATTTCATAACGCAATTTAAGCCACAAAAAAATGTATATCTATGGAATGGCTATGGCTCCATAAAAATCATATATTTGATTGTGGATTAACGTGGATAGATACACTCAGAGAAATACTATAGAACCTGTATATGGAATTTATGAAAGTCTGGAGACTGTTTACGAGGGCTGCCATTAAAGAATCCTTGAGATGTTCGGAATCCCAAATGCCTTGGAGCCACAGTCGTAAAGATTTAATTGTATGGAAATCGTAAACGGCACGCAACGAGGGCCAGAAAACAGAAAAGTTTTACTTGATTTTATGAGAAAATCGATGGAGCCCATTAAACCCGAAGGAGGGAGTGGGGGGAGGGAGCTGCCAAAAAAGGAAGACTCGTTTTTTTATGGAAATAATATTACTTTTTCCAAGAAATGTCATTATTTGCAAGACCCTGTACGACACTGATAAGTGGAAGCTCCTCCAAGTCATGATTCATGGGGATTGGCAAGCCTAGGGGTTATAATTTCTGGAACCTAAAACTTAGATCTATATCTCAAGGTCAGTACAGTACCCAGTTATTCAAATACCTTTGCCATTTTTCGGAATATTTAAGCAGCTGCTACGGTTTGTTTAAAAAAGAAACAATAGACCTTTCCATTGTTATGTTTGGAGGAATACCCAACAGAAACCCACTTTTGGTAATTATTATTCCCAATCGAGTAGCAAGCATAAATTCAAAATTGAAAATCCCTCCACCCATCCCTGCCATCCACGAAGACGTGGAGCGAACCGAAATGAAACCAGGAAACCGCAAACTAATGAACGGCCTGAGCTGGCGGCTGGCGGATGGCTGCTCCCCGGATTTGGAGCCCCCGGGGGCCTGCAGACGACGTTTGATGGCGACGATGGCCCGGGCTGGTTGCGGTTGTGTTGGTCCGACGAGCTGGTCGCCCTCGGTTTCTGGTCTCTGGAGCTTACCAAAGCCGTCAGAGCCGCCGCTGCCGTTGCCGTTGCTGCTGCGGTTTGCGGTTCTTTTTGTGACCCGATGCAATTGTTCCTGCTCCCGGAGGCCATGACATCAACAGACGGACACCAACACTCTTGCAAAATACTGCAGCCTGCCATCCGCCATCCTCCGTCCTCCGTCCCTCATGTGTACGTGCAAGTATTTCCCAAAATGGCGTCTCCTCGCAGATGTGGGTACAGAAACCGGTAAGACTTCCCAGGGAGACGGCGGACCACCAGACTGAAACTGAAATGATATTACCCATGTGGGTGTAGGCCTAGGGGTACTATATACTTGTGGGTGTGGCAGAGCTTACCTTTTGCTCTCTAGGAGCATTTCTCAGGACTCTTCAGGCAGCTTACGAAACTTGGCTCCCCCCATGTGATCCCCCGCCCCCTTCCGCCCTCTTCAATTTAAAGTTACGTCAATTTCGTTGCCACGGCTGACTGCACAGTTCCTGCTGTTTGTTGGTTATAATCCTCTTTTTGTGATCGGATTATGTCCTGTGTAGCACCTAATCCCCCGCCCAGGAAAGCGACCACCGTACACATGTTGCCCTTGTCCCTCTCCCTGTCTCTGTCAGAGTCCCTGCTTCCGTTTCACTCTGATCCTGCAGTCAACTTTAATTACGCAATGGACGTCGATGGATGGATTAGGTCGGCCTAACGCCCACCGACTGCCCGACAGCCCGGGAAAAGCAATTAAAATGTGTATCCCATGGATAAACAGTGGCACATTCCTAAAAAAAAACAAGGATTATAAAGATTCAAGGGGAAGGTTAAGGAAATATATCCTGAATTAGTCCTTTAGTTCATAAATTATAGTTAGGACCTGGTGACTAGGCAGGTGTTATGTCTGGTGTCTAGTGGGGGTTGCTGGACAGGTGTTGACTACGACTGTGTCTAATGGCAGGTAGCCAGCGGTAAGTGAGAAGAGTCACCCTTTCCTAGATCTCCGCGACCCGATTGCAAGGCAATCAAGTTAATTAGAAACTTAACGACTTTAATTTCGGCTCGAATGGCTTCCCAGTGCTGCCCTCCGCTTCGCTTGCATATTCTCCTCCGAATTGGAGGTAATTGTTCATCATTAAAAGGAAATTCATGGAACTCATTTGAGGCTTTCCTGGAAATAGAGACTAGAATCAGTCGGTATCCAGCAAAATGGCTGTCGCATCATTTCGGGGTTTCATTTAATGAGTTTCCAGGCATTACCACCTTAATTATAACCTGTCGGATGCACACTCCACTATCATGATTAAGAACCATGGAGTAGTGCATCCCTGCCTTTGAAGTTGAAATCCAATCCTTGTTTGTTTCATATTTTGGGAAATTTTGAGAGAAAACTAAAAACTTTCTTTTATTTTTATTTTCCTCGTCGGAGTAAGAATTTACATTGCACTCCAGAGCCAGAGCCATTAAGTGAGCTGGAGGGGATTGGGTTGCAAAGCTAAGGTCGGTCGAGGGTCTCAAGTGCTTCCACCGACTACATTCAGCATGCGCTGACATGATTGACAGACGGCCGGATGGAGTGCATCCCATACCAGTACATGCGTATACGTACTAGAGTGGCCACTTCAGAGCAGCCCGGCACTCCAGGGTAAAAGTTATTTGCTGAAGCCCGAAGAGATATTCCAGCCGGTACAGGCAGACTCAAGACCTTTCTTAAGGGTTATTCCCTTTTAGGGAAGCCCCACTGTAGCTATAGCGGATCTCATGCACGAAGGCCATCCCAAGCACTCTCTCTCCGCGAAAGAGAGAGAGAGAGTAAGAGAGCGTGAGACCAACCGATCGACAGCTGCAGCTGATCTCCAAACAAGAAGCTCCACCACACACACACACACATGCCACTGGAAGTGTGAGTGAGAGAGACGACCCTAACTAAACTCGACTCGGACTCGCACTCGCACTCGCACCTGGCACTGGCACTGGGACGCGAAAGTGAAACACATTATTTGCCTTTAGTTTGTTTGTTTGCTTTGGCTGGAGGGAGGGAGAAAGATAACGAATGCTTTTCGCACGCGACCGGAGAGAAATCAATTGGGGGCTGCCCCCCCACAACTGATAAGAAATCGGGAATCAAAACAATTAGCAGCACGTGGGGAATACCTAAGGGGGATTGCCATTAGCTTACCCTCTTCTCAGCGCTATCGCAGGGATTTCCCACGGAGGAGGTGCTCGAGGAGGACGTGGATGTGGTGGGTGCTCCGCTGCTGGCTGTCGCCGTAGGGCCCATATTCAGGTTTATCTGCGGCAGTACGTCCGTGGGCCCCACGTCCAGCTGCTCCTGCTTGATGCCCGCGATCAGGGGCAGGAAGTCGTTCTTCAGATGCTCCAGGTCCAGATCCATGGCGAATGCGTTAGCTGCGCGAGTGGGTGTGGTTGGTAGTTGTGGGCGGACTAATTATAGAGTGGACGCTTAGGCGCCCTCGAAGAGCATTATGCTTGCTGTTCAGAGATGCCGATATACAGTATAAATTGTGGGTCTTGTTTCGGAACGCCCGCTCCTTCAGACCATTCCAATGCACAAGCAGCCCAGCTCACAGACACAAGCGCGCGCACACACACTAGAGGCAAGCAAAAACAACGCCAAACGCCAATTAGCTGTACGATTTTCACAAATTTTTTCTTGTTCTCGCTTTTGCTGACCGTTTTGTTGTACTTCAACAATATTCTACAGCTCGGCTGTGTATCTGACAGAGTTTTCCTTTGCCCGATAATGGCTTTTCATTTCACAATCGACGCTGGCTGGACTGGCTTTGCAAAAAAATTTTCTCTCTTCAACTTTCGTTTTACATATACACTCGTCCGTCTCGTCCGCTTGCACCAGCGCTATTTTTCAGATTTTATTTATTTTCGATACTTTAATTTCCCGACGCGCCGTCACTTTTCCATTTAGTACGGAGGCGGGATCTGCAGAATTGTTTACCGTCGCAGCTACTTTGAGTTTTTATCACCAGTTACCAGTAACAAAATTACCTAGCGAAAACACGGCGTTTTTTTTTTTGATGCGTCGCCATTTTGATAGAGCGGAGGATAGGATTGTTGATAATATATCAACATATCGATAACTATATCGATTTCTCAAGTTTTCGTGGTTTGTGTCTTTGCTTCGTGAATTCAGTTCAAGCCAAGTTCTAAGTTTAATTTTTAATTTATTAAACTTTAATTCTACTCAAGTTTGGTTTGTGGGTAGATATAACTAACTGAAATAGGTCGGCTTTTAAAAATATTGCCTCATAAGCAATCAATAGCCAACCGATTGCATCTATTTGAAAAATTCCACAACACGCAACAGCTGTTTTAGCACGTGCGGCGGTTTAGTGTATTTTTTTAATGTTGTTTAGCATGATTTTGAGCTGCTCCTCCAAGGCAGGTTAATTAAAACTTGAACTAGTTTTATCAAACATATTAATGGTTTTTCCTACACAACAGTTCGCCTGAAAACCTTGATATATCACTGGCACCGCCAAAAATCCTTTGCTGCTGCCATGTCGGAGGCCCTGGACAAGCTGGAGTTGGAAACCGAAGCCAGGAAGGCAGCGAAACTGGCCGACGAAGAGAGCGTAAAGGAGACCAACCGTATCAAGCGGACACTTAAACGAAAGAAGTGGGTGGATTGGAAGACGCAGGATGAAGAGGATGCGGCTAGCGGGGTTAAACGCGCGCCCTTCGATCCTGCCGATAGGGTCAAGAGGAAGAAGAGTGCTATTCTGCTGAGTTACTGCGGAGCCAACTACTACGGTATGCAGCGCAACCCCGGCATGCAGACCATAGAGGAGGAGCTCTTCAAGGCCATGCTGAAGCACAAATGGATAACGGAAGACAGCTTCGAGCAGGTCCAGATTGCCTGCTTTCAACGAGCGGCTCGCACCGACAAAGGTGTCTCGGCGGCCCGCCAAGTGTGCTCCGTTAAGCTGCGTAAGTTTTTGATACAAATATGATTTGGAAAACCAACTACCTAACAGTTTCTTCTAGCTGATGAGCTCGACTTGGAAGCATTCAACGCAGATCTTCCCGAGCAGATACGACTGTTTGGGGTAGAGCGTGTTACCAAGGGCTTCAATGCGAAGGATCAGTGCAACGCTCGAACTTACACGTACACACTGCCCACAGTGTCCTTTGCGTCCTCTGAGGAGAAGATCGAAGACTTGCATGACACCTTCCGAATTACTCCGGAGCTGCTGGAGAAAGTGAGAGCCACCCTAAAACTCTATGAGGGCACGAAAAACTTCCATAACTTCACAAGCAAGAAGTAAGATCTTTCAGTACATTAATCGACTGTAACTAATTACGGAACACCCCCTAGAAACTTTCTCGACCCATCGGCGAAACGCTTCATCATGTCCTTCGTGAGCAGCGACCCGTTCCTTAGTCCCCAGGAAATCGAGTTCGTCACCCTGAAAGTGAAGGGCCAGAGCTTCATGTTGCACCAGATTCGGAAGATGGTGGGTTTGGCGATTGCAATTGTGCGCGGCAACACAACGACGGAGAGTTTGGAACGAGCACTCACCGAAGAACGGCTTGACCTTCCTATGGCCCCGGGACTCGGTTTAGTTCTGGACACAGTCCACTATGAACGTTACAATGATAGATACGGGAAGGACGGTATTCACAACCCGCTGACTTGGGAGAAGCAAGAAAAGCAAGTCCAGGAGTTCATTGAGAAGGAGATCTTTAGCCAGATCTACAAAACGGAGGCCGAGCAGCGCAACATGCTGGACTGGTTGGGCACCCTCCACTATCACTCCTACGATACGCGACGGGACGAAGCTCCTCCGCCGCCAGATGGCAAGCGGAATAAGGAAGGCCCCAATGATGATAATGACGAGTAGGAGTAAATAGCTTAAGGGTTCTGTTTCCAGCCTCTACATGTTACTAAAATAGCTATCGAAACGCATACTTTCCGTTTGTATTTTATTCCCGCTCGCGAGAAATAGAGTTTAAGATAACATGCAAGATCGGTTTATATAATTGGCGTTGGGAAGTAAAAAAAAAGATATATCGGCAGTCGATGTTCAATTAGAAACGTCCGCCCTTCTTCTTTTTGTGGCCTCCTTTGCGGTGCTGTTGCCTGGGACCTGGGGTTGTTTCCTGGTAGACGGGCGTGACGGGTGAATTCTTGCTCAAGTTAACGCGGTTGGACATATCGCTGCAAAAAATATGAAAATTATATTTCGAACAAGAGTGTATTATTCGGAAAACTCACTATTGATCAGCAGCTCCGGAGGCCATGCCCTGAGAGCCCTTGATGACATCCTTGCCGCGTGCTCCGCCGCGCTTCTTTCGGAATCCAGTTCGCTCGTACTTGGGCAACCACCGCTCTGGATCGGGAGCCACTTCGGCATTGTAGTTTTTGGGTAACTTGCCCTTGCGCTTCCGGTTTTGGCTCTTCTTCTTTTCCGAAGGAGTACTGGGGGAGGGCTCGACCTTGGCATTAGCCGACTTCTTGGCTGCCTTGGTGGACATCACCCAGTTGGCCGCCTCCAAGGCATCGATCTCCGACGCCGTGGTAAGGGTCTCAAGCTTGGGCAATTTTCGGCTAATCTCGAGGGCTTTCTTGGGCTGAAACTGGGCATAGGCAATAACAAGCTGTGCCAGAACCTTGGTGTCGCTGGGATTAAGCTTGAGAAGCTCTTCGAGCGAGCTGGCCGCTGTTTCGGAGGCTCCTCCACGCAGATGGAACTCAGCAGCTTGTCGCCACATGTCTGATAAGTCCCCACTGCTCACGTTGTTCTTCTTGTACCAGTCGACAGCCGACTTGAGCAGAGCTGAGGCCGCCGGCTTGTTGTCCGTACCCAAGTAGAGCGACACCAGGGCGGATACGATTCCAGGCTTGTACTTGGACTCGCCCAAAGACAGCAGAGTTTCGATAGCCTCCTTGCGACTTCCCTGAAAGGAGATAAAAGTAAGTAACGAGGGGATTCTCTTGAAGGGACAGTAAAGCTTACCTGAAGAAGCTGCAGCTGGATGATGGCAAACTTGCTCACAAAGGCATGCGACTTGTGGGTGGATGCAAACTTCTGTAGCTGTTCAATGGCTTCCTTGTGCTTGCGGTCCTTGGCCAGCTGGGTGCAACGGATAAGCAGCGCCTCAAACTCCACTTGCGGGTAGGTTTGTGCCAGCTTCTGGCTCAGTTGTTGCACCTGGTCGCCGGCGTTCGTGTAGAGCGCCAATAGGCAGTTGTTGAGTGCGATGACCTGCTTCTGGCGAGAAGTAAGCTTAGGCTCGCAGGCATCTGCTAGGGCGGCACGAATCTTCTTCTTGGAGTCGAAAACATTCTGATCCTTGTTGATCACCACTGAATTATTGCTGGCCACTGCAACCAATGCAGCATCCTTGGGTTTGTGGCGCAAACAGTCGGCGTAGATAGTGGCTGCTTCCTTGATCTTGCCTTGCTGCTGCAGGCAGTAGGCTAGCTGAACACGGATGACATCCACCTCCTCGGTTATCTCCTCCTCTGAAGCACCCTCCTCCTCGAGGAACTCGCGGCAGAGCTTCTCGCTGGTGCGCAGCTTGCGTTCCGCCTCAGCATACTTCTGGCGGTTCGACTGAATGCAGGCACTGTTGAAGTACTGCTCATAGGTGTCCTCCGGCACCTCGGGCACCTCCTTGTTCTTATCCACGGCGAGGTTGGCGGCTACTGCACTGAGATTGGTCCGGCGCTCGTCTTCGTAGTCGTCGCTGGTGTTCTTGATGATATCGCGATACGCATCGAGGCACTCGTCATAACGCTCCAGGCGGTACAACACCTGGGTGCGCAACTCCTTCAAGTTCGGGGGCAGGGGCTGCAGTCCCGTATCATCGATGGTCTTCAAAGCCTGCACCTGCTTATTGAGCCTATACTCACAGTAGGCCTTCTCGAAAGCCAGCGAGGACAGGCGATTCTTCTCGATGAACTTGTACGCCTCCTCAAACTTGGAAAGCTGCACCAGGCACACTACCTTGCAGTGGAGGGCTGTGGGATCGTCGGGAGCAACGCCCAAGACTAGCGAAACGAATAAGGGGGCTTAGCACATGCTGATTGTAAGGAAGGGGGCTGCTCCACTTACTGCGATTCACCGCCTTGACGGCCTTGTCGAACTCGCGATTGTTGCCAAACTTGTGCACATCGGCGTAGGCCGCCTTGATCAGCGCCTCCTTGGGATTGGCGTCCTTCGACATCCTTGTTACTTATCAGGCTTATCAAACGACAAAACAACTGCGAACTTTTAACTTTCGACTTGCAGTTTGACAGGTAAGACACATCAGCAAATGGAGTTGCCACCTTGTCCCTTGTGGGGCCCAGCAGTATTACGGTATATTCTGGTATTTGCCGAGGTCGGGATTTGCAGCAGCACTCTCCACGGGCACACTGGGCGACGCCTCTTGTACGATTTTTTGTCGTTAAATTAATTGATCGCGTAGGATTTGTGAAAATGGCAGCTGAAGTGGATTTTGTTAACAAGAAGGAGGTGCACCTCCGCACCCTGAAGCAGTCCGGTCATGTCGGCTTCGATAGCCTGCCGGACCAGTTGGTCAATAAGAGCGTGCAGAACGGATTCGTCTTTAACGTCATGTGTATAGGTGTGTATATTTGGGTGCAGTTCGTGTATCTGTGTGTGTATGCGGCACAGTGAATCAACCCAATCCCAAATGCATGTACATACACCTGAGTTCAAGAAAATAGTATCTTTTAACTTTTTATATTCTTTTAAAATTGAGGATTTGTTTCTGCTGTTTACAAAATATTTATTTTGAATATTTTTTAAAGAATAGAATAATATTTTTTAAATGATCATCAAGATATTTTGAAAGACGTTTAATGTAAATATTTCAAAACATTTTTATCTGAAAAGTTCCCCCCTTAAGTGTTTTCGTTTGAAGTTTATTGCTCTTGTAAAGTGGAGCTGATTCACTTTACAAACACAGATACCCCGTTCAAATGTACACAAATGGGCAAACAATTGACAAGCAGACGCTCTGATACGATTAGTATGCAGAGTGCCGGCCAATCGATTTCCTCCGCTGCTTTCTACAATTTCACCCTGACACCAATGTAAAGCGCCCAAGTGGCCAATTGAGGAGATTCATTCGATATGAGACTGACCCCCATTTCCGTTTCCATTCCGCACCTTCTCCGCAGGCGAGACCGGACTGGGCAAGTCGACGTTGATGGACACGCTCTTCAACACCAGCTTCGAGTCGACGCCGAGCCCCCACACCCTGCCCAGCGTCAAGTTGAAGGCGCACACCTACGAGCTGCAGGAGAGCAACGTGCGGCTCAAGCTGACTATCTGCGACACCGTGGGCTACGGGGACCAGATCAACAAGGACGATTCGTTCAAGGCAGTGGTGGACTACATCGACGCCCAATTCGAGAACTACTTGCAGGAAGAGCTGAAGATCAAGCGCTCGCTGGTCACGTGCCATGACAGCCGCATCCACATCTGTCTGTACTTCATCTGCCCCACGGGCCACGGACTCAAGTCGCTGGATCTGGTTTGCATGAAAAAGCTGGACAGCAAAGTAAACATTATTCCGGTAATCGCTAAGGCCGATACTATCTCCAAAGTGGAGCTGCAGCGCTTCAAGGCAAAGATCATTCAGGAACTGAACACCAATGGAGTTCACATCTACCAGTTCCCCACCGACGATGAGACGGTGGCCGAGACCAACACCAGCATGAACTCACACATTCCATTTGCCGTTGTGGGCAGCACGGAGTTCATCAAGGTGGGCAACAAGCTGATCCGGGCTCGTCAATATCCCTGGGGTACGGTACAGGTGGAGAACGAGACTCACTGCGACTTTGTCAAGTTGCGTGAGATGCTGATCCGCACCAACATGGAGGATATGCGGGAGAAGACGCACACTCGACACTACGAGCTCTACCGGCAAAAACGGCTGGAGCAAATGGGCTTCAGCGATGTGGACAGCGAGAACAAACCCATCTCGTTCCAGCAGACGTTCGAAGCTAAACGCTCCAACCATCTGGCCGAACTGCAGTCGAAAGAAGAGGAAGTGCGCCAGATGTTCGTGCAGCGGGTCAAGGAGAAGGAGGCCGAGTTAAAGGAGAGCGAGAAGGATCTCCACGCAAAGTTCGAAAAGCTGAAGCGGGACCACGCCGAGGAGAAGCGCAAGCTGGAGGAGTCGCGCAAAGCCCTCGAGGAGGATTACCTCGATTTCCAGCGGCGCAAGCAGCAGCTTGCCTCCGCCCACCATACGCTCACCCTAGGAAAGAGTAAGAAGAAGTAGGAGTCGGAGGAAGCGCCGGTCAGCCGGTTACGGATTATGTGCGGCTCGCTTATCCCAAAGTAATTATTGCTTTCTCATCTCGTTGTCTTTCATTTGTACTATTAAGTTTAATTCAAATATTAACATATATATACACACCTACACGCATATGTACGCAGACATATATGATTATGTATTTACAACTAACGAATAAATCGAACTTAGTATTTTAAAAAATAAACGATATGCAAGTTTCAATTTTATTTGAAAAATTACACGATTTTTAAATCTAAAAAATGTTATCTAGAGTTGCCGCTGAGCATTGAATGGGAGGCGTTAGGTCCAAAAGCATTTGGTATTTTATTGAAAAATACCAATTTCAAGGGGGTTGCTGACCAGCCTCTGACAACACTGCTGAAAACTGCAAAAATAAGAACAAATTAAAAACGCAATAGAACCTCCGCCTGAAATGCAATATAATCATTTAAAAACTGCGCTCTGATAGGTCGCTACACTATTTAAAGGTGTTCATCGCGTTGTACATGTCCGGAAAATTCAAGGGGGAGATCCGAAAAGTGGGAAGCCCTTTGTGATTGTTGTTTTTTGTAGATATTGTTTGGTGCGATATCCGTAGTTGGACTGGATGGTATGGTTTTGGTAGCGGTAGGGGGAAAGCAATAGTGATTTTCCATATTGAACGCTGACGGGAAATGCCAGTCGGCACTACGAACATGTTTCTAGCAACGTCGCTGTTTGTCGTCGCACTTCTGCAAACAGGTATGGAAAATAGAAATCAATAAACTTCTGGAAATTAACTATGTTATGGTTTCAGCCAACTCATACTCGGTTCGAATTACGGCGCCCGATCAGGCACTTTTGGGAGCCACCGTAAACCTGTCCGCAACCCTATACAATGGCAAAGCACCCGACGAAGGAGGCCCCTACAGGTTCACCTGGAGTGACGGCGCAGACCATCGAAAGGTAACGATTCCCATTCCCGGTTCGTGCGGTAACAAAACAAAGAAAGCTGTTAACCGACCCAGTGCCGTGACTAATTGTCCATGAATGCAAATTCAACCAAGTCACATATGTATGTTCCAGTATTTGTGGGGCGTACGCCCATAAATAGCTTGGTTAACTGCGTAGGGACTAGGCTAGCCTCAGGTGGTTTTCCCGGCCACTCTTAGGATCTCAAAAGAAGGACTACTGCCACAGACCACCTAAATTGACTGATAAATATATTGTTGTATTTCTCATTATCTTCAGGAAATAGAGACCAGTAACTCTTCGTCGAATTGGTCTGTCGCTTTCACCCAGGAGGGCATCCAATCCGTAAAAGTCGAGGTGGATAAGAAGTACATCTTTTGGATAACCACTGGAGTGGGAAAGGCATCGATAACAATTAACAAATCCCTTGGTGGTAGCCTGCAACTAATCCAGAAGAATGTAAGTCGCACGCTGGATTATGTTTCCACCCAGGAAGTGGTGAATCACAGAATATCACTGCCCGACGGGGACGAGCAGTACTTGCGTGAAAAGGGTTATCATATTCAGACGTATTGGTTTCAAAACTGCACATATCTTGGCATGTCCACTGCCTTAGACTATCAAGCAACATATCCGCAAGCTGAGCAATACTATAATGTGGAAGCACTGGTCGTTGCATCTATGGAAGTGCCGCCGGAACCAACGCCCTCAACCACTACCACGACAACAACTACGACAACTACAACAACTACGACTACTACAACAACCACGACTACAACTACTACAACACCGGCAACAACAACCACATCTACCACAACCACAACCAAAGCGCCGGCTCGTGCCAAACGGGACATAATTCAGGCCATGCACACTAATGCCGCTCTTCTTGGCCTTAACCTGACCACCGCTCTAAAGCAACAACAAGCTAAAGGATCGACTGGCAATCTGTCCGTAGCACTGGTCAATCCTCTTGGAGTGCGACGCATGTCCAAGCTCAATTTGTTGCCTGGCACTGAGCTTCCCTTCGATTGCGTGAGCAAAAAGATCATAGCTCAGGATCCAAAAAAGATATACGGCTATTACCAGCGACGCGTAGTTTCAAAGGGTGAGTAAAATCAGCTATTAAATATATCTAATTAACTACAATGTTAATTCTATTTAGATCCCATTTCTGGATTTGGCACTACTGGGAAAAACTGGCTGCAGCACTGGGAGGTACTGAAATTAAACGTAAACTGTAAGGGATCCCCACCATTTGAAGTTTGTCAACAGGTTTACAAAGGTAAGTACCCTGATTACTAAATTCTATTCAATTTTAAACTTTGTATGTTTATAATCCCTACAGCACCTTACAATTCCACGGGCAACGAAACTTGTCTAAGCTATGAATCCACTGACAAGTGCTCATTTGAATATAAGCGATACTTTCTGGAGAGCAAAACCATTTTGTTTTTCATACGCAACGAGGTCTCACAGACCCTAAATCAGGTTACAATAAACATGTACGAAGGTGGGTAGTTAATCGAGAATTTGAATAAACCTATTTACTAATCGCTTATTCCTAACATTGTAGCTCAGCGCCAATCCCAGCTTTCAGTCGTGGTTGTACCAGTCACTTGCACTTTAGTGGCCGTCATTCTAGTTGTATTTAGCGTGGCCTACTACATACAGCGTGGAAATCGGTGAGATCTTTGAGCTTAGTAAAGGAATTTAGAAGCTTTCTAATACTATGTGTTTATAGGTTCACGGTTGAAGTAGCAGACTTTAATTTCGGAGACACACAGTCGGTGGACATGGAATATAAGACATTCCCGCAGCGTTTAATCGACAGCATACGCGATGCATGCACCTGGCGGGGACAACGTCGCCATTCGCAGTCGAGTACAGATCTCATGGCGGACGAGCCTCCCAGTCCTGGTTTGGGAGGCAACGTGGGCGACGTCGATAGCAATCTTCGATACAATACATTCAACTAGGGCCTCCAAGCCCAAAGAGATTGAAATATTGTACCTAAACGAATTAATCAATTTGATTTAATTTCGGCGATTAGTTTTTATATCCCGATCCCCAGCAATTTCTGGTTGACTGTCATCGATCGAAATGGCGGACAAGGGACTATTATATTGTTATTATTTTATGAGCACAGTTCAGTGCTTTAGTCATTTTCATATTGTACATTGACGCCTTGAGGGCGGCATATAAATCCATAGGTACATACACGTATAGCAACGATAGTATCTTGTATATGTTTTCATCTATGTATCTCCTTTTTTGTAATCACTTTCTCATTATGTACATCTCTGTCAAAATCAACGCACATAGTTGCTCATTATGGCCAAATGTCGAGTAGTAATTAATCATTCAAATCGCAATGTCGGATGTGCAGCATCCTTTTCGATATTGTTAAAGACTGTCTTTGTTCGAAAAAGAAAAAATTTAAATCTTGAAAGATTTACCCTTATGCTTAACAAGTTGTTTGTGACGTAAAGTTAATGGCTAGCATAAGTAATTTGATTGTTTCCATTGTAAGGTGATCCAAATTCAATGACAAAGACAAACGCATCTCACACTAACACACATGCGACACAAATATTCATTGTGATAGATAATAGAACAAACAGTATGTATATGTTTAAATAAAAAGTTTAAAAAAATATTATGCTGATAAACATAAAAGTATTATAATTGTTTTTATAAAAGAAAGGGTTATGTATTGCACTTCTTTTTAGCAGAAACAGAAACTTTTTTTTTTGAAAACCATCTTTGTTTATTTTCGAATAATCAAAAATGTTTATTTTTGATAATGGTTCGAATTTAAAATCAGTTTTCAAATCAGTAATTTTTTCAGTGTCTTGGTATTTTTTGGTGATAAGGTACGGTCACACAGCTAGCATAATTGCATTTTTAAACAAGGCTTCTGGATAAAGTATTGCAAGCAACGGGTGATATGTTCTTAAACGACATTGGCCAGCCATTGATCCTGGACTCAAGTAAAAGCCCGCTGAATGGAAAAATGAATGGTCCGCTTCTTTTAACATCAGCGGCTTTCAAAGATTTTGAAAATCCTAAAGATTGGCGTCCGTACGTTATTGGATCGGAGGAGGATGTTTTCCGATTTCAATCCCTACAGAAATTTGAAACTACGGACTGCCTTTTTGAAAAACTTAAACTCAATGTATCCATAAACATAGAAATTGAAGCAACTAAGATCAGACTCACCTTAATACACTATGGGAAAAGCCACGATGGTTTGATTTCAAGGATTTATTACTTGGAAAGTTAGTATTTGCTATATCTTTTGATGTTAGTGATTAACGATATACCAATTGTTTTAGATGGAGTCTCCAGAATAGTGATAATGGACCATGCTCCCGCGTATCTGGACTTCATTCCCAAGGCGAATGCTTCTTTCCATACTGGACTTAACCTAGGAATCGATGTGCTTTTTCTGGATGACGAGTCTTTGACCGACAACTTGAACGAGGATCTGTATCAATTTGTTCATCTCTTAAAGCCGAAAAACATTTATGGTCTTCGATACAAGGAACTGCCCAATTGGCTTCTCGGCCTGCGCCGATGTAAAGACATCTACGCTAGGCCATAGTTTAGGAAATAAAACGACGGAGTTATTTTAGAAAATTATGCATTTAAAACGAATGACCACATTGAGTTTCGACTCAATGCCTAAAATCTATCTAAACCAAAAAAAAACACTGCCCCTCATAACTTATCCCTTCGCTGCCTTGGCCTTGCTTTTAACTTTCTTCACTCGCTTCAGGCCATCCATTTTGCTCTTCATGAACTGCGAGTACATTCCCATCATGGTTGGCACATCTTCCTGTCTCACGACGGTGGAAATCTGCAGGAGAAATTATAGTTAGCATGGAAACATCGAGCATGATCGTCGTATGATTACCTTTTGGGACTTTGACTGGGCACGTATCAGGCACAAATAGGTGTCTGGCTTGGGTAACGGAGGTCTTCCAGCTCTGGGCACGGGCTTGTCGTGGCCATCATCTGTAAATCCAAATACTATAATCTTGGTCTGCAAAAACAATGTGTTTTCGTTACTCACAGCGCTTAAACGTTATCGTGAACGACGAGTCCTTCTTGGCTGCACTGGCGATTTTTTCCAGTCGCAGGATGAACTGTAAGTAAAGAAGGATATCATTATTCGCTTATTATTTAGCATTTTAATATTTACGTTGGAATTATCAAGCAAAACCATTTCGTGGCAAATAAAAAAGTGACAGTGACAGCTGCCTTTGGAGGTGGACGAGTTGTGCCGATTATATCGCAATAGCTATATTTTAGCTGTAAATATGACGAAAGTTCAGCCTGGGTGGCAACCTCGGCTAATTTCATTGAACGGTAACACTGATCACACTGTTATTGCCTGAAAAATCGTAAAATCACGAAAACCTACAAGTGCGGGGCAACTAAGGAAGCTGTAACATTTACGCCAACCCCTACGCTATACTTCATACGCCGTTAAATTAACGCACACTCCGCGCCCTCGCTAAAAGCTAGGTACACCGTTCGAAGTCTCGGTATATGAGGAAAAATACAGCCCACTGAAGGAACGCCCGACCGCCAAAGGAAGCGCCGCCCACGCCGTCAGCATTAGCCAGAAACCTAGCTACCGCAACTGCCCTTGACTGCATCGAGTTCCAGCCAGCGCTACAAACACCTCAAAATGGTAAATAACTTCCTGCCGGTGACCAGATGACAGGATGGAAGCTGGGGAAGATGCTGCGGCATTTCAGTACCACGCACACATTCATAAACACTCTCTCACCCTGGCCTGCAGTGGTATATCACTAAGAAACAAAAACAAAAACTCGCCCGCTTTTCGCCAGTGGCAACTGAACTTTGACCGAAACCATTGGTAACACATTAACACCGCTTTTCTCTTTGTTGCAGGACGTGTTCCTCATGATCCGAAGACAAAAGACGACCATTTTCACGGACGCCAAAGAGAACACAACAGTCGGCGAACTGAAGCGGATGATCGAAGGTGCGTGTGTGTACAGTTCGATTGTTCCTATTTTTAGCTATGGCACGATTGTTAAGAATTCCATGATTGAATCCCGCTTTCCGCTTTCACAGGTATAGTCAAGGTGCAGCCGGTAGACCAGCGGTTATACAATCAAGACAACGACGTCATGGATGATGAGAGTACGCTTCAGGATTATGGCGTCACTGTGTCCACTGCCAAGGCGCAGGCTCCGGCGCAGTTGGGCTTGACATTCAGGTGAGAGCTTCCTCCGCTACCGCGAGAGTCGCTGATAAGCCGGACCGCCGAGTTATCAGTAGACGGGCGACACGTGTAATTCGACTTCGGTCAACGGGTTGCTATCAACAATAGAGCTTGAACACTAAACATACATTTCTTCTCCACTACCAGAAACGAGTTGGGCGACTTCGAGACGCTGGACATGACACCTTACTCTGCACCCCCAGACTTACCTGAAGTGATGAAAAACCAAGAGGCCTCGAACGGACAGGAACAAGTTGCATAAATCAGCAGTCAGTCAGTCAATAAGTCATCAAACCACGGATAAAAACAGCAAACACATCATCAAAAGCAGCAACATTAACAGGCTACAATGTGTAGCGAACGAGACAAACTAAATCCACAAAACCCGAGACTCAAAAATACTGTCGCTCGCTGGATTCCCGAAAAAACGAACTGAAAGTAAAATTATAAAACCCAACGGAACAGAAGAACGATATCCGCTATCGACGTGCAATGCAACGTGTTTCAAAATCTAATACCATTTTTATTCCTTTTCTGGTCAAAAGCAAAACGAAAAATAATTGCAGAATCAATAGCTTAATATGCATTTTTTTATTCTTTATAGCAAAGAACAATTCACTAAGCCTCTAATGCATAATTATACTTTGGAACGGGATTTATATTATTCGGCTTTAACTTTACCCACACAATTGTTTTCTTTTTTATGGAATTTATACGAATTTGTTGAAAAAATACACAGTCATAAAAAGAATTATGTGAAATGATTGAACGTGCTAAAATTGTAATTCTCTTTTTTGCTCCCTGGATGGAATCGTAGGCGTTGACATGACTCGGGCCATTAGTGTTACCGGTGGATGCCTAATCGGTATTGAAATTGTTTATAAAGAACATCTTAATTATCAATAATTCTACATTTTTCATACTAGCACCCAACACTGTAATCTTCGAACAAAAATTTTCTTTTAACTCTTTAATAAATTTTCTCTAGTCATTGTGATATTCTTCATTAAATCACTTCAGATATGCGCTTTTTCTTGAGTAAATGATTCACTCTTTGAAACTTAGCTTAGAAACAAATCTAGACAATTAACTAAAAGTCGCATTTCACATTCTTAACAATTAATATTCAACCTCAAACTAAACAATAAATAAATATAAAACAAATCCATTAAGAGGGTGTAAATTGCTGCTCAAATAAAATATTAATATATAAATATTAGAAAAGTGTATAGACATAAATTTGAGAATCGACCCGTTACCAAAAAAAGTTACCTTTTTCGTTTTATAAAATTGTATTAGGAAAAACAAACGTTTACTAATCACTATCGCCTAGTTCCGATCCGGACCCTGCAGCTGCTGTCATGGCAGCCACCTCAGCATCATTGGCATCGCCGTCGCCTTCTCCATCTTCCCCGCCACTCTCAATAAATGAGGCATTTCCACTCTGCTGCAGCTCCTGATGTTCTAGATATTCTTGTAGCCGGTCCTGGAAGAAGTTAATGAAAGTTTGCTTTTGCTGTGCCGTCGCCGGGAAGTAATGGCCGCCGCTGTGTTCTAAAATTTCCACGCTCTTGAACTGTGCAGCCAGCGCTTGACTCATCACTTTTGGAATAATTTCATCCGTCTGCCCATATATGTGTAGTGTGGGTATGGTGATGCACTCCTCGTAGGCACTCATGTGTACCAGGCTGCCGGAAAGGAAGCCTGAGGAAAGTACCGCGAACTCAGGACGGATGGAAGTTACTAATGAATCGGAGAGTTATTTTTTTAGTTATATGATGGAATGAGAAAGACTTGCATTTCTTTTTGGCCAATCCGCATATGAGACCCACAAAACAGGCGCCTTGGGAAAAGCCTAAGAGTCCTTGGAAGGGTCCTTGCGTACGCCACGTCTCTTCCACCAGGCGCAAGCTCTCCTGGAAGCCATATGCCGGCCCACCTTTGTTGGTGCCCTTAAACGTCCCATCATCTTTGTTCGCCCACCAGCTGCGCTGTTCCGGCACCGGCTCTGCGGATGATTCTAAAGCAGCTGCCACATGTGGGGCGGAAATAAAGACGAACTCTGCATACTTTGATGCAAACTTTCGAAACGATCCTAGTTTGTTTTTGAATGCATCTCCATTCTGGCGATATCCGTGTAAGCACAGAACCTTCACCTTCTCGGTAATCTCCAGTTTGGGCTGCTGTTTGCTTCCGCTTGCTCGACTAGAGCTAGGGGCATCGCCCGCCGTTTCGTTGTTGGTCATCTTGTACGAATTTGTAAATTATAGAATTAAATAATAGCTTTTGAACTATAAAATAATAAATCAGGTTGAGCTTAATAGAGATGGCAACCGGGTGATAACACAAATCGATATACAAAAATTGGGAAACTGTGGCAGCGCTGCGAATAAATTTCCACCAGGTGGCCGTTCAGTCAGGAATGCCGCATTTTTTACGTAAATCTTATTTGCCGTAAATGCAACAAGTTTTCCGTGATTTTTCCATCCTTGAAGCAGTATATTTGGACTAGCCCGGCTAATACCACAGTCGTCAACCCAGCCCGAGAATGATCTTCTCCACAACTATGCTGTCCTCTCGAGGCAGCCTCTTCGGTTCGCTGATGAGCAAAGTCAGGCAAGTTGTAGCCAAAGATAATGGCAGCACAGCTCGTCCTCAACCCGCCTCCTCCAACGACCATAGACCATTCCCATCCAACAGGCCCCTAGCAGCCGCCGGTTTCAGTCAGAGTCCTGTGACGCAGTCGAAGACGCTGGAGGAGCAGGTGGGCCTCCCGCCACGGCCAAAAAAGCCCCTCACCCCATACTTCCGCTTTATGCGCGACCAGCGTCCTAAACTCATTGCCGCCAACCCAAAACTGTCCACCATTGAGGCAGTGCGCCAGCTGTCCAAAAGCTGGTCGGAGGCGGACGTCAAGCTGAAGGAGCGACTGCAAACAGAGTACAAGAAGGACCAGCAGATCTACCTCGAGCAGCGTACCAAGTATGATGCCACCCTCACAGAAGAGCAGCGTGCGGAAATCAAGCAGCTGAAGCAGGACATCGTTGAGGCCAAGGAGCGCCGACAGCTGCGAAAGCGGGTGAAGGAGCTTGGTCGACCCAAGAAGCCTGCCTCCGCTTTCCTGCGCTTCATTGCCAGCGAGCGCACAAACACACCGCAGGGTCCTCAGCAAACGTACCGTGACTGGCACCAGAAGACCACTGCCAAGTGGTCTCGCTTCTCCGACTCTGAAAAGGAGGTCTACATGCAGGAGTCGCGCAAGGAACTCGAAATATACAGGTGTGTAATATATAGCCATGGGTATTGGTAAACTAGCCATCAGTTTCAATGAGGAAAATAACAGAAGCAATTTCTACTAACCCGGCTTCCAACAAATACTTATTTTGTAATTATGTAACACGAATGTATGTTTAACATTTTAGGAAGGCGATATCTGTATGGGAGGAGAAGATGATCCGCCTGGGTCACATCGATGTTGTGCGCCACGGCAACTTGATCGATCCGCCAGAACCAAAGCCCCGCAAGACGCAGGCCACCAAAGACAAATAGAATTAGGTCTTGGCATCCGCCCACCCTATGCCATCACAAATCATAATTCATTTTGTTTTTTGGTTTTACTTCTTTCATCGAAAATTGTTAATGTTAGACATTAAAGATAAAACGATCGCCGGCATACATCTAACTTAGATTTCCTGTTCCTGCTGATAATTTTACGAGAATTAAATTAGTCGTTTTCTGGACTATGTAAATAGCTTCAGCATTTAATACTAAAGTTTTTTAGTACTATATTTAATTGGAAATAATGGAAAGTTATTAAAGGGGATTATAGAGAAAAGCATAAGCCTATCAGAGCTAAATGTAAGCTTTATCTAATCGAATAGCCCTACTTTAACCTTATACCAACACGTTGCAGGTTTGGCAAACACGTGGCATTGGGTTATGTGTTGGGTTAGTTGACCAAGGAATTTTCATCTTTGGCAACACGTGTCTGAGTCTTACGGGGTTAAGATCACACTTATTTTCAGTTGATTTAACACGGTAATCGAAACAGTTTTAATCTCTCTGTGTAGATCACGGTAAACAAATATGCGATTCATTTGTCACCTCAAATGCACAGAATATAAGTTTCTAGTAAGTACAGTCTGACTTGGACTGGGGGTATAGTAGGAGCTGGTTGTGAGTCAGGCGCAACCGTTCGCTTCTAGTTTCAGTTTCCTAATGACAGTACCGCTCCGAGGCCGGAATTCGGTTGGGTTGTGCTGGAATACGGGCGACTGGAATGATATTTCCGCTGCTCTGATGGTCAACGTCTTCCACTCTCTCTTCTCCAAACCGCTGAGCTCGTCGAAATCGAATTCCAAGGCAGGCAACAAAAACTGATAAACTTTTCAAGTGGTTTTTAAAACAGGAGGGGATTATCAATTAAAAACTATGTAGATTTCTTGTTTAATATTTCTCTTTTTAAAGATTCAAAGATAAAAAGAATATGGATTTTAATATGTTTATTTGATTAAATTATTGTATATAATCTTATAACTTTAAAACCACCTTTATAGCCACCTCTTTTCGTTGATTCCGCTCCTGACCGCGGATGACTTTTGAGCGCCTCTCACTTGCTTTTAAAAAAATTAAAATTTTGAAACTGTATCCGCTCTCTGGTAGCTCAGGTCCCAGGTAACTCAGGTCTCCGTCTTCCAGAAAGAGAGAGTCCCCGAAAGAGAGGCTCTCATCTTCACTAATCCCCTGGCCTGGAAGCACAGGTAGTTGAAGCCATGCATTCGATTTCCACTGTATATGGCGACTACCTACTATCATTTTCGGGTCTAAACTGAAAACTGATGTTTTTACGACGAATTTTGGAGGCAACACAGTTTCCACAAACTTTTTCCACATGGCATTGGCCAGAGCAATTGAAACGACCGCCGACGACCGCCACATTCTTGGGCAAGATTCAGAAGTTACCTCTAAGTTAGTTTCTGGCCAAATACCACGTTCGGGCCGCCACCGCCAACAGCGGAATTGCGCAAGCCATATTGGCGCAACCTTGGGCTACTCCAAAAGCCGAAAACTATCCACACAAGCGCACAGATACTCGGCTCGTGCAACAGAAACTGAAACAAAACAAACACACATTCCACATCCAAAAGCAAACCGCTTCAAAGTGCACAAAATTCGGCAATTCGAATGACAAAAATGCATTAGATCGCGACTCGGGCCTATAGATTAGCTTACTCCCCAGAGGGGCCACCTGTGGGGCTATCTACAGTCGTTCCTCTTTAAGTTTAAAATGTATAGCCTCCATTAGTGGCATACAACAATCTAAACACTTTTTAAAATTATTAGTAATTAGAAAACATTTTTAATTGGGGCCAAGAAAGTTTCAGCCATAGAATAGCCACCGTAGCCGTAGCCAGATAGACGGATACTTAATGCCACGGCAGGGCAGCCAAGTGGAAACGTTTACTTTGTAGTACACATAAGCGGTTATTGTCTTTTAGTAGCTGCCGCCTGGCAGTTGTAATATTTTTTATATTTTTACTCGGAGCCCAATCTCAGCAGTGGCCGGCTAAGCAGCCGAGTGGAGGCCAACTGTGGCCGGTTGCGACATAGGAGTTGAAATTTTAGTTAATATTTTCTGTTACGTATTTATTCAACAAATTTGGTTCTTTGCAAGAGTCGTAGTTGTAAAGTTGGTCAAAAGAGATGCTACAAAATGTACACATTATGGATACACACATATATTTATCGATCTTAGCCGGGTGCGGCATAAAACTAACACTTAAACGCTACACGAATATTTACATACATGTCGTAGGTTCATAAGAGATACAATAATACAATTACGGATACACTGTACTAGCTCAGAGTTCTCGATAATAATTTAAAACAATGGAACATGATGTGCGGATCGGCAGGATCAATTCCGAAGGCTCTCGGCGAACTCTCTCGGCCTGCTCGATGCTGGTGTGATGTGACTTTCAAATTAAATACAGGACAGGATACAACGGTTGCTCAAGGGATTCGTACCCATCCTCTCATTCAATCGAAACGAAATAATATATCTGATAGCTCTAAACAATTGAAAGTCTCTGTGAATTTTCCTAACTGCTCGATGCTACAATTAGCTAAAAACAAAACAAAGTACAAGAGAATCACGCAATGGCTCAAGCCACTCCCTCCAGCCTAGCCACGCTGCTTGCTGCTCCCGCCGCTGCTGTGGCTGTCCTCGGACGGTGGACGCACCCAGCCGCCATACCGGCGTTCCATTTCCCGGGCCACCGCCAGGCAGAGGTGGTCCTGGCCGGGATTGGCCACCACCTGGAGGCCCATGGGCAGGTTGCGCCTGTCCAGGCCGATCATGCAGTTCGTCACCGGCAGGCCGAGTGTGTTGAAAATGGCCATGTACATGGGCTCGAGCAGCTTGTGGTAGATCTGGTAGTGCTGGTGCGCCGTGTTCGGGAATGTGGGGTAGATGAAGACGCCGTCGTTGCCCAGCATCTCCTTGAATTCAGTCTTGAGGGCATCTATGATGCTGGCCAGGTGCTTGTGGCGCGAGTTCGGGATGATCTTCATGAAGTTCTGCAGGTGGCCGAATATCACCGACGGCAGGATGCTGTCCGAGCAGCCGAAGAAGTACTTGACCGTCTCCTTGCACACGGTTTTCGGCTGCTCGCCCTCCTCCGTCTTGTGGTAGATGGTCTCGATGTTCTTCATGGTCAGCATGGCCGACAGCGATATGTCCAGCGACCACTTCATCTTCCGGATGTTCACTCGCTTGGCGTTGAAGTCGGTGGCCACCCGGTTGATGGCCGCGTGCAGATCCCGGCTGAGCGGCCGCATCATGCCCGACGGCCCGTCGTTGTCCATGAAGAAGAACCTTATGCCATGGACACTGATCGCCCTATCCAGGGTTAGCTTCGGACCCGTGGGATCATTCATGCACTTGAGCAGCAGCGGCAGATCCTTGGCGTAGCGCGTCATGGGGGCGATGGTGAAGAAGTCGCCCCACTTGGGGAAGTCGCTCGTCGGGTGGTGGCCCTTAAACGAGACGGCATACGGCGTGGGCTTGTGCCCCCAGATCCCGCTAAACATGGCGGGGAGACGCGAAGAGCCTCCAATGTCTGAGGTAAGGCCCAGCAGAGAGGCCCCACTAGCCAGGAGCGCTGCCTCGCCGCCGGAGGAGCCGCCTGGGGTGCGCTTCAGATCGTAGGGGTTCTTCGTCTGACCCGTGACATTGTTGTAGGTCTCCCAGAGCAGACACAGCTCGGGGGTGTTGGAGACCAGTAAGATGATGCCACCGCATCGCTTAATCTGCTCCACCACCGGCGCATCCGACTTGGCTATCTGCGGCGTTTTGAAGACTCGTCCCGCCTGGTTGGTCATACCCTTGACGGCGATGCTCTCCTTGACGGTCACCGGGATGCCAAGTAGGGGAGTGTGCTCCTCCATCGACTCCACGCTGTTAATGCCCATGGCTATCACTTTGTCGATCTCGCGCGCCTCTTCCAGCGCCTCCTCGAAGCGATCCTGCACGATGGCATTTATGAGGGGATTAACCTGCCGACACCGTTCTATGTAGGCCTCGACGACTTCTTCGCTTTTAATCTGCAAGTAGAAAGCAAAGTGAAAAGTGCATTAGTTTACGACTGTTTTCCCACACATGTTCCCGTTCCCAATCCCATTCCCATCCCAGCTGGGGCAATTAATTCTGGCCGTCTATTCGGGCACAGCGAAGGCAATTTGTGTTAAATTAAAATCAATAAAAAGACAGAAGCCACAACATGCATTCGTGACGCGTGCACTTTCGATCATCGATCGGCAGCGGCTCCATGACGTACCATATGAGTGATGTCAATAGGGCGGAGGTCGAAGGGCGCAGGTCAATGTGCGACCTGGGAATTGATTCACATGCAAAAGAGCTCAGAGCACTCGGAATGCCAATCAAGCAAATTGTGTATTAGTTCCGCGTTAAAAACTTGATCTACAATGCTTATAATGAATGCTTTTGAAGCAAACACTCAATTATTTGTTGAAATGCCCGATTGATTTGTCAAAACAAATAAAGAACAAGGGGGGGAGCCGATCCATCACACTACAATAATAGGTAGAGTCTAAGGCGGAAATATAATGAGTATTGAAATGAAACAATCAAACTCACACAACAATAAAACAAAGAATCGGTGCTTAGTAATTAAATCGGAAGGCAGACTTTGCTTTCTTTCAAATAATAGAGCGATTTAAGATCTAGGCACGTATTTCTTGAAATGGTATGGAATCTGCACATGCAGCTGATTGAGCGTAGAATCCTTCAATTAAAAGCTCCCATATACATATACTTAGGCTAATTTAATTACAAAACATTCACACTCAATATACCGGCAATTAAAATACCTAATAACCTAATAGAGGGGTGAAGCACCCATTAATCAGAAGTTCATCTATCAATCAATAGTGAAACCGTATAATCCAACCACAAGCCCCAATCGAGCCCGACCTCTGAACTTGATTTCAGCCAATCGGGGTAATCTGAGGCAAAAGACCTTCTATCTAGTAGGCACTCGAGAGCATCAATACATGCAAATTGCCACTGAGTCTGAATCTGAATCTGTATTTGACTCTGAATTGAGACATAAATTGCCTTACTTTGCCTTAATGCAGGCACATGCAATGCACTATTAAAGTGCCAGCATATATCTAGATGCCTCATAATATATGTAAACTGTATATATGTATAATTAAAATTAAGGCTACTTGATTTTTTCAATGACTTCCAGTGTAATAATAAATCACAGGCAGCAGCAGCAGGCAGCAGTGAGACTGGGACAGGTAAACAGCATTAATACAACATGCAACAATAATAAGGAGGGGCATGGCGAGGGGTACTCGAAATCATCGACCGAAAAGTTTGCGACTCCGATTCCAATACAATACCACCAGCATTCGATGTTTACAAAGTGGAAAAGATATAGCTGTAGTGTAGTTGTTGCTGGTGGCTGCTGTTGTGGCACGAAGCATACACTTGTGTGGTATAAAGAAATCGCGACACACAGACACAGTTTCGCCAGATCTCCATCCATACATACATACATAGATGTATCTTTTGCACAAAGTACGTGTTAAAAACAAAAAAAATACATATAAAAGAGTCAAGAGCTTGAACGAAAAAGCAAAACAAACCGACGAAAACGAAAACACGAGTTATACGCTTCAAGTACAAACATATTTCATGCCAGTAGGGTCTCTCGTAGTGGCCGATCTCTGGAATCTTCCTCTCATTTGAAGATTTAATTAATTAAAATTAAAGACTGCAGACCGGACCAATTAAGCGGTGGCACTTTCTTGAAAGCGAGACAACTATTATCGGACACCAGATAATAGCTCCCGTTCTGATACAATCCCAATTACAAAATCATTACGCTTGGCTCGCCGTGAGGCAATGCTTAACCTATGACAATGAAACAGCCAGCAATTAAGGGGGAAAAAACCTTTATGAAAAAAAACAGAAAAATAATTATTAAAATAATAATATTTAGCAGACACATACGCACCATACAAGCACTTGACGAAAGAAGACAAAAGCAATAAAAAGCCCCACAAAAGAAACACTAAAATCTGAATTAAAACTTTTGTACTTCGGACGGACGTGCACTAAAAATTCAGCCCCACAAGTACATCCATCAGTACACCAGTGCATGCAGCAAATGCGATAAAACAAGCCAACATATGATGACCTAAGGGATGTGTGTGGGGTCTGCGATAAGGTCTGGCCAGTGATGACCTCACACGATGTGGACCAATGAACGCACATAAGATGCAGCAGCAGCAGCAGCAGCAGCCCAAAAAAAGATATAGATATGTGGATATATGGATGGATTTATGAATATAAAAGACACAAGACAGACAGTCAGACATGCCGTCTAGGCCGCAGTTAAGAGCTTGTTTGAATAATGATTTTGCGAAATTTGTGCCCGCCCCATAAAAGTGCTTGGTTAATACTCGAGATGACTAACCCGCTAATTTCTTCAATGTCTCGCCTCTATATCCCCTTGTTTTGGCCCAATTGGCTTAAGTGCTCGCGACGACAGTAGAAACCACAAAAAATTGTAATAAAAAAACCCAAATTGATTTCGATATCATCTGGAGAAGTAGTACCCTGACAAGGGTCATATAATGTTTGTTATGTTTTCTAGTCAAATGACGCAAATCATGGTGGAAAATATGTTCGGGTACTTGACAATTTTAGGAAAGTCATTGGATTGAATAACAAACCCTGATAACCATAGAACTGGTTTGCATAAACTCTTCGAGTTAAAAAAAAGGAAAATTGTAGAGATTATTTATTAGTCTATGGAACATTCTTTAATTGGAGTCACAAAAGTCTCTCCAGTTCCCCTGGTCATCTTAATGGCTGTCCCAGGGGCCAATGGCTTGTGCCTCGGGTCGAAATTTTTAATGGGAAACAGCAATGTCTTTGTCTTTTTTCACTTTCTGGCGAGTTTCGGAGGCAAAGGTCTCACATTGTCCAGCTCCTGACTGGGCACTACGTGGAAGACGGAATAAACCTGCTAATGGACTGCCGATTGCCTCAAGTTTGCCACAATGTATCTAATGGATGTGGCAACAAAATTGTGGCAACAATCTGGCGATTGATTTGGCAAGATTTTGGCCAGCCCGTTGCCGGGTTTGTTTCTTTGCGCAAGTGACCCAAATTCAGGTGGGAAAAAGTGGGATTGGGAATTGGGAATGGAGTTGGAATTGATTTTCAGTTAGACTTACCTTTCGTGTGCGAATCAGCTTGGCCAGGTCGACGGCAGGGATCTCCAGCAGGTGGCTGCGGATGGGGGGCAGCTTGCGCCGGATCACCTTGATGTTGGTGTACCGGCTGTAGGGAACCACGAACCAGCTGAAGACGATCATGGCCGACCGCAGGAATCGGCGCATGATGTACCCCAGGATCCTGGAACAGAGTAGCACAGCAATTTTGACGGCTTTCGATGTACACTTTCAACGAAAAAATATATATGTATGTATGTCCCGATTATGACGGGACGAATGCTAATGGTGGGGTGTAACTGGCGGGTATCTGGCGGGTGTACCCTTCCCTATACACGGCACTGCACAGCGATCACTGTTTCTCGGTAGACACGGAACGGCAAACAAGGCACACAAGGCACAGCAGCCAACAGGTTGCCAGGATTGTGCAATCTCTTCTGTGCAGCTGAGTGCAATCGAGGCAAGGCTTGCACAATTCAGCGAGCTCGGCTCAGCTCAGCTCGGCTCGGCTGACTGTGAGATGCTTTTTGGTCAGTTGGCAGTTGGCTAATAGTCCAATGGTAGTAGCTGTGGTAGTGGCATCGGGCAACTAGTTTTGCACTGCGGGATGCACTCGCGAAAAAGTCGAGATAGAGGTGGAGGCGTGGCACTGCCGACGCATGAGCAGCCTGTAGCCGGCTTTCATTTTTGGCGATGGCCGATCTTCCACCGTCTTATCACCGCGCACGCCAAATATCTGCCCGGAATCTGTATCGGTCTCTGTATCTCAGTATCTGACGGATGGCGGTTGACGGCTGCGAACCGATCGGATGCGAAACGTGCTGAGTAAATAAACGCAAGCTCAGCTTGCGGCAGAGTATTTAAAGCCCTGCTCTCCGCTCTCCAAGCTTGCGCGGCCCAAGCTTCCCAAAGAGAGTGTCAAGCTCAATAGTTCTCTTTTCAGCTCTTAAGCTGGAGTCGGCAGCACTGTGATTCCCAGTTCGAAAAAGTCAAAAGGAATTGGCCGTGTTTCGCGTTAAAAAGCCATGTAAATGCGTCAGAGACCGGCTTATGATGCTGGCAATTAACTAGCCTGCCCTCTTGATCCCAAGTGCCTTTCGATAATTCGCTATATTCTTGTTATTTTACACTCGTAAACGTAGGGAAGAGGCCAATTGGTAATTAGCCACCTTGTTGATTGCCAATTGGGCATGAATCTGACAGTTAAAGCCATATCCATATGCTGACCCGCGATTTCTGCTCCGACCTGAGATCATCAGCAAACCGCCGAGTCATTCGGAAAATAAATATTGATTTGCGAATGGGCACGAGGCGGAGTTTCCGGGGGAAAACCACGGCTTGCAAAACACTTACAAGGAATTAGAACTTTGCACTTATTTTAATTGTTTTGTTACCAAGTCCGGCTCTACTCAGAAACAGTATATATGCTGCTAAAGTCAGAAAAACAAATTCTCGAAAAGAGAAAGGCGATCTAATGGAAAATTCTACCAAAACGACCTTACGAATGTAGATACGACTGTGGGTTTATAATATATATATTTTTGGGGGTCTTACTCATTATTTAAGAAATCAACACCTCCCCTCAAAAATCTGAAATAATTCCCTGCGTGATAATGCATCAGATGTAAACAACAATTTATTGGTTTAAACGTCGTATTTACGGATCATAGTTAGTTCCTGACACTTGTGGTGAGCATTCAGGCGTACGCTACTTATCCATCTATGACACTAAAATTGCTTTTTAATTGGTCGAACGATTAGAAAATAATGGCCCCAAATTAGGCTCGCTGCTGGTCAGTTTTCGAGCTAAATAGTTAAGCTACCAAGATTCTTGAGATCACGCAATCCCAGTTGTCAGCAAGGTGATATAATCGGAGTAAAGAACAAAGATAATAACCAGCTGGGGCCGTAAAGATCTCGATCTGTATTTAATGATATGGCATCTTGGGGATTATTAGTTTCCACTTTCAACCGGTAATTCTCCACATTCCATGGGGTCAACAGTCATAAATGAAAGGACTCGTCGCAGTAGGGGGAAAACCTCAAGGTTTCTGTTTTTGGAGCCCAAGAGAACTACACATCTCAGAGATGGTTCAAGACAGTTAAAAGCTCTGTCTCTTTTGGGGGGTTTTTAAGAGAGCCAAGCGCGAAAGCTTGATATCTTAAAAATGAGTTATATTTCGCTCTCTGAGCGGCAGCCACACTTAAAAAAATATCTACTCAAAGATAAGAGAGACCCCCTCATGGGCTGTTGTGTCTTCGAATGGAGGGCCTCTTTTCAGTGCCGATAAAAGTTCCCCCGGATCGAGTTGGGTCGCAAAATTTTCCACAGCCCCCGACCCTGCCACGCGTAGAACGAGATAGTCGCCGGATTAGCTGACCGGACCCCGTACCCCCCTGGACGAGTACCACGCACAATGGGCATGTTTCTGGCGCAGAATAGGCGATTCTGCCGCGGCTTTGTTATTAACAGAGTTTGCCAGAGCTTGAGAAACTTTGCAGCCGCTAACGATAACACCAAAAACAAGAACATCAACAATAGCAGCAACAACAATGATAAAGCGGCCTCTGTGGACAAGTGCCACCCCCTGCAGGGTGTTCGGATATTGGACCTCACGCGCATCATAGCCGGCCCCTACTGCACCATGGTATTGGCCGACCTGGGCGCGGAAGTCATCAAGGTGGAGCGTCCCCACTTCGGTGACGAGGCCCGAAAATGGGGTCCACCGTTTCTGGAAAACTCGCCGGATTCCGTCTACTTTTTGGCCCCGAATCGCAACAAGAGGAGCATCTGCATCGATATAAAGCGTGGCTCGAAGCTACTGCACAAGCTGGTCGAGATTAGCGACGTTCTGGTGGAGAACTACGTGCCCGGCACTCTGGAGCGTTATGGCCTGGGCTACGAGCAGTTGAAGAAGGTCAATCCAAAGCTGATCTATTGCTCTTTGACGGGGTATGGGTCCGAGGGACCGTATGCGAAGCGACCGGGATACGACGTGATTGCCTCTTCGGTCGGAGGACTCCTGCACATCACCGGCGAACGCGATGGACCGCCCAGTAAAGTGGGAGTGGCCGTGACTGACATAGCAACGGGTCTGTATGCTCACGGAGCCATTTTGGCGGCACTCTACCAGCGGTATGGGACGCAGCGCGGCCAGAAGATCGATGTGAACCTGCTGTCCACCTGCTGCTCGATGCTCATCAATGTGGGTACCAACTATTTGAACGCCGGCGAAGAAGCAGAGCGCTGGGGCACAGCCCACTCCAGCATTGTGCCCTACGAAAGCTTCAGGACGAAGGATGGCTATCTCACCTTGGGCACCGGAAGCGACGCCCAGTTCCAGGAACTGTGTAAACGCCTGGACGTGGAGTCCATATCACAGGATGCCAAGTTCAAAACAAACAAGGACCGTGTCAAGCACCGGGTGGAGTTGGTGCAGCTTCTGGAACGAATCCTGTCCAAGGACACCTCCAAAAATTGGATGAAGTGCTTCGAGGGCGCATCGTTTCCCGTGGGACCTGTGAACAGTATTCGAGAAGTGTTCGATGACGAGCACATCCAGGCCATTGGCCTTGTCAAGACCCTGCCACATCCAAAGGCTGGCTCCGTTAAGGTGGTGGGACCACCAGTGGTGTACAGCGATGCTCGGAACGATGCCCGTACAGCTCCGCCGATGCTGGGCGAGCACACGGACGAGGTATTGGGCGAGCTACTGGACTACAAACAGGAGGAGTTGGCCGAGCTACGGGAGCAAGGTATTATTCAATAGGATCTATCGCTTCACTCGGTCTAGGAATCTTTTGGAACCAAAACTAAGTTTGGAATTTTGGTATGAAACCCGGTGTTATACGGAAAATGAAATTATATAATTTCATATATTCATATCAACCATAAAATTTTAACACAATGCTACAAAACTCAGAAATATTTTAAGATAAAAGATCAATTAAAATATCATAGAATTAAAACTATTTTTAACTTAAAAAAATACTAAAAAATTGCTAATAAACATTTTTTAAAAGCGTAGCTTTCATGGGTCAACATTTTGAATTTCTCATTTTACGGATGGTAATCCTTTTAAAGTTTAAATTTAAATATAAATTTTAAACTGACAAGTAACACCCAGTTATGGACTCTAGAAAACCTAAATTCTTGTCAAAATAAATATGATGTGTATACTTTTGGAGGGCCGGTGCCTAGAATGTGATTCAATCTGACCTCTTGAGATGAACGCGCTGAAAATGCCGGTAAGCCGGAAAAATGGGACTCTACTTGGGACCAATCCTACATATCTCCTATATGGTTCCCCAAGTTTATGCAGCACATACCCTGGAAGACGCGGTCGCGGCGCCAAAAAGTGATAATCGTTACCTTCTATCTGCTTGTACTGATCCTGATGGCGAGCATAGCCGGAAGCTTTGCCATTTTGTTCGTGTATGTGAATAATGAGAAGTTCGTTTGTCGGCACCCGGAGACCCAGACAACTGATTCTGAGGAGACGTCCACGAACAATTCGCTTACCTGAGCAACAGTTCCTCCAGATGGAAACAGGCCCAGACCCACACTACCTTTAGGACACTCGTCACTGGTAATAAACAGAAGCGGGGGAAGGATATGTGTAAGCCATTAAAAACAGTTGGGAAACGCAGAAAACTCACTCGTAGTTTAAAAAATATATTATATATTTGTACGTGTGTAGATAATATTACTGCGCTGTGGTCTGTTGTTTGTACGAGGCGCGTCCGCTCGCCGAGAAACCAAAACTAAAACTAAAACCGAGCAAAGTCCCACCTGGCTGTTCTTGTTGTGGTTCTTGCTATTGTTGTACGCCGCTGCAGGTGCTGCCAAAAGAAAAGCTAGCTAACAATCGTCACCGTCAATGGCAAATTGCGGCTTGTGTTTGTCTGGTTGTGGAGTGTGTGTGTGCAAAGTGCATAGACCGCGTCCGAGCTTCGAGATGAGCTCCCAGGTTACCCCCGCCGGCGATGCGGGTGTGGATTTCGCACTTAATGCTATGGGAGTACTTAATAGTTAAAAAATTTACCAATTAACAGTTAGTTACTCTGCCGTGCAATAAGGCAGTGTGCCCAGAGCGCGGCTTAGAGAAGTTACTTCAAGAAGCAACGTCCTTTACACAAATTTTTAAAATTCAATGAATACAAATTGAATTTTTTAAATTCAACTTTAATAACTGAATGCTTAGAATATTTTATAAAGTTGTCTTTTAAATGAACTCTTATTTATATCTTTTTTCAGAATAAATTTATTATAACTTTAAGCCCCATTTTGTTATAAATTGAATTCCAATTTTTATAGAAGTATAAATATTTTAAAAAGTGTTAATAGATTTCTTCTGCATGGTAAGCTCGGCTGAGTTATATACCCCAAAAAATATAGGGTACATTCGTGCCATTGATCTGCTGTATCCTCGTCACATTTGTTATCATAGCCAGTAACCGCAACGCCATAATAACAGATGCTTATCTTTTACAAAAGCCCACATTATATAAAAGCAATTTTTCGGAGGTTCCCATTATTATTTAAAAAAAATACATTTGGACTTTGAACTGAGCTTGGAAACAGTGCTTCCAAGTAGAAATAAATAATAAAAGGTCGAGAAACACCGAACCGCTTTCCCGCTAAAACCTGGTTCAAATATATCGCACAAAAGAATATTATTGTAAACGTCGATTGATTTTCATCACACTCAATAATATTACGTTTGGACCTTAAAACAGGCAAACCCTGTAAACCAGGCTCTACTAAGTACGATTTAAAAAGCAAGCAGTGTTTTGGCCTGCCAACTTGTATGAAAAACTTGCTTTGGTATTTTTCATATAAAATACTGCATTTCCACAGCGCTGCTGGCGCGAAACTGCTTGCATTTCAAATTTGTACTTCAACATATTATGTTTTTATATGCATTTATTAAAAGTTGTAATCTTTCTATTTTCTTTTTATCTTTCCAATTATTATTATAATTTATATAATTATATACAATTATATAATTAATTATTAAATAATATAAAACCAAGCAAAATTTTAAATGGCTAAAGGTTGATATGCGTTTTAGTTATTTAGGAATAATACATGTATTTTTGAAAGCCACTTATGAGGGTAAACTTGATGTATTTTCACTATAAAGAATTATATATTGAAGAAATAACTTAAGAGTTTGTTGTTTTGGTAAAAACTTAATAAAAAGGGTTAGCACAGCCTTGAGGTTAGCAACTGCATCGTTGGCACCATCTGCCGGTGCTTTCACTCGCAATTCTATTGCAAACACACCCACGAAAGCTGGAAAAAAACGTGCCACACACGCTGCATGTTGTTAAGCTGCTTGTATGGATTCCAAATCATCCGAAAAAAGCGTGTGCCAGCTGTCGCAGGACAATGCATTTCCAAAATATTGATGCCAGCGAGTGGACAACACAAACAAAAAAAAAAAAAATCGGAAGTAAAAAGCGTTCATTTTTTTCTTGTTTGGTCATTTAGTTCGTCAACGAAGCGGGCTGGAAGCGGAGAACGAGGTGTTTAGACCGGACCAGAACTGGCTAAACGACTCGACCGCCTTGGTAGACGCGCGTCAGACGAATTCGAGCCGAGTCCCGAGTCCGCAATGAGGGGAAAGAAATGAGGAAAAGTTTGGAACGCGTGTGGCCAAAAGTTAATGAAGCGTTTAAAAGTTAACTTGCGGCCCAAAAACCCAAAAAACAAAACAGCAAAAAAACGAACAACAGTTAAGGACAGTTTCGTGTTTTTGTCGAGAACCTCCTACCTGGAAAAGGTGTGAAAAAATGGTATTTGTATTTAACTTTTATGTAATATTTATAAGAAAACAATATATTTAATCTTCAAATTATGAGAATTTAAACAACAAAATATAAACATAAGAACCTTAATCAGATTTGGAAAATTAACTTTTCAAATCTCCGTTTTTAAAGCCATTATGGAGTATAGATGGAGGATCCTTTCTGGCATTGATCTATTTTTCTCATAAATATGTATTAAATTAGAGGATTCTTTTCATATTTAATTCCTTTTATACCCTTGGGAATAATCAATTCAAAGACGCCTCCGCTCTCTGCTGCATGTCCTTGCTGCGTTCTTTGTGTGTTTTTATTTTTTTTGTTTGCCCAACCCTTGAAGAGATTGATTATTGTTTATATGGACTGGCTACAATAGTCCTGGGCATCCACAGGCATCTGAATGCAGTGCAAACAGGCGAAGGATTGTGGTCAACGCCAACGCATCCCCTTTCTCGAATTGGGGCAATTAAAGTCGTTCGCTCGACTCGCTCCGCTGAATGAGCCTGGGCCCGTGAGGACACGTGATAGAACAGGGCCAGAGAAATTATAAGGCCGCTATCCCTTCGTCCCCAGGGCAATTAACCCCTTCAAGCATTTTGGCTGCGGCCGTAGCCGCGGCCGCGACGAGGGCGTTAAGTCAGACACGAGTTTCTGGTCAATTTATCAAACGATTCTACGAATTCCTGGAAATCGAAATAGAGTGATCATGGAGCAGGGATTTAGAAATGTGGAAATACAGAGACCTTTCTCCGTCTGGGAACATGTCCTGGCGTCGGTTTGATCTCTTGTAATTATGCTAATTATGAGTTTGATTTGTGTCGAATATGTTGGCCTTCTTTAAGGAAAATCTTAGCCTTTGTTCCCACCGAAACAGTCGTTACTAATTACAGCACACTTGATTTTTCACACATTTCGCTCTAGTTGCAATTACCCGGAACACCTCTTCCTGCTGCAAATTGCAAACTCGGAAGGACACTGTCTTAGGATCATTGATCATTCTGGTAATTTGCTGGGAACTACTACTTTCTTTGAGTAACTTCTTCAACTACCTGAAGAGGTACCAAGATCACTTTACTTGAACTTCTGTGTGGTCATTGGAGAGTCCAACAAGTGTCACTTGCGGTTGAAAATATCAATTTTCATAAAATACAATTGTCACCTAGCCGATAAAGAGACCTCCTCCAATGATCAAGAAACTGTCAGCAAGTCCCTCTCTCACTTTGAATAGAATTTAATTTTCAAATTAGAGAGTTGGAAAAACACTCCCCAAAAGTCCCGAATCCCGATGATCGTAGTACCTAAACAGATTCCTGGCAGTAGCCGCCTTATCTGATGGGCGATTTTTCAATTTCACATTGCTGATGTTAAAAAATTAGCCCCGCTCAGGACCATCGATATCAGTTACAATTTACATTTCACTTTTACAAGAATACAAGGTAGAAACATATCAATTACCCATGATCTTGCTCCGTTGACAGTCTCACTACTGGATTGCATTTGGGATCGAGTTGCTCTACAGAGGTATCCTTCTTAGAAAGTCATTTCTCACACACTGACCGTTTTGGGATTTGTTTTTCTATAATTTCGATTTCTTTTGTCCTGGGGCTACTTGACTTCGGGCCAAGTGTGTTGTTGGCCTGGTTTTTACCCACCAGACCGGCGACGCTGCGAGGCGAGGTGCCAAAGTGCCAATGGCACCTATGGGAATTGGAAAATTATCATAAACTGACCTCTGTCCGGGTGAGCCAAAATGAAATCAGTCTTCCAGGCCAGACACACGGCTAAATCCTTGAAACCGTTTGAAAGTTTCGCTTTTTTTTGGTTGGATTATTTTGTGTTGTTTTATTTGGGTTCTCAACCCCTCCACGGTTGATACCCTAATTTCGGCTCATCTTCATCCAGACTCGGGCCCTGATCATCGGCAGCTTATCTCTCTAGCCGGCGCACGCGTGTCATCCTGGGCAGCAATCAAAGTGATATGAAAATTGCATTTGGGTTCAACAGGTTCGCAGTTTTCGATTGCTGATCGTCGTTTTGTTTTTTCGCCGGTTAATTTTACACTGGAAAGTATTATATATTGATATGAATAATAGCTTTAAAATAAAAAGAAATATTGTTGAAACATTTGACTTTAAAGAAATGTAAAGATTAAACTCATACTTGTAGATATTTTTGTGCATAACTCCTATACCTTTAACCTCATTTATTTATAGTATTTTTTTAGTGCACTCTTGCTGTTCTTTGCTGTTCTGTTAATTTTGTTTGCCTAAAGGTTAAACGTGCGAATTTCACCCAAAGGCAGTCTCCAGTTTGGAGGGCTCCAGGCTCGGCCACTCGGTTTTCGGTGGTAATCGGTCTGACTTCTGACTGGCGATCCATCCTGATCCCACTCCGATCTCGGATCTTGGATCTCCGAATACGCGTACCGTACGCGAATTTTGTTGTTTCGCCTAATTAAATGTAATTTGGTACTTCCTTTTCAGCCGAAATAATGCATATAAATAGTATCTTTAGATTACATTTTATATCTCCCGCTCCAATCCGCCACCGCTCTCATTATTATAAATTTTCGTTTTCTTTCAGCGATCGGCGGGCGAGTGGCCTCCGATCCGATCCGAATTGAGTTTTTTTTTTTTTCTTAACCCCCCGCCCTAAGGTCAGTAGCATCTCGTGGACGGACCGGTCCCTGTCCCGGTCCCGGTCGCGATCCTCGGGGTTAATGTTAATTCAAAGGAATTCGCTGGGTCCTCGGCGGCCTCTAAACTCTCTCCTTTTTCGCGGCGAACAAATCTTGAGTGCTACAATATGGCAATTGTTGTGTAGTGCTCCGAAAACTTGTTAATTGTTTCGCGCTCGAGTGGATTCCTTTCTGGAATGGTGAATGGGCGATGGGATGGCTGGAGGGGGGCATTGTGCTCTCTATGGGTTTTCAGGGAAACACTTTCCAGACAGCCCATTGTGGTCCACCGTTCCTCCATTCATGAAGTGCATCTAGAGCAGGAGGATCGTGACCGGCTTTTCGGAGGGGTTCCAGCAATTGCTGCTTTGCCGCCTGCCGCCGCAAATTAGATGCTCAATTACGCTACGAGAATTCCTGGGTAATTTCGGAGCTATCCTCTATTAGAGGGCAATCCAATACACATTTAAAAAATATATAAATAAATGTTTTATAACATAATGTATTTTAAAAAAATTACATAAAGAATTGGCAATGTTATAACGTCCGAAATGTATAATTCCATATTGAATATAATCCTTAAAGTTAGCTTTTCCTTATTTATTTTTTCGAGGTGGATCAATTTATTCTCTTCAGATTCCAGTTGGTGAGTCACTCGTTCTCGAAAGTGAATCTTAACCACGTGGTGTCTTAGCCCGGGACCCTAGACCCAGTCTATGTTTAAGCCCTTCGCTTTGTCAGTCATTTTTCATCCTAGCCACATCCTTCCGCAAAATGTTCTCACACTTGGCTGACTTGGGCGACGCCCAAGGATCGGAAGAATCGGAAGTTATTGAGCAACAGGAGGGGACAGCATCCCTCCTAGTCCTTTCCAATGTTTTTTCAAAATTTGTTTCCAAAATCTTATTAAAAATTGCTGTTATTGCTTGACCTTTTTTGTATTTTTTCTGTTTTTTTGGTTGGCCTTTTGTGTGTGAGTTTCGTTTTCGTTTCTTTTTTATTGCTTTAATCATTTTTATTTTGTGCGGCTTCCGTGCCACCTGTTATGGTTACGTTACCATGGCCAAGAGACCCAGAACGCAGCCGAGGTCCTTCAGAGCCTTTTTGATTTTTCTCAAGTGATTGCGCGTAGTTTTCATATGTTTTCTTTGTTCCAGCTCCACGAGTGTTTCAAATTTGAATTGATCACTTGGCTGTGATCTGGGATAGGGGTTCGTGGGATCCTTTCTCATAACAATGCCCATCGCAATTTGTCGATCGGTTATGATGCCCACTTCCGATTCGGAAACAAGGGTCGAGCCCCTCCAATGAGAATGTAATATCCAGCATGAAATTAATGTTTGATAGTCCTATTATGACTAATCCTTATGGGCTTCCTTGAATTTCAATTTTTTTCTTTATAAAAAAGAGCATACTTTAATGAGCAATTTAATATAAATATCTAGTAAAATATTTAATAAAAAATTGTATGTAGGAATTATCAACACTATTGTTTACACAAAATATGATAGGATAGCGGGCGATTTAAAGAACACTTTCTGGCGCCAGTCAGTTGCCAAAGATCAGCTCAGATAGCCATCATAACAATGTTGGCAAAACAACAGAACCGAGTCCGAATTGCGGCATCAAAGTCGGTGCCTTGCGACAAAAATCGCCCGGCCACGGTCTGATCCAATCTAAACAGATATGAAGTGAGCTGAGGTGATCTCCCATGCCACAGCCTCTGACCTCTGGCATGATAACCATCAGTATGCAATCTTTGACAAAGAGCCGGCACAACAGGATGCCATTGCTGAGGAGTGGGCGTGCCCAAACAATGACACAGTGGGCGCTGCAAGGACTCGGTGGGCTGGAACGTGTGTATAATCTAGTTTTAATTTTCATGGGAATTAACCCATGGCCGTACCAATTTGCCGGCTACTCAGAACAATGTGCAATTTATGCGATATTTGTTTAAAAATTTTGAACGGGGAGCTGTTCAGTCCAGTCCAGCCCAGATCCCAATTGAATCCCGTCCAGTGTTTGCTTCCACATCGAAGCCGTCGTATTTGCTTTGATTTCCACTTGACTTTTTATAGCCATCGAGGAGCATATGCACATACATATGATATATCCATTTTTTTCGACATCTACCCATTGGGGGAAATCGCGGTGGTCAATATTTGCATAGCCAATCCAAACATTTGTCCTGACAACGATATCCGCCTCGACTTGGGCCCTGGAATTTGCATATTTAATTTGCCTTTAATGAATTTTCAATTTGACAATTGCCGAAATGCCACACACGAGCCGGGAACTCAATTTGGACTCAATTGGGGCCACCCACAGTCATTGGGGATTATCCTGGAGAGCGATGGCATGCAAGACTGGAATGGGACTGGATTGCATGTTTGGGAGCCGAGTCCGAGTCTCGGACTCCTTTCGCTTTTCGCTTTCGTCCATAAAATGGGACAGAGTGTTAAATGCTAATAAAATAAGTAACATACAAATTTTTCAATTTTTAACCAGAAATGAAAATAACTGGGCCGAAGATGTTACAGTTTCAGTTAAGATGAGCAGAAGCTGGAACACTTTCACGGCCCAGAGCGACTTGCTAATGGGAGTCGTTGACGTGCGCCTACTTTCCTCTCATTTCGAACTCTGCCTCGCAAAAGGTCCTTTGGAAAGGGTAAGGCATTGGGGTTATGCCTTTAGTTAGAGGGCTTGGGTTGCAAATTTACTTAGTTGCAAAAATACTTCAACTTTTACGAGAACTACCTCGTTTTTTAAAACAAATAGTTATCTTATACGCAACATACTCAAAATAGGGTCTTTGACATTTACAAATATATGTATATAGATACTACCGTTTATTATCCTTTAAAGAATTTTTCCGAAAAGAAAAATCTTCAAATATTCTTTTTTTAAGGAAGAAGAATTAAGGAGAATATTATTTATTAAACAAAAAAAATTCCATTATTGAGGAAGAGCATTGAGAATACCTTATAGACCCATTCATATTTAATCAATAGTTTTTTCATGCGCTTTCTGGAAGCTGGCTCCCATTTCAATATCCCATTGCCCGCCCAGGTCTGGCCAGGCACAAGTTGCATTTATCCATATTGACGTGAAACGAACGGCCCGTTACATGCGTAATGATGCCAAAGCCAAAGATGGGTATTGGAGCTATCCGGGGGCATTGAGTCTGATGGTAAGTGGGTCTCTTGACTCCTTCGCATCGGGCAGCCAGTCGATAACTGACAGGCACGCAAGGCGCCCTTCAAGAGTAGGAACAAAAACGAGCTGCAGTCTTAACCTTTTTTGCCCCTTTAATGGACAGACAGCACGTGCATTGCTGTTGCAATGAAAATGTAAATTTTCAAATCGATCGAGCCTGGTCAGCGGATGCCTCTCCATCGGCTAGCGCAGATAGCATAAACTTTACATCGATTCGAGATCCGAGGGATGCGATCTCTTGCAGGTGTAACCGAGGGCGTCACTTGCACAACTGTCTTCGGTTTCGGACCTGCTCGTAAATTGCACAAGACGACATCGGAGGGATGGCAGGACACTCGAGGCAGGACACTTTTTGGGGTGGATATTGTACATACCTGCGTGCGTCCAATAAATTTGTTGTGCCGCGCTTGGTGCGGTTTGTTGTGTGACATTTTTATCTAATTGACAGCGTTTTTATTGCCGGCAGATACCGCAAAATATCGAGGATAACGAACAGGTCCTTGGGGCGTGCTACTGGTCGCAGTGGCTGGGTGGGCGCGGGACTTCAAAGATCCACAGAAGTGGGTGTATCAGAATGGGTATTGCATTATGATTTCCAGCGAATCATTATGGATCGGGAGAGGAGGCGTGGGAGGGTTACCGAGGATCGCCTTGGGAAAGATCCAAAGGACCACCGAGGGCGCCTCGTTTTGCCTTGTCATCCTGGCTCTCTACAACTAAATTCCCTTTTCATTTCTCCCCTCATATCATGCAGGAAACCGTATTAATTGCGAGGCGCTAAAATGTTAGCCCGGCTCTTAGTTAGTGCCTGCCACGCTTATTAGGCCGGCCAAGCGTGTCCTTGACAGGATAGCGCCGGGACCGGGCAGACCTACTCACCCTACTCAAGGCCGGCGCAACAAGCGTATCAATTGGAAAATTTGCCAAGTTGTAATAAACAAGATTTTTCATTGCGATACAAACGAAGTCCACCTTCGATTTTTGGTCGGCATGCCGAATCGCCAGGCGGCGGCAAAATTGTAAAGATCCTGCGGGGCAGGTCAGGTAGTTTTAACCGATTTAGATTAGATAAACCTCAGCTCTGGCCCTGGCTCTTTGAGGACCAGCTCTGCCATTTGGTGGTGCTGACAAATCATTGATGATGGTCAGCAATCTGAGGGATTTTTGCAAATATCGATGGACTTTGTTGCGGTCAGGGCTTTAGTTTTAATCCCGTTTCGGGAGGATTGTTTGCATTTCCGCCCCTGCCTGTTCCGGTTGCCGGCCAACCTGTAATCATCTTGTTAGCGGCTTTAGATGCGGCCCTTATGATAGTTGGTTTTCTAGCGAAGCGCCATTTTAAGCTCAAGCACTTCCAAAAAGGGAAAAGTACGACCAGCGAAACAATTCACCACCAACTGCCATTGGCCGGTTCACTCGGGCGGCACGTGCTGCCTCGTCGGGGCAACATGCAACATGCGGCAGGAACTCGTTTACCTGTCCCCTACCTACCTACCTGCCGGATTGCCTACCATCGTGGTGGGTTTGCGGGTATAAATACGGCCGAAAGGACGAGAGGCCAGTCAGAAACCCGCAAGCATTCGCAGTGTTTACATCGCATCATCCCCAGTTAGTCCAGATAAAGCAACATCAGCACCATGTCGTCCAGTGAGATATATCGCTACTACTACAAGACCTCCGAGGACCTGCAGGGCTTCAAGGCAGGCGCCACCGAGCCCTACTTCAATCCCATGGCCGCCTACAATCCCGGCGTGACCCACTACCAGTTCAACTGCAACTCCCTCGCCAGCAGCAGCAACTATCTGTCCGCCAATGGCTTCATCAGCTTCGAGCAGGCCAGCTCCGATGGATGGATCTCGTCCTCGCCGGCCAGTCATCGTTCCGAGAGTCCCGAATACGTGGATCTCAATACCATCTACAATGGAGCTTGCAACATGCCACAGCAGCAGCAGCAACAGGCCCAGCAGCAACAGCAACCCCAGCAGCAGCAGTATGGAATGAATCTTGAGCAGGCCTCCGCCTCTGCTCCTGCTCCTGTCGCAGCTCCGCCAGCCGTTGAAGCCATGGGCTCCTCCAATGTGGGGACTTGCCAGACTGTGCCTGTCAAGCCCAAGCGCACCTACACCAAGAAGAATCAAAAGAACGTGGCAGCTCCTCCGGTATCCAATCTCTACACCGAAGAGTTCCAAAACTTTGACTTCGACAACTCCGCCCTGTTCGACGACAGTGTGGAAGACGATGATGATCTGATGCTCTTCGGCAGTGGCGGAGAAGACTTTGACGGTAACGACGGATCCTTCGACCTGGCCGATGGCGACAGCGAAGATGCGCCAGCTCCAGGATCTGGAAAGAAGCGACGTGGCAAGCAGATCTCGCCAGTGGTGAAGCGCAAGCGCCGACTCGCCGCCAATGCCCGAGAACGTCGCCGGATGCAGAACCTCAACCAGGCCTTCGACCGTCTCCGGCAGTACCTTCCGTGTCTGGGTAACGACCGTCAGTTGTCCAAGCACGAGACCCTGCAAATGGCCCAGACCTACATCTCAGCTCTGGGGGATCTGCTCCGCTAAGAGCACACCCTCCAGGTTACCCTCATTCTCAGTTATTGTTGGAGCTTGCCAAATATTGTACCTATCCTGTAAATATCCTGTAACTAGGAGCCCAGTAGTGAATTACCGCTTAAGTATTATGCTGTTTCTTGTTTAGTTAATTAGATTAAATGGAAGACAATGATTTAGACTTAAGGAAGACAAAAATAAAAGCAAAAATAATCATTAAAATATATTTTGATTTTTATTTTATTAAAAATTTAAATTGGTTTTAATGAAGAGGCTTCCTTTTAAATGGTTTTAGACATGGGTCTAAGAAATACATGGCTAAATAGGGCTTCATTTAAACAGATACATTGGGTTGGATGATTTGGGATAATTTTACATATATCTCAAAAAGATTATAGAATAAAATATTTTACTATTTTAAAGAAAATATTTCTTTGGCGAAAGTATTTCTTTACTTTCTATAACCCTATAAACTCATCCCACTTTTTAAAAAGTTCGTGTAATTCGCATATGAAATGAAATCCAGAATATTACTCTGTTGATTAAGCCACTCGTACCTGTTTATCTCTGGAACATCCACAGCTTCCTTGGCTCCTCAGAGCTCCTCCCTCTTAGGACTCCTCCGCACGTATATCCGCGGGCATCAATTCGCACACTGTTTTCGAGGGTTTAGCGTCTCGCGCCCATTGAATTGGTTTTTATTATATGGGGGAAGGTGATCGATTTGGCGCTTCGCGATCAATTTGTAGGCAGTTCGACAAAATTAGGGGCCGATCGTTTCGGCCAAAACAAATACGAAGCGGACGGCCCAAACGATCTGGCCCAAAAACAGTATTGTGCCAATAATTACACGGCGCGCCGGAGTGTAGCTGCCAAATTAAGTTAAGTGTTGGGCTGATCTGCTTTCAGCAGTCGCAGGTCGCATGCGATGTCCGTCCCATGTACCTTGTCCCTTATCCCAGCTTCAAGTCCGAGTTCGAGTCCCAATCCCAAAATCCCGGTCTTCAATCCCCGAAAAACGACCCGAAAGTCAAGCGCCACTCACAAATCGTTTAAGTCGAAGTTCGATCCTTGATCGTTGTTGGTGGATAAACTTGGCGGGTTAACGCTTTAAGCTGATTCATACACTATCCAAAATATATTAAAAGTTTTGAGTATATAATCATAAAGTAATACTTTCGGCTTACCAATCATTTTTTAAGTATTTCGTCCAACAATTTCATCCTATTTAAACACAATTTTGGAATACCTCATAGTATATCTCATACCTATTAAACTATTTGAAAAAACAATTTCTATAAACTATTTAATAGAATATGTATTATATATTAGCTCTTTATTTTCTTCTCAGTGTGACAATTCATTCAGCAAAAAGCGATGCTGATCCGGGGCTCATTCAGTCAGTCAATCATTTGGAAGATTCGAAACCAATTTGTTGATAGCGACAGCCAGGACTGCTGACGATCGACTCCCGCATGGGAATTGGAGCGCTTGTAGGCGGCTGATTCAATGGGGGCGTGGCAGGTACAGGATTTCGTGGGCTGTTACTGTTTGTTTTATAAAATCATTTTCGGGCGTCAACAAATAAAGTTTGGTTACCCATACATACATATATGGCCCAGGGGTTTAGCTGTTCGCGGATTTAAGTTTTCGGTTTTCGGGTTTTCGGATTTCGGGGCTTATAATCAAAAGGAAATTCACATAATTAGTTACCATTGGCGGCACCGCCATCGACAGGGCTTCGTTAAATTGTTAATGACTTAATTTAGTGGTCGCGAGGTGCGGGCGTTTCCCCCGGAGAGGCAATTATATTTTGTATACCGATATTCGCGTGATATCCTGCCGTGATCGTCAGCCCCCGGATTCCCCGGGGTATCTGGAGAGTGTCGCTCTTGTTAGCGACAATTTACGGCTTTGAACGCTTCCGCACAAAGCGCTGCCGTCAATTTGTCAATTACGCAAATTGTTTGGGTCCCCCCGGACTTGGACCTGGATCCTCTTCCTGCCGAGTTGCTACTGCCGCCTGCCACCTGCATGCAGCTGCACAGATTCAGATTCGCCTTCGCATACGAATTCGAATTCGGATCCTGATTCAGATTCAGATGCCGCTTCCAAAATGCAACTGCCTGCCAATACAATTAGTTAGAATTCATGAATGGAAGCTCGACCCCAGTCGTCTTTTGACTTTCGGCTTTTGGCAATGCCGACACAGCAGCAACCAGAGGACACAGCGGCAACACGACTTGCCACAGCAGCAACATCAACAATATCAGCATCAAGAGTACACAGAAAAAATTTGTATTTAAATGTTGGAAATGTTTTAATTATGGGCTTGTAGCTTTAAGTTCTGGGAATTAAATTATTTAGACTACCTATAATAGTTAATAATTTTTTTTGCTGTGTATCTGAGCAACAGGATAAGCAACCAGAGCAGCTAAAGTCACAAAGTTGCCGGTTGCATGTCTTTGTCAATTTATAGACAGCTTGCCTGAGCATTATTAACACGTATTATTATGCATTCGATGTTCGGTTCCTCTTCGACTTCTTGGGGTGCGACTTGGTCCTGTTCCTGTTCATTCTAGTGGCTTTTTGTGCCAAAAAGGGGAATGAATGCTACGAAATTTGTCATGTCGATAATTGGAGAGCTTTATTTTGAGGTTTTTGAGGTTTTGTTCGGAGTATCTGAAGCTTAAGTAGTTTGTGGCCATGTATCGGCATCTCCATCGGACGCTATATCTGTATCTGCGTTAAGTAACTTAATGAGCTTTAACACCACCAATTTGTCATTTCTTGTTAGTGTCGCCATTGGGCACGATCCGAACATCTTTCCTGAACTGTTCATCGGTGGGTTCATTTTGTGGTCTTTAAGTAATTTTAAAATAAGACCCATCTCTCTCAAAAAAATATAGTCGAGGCAATAATTTCTATAACTTTTGAATAAACATTCCTTCAGGTAGCCATGGATAATCCATTGTGACCCCATAAATTGCATTTGTATCTGAAATTATTTTTTAATTTTCTTCAATAGATTTTCTCATGCCTTTTTGGGCACATTTTCCCTCAATTCCGTGATAGGCCAACCACAAGATACAAAGTATTGTATCTTTCTCCCTGTTTTGGTTGCAACTTCAAGTGCAGTTTCCGTTTCCGCCGCTCTGTTTTGGCATTGTTGTGTGAAGATTTTGCGCTGATCCTTTAATTGTTGCGCAACGATTACCGGAAAAAATATACCTAGAATCTCGGAGGAAATACAAAAAAAAAACCTTCAGGTAAAAGTATCTCCGATGTCGGACCTTTCCCTACAAGTCGCGTGCAGTAACAGGCATTGGTTTTTAGCCAAGTCTGGACTGGGCCTTGGCCAAATGAATGCAATTATTAAGTCATAAAACGGACACCGTAAAATGCCAAACTCTGTAATTAGCGACACCAAATCACGTCGATCACGCCCCCATCTTCCATTCTCAGCCCATTAGTTGGCTTTGTGTGCGGTCCGCGGAGAGGAGAAGGATTACCTGCCAGAGGACAGGATATGGAGAGAGTTTAGGGAAGAGCAGGGAAAGTAAGGAAGGCAGGACTCCGCCAAAAGTCGATGTTTGTTTAAGAAAGTTTTGGCAACCAACAGCGGCAATTAGTCAAACGATTGGCAAGGCCTTTTCCATCAATCAACAAAGGACCCTGGATCCAGTTACCAGTTACCGACCATTATTGGCCCATCAGCCCCATCAGGGAGCAGTAACAAATTTAACCGTTACCCATTTGACAAAACCAATTCGCACGGCCAACGGCCCAAAAATCTGAGAGTGGCCCAGTCTCTTGGTAATTTAATTAACCGCACAGAGATCGGCACAGTTGACTGGCTTTTTGTTTAAAGGCTCTGGCTCTTCTCCTGCGGCTCCACCGACTCCTGCCCCATCTCCACCAAAGTCAATAAAGTTGGTGGGCATTCTGAGACGAGGCTTAAAGTTCTCAGTATCTCACGCTGCAGCCAAAGGTGATCGAGGATCGGAGATCAACAGGCAGCGGCCAGTGAAAGTGCATCAAAAATCAAAGTCTTTCGGGAATTTTTGACAATTTTTTAGCGAGGCATCAAATTAACACAACAAAAACGATAAGATGCTACCAAAACGGTGTTTAAAGCCAATAAAAAAATGGGTTTAAGAAGGTAAATGTGGTATACACTTCCAAAGTTTTATATCAAACAAACTTAAACACTTAATTTTAAAGATTCATGTAGAATTAAAGTTTTAAAGCAGCCGCTTTTTATTTAAAGAATAAGTTTTTCAGGATAAAGGGTAGAGTATTTAAACATTCAATACCTTAACTCTCCAGTTTTCAGCTTTTTTAACTGAAATTGCCACACGCAAGCCATCGCTTTGTCACGTTAAGATGAGGCCGGGAGACTGGGGGTCCTGGGGGCTCTGGAGTCTTCGAGGCCCGAAGATTTGGTCTGGTCTGTGTCTTCTGGCCGAACAAAAGATTCCTGCTCTGGGACCTGTAATTTTGTATTGACATTGGGTCATTTGATACAGTTTTCCAGCTCATTTGCTTGTAATTGGGCACCGCAGTCCCAGCCCAGACTCCACACGAGATTCCCGACTGTGGGGATGGGAGTGGACGACTCAGGTTGACGACTTTTCAAATTATCAGTAATATTTTGGAACTTGTATATTTATTAATCGGGATTTCGTGTGAAAAATGCGCCCAGGGTGCGTTCATGTTGTGTGTGTTTAAGCCAGACTCAGCAGACAGGACCGGCCATTTAATGTCAACGTCGTCGGTGGCGACGGCATCACTTCATCTCTGGGCCAACTTATTTGGGCCCTCTTTTTTTTTGGCACTGGGCCTTTTGATTTTGGTTCAGGAGCTGCCACCTGCATTGACTTTGGTTGCTTTTTTATGGTTGCCCTTATCGACCTCTCTCGATTGGGAGTGAGTGAGAACTTAATCCCTTGGCCCCAATTATTCAAGTAATTAAGTCTTAATGTGCGAAATTGTATCACCTGCGGGCAGGGCTCGGCTTGAGTCGTGATTTTCCAGGCGATTTGTGTTTAAACGATCGGTAGTGTGGGGCTTCTCGAAAGAGATATTCATATTTGGAGTTTGAAGGATAAAATGTGATTAATATTTGAGACTTATTATTATAAATTCTTTAAAATTCGTCTGTTAGATCCAAGCTAAAATTGCATTTTCCGAGAAAATCCTGTAATTTTGAGTGATAGCTAATAAAATTCTCAGGATCAAGAGGCACCGCTCCTTGCCGCCAAAGATCTAAGAGGTTTACAAGTCCTGTACAAGTGCAATTAGTAGATATAATCCGTGTGATTCCACCCAACTAAAATGTCAATAACAATAAATTCCTGGCAGCCAAGCACCGACAAAACATCGAATCAAGATAGCAAAGCGATCAGCTCATAACTGTCATGAGGCAATCAATTGATTTTAGCCCGAGGTCCAGCCCAGCGTTTCAGGCTAGAAAGGATATGGGTACCCAGAACTGGCCGAGCTCGCTGAACTGGGGATGGGAGCGAGACCTCACAGGACCTCGGTTCGCATAATATTTTAGAGGCGTGTTCCGCCTGTCAACATTTTATGTTGGTGGTCAGCTCTCAGGGCCAAATTGTGGTGGCAACTGACACAGCAGCCAAAAAAAACCAAAAAATCCTCTGGCCGTTTTGGTTAGCGCGCGGGTGTTCCCAGGACAGGTCCTTGAGCGAACAATGGAACAATGGCCAGTCCTTTGTGAAACAAAGGCAACTACTTACAACACATTATGACACGAAAGTGAAAACGAAAACTACCATATCCCAGCCACAAATCCTCGGAATGCCAATGGGCATTTTATTGCCCTTCGTTGTCCTGATTCATTGCTATTGCTCTATTTCTGCGGCTCCCGGTGAGCTGCGGCATGTCTTTTGGGGTTCTTTGAAGGGCCAGGACCACGGCCAGGACATTGAATTTGCGTGAACCAAAACTAATTTTATTGCTTAATTTTTTGTGTGCCGGCGATTCTTTTAATTGAATTGCGCGATCTGGAAAATTTAACATTTGTCTCTTCAGAAAAGTTCATTATTTATATTTATGTGGACCGACCCATCTTCAATATGGGAGTTTAATGTAAATGAACCTTTTTGTTTCGTTGGATTTGATTCGATTTTGGTTATGCTTATTTATATAAATATATGTACACGATTTGATCATTTTATACGCCTAGCTGGTGAGTAATTTGTTAATTTAAAACCATTTTTAAACAATATTGATTTATAGAACAAAGCACTTTAAATGAGTGAAAACTTAAAGTTATTCCTCTTGAAAAGTCCAACTCTCTAAGAGGTTTCATGAAAGAAAATAAATATTATAAGATTTTAAAAAGTCATCTCACCCCTAATACTACCTTTAAATTAGATTTTTCTAGCATCCTCGGAGGCGGATCAATTATTGTCGAAGAACATCTTCCTGAATTGGCCAGCTGACGCCTGGATATCTTGGCCAGGTCCTACGGCACACGTGTTCAATTGGCAGGCATGCGCGCGATTTCGGGGCTCAATTCGGGATTTGTAAGTCGAGCCCCGACTTTCAGGGCATCCTTGTCGGCCTCACACCTTCCCCAATTCCCCGGTTGTGGCATCAACCCTTCCGAATGGTACTTTTTTATTTTGGGGCTGGGTCCTTAAAGCCGCTTGTCCTGCTGTTACTGTTTCGGTCGTCTTCCCGCTTTCAGCCACTCGTGCTGATCGGAAGTCAACAGTAACTGTTGCCCAAGAGCTCCTGCTTCCTTCGAAATTCTGTGTGTCTGAAAAAAACCCCCAACCGTAAATGAAACAGCTACAAGAAGTATAATTTTAACAAACCAGAGAAACGGATCCTGCACTTGAAAAATTGTTCAAAAATTTTAAATTTTATTCTATTCAATAATCTTTTAGATCTTTTATATTAGAGACTAATAACAACAAAATCAAGAAAATCTTTTAAGAAGAATGGAAAATTGAATCAAAAGAGTTAATAAAGTATGCTCTTTTATTTGTAATGAAAGTTCAACCAAAAAATAATAGTCTCAAATGCTTAAAAATTAAAGTAATATTTTTTTTAAGTGTTTGGAGCGAAGGAGCGTGGGCAACCCAATTTCCAAAGTCAAAAGTGGCACCAGATGACGGCGTGCGCCGTCCGTTTGTTCTGGTCCAAAGACAGTGCCAGACCGAGACAGCAATAGAGGTCCTGGCGATGGAAGATCGGCAAAAGATGGCATATGTTGCACTATGCCTGTGTGGAGTTTGCTAGTTCTATCCCGTTTTGGCCACGGTTCCGGACTTGATCCTTTTTCGCTGGCTTTCACTCGCACGCCACGCGGCTCGTCCTGCCGACAACAACATAAGCAATAACAATAATTATAATTCCATATTGTGATCCCAAAAACGCGTCAGTTGGTCGCAGGCGGAAACCTCGAATCTTAAGTATACGGCAGTAGTGCTAGACAACCCGAGGGTTTCTTGGCGCGGACCCTCAGAAGGTACCGCCGCCACGTCTAGTTACAGTTATCCAAGAGATCAGCGGTAGCAGTTTCAGACCCACGCCATTAAAGCTGCATCAATCAAAATTATAGACAATTCAGCAGCGATTCTTAAACACGGAAGACAAGCTCCAAAGGCGCCGTCGATTTTAAAAGATTCCCTAAAGAATGGCATGTGCTAATATGTGTCTCAAGGTAAAAGCCATTAAATTTGGATTAAGTAGCAGGCTGCGCTTTCAATTTCCTTAAAATAAAAACCATTTATAAAAAAAGCTATGCGATTTATACACTTATAATATAAGACTTTCGAAAAGTTGCCCATATCGCTGTTATCGCTGTTATAGTTCTTATCGGCGAAAGCTCTCCAGAAAATATGAAAGTTTTAATCGAACAACTCCCATCACTGTCCTCTTATTCCCACGAATGGTCCTATTACCTTCAGTTGTACTCTAGAATTAGAGGCGAAAAAGTCTACTTTTAAATCGCAATTTCGCAATTGACTAATTTTTAAAAAATGTCTTCTGTCGAAATATTGTTTGCTCTTACTATTGTGGCCAGGAACGAAAATATTCGAGTGACGGTTGCGGAAACGGCCCAAGGAGTTGCAATTTGTGCTGCCGGTGCCCTTATCGGTGGCCTATTGATGGGCACCAGAGGATTGGCGCTGGGTGGAGCTATTGTAGGTCTAGCTTCCTGTGAATTGGCAGAATCACTACTTGGTGAGTCACTACTTTGCTGGAAAACTGATAACTGTTGTATAATAAATAACTTTAGATTTCAAGTCCCTGGCTGATGTTATTTCCGAAGATTTGTCGGAAAGTGAACGCAACGAATTAGAGGAACATGTGATCAATGCTGTCAACAATATCACTCCGGTTGATGTCCTTGAGCTGGGGTTTTTAATCATGACGAATCCAAATATTCAGAGCCTTGCCATGAATGCGGTGAAATCTTTTGCCACCAATCATCTAGGACATACCATTATTGATTAATTTGTTTTTATATTTTAAATTGCATTGTATTTGAACATTTTATTTGATAATAAAAACAGATCATTTTGAATTTTTAAAATAGAACTTATTATATGCCTATGGATCCGCCGACTTTATATGTAGCTTTATCTTTTTTATTCAACTGCAGCTGAGCTGCGGTGCTACATCGATTCTTATCTTATCACCTTTAGCTTTTATTATCAAGCTTCCGAACAACTAATTATTAAGTTGTGGGGTTCCTAGTTCTTTAATTTTTTACAAAAAATACAAATGAATTTTTGCAAATACGCAAACTTTAGAAGCTTAGAAGCTTTTCTAGGCATTTGTTTGTATAATAAAATACTACAAAATATTATAATATTTTGCTGGATTGTGGGGGACACATACATACGTATTAAATATTAATTACAGGCCTAGCGGCAAGAAAATTATCAATATCTAATGCATATTTACTACATTGTGCATTCAGTATTTGATCACCTTTAGAGGATCAGGCTTCAATAGACAAGCATCGCTAGATGGGCGAATTCCGTCAGTTGTCTGAAATCGCTCAACAGATGTTGGAGTAGGTGCTGCAAAGGCCCGTACTCGTATCTCGGAGATACAAATGCCAGGCGATCACAGCAACAACTGTTACAAGCAGTAAAAATAAGATAAAATTCAGACTCTTAGTGAAATTGCGCCAAGAGGCGAAATGAAAAGTAGACATTTTCAATGGTGGCTATGCACTGTAAACAATTCGATAGCTCCATAGGCAGGGCCCTGAAATATTTGAGGGATAGTTGGTAGAAAACTCGGCTCAGTGAGTGGAAGGAAGGCCGAAATTATTTGGAGAGATAGAGATAGCGAAGGGACTGGCAAACTGGCTTGAACTCTATCCCTTTCTATGACCAGCTGTTACCAATTCGGATCCGAAAGCCATATCGTGTGGCTGCCACGTGTCTGGCCAAGTCCATTGGGCAATTGGTCAACTGAACAATGGCCAATTAGTATGCATGCGAGTTTGAAAAGTGAACTTGCGATTAGCCACAGAGTTGCCAAAAAAATAAGCATATACAGTGGAAGCTCAGTAACAGGTCATAGGGATATAACTGAGAAATCGGCTTTAATATTTAGAAGCTGTCTCGACCTGCTCCACTGTACTACATATGGAGATGAGCTCCCCAGTTTGGTTGCAGCAGCTGTAAAATCAATCAAAAAGTTGTCAAATAAATGTCATGCAAATCGAATAAGTGAGCAGGATGTGGCGAGTCCAATGGGTGCATAAATTTGTATTTCTCTTAAAACAGTTTGCCTTTACTGTAGGCATTGATCCTGTTCCTGGCGGAGGTAGTCACCGATCTCCTCCACGACCCCTCGAAGGCAGTGCTCGGCGAGGATCACTTGATCCTCGGCGGCCTGATGCGTTCGCACCATAAGCAGGGAGGCATTGTGCATGGATTGGGCCATGCCCACATTGATCTCGGCCATACCATTGATAAAACACACATTCCCTCCGATGGTAGCCAGAGGACCTAGTTGTGCCACGTTTAGCATTTGGCACTGAGCTGGGAGTTGGGCTATTTTCTGGACAAACTCCTGGACATTGGCGATGGCCTGTTGGCCGCTTTGGCGGAAGTCCTCGAGAAGAATTACCAGGCCGTCTGTGCACCTATTCACTTGAGCAGTCACATTTTCGTTGACCTCGTCTAGACTCCAAGTCGGATTGCAGTCGGGATTCGCAATCATAACGTTGCTGGTCTCGAATATGACATCGCTTAACTGAGCCAAGGCGTTTGTGGTGAGGACCTCGATATTTCCACTGATGTCCTGCCCGGTACGATTCATCTTGGCCTGCAGTTGGTCGGTGCTCTCATCGCTGACATTCACCGCAATCTCCGCCAGATTGTCAACCACCATGGTGACGGGTCCATAGTTTGTGGTTTCGATCGAAGTTCGGTTTTCATTCAGGCTCACGGAAGTGTCAGCTAGAGAAGCCTAGGAAACAATGATCAGTATGTGTTGCACAACTTGTGAAATATTCTCGATTCCTCACTGTCAACGCTAGCAGTAAAAGTCCCAATACTCCAATGGCCTGACTCATGATTTTGGTGTTTTCTTCGTTTATGGCGGCTGAGTTCCATTCGTTTTGGTATATATACTACATGCCCTCCATATTTATCTAGCGATAACAGTTTTTTCCCTAAAAGTACTTAAACACTGATTAGCAATTTAACTAATGAATAATACCCTCACTATTATTCCTTCTGGAAAGCACCAGAAAATTAAAAAGAAAAATAAAAAAAAATATTTTGATCGTCGATTTTAAAAAAGGTTTATGGAGAGTTCATGCACAAATTGTTTAATGTATTCTGTATACTTATTTAAAAAGTACAAGCCTTCAGTGGAATCTATGTATATTCCTCTACATACTATGTTTTTTCCACAATATCCACTCTTAATCCGTTTAAGTCATTTCGCTGCAGAATAGGACGATTTTGTATCCCTCTTTAAAGGAATACCAAAAAATTAGAAAAAAATTTAAAAAATATTTTGTTTAGAGATTTTGATGGAAATTGGTAGATCCAAAAATCGTTTAAGGTATTCAGCTCAATAATAGGATGAATATTGACAAACATATGCCCCTCGCTGCGAGCCACACTGTCCTTCAACTTTTTTTTTAGTTTTCGTTGTGGGCCAGATTATGCCTCTATGAATTTTGGAAATTTTTAAGAGGATACTCTATAAAATTTGACAAAAAATCTGAAAATAATTTTTGTTAGTAGAATTATGTAGATAGAATGGGATAAAGAAGCGATACAAAAATCGTTTAAAATATTTCGCTCTAGAAACGGTTGCGTTTTGGCAAAGATATGGCTTTTGCTGTGGGCCACATTGTCCTTCCACTGATTTTCCCCATTTTAGAAGAGCATCCTCCACAAAAATGAGAAACAATTTGGTAAATATTTCTTTAATGCGTTGAAGTTTGAAATTTGAATAAAAATGGATCCACAAATCATTTTATCGTTTTCGGCGGAGAATCAGGAGCGTTTTGGCTACGGCCTGGGCCGTAGCTTAGATTGTCCTTTTCATGTGTTCTTTAAAATCATTCGTGGCTTTTTCAAAGTTTCTTCTGCAGTCTATATTTATTCAGTCACCACATATTCTGAGATAAGTTGTATCTGATAGATAAGCATGTACCTAAGACTTCAGTTTACAAGTTCAATCAGTTTCATGATGAGTTTCGCGCGGATGATGTGGTCTCTTCGCCTGCTGATTCTTTTAGTTTGTTGGGTGAGAAATATGAATTGAAGATTCTTATACTCTATATTACTTCCTTGGTTCTTTCAGGTGTATGGCCAAAGAATGTGGGGTAACCATGGACCGCTGTACGAATCCACAAGGTTGCTAATCGAATCTGAAAGCCTAAAAGCCTCAGGGATTTGGAATAGGACTCAGGAAAGTATTCAAAAACATACGCATCGACTACTTCAGGCCAAGGATGCACTGGAGCAGAAACAGCTCCAGACCAGTGCCCGTTTATCGAAATTCTTTGGAAACGACTACACTGAGGAATGGAGAATCTGCTCGAAGAAATACGAGCTCCAGGTGGCCCACTTCAACAGGGAGTTGCTGGACAAGTACAGCATCTGCCGAAATTCCTTGGACAGCATTATGGATCACTATGAACAGGATGTTGTCGTGGAGGCCAGTTTCTTGAGCGGGGCTTCCGAGGAGATCCAAAAACTATCGAAAGCCTGTCAGATATGGCAACTGAAACAGTCTGGATTTAACCACGCCGGAGTACTTCTCTGCACAGTGTCCGGAATCGGAGGAATCAATCGGCGAATAACCAGCAGCCTTGATCTTTGCGATGGTATTTTGCTGGAAATGTCAATGGAGGACTTGGACACTCCAAGCTGTCTTTTCTATTATGACATTAAAATGCAGTTCGATGAGGTATTTTTCCAGATTGAATCCTGTGCTTTGGCCTAAAAGGAATAATAAAGAAAGAACAGAGATTTGCTTAATTCAATCTTTCATATCACCCTGATGGTTGGAATCCTCTTGACTTTTATTCAGATAGGCCATTCATGAGGAACTCACGCCAACTTTTAATTTGTTTACTGAACCATTGCCCCTTTTGAAGGGTTATATATAGAGCAATATATGGGGGCGATAAGGAGTGATTATCGAAAGCTAATCAGTCCGTGGCCACTTAAGGAAATCCAAGTGTGGTATCGGCGATACGGGTGTTTTACGGGTTGTAGTTATGCAGATAGCGGAGCCATCTCCCCGTGGCTAGTTAGTTGGATTCTATTCGTTGGCCAGTGAAAATGGCCAGGTTTTTGCTCTTCCTACTGGCCTGCGGGCTGCTCTGTTCGATAGTCAGTGGCCACCAGGAACTGGAGAATCTGCTGCAGAAGCAGAAGGTGGACTTGCAGTTGTCCAGCGATGAGGTGGCGGCCTTGCGTCCTCTCTACCGCGAACTACAGGCCCAGTACGACTATCTGTACAGTCTTCAGATGCAGATGGGCGATGGAAGCGCTCCAAACAAGACGGAGAATACCCCATTGGATGAAAACTACCTGCAGTCCTTCCAGGACTTTCGCAGCAAGTTTTCCATTTACCTAGAGGATACCCCGAAAGTGGTATACGACACCAAACTGCCCACAGTGGAGGAGATAATGGGTGAACCCAGTCCCGACCTTAGCCCGGATCAAAGAGCAGAGTTCGAGGACTTGCGGGAGATCCTGCAGGACGTTATCGACGAAGCCCAGGTCGGCATCGATGACCTGGTTGTTAAAGCCCTTTCATTGGAATCCAACCTTCTGAAACTAAACAAACCCAAGATTGTAACTGCTGCCATTGCCGGATTGGGTTACATGTGGAACTATTGGGGGCGGGGAACTCAAGCCGCCTACTGCAGCTACTCATTGGTCCCCGAGTTTCAGGTGGCCCTGCAGGCCATCAACGATGGAGTCGATTGCTACACCCGCACCATGGCCCTGATCCTTCGTATCCAGGACGAAACAGTGTCCGCCGTCAAGGAGGTGAAGAAGAATGTCAGCAGCCTGGTGAAGATCTACAAGAAGATTGCCGCCAAACAGACCACCGTGGGCAAGATCCTCTCAGGAACGGTCAATGCCCTCAGTGCCATACGCAGGGTCCACGACATCATTGCCGTGGGAATCGATGTCTACGGAAAGATTAACGACCAGTTGCCAGGAGAGGCTCTGCAATCCGTTCAGTGCGGCCAGCTGTTCGTCAACAGTATTCCTCAGATGGTGGAAACAGCTCAGAACCTGACGGTGTGTATCACCTACGTGGATCCGGATAAGACCAGCTACGAGTTCACCCTACCGGAGGATGAGCGCTACTGGAACATCGGAGCGGATCCCCCAGAAATCCCCCATGAAAATGAAGTGGACTGGGATGACGATGACGACGATGCGGAACCCGAAGAGGAGGCGGACGATTATGTGGATCACAGATAGGAGACGTGTGGAATTTCCCAGTTCAGTGCGATTGATAAGCGAAAAAGAGGTAATCGGATTAATCAATTTTGTGATAATACTCGATTACCTGCCTACAGCTTGTATTAGCCTTTTATAATTGTGATTAAAATATATTTAAAACAAGAAACAGTGAGTTTTATAGTTCTGTTGAACTTAGTTCAGAAAAAACTATTCCTTCGTGTTATAGCTTTTAAAAACGGACTGAGAGAGCGTGCTGAGGAATCATTTCCTCCCATATTTCATTTCAATTTGCAAAGTTCTTATCTTTAAAATTTGCAATCGTAGAAGGTCATTTTTAATTTAACACACTATTTAATAAAAATACATATTTAATTAATAATTTACATAGTATGTGTTAGTTTTTATTAGTTTACACATTTAAAAAAAAAACAGATTCTTTTACAATTTTTTTATATGACACTTTTTCTTGTTTTATAAAATGCATTTAAATATTGGCGACCCTCAGAGGGCTCTTCAGATTTATTCCTATGACTAGATTCTGGACTTGAGACTGGGGTTTCATCGACTAGACATCGCTCTCCTTGAGCTGGCGGACATACTGCTCACTCAGGGACTTATTTATTCCGTCAAAGTTCACGGCTGGAGGTCCGGCGGCTTGCGGCGTGCTCTGGGACTTGAGCACGTTTCGGTTTGTGGGACTTGGCGGTGGCTTCTCGCCGGCGAATGCCTGTGGAATGGCGATCACATCGGCCATCAGGGTTTGCCGGCAGAGGGCGGAAAGGGCGCTGCCAGGTCCTGGGGGTGGCGGCGTATCCTTAGGCTTCTTGTGACCCCGGCGCAACTTCGAGGTGAGTGTGGCAAAGCCCAGTTTACTAGATATCTTGGCGCTCCGACTCACTCTTCTCGGCAGGCTATCGTAGGCACTGGAGGTGCTCACACTCTCGTGGTCGGTGGATGCATCTTGATGCCGTGATTCCGACTCCTGGGCAACACTAGCTCCGCGCATGCTGCCCGCACTGATGCTTTTCTTGAGCACAACAGCATCCACGGGATCACATTTAGGCGTAAGGGGTTCCTGGCGCGGAGTGACTGGAGCGCTCTGCAGGAACTGCTCCTTGGCCAACTGGAGGCGTATGGCCCGCTCCGAAAGGGGTGTAACTGGACGCTCGGTGGGCGCCAGAATCTGGGGTGGGGGAAATTCAAACTGTTTGGCCTTGGTGGGAGTGTTGGGGTGCTTCCGTTGGATTCGAGGCAATGTGTTGTCCTGCCGATTGGGCAGAATCAGAGGAGCCGGGGCCGGGGGAGGCGAATGCGCCCTGGAGAACGTAGATCCTGAGCTGGTCTTGGCTATCTTGTGTTCGATCTTGTTAGTTACAGTGGCACTGTGTGACTTGTGCAGAGAATTCTTCTTGTAGAGATGAGCTTTTCTCGGGGGCACTGGAGGATTAGCTGTCTCCGCTTGTGATCGGGACTCTGTTAATTTCTGCATGCTGTCACTTGCCAGGGGAGGACGCACCAGGAGAGTTACCCGGCCCATGTTATCGCTGCTCTGAGACTTGGGCAACGGTTCTTTGTGGGGGAACGAGGAGATTCTTTCCAAACTAATGGATTTGTAGAGGCTAAGGAGCCGCGGAAGTTTCTTAAACTTCTCCAGCCTGTCTGGCTTCTCCTCCACCGGACTGTCTAGTTCCTTAGCGACTGCAGCAACGCTTTCGGCGGCATGGTGGCTTGCCTTGTGTATGGTGGTGAACAGTTTGCGTTTGGTTTTCACAAAAACATTGCCATTGGAGTGGTAGTTTCTGCTCTTGGGCTCTGGTAAGGGGGGAGGCACAAAACCACCTGGTTTTTTTTCTGGAACAGTTTCAGTCAGTGGCTTTGCACCAATAGATGAAGTAGGAACTGTAGAAGGAGCAGGCACAGTAGCTGGAGCAGGATCTGGTGCTTGAGCTACCGTTTGGCTCGATTCGATAAGCTCTCCTGGCTTGACCTTTAGTGAGCCGTATACAATTTCCTCTCTAGGTGTGGCAATCTCCGCTTCATTCGTCGGCGATCCCAGCCGGAAATCATCATCTAAAGAGCGCTGCTTCAGCCGAAAGTTTTTGCGACGCAATCGACGCGGAGTCTCCAGGACGGAATGAGCATCCGCATCACTGCTGTCGCTCTCCGTCTTGCTGTTCTGTCGCGATCCCATCTTTCGAAGGCGCAGCATCTTCTTCTTGGCACAAGCATTTCCATTGGCATTACCATTCGGGTTGGAACTAGCCAATGGGGCACTAGATCGGCAGAGGGTACCAGTGGTGGTACTTGTCTCCGTTTCATGTTCCATCGGCGACGCATTACTGGCACTGTTATCGTCTAGGGCCAAGCGATCCCGGCTAGAGTTATCACAAGTGGCGTAGGCGGAACTGGAATCCACCTGCTGACCATCCTCACTGGTGATGTTGATATCTGGGACGATGTCGCGTGGGAAACGATTGGTGCCCCCCTCTGAAAGAAAATTTTTAATTATATAGGAAGAGGAAAGCAATTTCAATTCTTACGGATGCCCAACTTAAGGCACTGCAGCGATTCCAGTAGGCCGTGCAACTCCTCCAGATACTCCAGATTGCGTTCCTGCATTGTCTCCTGGCAGCAGGCCTCATCCAACGGTGCTTTTTCGCTCTGAAATGCCAAATGAAATAATAATTATGGTTTTATTGCATTTTAATGCCTTTTTCGTAATTCACCAATTCGGCTAGTCGACCCAGTTCGCTTTGCACATCCGATATGGCATTGAGCACGCCCGCCTTCATCAGGTTATTGGAGTAGTATGGATAAATGCTACGAATGCCCAGCAATGCGGCCTGGCAGTCCCGCGTGGAGGGGTGCTCCATGAGGTCCGGCGACGCATTCTTTAGGTTTCCGAACAGTTCATCGGCACGTTTCAGTGCACCCAGCAATGGAGCCAAATTCGTGTGCGATTCGAAGCTTTGCACGCGACGCGAATTTCTGGAATAGGAGATCTTTATGATTCTGGAGGATTTGTGAATTTCGATATAACGTACACATAGTCATTGCACTGCACTTCCTCGTACTTGTAGATGGGCGTCTGTTGCTCCACCAATGTGTGCGCTGTGACCAGTGGCGAGGCGGTATCATGGATGTGCTCCTCCACCTCAACCATCACTGCCTCCGGTTCATCGTACTTCTTGAACTCGTGATCGGTGAGGGCGTCAGTACTATCCTCGATCTCCTTCAAATCGTTCACATCGTTAAGGGACAGGGAAGAGGCCTGCTGGGAGATTGCAGGCGCCGGATTGCAGTTGGGTGAGACGCTGTCCAGTGAAAGTGATCGACTCAGAGTGGGTGAGTGCTCTGCCGCAGCTGAAAACAAGGTTAAGCTTTAATAAAAGACTTTTTAATAAAAAGAGTAGCCAACCCTTATTGCAATCCTTATTTATGCGATGTACATCGATGGGGCAGTATCCAGGATGGAGAAGAGCAAAGGTCGAGGCCTCCGGTCCTATCCCCCTGGCCTTCTCCCACTCGTAAAGTTTGCGGGTAAACTTTCTAGAAATACCCTCGAACTTCATCACTTCACCATCTGAAGTCTTGACCTCGATCTTTTTGGAAGAATGATCTGGAGCCACGATAGCCTTAAGTCGCGACAATCTATTGGGAGATCATAAGTATTAACACCAATTTGTAAGGGTGAGGGGTTATAGGTACTTCTCCCTGTCGTGTGGCCGGGTCTTGTACCATCTGTCATCGTCGGATCCTCTTCTTGTGGATTGACTGTGTTTGGAACCACGTTTCAAGGAATCAGTGTCGGAAGTGGTTCCTCCGCCAGGAGCACACTTTAAACGATTCCATTGTTCTGAGGGGAAAGAGACCAATCGAAGAGTCTTAGCCATTGTGGAAATACCATCACTTACCCAACTTCTTCTGAAACTTCTCTGGCAAATCCTTCTGATCAGGCAATGCACACAAGCCCTGGCCCTCCAACTTCACCTGACCCGTGCTCCACAAGTTCCAGTCAATCTTTGGCTTCGCCTCTCCACTGAGACTCTTGGCCGAGGGACTGGTCGCTGGCTCCGAGGAGGCGTAGGATGCCCCGGCCAGGGAACAGCTTTGCTGTTTGGCCCGCCACTTATGAAGCTTCTTCTTGAACTGCGGCGTGAGGTTCTGCTCCAGTTGGGCGGTGGACATGAGCTCACTGTGCAGCAGTTGGGTAGGCGAGTGCTCCTCACTGCTGCGCTTGCCACTCCCAGATCCTCCACCTGTCGTTCCAGAACACAGCTTAACACCTTAAATGGACGATAAGCCACATGTTAGAACAATCATGGTATTTTCTTCGTAATCAGTTAAGGGGAGCCTACTACGGTTATTGGCGCTGGATCGCTCGAACTCGCTTTGCTTGTTCTTAAACTCCGAATCTAGTTTGAGTACGAGAAGTTGATAATGTTGAAATACCTCGTCATTCTCGTTTTGTAGGAAATTCTTACGATTTGGCGTAGTGGGCTCCGAGAAATCGCCACTGGACAGGTCTTCGCTCTCTGTAAAGATATTTTCTAGATTAGTTTTCAAGATCACCAGATTATCATTCATATACCATAATAATGTATAATATTATTCTCATTGCCTACCCACCGAATTCTCCAAAGAAATCCGAGTGCCTGGAAGGACTGCTGGGCACAGAAGAGTTTCCCGGCGAGTGGACACGACGCATTCGCGATTCCTTGGGACTCTTCAGGGGAGAATGCAGCTGCGGCAGCTCACTGCACATCTGGTTGACCTGGTTGAGATTCAGAGGGCTGGGTGGCAGCTTCTGGCGCCTGCTACTAGTGGACTTGATTTCGGCCACATGATCCTCTGGCAGCACCTCAAAATCTGAGAAAGCCTTAGATCGTCGCAAGGACTTACTGGACGAGGACTTGGCAGGTAACGCTGGCGCCGCGGATCGAATATTGTCCAGACGTTCATCGGTGGCGGACTTGCGCAGTTCCACTTCGTAATTTGAGGTTCGGGAGTCGCAGCGTGTGTCGCTTTTGGATGAGTCACGACCTGAATATGGATTAGTCTTTATTTTGAAATGCTTACTCAAAATATCGCTAAAAGATTTACGAAAGTTATGGCGACTGCTTGTTTCGAGATCATCCATCGAACTGGCCGAACTCATAGTACCCGGAGTGCCACCTGTGTCGCTGACAATGTGGCCGGAGGAGGAACTAATGATGCTATCAGCGGAGCTGCTTCCGGCTGCCACGGTAATCGGAACTTTGAGGTACCTAAAAAAATATTTCCCGATAAAATTCAAGAGCATAAAACTAGTTTAAACTACTTACCTTTCCACCTCATGATTAAGGGGCATCAGTATACTGTTTTCTGGTCCTCCTGGTCCTGAGGGCGGAACATTGGCTCGTTCCCATTTAAAGGCAGCCTTCACCTTAGTCCACTTAGACACCTTGGCCTTGTTGTCGCTGTAGGTGCTCTGCCGCCTCAGAAGATAGGGACGCGAGGAGGATGCCGATTTGGTTACACGCTCTGTTTTCATAAACACATTGAGGTCTTCATCCATCATGGACTTGCTGCGCTCTCGAATTCTGCAAAGGATCATGTTCGTACTTTCGAAAGGATAGTTGTCTCCACTTACCGTTTGAACTTTCCCTGTTTAAAAGGTGGTACTACTTCCGTTCCAAGCAAGGATTCCAAATAAGTAAGTGAATGTTCTAACTGGAATTCGGTATCTCGAGAACCGGTGGGAGATGTGGCTGGTTTTGGGGGTGGACGGTGCCTTGCTTTATGACTCGTGGAGGGAAGATCCTCCGCTAACACCACCGCACCTGCACCCACTTCCTGCTCTGCCTCGCGTTCACCAGCCTCGTTGTCCATGATGGTGGACAACCGTTGCTCCAGAAATCCCTCCAGCAAAGCGTATGTTTTAGTCAGTTCATCCATAGCCTCGATAGCTGAATTTAAACGGGTCTTGAGCGGTTCAATGGTCGCGCGATCTGCCCGGTAGGGCAGGCATTTGGAGCATGAGTGCTTGCCAAGCTGACACACGGGAAGGTCCTTGGTTTCCCGTCGCTCGAATTTCGGTGAGGCGGATAGATTGCGCGCCCGCGAAGCCACAGCTGGAAACTGAAAGATATTCTCCTCCGTCCGACCACACATTGCTGGCGGGGCAGTGGGCAAGGACTCGTACTGGTGAAGGCGGCCGTCTGACCGAGTCCGAGTCCTCCGGGGCTTCGGCGGTGGCTTGTCCAAGTCCATTTTGACCCGATGCCGGTGCTCTTCTTATGCGCGAAATGCTCAATCGGTATTTGTTTGTTTACTCTGCCAGATACGCCACTAAAAACGCACACAAGACAAGAAAATCCGAGAATTATCAAAATCGGGAGATTGTTTATAAAAGAGGAAGAGAAATGTAGAACGTCCACTGCGAGGTGGGGGTGTCTTAAAGTGTAACGATTAAATCCACGAAATGTAAACAATAATTTCAAAAATCCAATTTCGGCACGTTTCCCCACATGTGCGAAAGTTTTGAATATTTTCTAAAAATATGCACGCGTGTGATCACTTAAGCGAAACGGAAAACAATCCGGTATGCACTCCGTCCGTGGAATTCTGCTTTAAGTTTTTGAAAACGTTTTCAAATTTTGGCTCAAAAACTGGATGCCATCGAAAGGCTAGTGGCCCGAGTGGAGGAACAAATAAAATCACGTTAAATAGAAGCGCTGCCGCAAAACCAAACCAAACCAAACTATTTTTAAAACGCTGACACTCTTTTGTTTGCCTCCCCATGGCGATCGCAATATAGCCCACACCCAATCCCCATCTCTCGGAAAAGTGCGCACACTTCCTTTATTCCACTTTTAGGTTACACGCAATTAATATTTCCATTTTATGCGAAAATGCAAGTACGCGGGACGGTACGGGGCACGGGGGATTGGGTGGCAGAAGTGGGTGGTACGAGATCTTGAGTATATGAACGAGTATGTGCGGCCCCCATTACTTTCACTAGGCGTTTCGCCACTGGCTGAGCGTTATATCGAAACTGTTGCCACACATTGAATACACATTTTTCTCCATCAAATTTTTCTTCCTGGCTGCGATTCTTTTGTTTTATTGGTTTATGCGCAAGGTTGTTGGGCTATTTCTGGTGTTTTTTGAAAGGAAAAACAATAACAAATTATTACTTGCACTTTTGTTATGCACACTCGGTCGTCTGCCCCACCGCAGATCTATATTTTGTCACTCTCTCTCTCCCTGTCTCGATGCGGTACTCGATCGCGATTTTCCGATTTTCCACGGCGAGCCGTATTTCGAATCCGTGCCGTACCGCCCGTCGGTCGAAGCTATTCTGAGCACGATGAGTACGAAACATTGCTTTTCGTCCGCATCAGAAAAGTCGGAAAATGTGAGATTTATTTTTAGAGAGGCGAAGAATCTATCTATTAACTCTTGTAAGATTTTCCAAATTCTCTTTAATTTATTGTAATCACTGACAACGATTTTTTTTTACTAATCTCGTAAAGCTCTTTTCTTTGTAAAGTTTACTACAATAAATGTTACTTTATTTGTTTGTTTCAATAGAAATCTAAAAGATATTTTCCAAAACATAAAATAAGAAACCAAGAAGGAGAACAAGATTTTTCTAACAAATAGTAAGAAATTAACAGTTGTTTTTCTGCTTTGGCATTGGTTACGATTAAATAATATTAAAAAAAATGTATTTAATTTAAATAAACTCATTTAATTTTTCAAAAAATTCTTTACGTTTTTAGAAAGTAACGGCCAAATTTTTGAATACGATAACTAAAGTGTTGCTATCGATAAATCACATGGAAAGGCCGGTGAAAATGGATGTCGCGCTTTTTCCCATCTGGTCCCATTCGTGTTATGCAAAAGACTACGAATCCGGCTAAATAACATAATTTTGAAAGAAATGCAGTCAATTTTGAACTCTATGCGAACGCTGGCCCTCCGGCAGGCCACTGGCGACACAGTCCGCCGGCTTCACTTGTCCGCCGTAAACGAGGCAGCCCGTAAAGGCACACGGGAAAAGGCCCGCAAGAAGAAGGTTAAAGTGGAAGTCAAAAAGGTGGGATTTATTCCGCACAACCAGCGCAACAAAAAGTAGGTTCATCAAGCTAGCTTTAAATTAAAAAACTAACTTGTTTTTCTTTTAAGAATTAACGTTAAACGTGCCGATAAACATGTTGACGATTCGTGGAAACAGGTGCCCAAGGATGACTGCTACGTGGGCCGTTATTACCGCTGGCCGGTGTACTCCGTCGCCGAAGCCATCCAGTGCCATCGCGAAACCCATCATCCAAGCATGTACAATGTGCCCAATGCGCCTCTGAACGTGGACATCGAGCTTAACATGCAGGGCGAGAAGGCTACCCGATTTGTTGACAACTTCCAGCGCATGGCCATGATTCCGCACAAGTTCGAGCACGGCGAGGAGCGAAAGATCATCGTCTTTACCAAGGGAAATGTGAGGGACTGAGATATATAGCTTATACTTTACTAACTTCATTAAATCCTATTTAGAATGAAATAGTGGAAGCCAGAGAAGCGGGTGCGTCCTTAGTAGGAGGAGTGGAGTTGATCAAAGACATAACCAGTGGCGAGCTTTTGCTTTCCGACTATCAGTATATCATTGCTCATCCCAACATACTGCCAGAGTTGGTGGCCCTGAGGGGTCTCATGAAAAGAAAGTTTCCCAACCCAAAAAGCGAAACCCTCGGCGTAAACCTCGCCGAGATGATCGTTAAGTTTTCCAATGGCATTAGCTACAGTGCCGCCAAGGACGAATACCAACAGAACTTTGGCCTTATAACCGCCAGTGTAGGAACACTCGACATGGACGAACAGAAGCTGGAGGAAAATATAAAGTTTCTCCTGCAAGATGTGAATGCCATGCGGCCCAAGCGTGAGGGTCGCTTCATAACTCGTGTGCTCCTGAAGAGTCCGCCCAGCAGTGAGCAGCTTAAAATTGATCCATTTGTCTACGTTCCTGAGATGTGGGAGAAAAGCTCAGCGAAGGTGAAAAAGGAGGACGTCAAAAAGCAGGAGGAGCCAACTGAAGCCAAAGAAGCAGTGGCTGCGGGCAATTAGTTAACATACATGCCCATGTATTTGTATTGTTGATGGATCGTTTGTGCATACTTTAAACTTACATCTCCTAGAATTCTAAACAGTCTAAAATACTTTGGCGGCTCTATTGCTTTCAGGCCTTTTGGGTGGCTGCGTTGCGCTGCTGGTGTTGGCGCAACATATCCAGCTGCTTAACTCGTGTGTAAGCGGCGCTGGCCACCAGGACCACTACGTTGGAGGTCCACCAGAGAGTCGAGCGCACGTCATGGTAGTACTGGGTGGCAATAACCGTCTGAGCGCATGCCTTGGCGGTACCGGAAATGTTATGTGTCAGCGGAGAGGTTACCTAAATTGATTAGCCAGATAAGCATTTAAGTTTACAATCTGATTTTTGGCGGGCTCACCTTGATTTCGAGTGCTGTGACAAATCCGATCGCGAAGCCGCAAATTCCACTTAGTGTCATGGCTGCCCAAAACCATGGGGCAAAGAGGTGAGGATATGTTATAATTGTCTCCAGCTCGCCGTAAATGATGATCAGTGGCAGGAAAAGCAGAGTGGAGTACAAATTATTATAGTAGCTGAGCAGCCAAACCTCCTGGTTTACATGCCCCAACGACTTCTTGGTTTGTATGGAGAACGTGGCCAATGCCAGCGAGCTCAGGACACCGAAAATGGTTCCTCGCCAAGAGAACACTTCGGTGAGGCTCTCCTGATCAACGCCCAACCAGAATCCAACTACAATGGCGGCGCAGCACATCAGACACTTGAAGTTGGTACGCTGCCGGAGAAGCACATAGGTCAGCACTACACTGAATACCGTGGTGAGGGAGCGTCCAATATAATAGAAAGCCACTGTGACGTAGGACAGCGACAGGTTGTTCGCCCCAATCATCAAGGTATACAGCACCGAAAGCGGTAGAATCTTTCTAAACGTATCTATATCCAACGGATTGCCTTCAGGAAAGGTGAAAACAGAGGGATACTTCCGGCTCAGGCGACTCATAACAAAGCAGATGACCGTAGAGACGACGCATTGGAACCAGGACATAAACAGCGGAGCCCCCAAATTGACGGTATCACTACTCAACAGGTGTTTATTCACGAAAACCGTCAAAATCGAAGTGACCCTAAATAAATTGTAAATTTTCGGTTAAAGATTGCAATGGCGTAGTGTCCACGTATTACTCACCAGTACAGGGCAACCACGAAGAAAATCTTGAGATATTTATTCACCAACCGGTTGTGCTCCTCCAGATTTTGATACATTTTTTATTTCTGGGTATGTTTGAAACGGTTTGTGCAATTAAAAACTATTGTGCGTTTATTTTCACACGTATCCGCTACCCGGTCTGCGATCAGCTGTTCTGCTCAGAATGTTACTTTTGATTGCGAGGGGGGTTTGCAAAGTAATCGGTTTCTCATCGCAATGGCGCTCAAAAACTAATACTTTTAAATTTAATATTGATTATCAATTTGGGAAGTAGATAAAATATATATTTTAAGTAGAAGAAAGACTAAAAAACGAGCTTTTAATGCTTAAATGAAAGTTTATTTAAAATTTAAAATTTATTCAAAACAAATAATGTTAGTTTTTGTTAATAAAGTTACAGCTCGTCCTACACTTTTTTTTCATGGTATAAATATATTTTTGTTCATCTGTATTCCGGTAGCATTGGTTCATTTTTCCCACTCGCGGAACTCAGTTCCCTCTGGAGGCTTAACGGTGACTTTCTCCCTGGATACCTCGTTCCAGTTCGTGCTGAGCACGGTACCCCCGGACTCTGAGAAGGATTTGTTCATGGCTTTTTGCACTTCTGGCGACGAGGTGCTGTAGATCTTCTTGAACAGGTTGTTCAGGGCCGTCTCGCCCTTGGCCTCCTTCTCGTCGAGCTTTTCCTCCTCGCTAACCAGAAGATCCCAGTTCTTTGTCTGCACCTTGGACGGGGCAGCGGTCGCCACTGCATTGTCTTTCTCCTCAAGGCTTTCCCAGCGGTCACCCGTTACCTTGGCTAGTGTGATCTCAACCTTCGATGGATAGGCCTTGTGGGAGGAGCGCTCCACCACGACGTTGTGCTGCAGCTTCAGGTCGAGCTCATATCCGTCGGCAGTCAAGTGCAGCCGGCGCGCCTCTATGGACACATTGTAGTTCTTGTCAGCGGCGTTTTTGAGCAAAACGGTCACGACCACCTTGGTTTCCGATTGGTACCAGTCGTAGCGAACGGACATCTCGGCAAAATTCGCAGTCGCTACAATCGATGTGTATTTATCTTATTTTGGCATTAGATTATTTTATTTGTATTTGTTTTATTTTGGATTGGATGTTTTTGAGTGTCGTCAGATTCCGATTTCAGCTGGCCGATTGTAGTAGTGTTGTCAAATTAAAAGTTCTATTAAAATGGAATGGTCACATTAAATTGCTTATTATACCAAGGTATTAGTTATCGGTGTTAGTTATCGATAAAAATAGAAAGGACCATTTTTAAAGAACTTCCACTTTTAGCAAGGAATATGAAGCACACACCGCGCTGGCCAATTTAGGTACACTTGAACTATTGCAATCCGATATATTGGCCATAAGACAGTAAGCATAAATTTCACCGTCCCATTTAATCCGCAAATTACCAAAAGGAGATGTGGGTAATGGTATAAATAGTAAATAAAATGCACCTTATATTAATGAAAAAACACTCTTTATAGCCGAAAAATTAATTTATTTACTATAAAATGTTCCAGTATTATAAGCTTAAGACTATTCTGGGAAACCATATACTTTAACATTGCCAGCATCTCTTCTCCTATCTCCGCTTTCCTTTTCGTCGCAGGCATATGCAAGAAGATATTGCTTAGGATGCCAGGCCACTGTAAAGGTAGAGGCGTCAACGTGGACACCAGTTACACGCTCCCCCGTCTCTGTATAGCATACGTCAATCAGGAGATCCTCGCTAGCTGAGGCCATCAACCTTTCGTCGTGGCTAAAGGATATTGTGCGAACAGGCCACTCCAGGCGGCTAATAATTCGCAGGCAGGCCAGCTCATGAGCATCCCACAACGATACTTGGGCATCCGCCGAGCCTGTCGCAAAATATTTACCTGCAAAGTTGAATATATTAAAACATATTTGATTATATGACATTAAATATTTTACCCGTTGGGCCGAACTCGATGCAAATGCAGTTAGCGGGGTGAGCTTTGAGCGTCACCTGGTGCTCCATACTGGGATAGCTCAAGACATGCATGCAACCCAGTCCATTGGTGAGGAAGAACAAGTCATTCGTCATGTTCCACGAGATCTCGTTCACCTCGAAGGCGAATTGCTCCTCCGCACGAATTTTGTTGGTGCGCGTGTCTATAAATGTGATAAGATCCTCCTTGTTGCCTACGGCAATTGTCTTTCCATCCGGTGACCAGGCGATGTTGATGTTTTCTCCCTTCGTGTTTGTCACCCCAGCAGATTTAGTTGTGCGGTTGTCCCAGATGCGTACAGTCTTGTCGCCGCTAGCAGTGGCGAATAGATCTGGGTTGGTGCGGTGCCAGCGAAGCTGGTCCACAGATGCAGTGTGACCACGGTAAACGTGGGACTTCATAAAACGATCCCGTTCGAGAGAATAAACCACAGCAGTCTTGTCGAAGGACCCGGTTGCCAAGTACCTACCGTCGGCGTTCCAGCAAACCGAGTGTACCTTCAAACATAAAAAAATGCATACATTTTGACAGGCTAAAAACATCAATTCCAATTACCTTGTTCAGATGTGCCCGCTGCTCCCTAACTTTACTGTGACTTCGAAAGTGGGATTTCAAGTCCTCAAAAATTTGCTCTGTGCGACTCATAGTTTACTGTTTATTGAAGAAATATTAATTTGCCGGCCGGCTAACAAATCAGGTCGTGTTTTCAGAATCACAAACAAAGATGCTTTGAACCCACTGTTGGCCAGTCAGCTGGAAAATGCGCCATCTGGTGGATAAAAATGGTACCATATTTTGTCACTCTGTTCAACACTGTTCCAATTTTAAATTTTCCTCAAAAATTAATGACAAACTTAAGGAATCAAGTTTCATTTTATATGATTTTATAATAAAAATAAAAAACTATATTTAATTTTATTTCTGTAAGTTGTACTTCTAATAACGGACAATGAATAAATAAGGTTTAAAATGAACAGGTCACTGGCGTCTATGGTTGCGTGGGGGTTCCCCAACATTCCTATCGCTTTTGTCATGGATATGAACAGCTTCGCTGAGCTCCACATTGGCATGAAGGGCTGCATCATTAGCGTTCAGTTGGGCTTCCTGGGCAGATAGGGTAGCCTTCTCCGCAGCATCGCGGGTCTCCTCGTAATCCAGGCGTGCTGCATAGGCATGCGACTCGGCATGCTCTAGTTTGGCCTTGGCCTGAGCCACCATGTCGATCTGGGAGGCCAATTCGGCTGCCGCCTCCGAAGCGGCTTTTTGTGCCAGTTCCGAGGCAGATTGGGCATTATTAAGGGCAGCGGTCAGAACGCTGACATGGTTGATGGCTTGCTGAGCTGCATATTGGGCGGCCTTAGCCGATCGCTTGGCCTGCTGTAGTTGCGTCAACTCGTTTTCCATCGCCTTGTGGGCCTCCACACTCTGATCTTCCAGTCGTCGCAGCAGTACCTCCTTGCCCTTAAGGACGGCCACCGCTGTTCCGGCTGCCTGGGCCGCCGCCTGAGCAAGAGTGCTCTTGGCCACATAGGAGGCCTGCTTTCCGGCTGCATTTTGACTCGCGACAGCGGATATGGCCTGATCCGCAGATCCCTTGGCAATGCTTCGAAGGCCATTGTCGGCCAGGTAGCCACTTCCCCCGCCACCATTGTGCAGGGTGTGAACAATGTAGTCGGAACTCTCGTAATGCGACAATTTGGTACTCTCGAATTTTGCCGGCTCGAACTCGTCGTGGTTGATGGCCTCGAAGGTGTAGGGGGGAACCTCGTGCTCAACTATCGCTGTTTGCTGTGGCAGCGGACCCTGATGGGAGGGAGGTGGTGGCGGTGGGGGTGGCACATTCAGGTGGTAGTGCCCCTCCTTTCGCTTCACCTTGCGACCCGATGCCGGCATTGCAGCTAAATTAATAGGGGAAATCCGATTTTGAATCTGCAGCTTTATTATGCATTTGCGTGGGACTTACCCAATAGCAGAGTCAGGAACACCAGGTGCTGTACGATCGATGGCATCGTAACCGATTATGCAATATGCCACCTGGAGAAAGGAAGGAAGCTGTGCAGCAGGAAATTTTTGATTGCTACAGGTTCAAGGAGTGAGGCTTTGGAAAAAATGGATAAAAAAAATAATATTAAAATAAGAGAATAGTCTTACCATTTAACCAAAATAAAAAGGGTTGAAGTCAACTTTAAAGGAAACTTTACCAAGGTTAGACCATCCAAGATCTGTTTAATCCTTAAATTGTACTTCTGCCATTTCAATAATATAATCGTTCTAATAAATCCTTTTAATATATAACTATCCTACCCCTATTGAACATTTAAAAAAAAATTCAGACCAACTAAACAAGTTCAAAAATTGCTAGAAAGTTTAAAAATTTTGTCCTCTTTTTTTTATTTTCTAATTCATTTAAGGTATTGTTTTCAGTGTAAATCTTTACAAAACCTGAAAGGAGACCTTGTCTATTATCTAATTTAGGATGCGCACTTTCTTTCGCATTCTCTAGGATGACCGGTATTAGGCAATAGTAAGTGTGTCATGGACTGATATGTTCCACAAAAGAACCTGTTTTATTAAGGCCAGAAAAACTGGACAACTCACAAATCATGCAGTAATCACTCAAGTTGACGGACGAATCAATACCCACGCACTATCCGACTATGCTCACGTTTGGTTATTTCCGACGCGTACGTCCTGTCTGGACCGGAGTCAAAGTGTTTCTGTGACCACTTGCCGATCGACAGATCCCCTCGAGCTGCTGTTTGGCCAATTCAATGTCGATGGACGGGTTCGGTGAAAAACGCTTTTACTTTCGCACTCGGAAAACCTGGGAGCAGCAATGGTGGTGGAGACTTGTCGACGATTGCGAGGAGGCCATCGGAGGCGCCATGTATTTATAAACAAACTGGTCGGGTCGCCAAAGAAAGTGCAAACCCGTTAGCTTTTGATTTTCTTTATGAGTTGGCCAGGTAAATAGCGAATCGAATCCAATGCAACAACAATGGGGCTGGGTCAATGCTACCCATGCTGGACGATTGGATAATTTGCAGCCGGGGCAATTATGGAAGAGCCTCTAATTGCCATGAGACGCTTTAAATGCTCGCTCCGGGCGAGGCCACCGAGATTGAATAGTTTACGCCAAGCGATTGTGTCCGGCGATGAGTGTTCATTGTTCGCTTCCTCGCAAATCCGCGTGTGAACACGAAGGAGGAGTCGGAAGCTTTGGTAATCGGAACGTTTTTAATTTAAATCTTAATTTTTATAATTTTGTTTAAATTTAAAATAAATGAACATATGCATAGAATAAGATAGAAAATATAAAACTCAGTAAGCACGACCCATATGTTGCCTCAGTCTGTGCCGGAGCTCTGCCCGTCTTCGCTCCCTGGAAGCCCTTTGTCTGGCTTCCTGAGCAGCACAGGCTGCCTTCTCGGCGGCGATCTTTGTGTTCTTATAGTCCGTTCGGGCCACATCCAGCTGCTTGAGGAGTAGCTCTACCCGCTTTTTGGCAGCTTCCACGAGCTGCTGTTTCTCCGTCAGTTCCTGTTGGGCCCCATTGGCCACATGCTCGGAATTGGCGACATTGTCCTGGGCATTCTTCACAGCCTGGGTAAGAGTCTTTAGCTGGACATCTGCCTGCTTGGCGGCCTGCCCCGCGGCGCAATAGGTGTTTTGAGTGGTCTGCAGCAGTGCGGTCTCCTCCTGCACCACCAGTTCCCCCTCCCGTATCTCAGATTCCAGCTGCTCCACAATCTGTTGCTTTCCCGCCAGTGCTGCCTCCGCCGCCTTGGCAGCGGCCTGAGCCTTCTCAGCCAGCTGCTGCTTCACCTGGCGGGCAGCCGCCTCCCCTGCCTCAACCTGAGCATCAGAAGCCTCCTTTGCTTCCTTGGCCGCTTTCTGGGCTATGCACGACGCCTTCATCTTGCATGAGGCATCCATTTTGATGGTGCATTTCTTGGTATCTGGATTTTCCTTAGCTTGATTCTCATTATCGCCATTGTCACTATCCACTCCACTAGGAGCCACCAAATCATCGGAGGACTGCCAGGGATTGGCATAAGAGTTCTGTTCTAATAAAGAAAATATTCTCCTTACCTTAGCCAACTTGTAAGCATGCAAGTGGTCTAGGAAAACCACTAAAATAATAAATATAATTATTTTCGCCATGATCCGAGGTTTAAAATAAAATAACAATGGAGTTGATAATTAAAGGAAAGCACTGTAATAATGAAATAATAGTTTCGAATGTAATAACTCGGAAAATCTAAGTCCAAATCGGAAACTTCAAAGAATCATCGGCAAATATTTTGTTTGCCCAGTGAGTCCTGGAATTTATGTAAGATGCTAGATTCCAGATGCGTTGTGGTCCCTTGGTTACAGTGCTAATGGTATTCATCCTTTTGGGTAACTATTCGGATGCAGCCAGGCGAGTTAAACAACGACAGAGGCCCAGTACAGGAATTGCTATCTGCAGGACCAACCCTAAGGCTAACCAGATGTCTTCTAAGGCTGTGTCGGACGCCAAAGCCGCCAAGGACGCACAGTCGTGTGCTGCTGAGGCAGCCGGGAAAAAAGTCAAAAATATGATGGCGGACAAGGCGTCACAGGCGGCCAAGGCAGCGGAGGCTGCACTATCCGGCAAGAAGCAGCTATGCGAAGAGCTCACCAAAAATCTGGGCGAAACGAAACGGGTTATGCAAGAGGTCCAAAGGGCCATAACCGCCAGTTCGCGCGGTGCCAAGACAGCAAAGCGAATCCGAGACAGCGTACGCCGGAACTTTAATGCCATGAGGTGTCTGTATGCCCAGATGATCAAAAATGTTGAAAGCGTACGCCGGGTGGCCAGCAACGCCCAACGAGAATTGGCGGAGAAGCGAAGTCTTTTTAAAGCGGCTAAGCGGCGTGTGGAAGAACTTAGCACCTGCCTAGAACATGGTTATAGGGATCTAGAACGAAACCGGGAGAACGCTAAGAAAGCAAACTGCGCCGCCGAAGAGGCTAGGCAACGGATCGACGTTATGCGACAATTGGTTTTTAAAATCAAGAATCTTAAGAAGAAGGATCTACAGTCCCTAAAGAGTTTAATTCGCCGAAGAAGAAGGCAACTAAAAAAAACATTTCGTTAAGTTGATTGTTAACTTGGGAATTCAAAACATATATTTTTTAATATTTTATCTTATATTTAGTAAATAAAAGCGTTTTATTATTTGGGTACAATAGTTTATTCTTATTTGGAAATCTTCGTATGCATCGATATCCTCTACTTTCTACATATCTGAACAAAAAAAGACCGTTACGAGACACATAGAAAATTGTGTCCACCCTAGAAAAAAAAATACTACACAATATACCAGCAGCGACTGGTATTATACAGTCTTCGATACTTGGTCACACTAATAGTCATCCCAAGCCGCATTGCTTCTGTGAAAGTGGAAAAAATAGGAAAAAGTAAATAAATATTGATAAAATATTGTAAAATCAGGAGAAAAGTCACATACAGAAATGGCGCGCAAAAATGCCCAGGCCGAGGACCTCTCGAACGTAGAGTTCGAGACCAGCGAGGATGTAGAGGTGATTCCCACTTTCAATGCCATGAACCTCAAGGAAGAGCTGCTACGCGGCATATACGCGTACGGTGAGTTGTGTATACACACATCCCTCGACAAAAAATAAATTATCATGTCGTACCTTAGGCTTTGAGAAACCCTCGGCCATTCAGCAGCGGAGCATCAAACCCATTGTCAAGGGCCGGGATGTGATTGCCCAGGCGCAATCCGGAACGGGAAAGACGGCCACGTTCTCCATCTCCATACTCCAGAGTCTGGACACTACACTGAGGGAAACGCAGGTGCTCTGTTTGTCACCCACACGCGAGTTGGCTGTGCAAATCCAAAAAGTTATTCTGGCCTTGGGGGACATGATGAACGTGCAATGCCATGTGTGCATTGGCGGCACCAATCTGGGCGAGGATATCCGCAAACTGGACTACGGTCAACACATTGTGAGTGGAACACCCGGTCGAGTATTCGACATGATCAAGCGACGAGTGCTGCGCACAAGGTTTGTAGTCGAATTCATATTTAAATTTCTATTGTAACTTTGTAAAAACTTTTTTGTAGAGCTATTAAGATGCTAGTTCTGGATGAAGCGGACGAAATGTTGAACAAAGGTTTTAAGGAACAGATCTACGATGTTTATCGCTACCTGCCACCTGCCACACAGGTGGTTCTTATCTCTGCCACATTGCCCCACGAGATTCTGGAAATGACATCCAAATTCATGACTGATCCCATTCGAATTTTGGTCAAACGGTTTGTTACAAAATACTCCAATTTATTGGCTTCTCTGACATCTCTCTTATTGCAGTGATGAGTTGACTCTAGAAGGCATCAAACAGTTCTTCGTGGCAGTGGAACGTGAGGAGTGGAAATTCGATACGCTGTGCGATCTCTATGATACTTTAACTATAACGCAGGCGGTCATTTTCTGCAATACCAAGCGCAAGGTGGACTGGTTAACGGAAAAGATGCGTGAGGCTAACTTCACAGTGAGCTCCATGCATGGTGATATGCCGCAGAAAGAGCGTGACGAGATCATGAAGGAGTTCCGAGCCGGTCAATCCCGGGTCCTCATCACCACCGATGTGTGGGCTCGAGGTATTGATGTACAGCAGGTATCACTGGTTATCAACTACGATTTGCCCAACAATCGTGAGCTGTATATCCATCGTATCGGTCGGTCGGGTCGCTTCGGACGCAAGGGTGTTGCAATTAACTTTGTAAAGTCAGATGACATTCGTATCTTGCGCGATATTGAACAGTACTACTCGACACAAATCGACGAAATGCCCATGAACGTGGCTGACTTGATCTAAACTTTACACTTCTTTCTAATTTTCTGTAACTCACCTTACCTAGCAGTAATAACGAACAACATGAAGTAAATACATTTAAAGAGTATTTGGCTATCAATAGACAACCAAAATCTGTATAAAAATAAATAACACATAAGAATTTAATACAGAAACCAGTTTGTTTGAACTTGGATAGAGAGGGTTGGGGAAATGGGGCATTTACGTAATGTAGTCCAAAACGAGAACTTACAATTAATCGATTTTTAAGTGAGGTAAACACTTAACTTATTGCAAAAAATCTAAAAATAAAATGTCATACACTTATTTACACTTTTTTACCTATTCAGCTAGCTAAAGACTTTGGTTTAAGCGAACAAAAAAGAACGCGGTAAAAAATAAATACTAAGTGAGATTATCTCAGCTCATAACCTCTGGCTTTTGCGGTAGACTAACATAAGAGCTCGCTGGAGTGGTGTTTAGAGACGACTGACGTTTTTTGTTCTCGTCTGCTTTCAGAAGCGTTCCCAAAACAATGCCCAGGAACAGGATGAGCCCCACTTGGTGATTGGAAAAGAATTTTTTGGCACAGTCGCTGGGGTTGTCAATATTAAGAGAGTAGATCTGCCAAGAAAATTATTAAGGATTATCTTTCAATAGGAATATATGTAAGGATGCATACCTGCTGCACTAGATGGGCACCCACAATACCTACTGCTGCGTAGTAGGGTAAAGTTTGATCGCAAGCCAATCCAGATGCAGTCAGACCAGTTAGCATTGCTGCAGTAAATCCGGATAACCATACTTTCGTGTTCTCGCCAAATCTTAATGCCGTGGACTTGACTCCGATTTGCAAGTCATCTAACTTATCCTGGTGCGCGTATATCGTGTCGTATACAATGGTCCAACAAACGCCGGAGAGGTACAACGGGAGACACGCAGCCAGATTAACACTTCCCTGGGTGGCACACCAGCCCAGCAGTGCGCCCCAGTTAAAGGCCATTCCCAGCACCAGTTGTGGCCAGTAAGTAACGCGCTTCATCAGAGGATACGTAATTACTAGTCCCAGAGAACTTGCTCCCAAAAGGATGGACTGCCAGTTGAGCTGCACCAGAACAAGGAGACCCAGACTAAGTTGGGCCGACAGGAATACTATGGCGTCAAACTGGCTGATCTGACCTGAGGCAAGAGGTCGCATCCGTGTGCGCTCCACTTTGGCGTCAATGTCCTTGTCCCAGAGATCGTTAATGGTGCACCCAGCCCCGCGCATTATGAGTGCTCCAGTGCCAAAAAGGCCCAGCATGGTGAGGTCCGGCCAGCAGCCTGCATCCGCACTTAGCGCTATACTCCAGGCACAGGGCCAAAAGAGGAGGTAGGTTCCAATGGGACGGTCGATCCGCATTAGTTGGGCATAGGGCTTCGCCGCTGCCAAAAGTTCCTCCACCGGGGAGCTGGGTTTCTCTGGCGCCGATGCAGAAGTGGGGGAGGTGGTCATGCTCCTCGCATTCAGCATACCCTTTATTTGGGGTAGTCTGTCCCATCGCTCCACTCCAATCAGAACACGCGCCGGCACAGCTGGTCGGTTCAGCATGTGTTTTGTTGTTGTCGCCGCCCCATAAGAGCTGCGAAAGTGCTTTCTGCTCTGCAGCCGCAGGTGTCTTAGAGCAAACATTGCAAGTGAGCGTCTCTGGCCTTCAAGTCTGTTACCTGCTGCAAGAAACACAATCAATCAAAAAACCAATGTTTATAATTCGTAAAACTCACTCGTAATATAAATGGCAAGATTTTGGAGGTAGGAATGACATGGAGTTGCCACACTTCCATAGTGGGGATGCGTAGCCGGACCGTCAAAAAATTTTATTGACTGGCAGTATTGATTATAAAAAACGTTAAATTTAAATTCAAAGTTTTATTTTTGCAAATGAAATTCTCATTAAAGACCAACATTAAACATATTTATATAACAAAAGATAAAAACTGATTTACCTTTAAGTCCTTATTTTGTTATAAACCACAATACATATGTTTATGTTTTGAATCTCCTGAGCTTAATCGGGCTATTGCGACCACGATAATGAAAAATATACTTTTACTGTAAAAAAATAAATAAATTTTCCACCCGATGGGCTTTAGGAAAGCTTTAAAAATCAACTTGGAACCAAACCATCAATCTTATTCATTACCCCTCTGCAATATCGTTTACCACTTCTTTTGCGCCCGCTACCAACTTTTCGACATTGGCACACGGCCGGACTAAATGTCCGTAGTTTTTGCACACGGCTCTGTGTTAGATTTGCACACGGCCGTCTATATGAGCGACACTTTTGGCCAGTTAGAAATAACGATTTTAGAAAGCCAAGTGGACTAAGGCAGAAGGCGCCTCCGGTCGCTCCAGTTCCTATCGCTCTGAGACGTTATTTATTCGCACATGTATGAACCCTCGCGTCTCACCCGTCTAGCAACGGACTTGCACCATAAAATAAAACAAAAAGAATTGGCTTCAAGACATTGAAGACCGCATTACACAAACAATTTTGGAGAGACTATTAGCCAATTATTGATAATCGAATGTTTAATAAATTCTGCACTTGAGGAAATTTTTTTTACCTTTACTATTGATTCATAAATTATATTATAAATGGAAATGAGGTAACGGTAATTTATTGTATTCCATCAATCAAAGATAGAGATACAAAACCCGCACGAGGATAAAAATGAAAGTATTTATGCCCATATTGTTGATCGTTTTATCTTTTTGAAGATTTTGATCTTTGTATCCATTATGTAAATATCAGTTCTAGGCCAGTATTAGTTCTCTTGACCGTCTCTGTGGGGAGTTGCTATCGTTTCGTATCACCGCTACTGGTTGATAACGAACATTTTCCATTTCACATAGATAAGCGCACTTGTTGCCTATCGTCGCGCCGGGATTAGGGTAGATTTTCTTTAAAAAACCACTCGCAAACAGCGAGTTCAAGCATTCGACGCTCTGCTCTCAGCACCTCAGCACCTCCCAAGTCTTATCACTGAGCTACTGCGATCAATCCGCTTCGCTTCCCTCGTTGTCAATATTGAGTTTAAATTCCGGCAAGCAGTCGAGATGGATCTAATGGCTATGGATCACGACCACGATCACGGCACCTCGGACACTGATGACACTACCAAATCCTGTCCCATGATCATGGTGGTAAGTCCTTAGTTATACAACCAGCAAGTTTTAAATTTATTCGAAAACAAAATAATATGCACGTATACGCTGTAATGTTGATAGTCGCTCATCCAGTTTTTGGGTTGAATGTGGTTTTGCTCCGAGAGTGCAAATCTTGCTCAACATCCGATTAAATTGCTCTTGCTAGTCACTCCCTAGTATATATGTTTGTACTTTTGTTTATTAACACACGCCGACTGAGCTCTCGCAACGATTTATTTACTCTCGGTTTCTTATTTAGTTATTGCTCTCAACAAATACCTAACGAGAATGATAATACAGGGTGTTGCATTTGAAATTACATTGAGGTGTTATCAGTACTGGCTAAAGATATAGAAATTTAATAATGATGATTTGGAAACCGTCCCTCCATTTTTCTTTCAAAACATTTAATAGTCCAATCAATGGTACTCTAATTGTACTTTTTTTCCACAGTTCCATGGCGGACACTGCGAAAGGATTTTGTGGCGCGGTTGGGTGGCTTATACTGTCACCGAATTCGTCCTCTCTGCCCTCGCCATCTTTGTGGTGTCCTTCCTGTACGAGGCGCTGAAGTTCCTGCGGCAGCACCTAGCTCGCCGGGAGGCTCGGAAGGAAAGTGAACGCTTGGCGGTAGAGCAGCGCCGGAAGAACGAGAACCCCCCTGCAGGAGGATGTTGCTCGGAAACCCCATTGGCTGAGCCTAGGGATCAGACCTATTGGCAGCGATTGTTCGCCTCATCCCACATTATTCAAGCCCTTCTGAACCTGGTGCAGATCGTCATATCCTATCTGCTCATGTTGATCTTCATGACTTTCAACTATTGGCTCTGTTTGGCGGTAATATTGGGCCTTGGTCTGGGATACTTTTTCTTCGGATGGAACAAGAAGAATCCCGACGAAAGCGAGTGCTGTCCTTAGGCCAAAGTGCACCCAATATTTCGATGTTTGGTTGCTTTGCTGTTGATTAATTATAAAAGCCCTTTTATGACTCACACATCAGTAGTCCGTCCCCAAAATAATACCAGAAATTGTCTAAAAATACAATTTTATTCGGTAATTACACTTGCATTAATTTTAATTGATGTAATCGTAGCATAAATTAGTCAACTAATTTACTTAATGAGCATATTGTACAAATAGTAGTTATGAGAACGAGAACCTATACAACAAGTATGTATCCATACGACGTACCACTCAATACTTTCCATTTTATAATAAAGTTTTTATTATTTTACTTAATCGTTTGAACTCACAAACACAAAAAAAAAACCACAAAAAGAAAAATCTCCTGGATTACATGAAATTCGTATAGAAATTTGGAGGACCAGGTCTAAGGCCTGGCATTCCATTACTCCAATCTGATGGCCAATACCTAATAGCACATTCCAATCTCACAAAGACCTTTAGGAAGTTTTAGTAATTCCCAATCATTCCATTAATGCCCTTAAAAGTTTTAGTACAAACACTTAAAACGTTAACTGCACTCATAAAAAAAATATAAATATTTTTTCTTAGGAATTCACTATTTAATTTATTTTTATACTCAAATTGAAAAATCTTTAAATTAAAAAAAAAATATTTTTAATGGGATCGATGATTTAATAGGATGAGGATAATGAAAGCTTTCTGAGTAAAAAAGTCAAATTAGTAATTGATGAAGGGCATATTTTTAAATGGGATTATAAATAGTATTTGCTCAGCTCGGGAAACCTTTGGAATTTGTGTGATAAACTCGGTCAGTGCATTTGATATAAACCATCTTTATTTTACTTATTATGATTAAAGTATAACCTAAATTCAACAACCCAGAAATCTGTAGAAGCTTAACCCACAACCAACCCGATGACTATCCACTGATGGTTCCCATTCCATCGCCTTCCCATCCTCATAATCCCGTGGCACCGGCGGCCATCATTCCGCCATGGTGGTGGTGCATTCCTCCATTCTGAAAGTACATGTAGTAGTTGTACGGCGACTGCTGTCCAGCACCACCCTCGCAATCAAGTAGAGGTTGCCCGCCCGCCGTTCCGGCTACCGGCGACGGGGTCATCGGCAGAGGAGACACCGTGCTTCCCATGCCGCCCATTCCGCCAACTCCTACGCCGACTTGGCAACTGGCCCGAAGGGCTACAGCCTGATGGTGGGCCAGGATGTCACTCACCGAGTGCGACGATGGCCAGTGAGCGGCGGCAGCAGCGGCAGCCACACTACGCAGTTGATGGGGATGCGGTCCGCTGGTCTGGGCGCCAGTCGCCTGTGGAGGAGAGGGGCTACCACAGGACACAGCTTTCATGCTGTAGGCCGCCGCCGCACTATACGGCTGGTAAATGGAGTTGTATAAATGGGCATGGGCATGGGCATGAGCGTGGGCGTGGTGGGCACTCGCCGCCGCTGCTGCGGCCGTCTGGTGATGGTGGTGGTGGTGAGGGTGGTGCGCTCCGCCACCTGGGCCGCCAAGGCTAACGCCGTTGTTGGCACCGTTGCTTTGGACACCATTGCCGGTGGGATTGCTACCACCACCACCGCCTCCGCCACTTCCGCTGCTGCCGCTTCCCATTACGGATCCGGGAGTGTGTTGGTGGCCCAAGCTGCCAAGCTTGTTCCGCAGGATGCGCGAAATGGAACTGACACTGGGCACATTCGTTTTGTCGCAAATTCCCTCGCTGAGCAGTCTGTCGCGGATTTCCCAGGCAAAGATTCCCGGGTCTCGCTGCTTCAACTCTCGGATGTAGTTGACCACTTTCGGCGTGGTTACTCTCGGCTTGGATCCTCCGATCGCTCCCGGCAAAATGGAGCCAGTCTCGTGGTATCTGGCCAGTATCTTCGAAACACATCCGTGGCTCACCCTCAGCTGACGGGATATGTCACAGGGACGGATGCCCAGGCGTGCCAGCTCCACGATCCGCATGCGGGTCGCATTTGGAAGCGGTCTCCCGTTGACGAAGACGCCGCCCAGCTGATTCACTTCGCCGTACTGCGGACACTGCGACTCTGGAACGATAAATGGGGAAAAACATTAGCCAAAGTTCAATATTAGAAGAAAAGAAAAATTGTTGGCATGGACATACCGACATTGTAATGCTCTTAAAAATTAAAGTTTTCATAAATAATATTGTTTTATGGATGCATTTTTTGTTTAAAAAAATATATGAGTAAATTGCTGAAGTTACTTCGCAAGTATTGATGCCATATGTGGCAAACAGTATCATTCGGAACCCATTCTCGATTCCTAGTAGAGGATATGAACAAAGAGCGGTCCCTGAGAACGCGAACCGAACAAAAGCACATTTGCGTCTAATTAGTTTCGGTGGCAAATGAGTTGGTAGCCGTGGGCCGGGGGCTGGTCACAAGGAAATGGGGCAAGGTGGAGAAGTGGAGGATCGGCAAGTGGAGGCCCCAGACCAATGGACCGGGGGTACGTCCGTTTGTTCGCCTGAAAATCTGTACCATTTGCTTCTCAGAACTGCGGATGCGGGTGCTCAAAACATCTTACCGCAGATTGTAACTGGGAAAATACAATTTGAATGCCCGGAACGTGCGGAAATGCACTTTAAGAGATGATGCGAAGATTTCCCCTTTGGTCACAGATCCGCACATAAGGATAGGTGCATCCTGTTCTACTTATGGTATAAAAGGGTGTAAGTGCTTACATTTGTAGCCCTATACCAAACCCCAATTGTTGTAAATTATTATAACCATATATACTATATAGCTAATTGAAGGTTTTCATTCACTTAAAACCGCTTACAGAAAGCTTGCCAGTATTTCAATTAAAACATCCAAACGAAAGACATTTTCGATTTCCCCCGTCTCCCAATTTATTATTCATTACAAAAGTGGATTGGCGTTCCTGCCCCTAAACGAAGCTTGCAATTTTGTAGGATACAATTATTTCATTACCAATTTTTCAGCATTGTTATTAACTCTTTAAAGCAAACTATATGTTTCGGTTTACCCAAATTGACTTTATAATAGAGAAACGCCAACAATGTCATTTTATTTGTCAAACAAACTTCAAACGATTAACGTGGTATTTATAAGAGAGAGCCTTATAGACTTGTGTATTTTCGTTGACTACAACAATTTGTAATCCTAAAATTTAGTTGAATGGTTCGTCTACTATCCAGAAAAAGAAGAATGCCGAAATATATGAAGAAGAAATATGCCGATTTGGTGGAGTGTATCGAGTCACATAAGTTAATAATTATGTATTTAAACTATTTTAAAGGGTTATATACAGTTGTACCGCGCAAAAATATGGATTTTTATCGATTTTTTTTGACACCATAGAAAATATTTATGAAAAATGGTTTAACGACGTTGTTTAGTACATGTTTCTGGGTACTAAATTAAATTTTTTGATAAAAAAATATTACATAACAAAAATGTTATAGCCGAATTCCCGGATCGTCTTTTTTCGATGGTGTCTTGCGGTGGACATGATTTCTCGAAAACGGTTCATCCGAAATCCAAAATTCAAAAAAGTTTAGTTAGTATATTGTATTGTCTAGTCCGTGAACGAGGGATTTTTAAAAATTTTGATTAAAAAAAAAATGGCGACGTTTTTAACAAAAAATGTACTTTTTCAACGTATAAGATTTTTGTTTTTTGTGCTTTAAAAAAGGAGTTTTCAAAAAAATTGAAAATCCCTTGTTCACGGACTAGCTAATATCATAATAAATAAGTGGTCAAAATTTGGTGTTGATCGGATTAGTAGTTTTTTAGTAATCGTGTCCACCGCAAAGGTAATTTCCCAAAATAAGATTCTGAGATAATGGCGTTTAAAGTTTTAAGTTTGTTCAAGTTTTATATGCAGATAGTGCGCTATAAATAGCTACAGCTTCGGTTCTAATGCTCCGATCGTTTTAAATTTTTGTGAGAGTATTCCCAATAGAACATACTTAAAGAATATGCAATAAAAAAAAATCGATTTTTTCATATATCACAACTGTATATAACCCCTTAAGCATTTTTATTGACAGAAAAACTTATTTTTAGGTATGCAGAGATGACTCTTTAATAAAATTATTGATCGGCTAATTTATCCATATTCTACTGGTTTAATTCGTTCGAAATCTTTCCCCTGTGGCTATGAATGTAAGGAAATAATAAACAATTGCCAAAACTATCTTACTTTTCCTTTCAATACTTTTTCGATCGAATCAGAACGACAGACCACAGTGCTGGTGGTTCGTAACCTTCAAGACCCAATCACATTTACAGCAATCGTCCGTTATTATAATTATTATTGATTATTGAGTGAGATGATATAATTTCCCTTTTCCTATATCTGCGAGGAACTGCATAACGATTGCCATAATTTATCCATCGCATCGACCTGTTCCGTAATGGATCGGAGCCGACCTTTAACATACTTAACATTTAAGATACTTATTAAATATTGTAGTTCAAATAAAAATGTTCTAAGTGTATTGATCTTTTGTGCGATTTTACCATTATACATAGGTTAGACTATATGCATTTGTAAAATATTTTTGGTCAAGCCACTATATTAACTTTTATTTTGAAATTAAAACTAAGTCATCTCTCTCTCTCACAAATCTCAGCATCTTATAAATATATTTTATTCATAAATTGCGCTTGTTTGCGTTTTCTCTTTGCAAGGAAAACGAAACCTAGAAGTATGCAACATTTTATTTTCCTTTGGCACACATTTGTGAATACTACAAAAGGCTGTTAAAAGAAGTATCCAAAGGTTTTTTGTTTTGTTTTCAATATTTATTGGCCAAAAAGGCTTTTGGTGATTTCCATTATTGTTGGGAACTAGGCAACATGGCACCTTGTTAATCTCTCATAAATTTTTAATAATGCGAAAATCAAGCTGTAGTAATTATATTACCTACAGACTATATAACCACATCATCAAAATATATCCCAGCCAAACGTTAAGTGTTAAGCAACCACATCGGATATGATACTCAAAGTCTCTCAGAAATCGGCCCAAGGTGCCCTGTTGAGAACCTGTGATTCGCTGAATTACTTCAATTATTCGAAACGCTGCATCGGATGGGACCTACCATCGCGAGATTCACCTTACTGGTGGTTTTATTACATGAGTACTGTGTCAGTAATTGGGATGGCGTACATTTATATGCCATTCGGTCTATTTATGACGGGAGTCAAGGACATGCATAAGTTTACAATCACGGATTTGTTCACCTATTTACAAGCTCCGGTTAACTCTTTGTCTGCCATTATCAAGGCGATAATTATTTACTTCATGAGAAAAAGGTTTTTCAAGGTCCATGAGGTAATGGACCGCATGGACGATCTAAATTCGGGAGATGAGGATAAAGGCGCTATTCAAAAGTGTATCAAAGATTGCAGAAAGATAACCATCATTTACCAAATGATTTACTATGGGTATTTAACAAGCGCCTTCCTTGGGGCCATGGTCAATGGAACGACTCCTTATCATATGTACAATCCCTACATAAGCCCGAGTGAGAACCTCAAAGACTTTCTTTTGGGGAATTTGATAGAAATCATTGCCACTAATGGCATATTATTAACCAACATAGTTACGGACGTTTATCCCATAGTCTATGTGGTGGTTTTGCGCACCCATATCGACTTGCTCAAGCGACGAATTGAAAACTTGCGATCTGATCCCGACAAAAGCGAAGATGAAAACTATGACGAACTGGTGAAGTGTGTCAAAGCCCACAGGTTAATCATTGAGTTAGTAACTCTATATGTTTTAATTTTGAACTAAAATTAACCAAAAATCTTCTAGGTATGCAGACCTTATAAGGCCCGTAATCTCAAACACCGTCTTTGTTCAGTTGGTCTGCACCGGACTTCTTCTGGGCTTGTCCACAGTTTCGATTATGTTCTTCGACATCGTGGACCGCCTCGTTACAGTATATTACTCTATGGCAATACTTTCCCAGACGTTTCCCTTTTGCTACACCTGCGAGAGTCTGCTTGGCGACTGCAATGACTTGTCCGTCGTCATCTTGCATTCCAAATGGATCGGAGCAGAACCGCGATTCAGAAAGACGTTAGTGCTATTTATGCACCAAACCCAAGCTCCAGTTTCGTTTACAGCCTGCGGAGTGGTTCAAATTGGCTTGGACACCAATATAAAGGCACTTAATGCTGTACAATACATATAATTTTCATAGATTCATAATTCTTCTATCCTACAGATGGTCAAGTTTGCCTTTTCGGTTTTTACAGTTGTTCAAGGAATGGACCTAATGGAAAAATTTAAACAATAGAGGAGACACTTAAAGGAAAAATGGAATTTAAAACAATTTTTCAGTTTCAGTTATTCACATAACCACAGCATAGATTATTAACACAATACAAATTAGATGATTTAACTTTCTATACCTTTGAATTGTATTCTGTTTTTGTCTAGATGTTAGTATGACTTCGAATAAATAAACAAACTTATATCTTATGTATATTCAATTGAGTTTATTTTTAAATATCTCACATTAAGTTACCTTTCATTGACAATTCCATATCTTCCATATATTTATATATTAAAATTGCTATTAGTGTTATAATGAATATTTTTTTGTGACTCATATTTTGATCCGAACCGGTTTGAGTATTTTTCTAAGTCAAGAGGTAAACCAATTTTGATGAAATTTCTTAGAACTTTTGATTTCGCTTCCTATACCAATGTAAGGCGGCAGTATTTTTGACCAATAAGAAGGTATTATAGTTTTTGTGTAGTGCCTAGTACGCTGGGAATAAACCATGTGTCATACTGGCTAATCTCGCATAAATTTTTAATAATTTGAATAAAATCTGGTATATAAGCCAATAGCCATAATCTGTCTCTGCCAAACGTCAAGTATTAAACAACCACATCGGATATGATACTCAAAGTCTCTAAGAAATCGGCCCAGGGTGGCTTATTGAGGACCTGTGATTCGCTGAATTACTTTAATTATTCAAAACGCTGCATCGGATGGGACCTACCATCCCGAGATTCACCTTACTGGTGGTTTTATTACATGAGTACTGTGTCGGTTATCGGTATGGGCTACATTTATTTGCCATTCGGTCTCGTTATGACGGGAGTCAAGGACATGCATAAGTTTTCAATCACCGATTTGTTCACCTATTTACAAGCTCCGGTTAACTCTTTGTCTGCCATTACCAAGGCGATAATTATTTACTTCATGAGAAAAAGGTTTTTCAAGGTCCATGAGGTAATGGACCGCATGGACGATCTAAATTCGGGAGAGGAGGATAAAGGCGCCATTCAAAAGTGTATTAAAGATTGCAGAAAGGTAACCATAATTTACCAAATGATTTACTATGGATATCTATCAAGCGCTGTCCTTGGAGCCATGGCCAATAGATCTACTCCATATCATTTGTACAATCCCTACATAAACCCGAGTGAAAGCCTCTTCGAATTTTTCGTGGGGAATGTAATAGAATCCATTGCCACGAATGGCATAATATTAACTAACATAGTTACGGACGTTTATACCATAGTCTATGTGGTGGTTTTGCGCACCCATATCGACTTGCTCAAGCGACGAATTGAAAACTTGCGGTCCGATCCCGACAAAAGCGAAGATGAAAACTATGACGAACTGGTGAAGTGTGTCAAAGCCCACAGGTTAATCATTGAGTTAGTAACTCTAAATGTTTTAATTTTGAATTAAAATTAACCAAAAATCTTCTAGGTATGCAGACCTCATAAGGCCCGTAATCTCAAACACCGTCTTTGTTCAGTTGGTCTGCACCGGACTTCTTCTGGGCTTGTCCACAGTTTCGATTATGTTCTTCGATATCGTGGATCGCCTCGTTACAGTATATTACTCAATGGCAATACTTTCCCAGACGTTTCCCTTTTGTTACACCTGCGAGAGCCTGCTTGACGACTGCAATGACTTGGCCGTCATCCTGTTGCATTCTAAATGGATCGGAGCAGAACCTCGATTCAGAAAGACGTTAGTGCTATTTATGCACCAAACCCAAGCTCCGGTTTCGTTTACAGCCTGCGGAGTGGTTCAAATTGGCTTGGACACCAATATAAAGGTACTTGATATATTTCAAAATAATTTAGATTCTTAATTAATGTCTCCCATAGATGGTAAAGTTTGCCTTTTCAGTGTTTACAATTGTTCAAGAAATGAACTTGATGGACAAATTTAAGAAGTAAAGAGGGCGCTTGAAAAGGACATTAAATTTTCTAATTTTTTAGAAATTTAAATGAAGCACAATCACTTAAATAAACTTAGGAATCACCTTCTTTCACACAATACATAGATGATTTAACAGTTGTAGTTCAAATAAAGATCATCCAAAGGTGGTGACTTTTTAGTGTTGAACAAAGCGCCTTTTTATATGGAAAGTCATTTTGTAGCACCTGCCACTGGAGCTGGACCTCGCGTTCTTTGGGTCTGGCTATCCGGCCGTCCGGTGCATTAACATTAACACTATGGCCATTTGGAGGAAATATTGCACATCTGGGGCTGACTTCTAATTTTGAATCGTGTTGCACAACAACAGCAACTCCGAGTGGAACACGTACACGAATGTTCAGCGCCATAAAAATCACAATAGAGCTCCCGGGTTACTTGTGCCAGAGCCAGAAAAGTCAAGAAATCAGGAAGGAATCCCGGACAAAGAAGTAGGAGCAATAGCCAACTATCGACCTCGATTGTTTTCCATTCAAGAAATGGCCAACAAAAGGGCATTTTGCGACTTACACGATCGTTTTTCCCTCTTGCCGATATCGGATTACGATCCCACTTGTTGCCCCACCATTCTAGCCACCGGCACCGAATCAGCTCCCAGCAATCCCCCAGTCTCCGGGTAATGATCCATCGACAGACAGTTTCAAATTTCATGTAGTTTATGGTTATGGATTTGCGCACTTGTCAATTGCAGTCCGATCATTGCCAGCACTTGCACTCGGGGTCGTTTTGGGGGCCCCCAGCCCAGACAAAGGGGCCAATATTGTGGCGAGAAAAACGTGCAGCTGCATAAATAAGGAAAACTGCTTCAAATAGTCGCTATCGGTATGGGTATCTCCCGGCATTAGAGGTGATCGAAGGTTTAGAGAGCAGTTTTTGTTTGCCAAATTATTAGGTTTCGACTAAGATATATGGTTTATAAGGTAATAATTATGCATAATTGCTAGAAATAATAATGATTCAGTTTATAGAATAGGGATATAATTAGTTTCTATAATATGACAGATATCGGGTTTTTGTAAGTAATACCCGGATCTACAGTTCGGTTTAGCCCAAGCTACCCCATCCGATTTGGGCACCGATTATTACCTCATTGCAGCCAACATTAAATGGCACTAAACATTGCTCAATATTTTGTTTTGGGTTCTATATAAGCCGGTTTCCCAGCCGCCCACTCAGTCAGAGTCGGAATGTCAGCCAGAAGGGATCTTATTTTGACACTCAGTTGCTGTCTTTTGCTCAGCTTTCTGGGCATCGAGGCCAGGACTGTCATCAAAGTGGTAATGAAAAGAAATTTCAGTGATTTATGTTTTCGCCAAAAATATCCATTTTAGAAACGAGAGTCGCCAGACTGGATTTCGCTCATAACGGATGCCATTGAGGAGTACGTAGATGATAGCGAAGATTATAACGATGATAAGTACCGTAGGTAGAAAAAAATATTACAATTTCAGGCTAACCACAATGATCCGTTTATAGTTCTTTGTAGCAATTGCACAGTGGTAGTTAGTCCTGCCTCGAATTCAACGCAGGCTGGAGGAAATGGTCCATCAGCAACAGCAGGAGGAGATGGTGCTTCTTCAGGAGGAGCCGTCGCACCAGGAGCTACAGCTCCCGTACCAGGGGCTTCTCCGCCAGGAGCTGCTGCACCAGGTGCTGCTCCACCAGCAGCTGCTGCACCAGGTGCTGATCCGCCAGGAGCTGCTGCACCAGGTGCTGCATCACCAGTAGCTGCTCCACCGGGAGCTGCTGCACCAGGAGCTGCTGCGCCAGGAGCTGCTGCACCAGGAGCCGCTGTACCAGGAGCCGCTGTACCAGGAGCTGCTGCACCAGGAGCTGCTGCACCAGGAGCTGCTGCACCAGGAGCTACTGCTCCAGGTGGTGCTGCACCTGCAATGCCAGCTTCTTAAGCGCCCTAAGGATTATTTCCAGTTATGGAGATAAACAAATAGTCTCCATTTAAACATTTTAAAAGGGATTTGGTATACGAATATTATTTAAATGGCTGAAATTAGGTGTAGTTTTGTTTATAAAAACTATTTACTTTAAATCTAAACTCTTTTTCTCACTTTTTGAAGTACTACCTCTTCATTTCCACCCTCTGTGGATACATTTTGTAACGCAATTGTCTTGACAGAAGTCACAACAAATCGGCTGGCACTCGCGGCAGACCCACACACAGTGAGTCTGGTGGTGCTTGGTGGCCTGGTGGTTGGGGACTAGGTCGGTGGTTTTTTGTGCTCGATCTTTGAACATTTTCATCGGTAAAAGGAGCCCCATTCGTTCTCCTCCGACAGGGAGGAGGGTGTCATTCCCAGCTTGACATTCTGTTTGACATTTGTAATCCCGGGATCGTTAATTATTTACGAATTGAGTTGCCAGGGGAGAGGTTCTACTTTTATGGGGATTCAGAATATCCAGCGCCAGCCAGGAAGGAAAAAGTAAAGTCAAAGATCACACAAACGACAAATGCGCTATCTATAGGGAAGATATATTTTTAGGGTATTTTGCTTGACGGTAATAAAAAAAATATATTTTTTTAATTGAAATAATTAAATATGTAGAGACATTTTTAAATCAATTATTTTACTAATTAAAATGAACTAACTAGTATAATAAAGGTATTTATGTTTTTGGCTGATAGTTTTCAAAGTACTGAGTATACTTTAGTCAGTCCGTACTATTTAGTTCTTCTTGAATACCATTTTTTGTTGAATCTTTTTTGGAAAATATTCAAAGCATGCTCTCTGGTGGCTGCAATTTGTTGGTCTCTTCGAGAAAACATTATCACCGAGTGCTTGACTTTTGCGCTAAACGACCATAAATTTGTCTCAACAAATATTTTCTAGTTGTCGCCATGAAGGGGCTCTTCTTTGTATTTTCCTCACTGGATTTGGATCTATTGCAGATAGCTGAGTCGCTTAAATGGCTTTTCAAATACGCATGACATCAATTTCGGGCAATTACCAAAGATTAATGACAGGCATAGTTGAGTTTGGGGTTCAGTTATGGAATGTGAGTTATGCTACTGATAAGAACCGTAACTTTCCTAACCGAAAAATTGGAATATTAATTGAATCTCTCTATCGTTTAAAATGTTCTTTTTGATAAGACCTACATATGTATTTATATGTAGGTAGGTACTTATTCAAAAAGTCATCTTTTAAGTTGTGAGTAAGTTTTCGAGCGAAGATTTATGGCAAATCGACATCCGGCCAGAATAAAATACTCTCCGCCACATGCAAATTAGTCACGTATTGCCTATTAGAGCAGCTCGTCGAATCCCCTTTGGAGCGATCTCCGATGAGATGAGTCAAAACCAGATGGCGAATAACTTGCAACTTGCCTGCCCAGTGTCAAAAATGGATTTTATCAGCAATTGCATTTAATAAGGGTCTTGAATTTAACTGATCCTTAGTAACATATTTATTAATAATATCTGACAGTTTTTCTTTGTGGAACGGAGATTCTTTAAAGAAACTATTTATTTTTACCAGTGTCGAAATCAATTTTATGAATGTGTTGAACCTCTAAACCATTTTTTTTTTTGGCCTCACAAGTGCAACATTTCGCCGACCCTCAGATTCAAAGTGGCTACTTGGGCGACGCGTCGGCACTGATTGTTGGTCTTATTAAAGGTGCAAACATGCCACCGTCGTTGGATGCCGAGATACTGGGTGTCGGTCACGATCAGAGGAGCTTCATCTCAGGTGCAAGAGCTGACCAAGTCACTGTCTGGGTTTCTGAGTTTTCTGTTTGTTTTTTGTTTACCTTCGGGAAACCTTCGAGCGCTAAGAGGCGGGATTTTGTTTATTTAATTTTAGGTTGCTGCACAAAATGCGATTTGCTGCTGCTACTACTTGAGTGAGCTACTTTAGGCCTAATGAGGATCCTTCCTGGCTGACTTGGCGACTTGCCGACTTTCCGCTAGTCAGCGACTTAATCAAGGCAAACAAACTGGGAGCGATCCGATCTGAACAGCTTCTGTTAATGAAATGCAAACAGAAACAGCTATGGATTCGTGAAGAGGAAGGGCAAACAGCTTAAAAAATCATAAACTCGGAAACGAAAAGGCTGAAACGAAATGAGAATATGGCTGGCATGCCTGTCTCCAGCCCGTTTGTTAGGGCAGAGTCGGTAAATATTTGCCCACGGATTTTCGTATCTCGATCCGTTGTCCTTTCGGATCCCCGACGGAAACTGGAAACTGAAAACTAAGAACGGATTCGGTAGCTATGTGTTTTTCGGTACAAATGGCTTACAAATGAAAATGTGTCCGCCGTGTTTGCTTTGAAATTGTACACTTTGACTTACTCGGTCACGCATGACTCGATATGAAGATATCTGGTTCGGGATTGGCTTTGGGTTTTGCGTTTTCGGAGCCTCGATAGTCCCCCCTCTTGCAGCATCCCATAAAAAGCTCAATTAAAATTGTCTATACGGCGAAATTATAATTCATAAATTCTGGGAAATTGTCGAATACAATGGCGACTACTGTTCCATCCGAGATCTCCGGAACGATCAACAAATTACAAACGCAATCCGCAGAGAAATGTCGACATTAATGTGCGTATATAGGCACAAGAGTACACTCTTTTGAGTGCAAGATTTGTTCCTTTCTGCGCCGGTTCCCGGAAATTTTTCAACACTTTGCCCTTTTCACAAAGCCCTGCCGACGGCAATTAAAGTCATGCATATTGCTTCTTAAGTTTTTTATAAATTATTAAAATATCATTTAAGTATTCACGAAAAGCACTGATGCGCGTAAATCCAATTACAGGAGCAATTAACGAACGTTAACTAACTAGAACTAATTAAAAATAATATTTCGCTAAACAAAATGAATGGAGCGGTGAAGAAAAAACGGAAACTTAAAAGCACTTAAAGAAATATATTTTTTTGAATATTTTTGTTTATATATTTATTGATATAACTCCGAAGCCCATAAAAATATTATTATGATTTTACTACAGAAATAGACTCCCCTATCAGTTTAAAATAAAGTATGTATGGAATCTCATAATCAAGAATATTTCCTATTTGTCTGTCTGGTTGATAAGTTGCAACTAATATTGCAATTAAAAAATACTTTATTCCAATAGGAAATGCGATTGGCAGGCCGATAATCTTAGAAACTTGAATGTCGAGAACATTTTCGAAGGCAAAGGTCGAGGGGTAACGAACCTATTTTCCGCCTAATTGAATTTAACAAATTCAAACATTTGAAATTGATAAGAAATTTTGTTTTTTACGCGATCATAAAAATACATTGTCTGATTTATGGCATTTGATGAGATTTGCAAAGTGTCAGAATTTCAGAGGTGAGCTGCGGTGACAATAATACTTATCACGCCGATGCTGCTCTCGGAAAATACAGAAAATAAAAACAAACCATTAAAATTTCATTTTAATTAATAAGCGGGAAAGCGTCAATTAACACGTTTTCACACTAAGCGAAGCGTACTTTGAAAATGGTCCACTAAATTCTATTAATCGCAGAAACCCCTGAGTAATTGTCTGCATATTCACAACATTAACTGCAACCGAATAAAATAAATAACGAAACACTCGTATCAAAATGGCTGCCCCTTTGGATATGTATTTTTAGTCGGTTGGGTCCAAATTGAATATAAATTTGGCATGAAATGATGTTTTTGATATTGAGGGCAATATATTTTGGTCGTTCTGGTCGTGGTTTGGTGTTTGATTTGATCAGCCGGGAGAAACGCCTTCAGAATCCTTTTAAAGAAACTCAGACACTTATACGATAGTTGGATACACTGCCAAATATTAATAGAACTTTTCACAATAATGAATAACAAATGATAAAAAGTTGTCGGAATTCCAGGGAAATGCCACCTTAATGCTAATATCACTATAATTGGAATAGTCAATCGCCAAATATTCGATTTATTCGCACTCTCTGAGATGGACTGAGAAAGGGGATTTTATAAGAACTAACTACATCTTTTGAAGGGTATAGAATGCATGGCAATTTTGATTTCCTTTCTCATAACTATGCAATATGGGCGAATGCACTTCTGAATGCGTATAGCTCCCATAAATCTTTGGGTCTTGGCAAGCAGTGTCTTTTCATTCGGAATACTTATAATACAACACACACTATACCAGCAGGTTGATTGACAGAGCGCCGTCGCGAAATGGGGGAGATGCTTTCATATGTTTATTTTCTTAATTTCGCCTCGTACTTTTCGAATTCGGATGCAGAAAAAATTAATTTAACAACTCAGTTGACTTGAGCTGAGCCTCAGCCAACGCGTTGCGTATACGCCGCGTGGCCCGCCCCCTTTTCACAAATCACATTGTGTTTTTGCTTAGTTGGTCGACGACATTGTTGGGTTCTTCGTCTTTTGCATCGACTTATAAATAGTTCTCTTTAGGATTTTATATTTTTTTCCGCTTTCATATACTAACTATGCGACTTGTCGACAATTTTGCATTCGGAGCGTTGCACAATTTGCCGCACAATCGCTTTTATTTATCAGTAAATTTCACAGATTCGCCGGACAGAAGGCGGAGAAAGAAGATGGATGCATCTCTCCGTCTGGCTATCTGGCTCTTTGAACTGCTGCCAATGCTATTTTCCTCCTTAATCTGCAAAGTTCACATCGAAGTGTTATCAATCGAAAAGAGTGCGGGATGGGATTGCTTGTTGTTTACATCGATTTATTATGAGAAGATTTCAAGCTGAGACCCTTAAAGCGTAAACTTTTCCGATATATTTTACAAATCTTATTCAAAGTGGCGATCTAGCTAGGCAATTCTTTAAACTATCCCTTAGTTGCACTTGCACAGCAAAAAGAAGCGACTGAAATTATAAATTAAGGCCATAAAATAGGCGCCCTCGCCTGGCTCTAGCAAGTGGGAATCAGAAGAACATAAAGCTAAATAGATTCCTGCGGCGTCAACAGCATTGTCTGTCAACAGAAATTAATGAGTCCATAAATCACGGCAGCCACCGCAAGATAGCGACGCACTCGCTCGTTTTTCCGCCCCCTTGGGAGTTGGGGGGCTGAAGCGAGCTGTAGTCTAGGAAATATGACGGCCCTAGAGCCTCCGATCCCGCAGAACTCGAACTCAAAAGGGGTGCAACCGATCCGAGAACCAAAGACGACATGCCGCTCTGACTTCAATTACGCGTCCAAGGAATGCGCACAATGCGAGCGCGTAGCCGAAATGCTGTGGATGGTAAACCCATGGCCACAGTTCCGAATCCAACCCAGAGATCCAACGCATCCGACCAATCATTGGCAATGTACTAGAACCGACAACTCCAAGTGCAGTTCGGGTTCGCCGGCTCTCGAGCAATGTGGAACGCCCGTCGCTGACAACGGAATGGATATAAATCTAACCATGTGTTCCTCATCCTCAGATCACCCACTCGCAACTCCCGGGTGATGCCAAGTAGGCGATACAGCAAGATGCTTTCTCAAGAGTTAAAAACCAAATATTCAAAAGTAGCTAATAATCTGGCTGGTTAATAGCTAAAATACCAACCCCCTCATTGCAGCTCTGAAGATGAATCTGAATCTAAGAAATGGAGACAAAATTCCTATGTGGCAGTTCCGGTTTTGGGTCGCCATAGCCCCCAGAGACATGACACAGGCCATCAAGGGGTTAGGGTTCGGGTTAGGGGTTACGACCAGATGTCAGCCTCCGGTTTATTGATGTGCTTACATTCATTATCCTCTAAGTCGGATGCCAAGGATGCCTAAACACGTGCCCTACAGCGATTAGAAACTCATTAAATTTATGATAATGAGCTAAGTTGATGCTCAAATGTCGAAGAGTGAATCCCCTGAGATATGTCTAAGGACTGGGACGAAATCAGTAGAGAATTTACCACAAACTTTATATATTTCTAAATAGATTAGTTGAACGATCTGCTTTCAAGACTTTCATAGTTCCAAATGAAACCATATATCCGAAATCTGTTACCGGATGAAAGTTCCGCATCAGCTGACAGGGATGTGATTTAATTAAAGAACTCAGGGAAAACGACGCCACATAATCAAGTCGGTGCAGTGAAGCGTTTTGCCAAACTCGAGCTGCAATCGCCGGTATCAATGGTCGGAAGCTGCAGGTCGGGCTTTTATGATCACCTCCCGCCCTATACACTTTTTTTACTCCTGAACACGATCATATACATATGTAGAGTCGTATATATATAGACTCTTCCATTAAGGCGTGTACACATTGACGCGACGTATCTGAAGTGTTTGCCTGCATTTTGTGACCAACGTCTGTGGCCGACTCTCGGGCCGACTCTTTTGTTTTAGTGCCCCTTTCTGTGGTTTTAACATCTTGCACTTACGGACTCGGGTTCGAGCCTGCTAAGTCCGGTGGTGGTGGGCTTTTCATGTTTAGCTACCGAAGTAGATGGCTACCGGTAGCCGTTAGTCACGCATTTATGCATCTTTGGTCCAGAGTCGGTAGCGGCGTCTGGGCCTGCGTCTCCAGACTCCGTCGCCGTCTATATCTTTTTTCGACGTCTGTGGCCGAGCAAACAATCTACAGTCGTATAAACAGAATGCCAAAACATCGAAAGCAAGTCATTAACGGACAGAACTTCGGGCTCTTCTAGCCCATATATAGTTTCTTTTTTGGAGAGGATAGATGAAATAATTCGAAGGTTGAAAGTATTTTATAAAGTTGGGACCCCTATTTAAAAGGAGATTCCATCAAAAAAAAGAGAAATTAGTTTGTTTTCTCAATCGGATTTATTTTCAATTTGTTGACCAATTATTTCCAAAGATGATCCAACCGATTTGAAATTTGTAAAAGCCAATCCGACGCATGCCAAATTATTCAATTGCGCAGATGTTTGTCAATAAATCTGACCACTCAGCCCCTTTTTTTGGTCATAAGGCAACGGCTCCTATGTCTTTTTTGTTTTTGGCCCAAAGCACATAGGCAAACAGAGACACGCACACTTGGAGCCAAAAGTGAAGACCGCACGACAAAGGCCCAAACATTACAACGATCATTAGTTAAATTAGGAGGAGTTCGTCGCCGAGTTCGGGGCACGGGTTTTGGGACACGGATGTGGATGTACGGCGACATCGTCGAATAAAGCAAGCATCTCCGAAAACAAACAACTACCGTGGCTACCGCGAGGCTGCCGATCATGCGCAAAGCGACGGCAACCTTTTGAAACGAAAATCATAAGCAAACACATGCCTCTTGGCCAGGCCAAAAAAAAAAATCAAGAAAAGAAGACGGAGCATCGGATTGATTGTGTTTACTTCCTCGCTGGGCGATTGCCACACACTGGGCTGGGGATCCAACAGGACTTGTTTGGAGGATCAGGTGAGAGCACTTTGTTAGCAAAACACTTGAACCGGGGGATTTGAATACACAGACACAAAAAATATTAATTCGTGGATGAAGTTCGGCTTGAGGAATATGAACAATAAAATGTTATTTTTATATGGACACATTGATTGTGTCCATATTTTATCAATTTTTGGGATTAGATGAGAAGAATTTAAGATATTAAAGGGGGGTTTGAGTTCGATTTTTTACATGGCAAGTACTATTTCAAATATATAACTAAGATATTTTTTCAAAAATTAAAGATTAAGATAAACAAAACGGATTAAGATTCTAGAAACTAAAATCCATCAATTCTCTTTCTAAAAACTGTATTTAAGCCCAAAAAAAAATACAAACTTTATTGATATTGAAATAATTTCCCATATTTTGGATCCTAATTTTTTAAAACAAGTGCTTTCAGTTTGGGCCAAATGAGGAATACCGACGGCTACCCGTACTACCCATAAATCAAAGTTCAGTTTCTGAGAAGGTCTTGGGCCCTTGCGAAATATAGACCTTGGGAATTATAACCTACCTGGGTCCATTTCGGCCGATGTCAGTTGATTAAAGAACTCCACAATTGCAATTGTCACAACTCGGCTGGCTTTCTGGTATAGCTTTCCTTTGGAACTTTCTCCGGATGGCTTAACGTTTTTGCAGGTCGCGTTGATGAGGTGGTAGTGATGCTGGATGGTTCGGGGCTTTGCTTAGTCGTTAACTTTTCGCACTTGGCTATAATGTGAGTTTCAATTAAGGCATGAAATTTGTATACAAATTGGCGCCAGTTGTGCGGGACTATGACGGGGCTGCGATGCCGTGAACCAAAACTGAGATCTGATTAGCACATTTTCGGGCCAAAACGGTCGCTCGGCTAGTTGCCCCGAAAATTATCACGCACTTATCACACCTTTTTGGAGACCGGGAACTACACACATTCTTTATGGCACTTGAATGGGTTTGCTGTTGCGCTTATTTAATTTTCCTTTCTGGCAGTCAGACCTCCCGTGAGATCGATTGATGGCCCGCGATTCGATTAATCCGCACCCACTGATCCGTGCGCGCGTCTCTCTTGATCTTACGCTGGATCTCTTCCCTGGCGAATCGGGTCGGATCGGTAGTATTGGGTCGAATCGGAAGTCCCTGGCGCGCTCTCCAAACGATTGTTGCTGCTCGTCACCCGTTTCTGCTGCGACTAACGCTGCCTTGCTCCGCCGATCTGCTCCGAAGATCGCCAGAGAGTTCACCCATTATCCACATTCACAACCACACCAGCATCCACTCACACAGCCTCAGGCCACATCCACATGAGATGGCACTGAGTCGACGCAGCATCACGAGATCTCGTTCGCTCTCGCTCATCTCACTCGGTTCCTCTCTGTCCCATGACCTGCTTTCGCCCACACTCATACACACACAGATGAGGAAGGGCGGTCGATCGGCTGGTGTTTTGTAGTTTTAATGGCGATGCTGGGGCGTTTGTATTGGTGAGCTAGTGGGCCGAGGGCAAATAATAAAAATGAAGAATGTCTTCAGATGCCCAGGAGCGTAGGCAACAAATCGAGGGGCACAGGCCCAGGGGCTTTTATTAAGTATTTACATATGTATTAATGATATTAAATATTTATGTTTCCATTTCAAAATTTTAGTTTTGAAATAAGCAATTACCAATTTTTAGTGATTTTTATGATTAATAAGAACCTTGCTTATCTAAGCTTATTTAAATTTGTATTTATATTTATTTTTTAAGCAAAATAAAATCAATTTTTAAATTTAAAAATTCCATATACCAGATTAATAGATTATAATATTTTTTCCTTTATAAAAGTAGTACTTTTCCAATCGAATATAGGATAAAAATTCCTTTCATTATTTCATTACCGCCCCTGTAATTTCCGGCGTATGTGTAAGCGTGTGTGCGGGTGTATCTGTGTGCCTTGGCTGCGCACGAGTACTCGCAGTTAGTGGAATCGATTCTCTCTCAGCCACATACGACTCACATACATGTAGGCCCGCTCTGGGCCTGAGACTGGCCGAGTGAATGAACACACGCAACCGGGCGGAGTTAATTTCTGAATGCTTGAATGGCCAATCTGAAGCAAGTAAGCGTATCCGTAGCGTTACGCAGGGTGAGCGAGCTGCGAGATGTCATGACTTTTTAGTGTCACACACATGTGGCCGTAGGCCGTAGGACTGCTGGGAAGGCGGGGAAAAATGGGGGCGGGGCTGTGGGAATTCTGCGATCGTGTGCATCTATTTTTGGTTCATTAAGAAAGTCATATCGCTAATAACGCGGCACAGACGGTAACCCCGCAGAATCCTGGCTCTTCCATCCGAGCCAATGCGGCGTATGCGTGATGCCCGACGATCTCGCTGAGGCGTTGCGTCTTGCTTGGTTAGAGTTAATTATAAGAAATGCTGTCTTCATCTGATTGTCACTAATTCTAAATATCGTCATTTAATGATAGCTGCCAATTTTCGTTGTCATTCCATCATTAAAATGGGCAAAAGAGCTCTTGCGAATTAGCATTTTACTCGCTCTCTTCAGTGCCGACTAAGTGCTTTTGTGTGTGTGCGTACTGTGTGCCGGTGTGTATGCCCACACATACCTATGTACACCGTGAACGTTGGACACACCTCCTTGAGATGGCTTACGCTTACCTGCTCATACCTTTTGTTGCGAATCCAATCATCTTCGCCTCCTCTCACTCTCAGTCCATTGCTCTTTCTCTTGCTTTCGTTTCAAAAATCGTATTTCTTTGACGATCGCCATGATGAATGTTTCTAATTTTCAATAAACCCTTTCTAATAGCATTAATATGGGATATTAAAAGTCCCATAATTTAAGTGAAAAAACACACTGTTACAGCATTATTTTTGTAAAGATAAAACTCTGTTTAAGGGGTTATATACAGTTGTACCACGCAAAAATATGGATTTTTATCGATTTTTTTTTGACACCATAGAAAATATTTATGAAAAATGTTTTACCGACGTTGTTTAGTACATGTTTCTGGGTACTTAATTAAATTTTTTCATAAAAAAATATTACATAACAAAAATGTTATAGACGGATTCTCGGATCGTCTTTTTTCGATGGTGTCTTGCGGTGGACATGATTTCTCGAAAACGGTTCATCCGAAATCCAAAATTCAAAAAAGTGTAGTTAGTATATTGTATTGTCTAGTCCGTGAACGAGGGATTTTTAAAAATTTTGATAAAAAAAAAATGGAGACGTTTTTAACAAAAAATGTACTTTTTCAACGTATAAGATTTTCGTTTTTTGTGCTTTAAAAAAGGAGTTTTCAAAAAAAATTGAAAATCCCTCGTTCACGGACTAGCTAATATCATAATAAATAAGTGTTCAAAATTTGGTGTTGATCGGATTAGTAGTTTTTTAGTAATCGTGTCCACCGCAAAGGCAATTTCCCAAAAAAAAGATTCTGAGATAATCGCGTTTAAAGTTTCAAGTTTGTTTAAGTTTTATATGCAGATAGTGCGCTATAAATAGCTACAGCTTCGGTTTTAATGTTCCGATCGTTATGAATTTTTGTGAGAGTATTCCCACTAGAATATACTTAAAGAATATGCAATAAAAAAAAAATCGATTTTTTCATATATCACAACTGTATATAACCCCTTAACTGTTTCGATGAAAATGAATCGTATCACCAAAAGGATATTGTTAGGTGATTGTAATATAAAGTTTATACCCATTTCAAGCATTTTAAAAATGAAAAGTTTTTTTCTTCAACAAATCCTTTAAACTTTGAAGAAGTTTGTTTAAAAATGCATTTTCAGAGGTATTCATTTGGAACTGTTATTAAATTTTTATAAAATGAGAAAGAGAATAATATAAAAAGTAAAACTATTTTTGAAATATTTTCAAAATGTTTAATTCAAATCTATTAAATTCCATTTTCTGCATTTAAAATCCAACAAGTAGATTATAAAAGGTTAATTTTTAGTAAAAAAAACTCTTGTGATTAGGACCTAAATTGTAAAGACATATTTACATACATTATTATCTAAACCACATGTTTCGATTTAATCCTCTAATGTGAGGAGTGGATCAACTTCCAAAATAATTGGCCACATGCGAAAGCCAAGAATTCTTACCCGGCGGCCAAAGCTGGGGGCTAAAAAAGCGCCGGGTGGAAGCGGGGGAAGACGATGACAAAATTGTCTCCGCGTTTAACAAATTGGCTGACAGACTTTGAAGTTGCCGGCGAGAAGCGACAAATGACAGGCATAACAAATGAACACAGTGCGTTTCCCGCTGCCGCTCTACTCTGCTTTTTATATTATTTTTCCACAGATTCTTACTTGTTGTGCAATAACAGAAAGTCAAAAAAGACCGGGATATGCCTGGCACTTGAGCAAACAAAGGAGCTATCACGAGGAGCAAGGCGAGAAAGTACAGGAGACAAGGAAGATTTGGGTAAAGGAGCTGGAGTCCAAGTGCCAGAAGTAGCATCGAATGTCATAAAGTGGCAAATGCGCTATAAAATTGACACATTTAGGGCAAAGGCGGTGGCAACTTACATAAGATTACGCCAGATGGGTGTGAACTGTGCACTTGAAGAAATTACTGCATAAAGTAAAGGTTCTAAGGTGTCTCGAATAGGTTTTACAAACATTGTTAAAATAAACGTTATCCTTTTAGCTTATTTTAATTTCAATCATATTATGGTATATGTTTTACAATGAATTTTACTGCATTTTTTTTAAGTGATCGAAGGGGCGGAAGCGTCAAATTGTCTACGGCAGCAATCCTCCTAAAAATGGGCATCGATCTCTCGGACGACATCGGTACTACCGACACGTGATTATGCGACCCACTTGAGTCCTGGACCTTCCCAGTCCCTGTCGCAGGCGCTACATAAAACGGATCGACGCAACTGCAGTTGAGGATGAATTATTGGTGTAAGCGAATACCCGGCTCACTTGAGAGGCACTACACCGCAACCGACCCAAATGTCACCTGATCCCGCACTCGTTCGCACCCAATTTCCTAACTAGATGAAGTTGTTCCCAGCCCACTGGCCAGTGAGTAATACATGTACATTCTCACATTCCCCACGAAAATCCTCTGGGCTGGACATGTGTTTCTGGTTTGTCCGGGGTCTCGGCTTTCCGGCCTATCTTTCACGGGCCCGGTTTGTTACGGCCTATAAATTTCGGATTCTGTATATTACGACATTCCTCCGATTCTCCGGCAAGGCATGCAATCTGTTTTTGTTTGTTTACGCCAGCCCGAGTCCCTCTTAGTGTGGATGCAGCCATGGATGCAAAACTATATCAAAATAAGATTATCTAGATGTTGTTCTTTTCGCGCCATGAAGTGCAGGTATTTCGATTTTATGGAAATTCCACATTCGCAAATTTAAGCCAAAATACACACTGTTACAGCATTATTTTCGGAAAGACAAAACTCTGTTTGACCGTTTCGATCGGGAATTTTGGGGGGTTCCATTAACGCCTGAAGAAATCCTCGACTGTTTGGTGGATGGCTTTGTTGTGAATTATCCGGCGGGTGCTAATTAAAAACCTTCTTCGAGCAAGGCAAGGAGCGAGGCGACTATAAAGAGCGGTAGCACGGCTTTGTGGTTTCTAACAATAATTAAAGGCAAATAAATAAACAGATTTGTACAACGACTAATTGAAGCTCAAATAAATCAAAATTTAACTAATAGTACGACGGTGGACCACCCAAAGTGTACGGGTTCGAGTCCGTGCCTCCGGAGTGCCGAAAAAGTTGAGTTGTAATCGAAGTGTTAATAGGCCAAACTGGTTTCGTTGGACAAACATTACTCCAAAAAATCGCCCGAAGGTCCGACTTTACCGTGTGTTTTTTTATATTTTTGTATTTCTTTTTTTTTTTGGCAGTCTCAACGACAATCTGACGAAACACTCATCTGAAAGTTGCCCAGATTTGCCGACAGATATAAAGTTGGAAGGAGACGATGAAGCTGGGGACGGAGACGAAAGCGGCAGCGAGTTTGCTTCATGCTCGTTGCACTTGAACGCTTCAACGGCATTCTGATTTGTGGCTGCGGCTGCTGTTGCGGGCTGCAGCCGGGATCCCAAGCCGATCCGATCCGATCCGATCCGGACCAGGACGTGGCCATATTTCACGTGAGGAGCATCTAACAAGTAACGCCGCATAGGCTTAAAATACGAATAATAAATACCTAGTGTTTAAATACGTGTATATCTTTATCAATATTTCAGAGTAAATGAGTACTTTTCTTGAATTAATTTTATTTGGATACTATTAAAATTACTAAAGATATTTTGTTGAATGTCTTGACCTAACTTATTCAATCCTATTCCTAGTATACCCTTAAATCGCATAAATACCTTGAATAAAATATTTAGAAAATTGGAAGAAAAAACAAACAAAAACAGGCGAAAGGTGAAAGTTTGGAATCTTGGAGGGAATCTCTGTGATTGGCGTGGTAATTGGTTTGACCCAGCTTCCCTTCTCCCCATCTCGCCCTACCACATCCCTCTTGATATCAAAGCCCGCCGCCCTTTTGGATTTCCAATATGGCGTCGCTGCCGTTTCCGTATCTGAGATACTCAGATTTGGAGATGCTGCGCTGATAGACGCGCTTTAAATGCATAAAATTGCCGACTATAAATAACATTTAATGAAACACATTTTTCGATTCCCGATTCTACACGCATCCGCATCCATTCCCCTCTTTTTGGATGCTTTTCTTTATTTTTTTCACTTTTACTTTTACTTATACCATATTGTTTTTGGCAAAGGATTGCCAGAGGCCCTAGGCGATGAGAAGGAGGAGCGTTTAGCTTGGCATCTTCTATGGTTCTTGAGTTATTATTGTAATTTGGCTGTGGGCAGTCGAGTGGAACGGTTGTGCCGCCGGTTGCAGATGCAGTTACTCCGAAAGATCCCAGCCGAATGACGGGATGAGATGGAGCTCTGCCAGCGGTGGCATTTTGTGTTCATTTAAATTTTTCACAGTCTATGAAATATAATAAGTTTGCGACATGTGCGCCGCCAATTCCCCATTCCAAACTTGGCCATACGGCCTTTAATTAAAAAACAAGATCTGTCCCGTTGCGCGACTCCCATCTACAGAAAGACATGAGGGAATTTCGGCGGAAAAAGGATTACAATGTTTCCATAGATCAGATAGATTCTAGTTCCGTTTGGAGCCACCTACGCAGAACTGTGCTGCCGTTCGAAATGTGTTAACGGTAAACCCGCTCGCAGCCATTTTATGCGTTTCGTTTCGCGCGCACATCTCACCATTCAAATGGGCCATAACGGTATAATGGCAAACCAACACAAAATCAACAGAAAAGGAAATACTGTGTTTTTGTAGCGCATGTTTTTGCCGTTGATTTTCCTGGTGGGTGTAATGGTACAGTCCGTATTGAAAGTGTAAGGCAGCTATAGTTTCTTTATTATTAAAACAAAAAGTTTGGACTAAAATGTCCGGTATTATTTCCTTATTAAACTTTCCTTCCAGTTAAATAAAAAAATACTGAGTTGTATTGACTAAAAGCGTTGCAAAAATAAATGGCCATGGCTCAATTTTCATAAGAATTTGTTTGTTTTGTATCGCACTGCCCATGTGTGGCAATATAGAAATTGCAAAAGAAAATTCATAAAGTGGCGGATGTTTTCTTAATTTTTAATGGTTTAGTTTTATTTAAGTGTTTATGGAGAAATAACTAATGAAAACCGCCTTGAATTGCTCATTTCGCTACAGTCCCCCGCTCCACCAGCTGTGTATTAATAAACATGCATCGTGCATGGGCCTGTACTTGTGTTAAAGCGCAACATGATTCGCTCGATTTAAAATGCATTTCCATGCCAATGGCAACGCGCCGAGTTGCCGCCCTTTGATTTATAAAGCAGGCCGTTTCTTTCTACCCGCTTCCACATTTTTAGCCGCATCTCCACTCCATTCCGTCGCTGTTTGTTTGCTTAATGTCAATGCAATTAAAAGGAAACACTTTTGGGCAAATGCATAGATCATTTCCAGTGACCATGTACCGAAAGCAACACGTCTTTATATTTTACAGCCAGATACTTATATTTCCCCGTCTTAAATGCTCTTGCGAATGTTCAGTTTACAAATCAAAACTTAGCTATTTTAACATAAAACATCAAGCCAGGGTATGGGATCAGGTGTTCCATGTTGGCCAGGAATCAAGGGCAAAGCTCTGTAAATATTAAAGTAATTAATCGATTTGAAATTGTTTTAGACTGATTAATGATTCCATTTCAAATATTAATTCTTCCGCAAACTACAGGCTCGAAGAAACTTTGAAAATTGTTTTCAATGTTGACCAGTAATTTAAGTTCAAAGTTTCTTTGTATAACTTTGTTTTGAACCGAAATTGGGCGTGAAGTTCTTAATATTTGCTTATCGAAACTCATCGAAACTTACACAATCAAAACAACGAAATATAAGGCAACTACACTGCAAAACAAATGTGGGTTGGATCACGGATTTTGTGGCTTAGCTTAGGGATCACTCCTACACATCTTATTCCTTCTTGGGTACGCTCAGTTCGTAGAAGAGCTTGCCCATGCCGCCGATGCCGACCAGGGCGAGGGCCACTGTGATGCGGTACAGAACCTGATCGACGGCGGATCCCTTCAGGAAAACAGGCTTGCCGTCCTTCTTCTGGAAATGCTCCTGCACCTTGCGGATCTCGAAGTAGCCCTTCTCGATTTGGTCCTTGGGCACGGCGGCAGAGCGACGGCCAGCGGTGGTGGTGAAGCTACGGACAACAGCCTGCAGAAAGAAAATGTGCGGTTAGTTCTTGGAGCTCCAGCGCCTTACGTAATTGCAGGCGCGTAAGTTATTCGACGCTCTCATGGAATGATTATTCCATAATGTTCCATGAGAACGTAGATTTATTTATTTTTCAATTTAACTTACTCTCGACAAGTTCATCATTTTGCTTAGGTTTATTTTTATAATTTAGCAAAACGCGAGAAGAGTTTTCCTGGGCGAAAAATTATGACAGCTGTTTGACGTCTTTGGAGAAAGTGTTGCCTGATCGTTATAAAAATGCAGCCCTCGAATCGCTCTCCTCCTTGTAATAATTTATCGCAAATATAAAAACATTTTGAAATTAATTAATTATAAGATAATAATAATTGCACATCTTAAATTAAATTTTATTTTGGCGCAAATTTTATTTTGAAAATTCTCATCAGGTAGCACCGATTAGCGTTGCCTGACAATCGTAATGTTGCTTCCCTGGGAAAGTGCCATTCACTGAGAAACTATTTACAAAATTAAAAACAAAACAACTGCTGAATTTAATTCCATTTAATTTTTGTATAGCCTTTAGAAACCGCTAAGACAGCCATGGGCTTTCTAACAGTATTAAAAAAGATGCGGCAAAAGGAAAAGGAGATGCGCATACTGTTGCTGTAAGTAAATTATTCTTAAGAAAAACAATGATGATTCATTCGTATGTTTATCCTTTAGAGGACTGGATAATGCCGGTAAAACCACTATACTAAAGCGCTTTAATGGCGAACCCATCGACACAATCTCACCCACCCTGGGGTTCAACATAAAAACTCTAGAGCACAATGGATACACCCTAAACATGTGGGATGTGGGCGGTCAAAAATCTCTGCGATCATACTGGCGTAATTATTTTGAGTGCACAGATGGATTAGTTTGGGTGGTGGACAGTGCGGATAGGATGCGTCTGGAGTCTTGTGGTCAAGAACTGCAGATACTCCTCCAAGAAGAGCGCCTGGCTGGAGCCACACTCCTAGTACTATGCAATAAACAGGATCTTCCCGGGGCCCTCTCCTCTAACGAAATTAAAGACGTAAACTCATTTCACTTTAAAGATTAACCAACATATTTAATATCATTAAATTTTAAAGATACTGCATCTGGAGGATATCACCACGCACCATTGGCTAGTGGCAGGAGTAAGCGCAGTAACCGGGGAAAAACTTCTTAGTTCCATGGACTGGTTGATTGATGACATAGCCAAGCGAATATTTACACTTGATTAAAGCGATCTTATATTATTTTTCCATCAAGTACATTTTGTATAGTTTCTCGTCGGATTCGTTGGCAAATACCGGCTTGAAGTTCACTTTGTGAATGGTTGAGAAACCTTCATCCAGCGCCGGCTCCTGGTACTTTTTTTTAAGCATATTAAACACCATGTCGTTAATCTTTGAGTGTACTGAATCCGAGAGTTCACGGAACGCAATGTTGTGCTTTGCTTGCGCAATTGGCACATTCATTATCAAACAGCGACAGGGAATATTGAACTTTGCTGCTATAACCAGGAACTTTTTACGAGAAGCACTATCGACATTTGTATTATCCACCACACAGGAATTTCCAGCATCTAAGAAGCGTTCACAGGCATTTACGCAAGCTTGAGTGCCACCTAAAGTATCGGCACTGACAATTTTGTAACCCCTGCTCTGAAAGAAGCTTTCGCAAAAGTGACTCTTTCCTGAGCCTGGTAATCCCACCATGATGACCATTTCATTAGGATGACCGTCAAAGGTTATATTATCAGGGTCAAAAAGTGTTAATAGGTCGTGAATACTAGTGGGATCAAATTCGGGTTTATTCCATTCTTCCACACGTCTTCCTAGGAAGTGAACTTCCGGCGTATAAAAGGAAATGCCAACGTTTGCAGCAAATAGTCTGTCAGCTAGCGAATGATCCTTTCGTTGCTTGGTGGCTCCCTTGCCAGTCTCAGGTCTTCCAGCTGCATCACCCACAAAAAAACTCCGATCCTCCTGAACTTTGACTCCATCATTCATCTCGTTTTTTAGATGCTCCCACATACCAGGCCGCGGCTTACGATAGTATCCATCACCAATGGCAATAAATACTTGGATAGGGACATCTAGCTTAGCAACAATCTGTTTGATCTTGCCCTTAAAGTCATCCAGCTTGATTTTACCGCGAGCAATGCCTCCTTGGTTGGTGAAGAAACATATTTTAAATCCATCTTTGTGTAGGCTCTTGAGTTTAACTGGCACTTCGGGGAAGATGATCTGCCAGTCATCAATGTTTTTGGGAAAAACGTTTCCTGACTTGGTTTTGATGATGGTCCCATCCATGTCATAGCCGGCTATCTTCTCGGATGCTACCACGCCAGCGCTGCTAAAGATAACCAACTTGCCATTTCCAGCTGAGTCCCATCTTTCGGAGGTGCTTGCGGCGATCGAGATAGGCGGTGAAACTGGGAGTTCCTCTTTTGCCTCCATTGGAGGCGGATCAAAAGCCACCTGGAAACCATGTCGGCCGTAAATGATTTCCACCAAATCTCCGTGCTCCAATTTGCATTCAGTGTGTTGCATCACCATCAATCCATTGACGCCACTGGGATTTAAGCCTAGAACTTTCATGTTGACAAGACACTTACTAGTGTCGACATCTAGGAGGATCTGTCGCTTAGAGCATCGGGAGTCGCGGATTCCGGTCTCTCTGCTTCGTCCTACAAAATTCTCGCCAGCGGACAGACGAATTGTTTGATGTTCAGATTCCGTAGGTCTAAGCGAGCATGTCCGTGATGCCTTATTTAGATCTGCCTTTCCAACAGACCGGTTAAGATATTTCGCCATAGACATTGTGGGACTTTAGCAACTTTTAAGCATTTTTGTTTACTTTTTTCGCGGTTAAAGGTGCCCAGACGCGGTAATGTATTGGCCTGCCATTCACACAAAAGAACTTACCAAGGCACCCGCCTTCATTCAGTTGCAATATGAACCCGAAAAACAAAAAAATTACATTAAATTTAAAAAAATTAAATGAAACTTAATAGTTTCGTTTTTTACGAAAAATTATACTAAATCGATCATCAATTCATTAAAGGTACCGAGTTAATATATAAGAGGTGTTTTGGCAAAGATATTGCCTTCACCTAAGGCCACATTGTCTCAAGCATTTTACGCATTTTCAAAAGGATCCTCCAGAAATATGTACAAAAAATTTATAAATAATTATTTTTTTTATAATAATAATTTGTTTCTAGATTTTTATGCAGATTAATGGAGACTTGGCCCAAAAATTGCTTAAGGTATTCTGCTTAAGAATCGGATAAGTATTAACAAAGATATAGCCTTCGCGGTGAGTAATATTGACCGACCCATGCATTTCCATCATTTTGAAGGGGATCGTCTTGAAAAATTGACAAAAAATCTAAGAAATATTTTGTTTCTAGATTTTTATACAGATTAATGGAGAATTGGCCCACAAATTGTTTAAGGTATCCCGCTTAAGAATCGGATAAGTATTGACAAAGATATAGCCTTTGCGGTGAATCAGATTGACCGCCCCATGAATTTCCCACATTTAGAAGGAGATCGAAAAAAATAATTTCTTGCCAAATTTTGATCCAGATTAGAGGAGAATTGATCTACAAATCGTTAAAAATATTCGGTTTAAGAATCGGATGTAAAGATAAAGCCTTCGCTGGGTGCCATATTGTCCCTCCCATGCAATTTACCGATTTTGAAGGGGATCGTCCAGAAAATTTGACAAAAAATCTATAAAATAATTTTTGACACATTTCATTTAAGATTTATCTTCAATTTTGTGCAATTCGTTAAAGGTATCAAACAACAGGATATAAACTGGAATGAATTGGCTAGGGGCTATATTGTCCCACGCATTTTTAACATTTTGAAGGGATCCTCCCGAATCTTTAATTCTGCACCACTCAGTAGCCATCGTTTTTTAAATTATTATACATTTTCAAGTAGGCTTTTAATGTAAAAACCTTTTTGAGAAACTTAGAAGCTTCATATTTAGAAGCCATAAAATTCTTGTTGAAATTAGTCAATAAATATACACACTTTTAATGCAAAGAAATTTGCTTTCCATAAGGGTAAGTATTTTAAAATGAAGATTAGTCTGTAAATGTTTTTATATAGAACAACTGGTTTTTCTAGCCTCTCTTCCTTCGGGGGGTAGGCGAGTTGGGGGCCTTGAATGCGCCCAACCGCCTTTTTCGGCCCTCGGTAGCTCTGATGCATGCTGCTGCTTCCAAACGACGTCCGGGTAAAATCCCTCCCAAGATGGAGAAACTGCGGAAAAGGTTTCAGGAGGACAACGAGTTACCCGTCTTCCTCAAGGGCGGAGGCATGGATAAGCTTTTATACCGCCTGACTTGGGTGCTGTGTTTCATTGGCCTGGCCGGTGATCTTGTTTTATGGTTTGGCTACATTTTGGCTTAAAATTCTGGACCCATCATCTTTGCTAATCACATCATGCAATACAATTTCCAACCCAAAATAATGTTTTACCCCAAACACCCTAAACTTAAAGAGTTCTAAGCAGCTTGTGTTGTTGTTTTTGTCCTTTTTCTGCGTTATAGTTTCATAACAAACGGCAATTCAATAAAACTATCATCCAAAAACGTATAACAACGTTTTTTTTTAATGGGTTTTAACGGGAATTTTGCTTAATGCTTATTTATTGTAGTTGTGGTTCTTTCTTTTTTTCTTTACTTTTCAAATTTCGCGCTTTAATAAATTCAATTTGGCATTATGCCGATAACACAATTGAGGTGATAGACCACAGCTGGTCACACTTAAAAGTTACACTTGTACAACTTGCAGTTTTGCCGGAATTTTATTTTAAGAATTTTTTCCTCTCTTTTTAAAGGTACGTATGCATGAAAGTCAAGCTCAATTATGTTTTTTGGCCTAATAAATTGGTTCGACGAAGTTTCTTTTACTTTGCTATTGACTAACAATGTAGTTTCAATGCATCCACATTTTTTCACAAGGCGTTCCTCAGATTTTTCGCACTCCGTTTATCTTTTGGTTATAACCCGCATATCTGCCACATCGGATATGTCGGATCACCCTGAGAAAGAAAGTGCATCTTCATCAAGTTTTCATGTGTTCCAAAATCTTTGGCTTTACTTCAAAATTTAAGTAGCTTTTTACATTTTACAGTTAAACGACAAGTAATGTAAGTTCATCAGAAAAAAATTGCCTACTCCATACAAAAAGTTATCAAATTGTCAGTTATGTTTTGGCTAAACTACGTTCAGAGGTCCCGGCAGCAACTGAATAGGCTGAGCCAGTTGTGTAGCCATAGGGAGTTCGCTGTCCGTTCCGGAAACAGTCACAGTGTCCGGGTTAGGTCCCCGGAGTTCTTCCAAAGCAAGAGCGTTTGTAGCTCGTTCAGGCCTTTGTCGATTCGTTACAGGTATTATCCGGCTGTATTTGAAGATTTAGATAACTAAAGTTTTTTATCTTCTTGCTTTATTTGCAGTTGCTCCGCAAATCTTCCCCAAGCTGCTGAAATGGCTAGCAAGTCCGCTCACTTCGTACTGCCCAACACGCAGCCCATCGCTGATTTGGACTGCAAAAACGCCTTCGAGAATCTGACGGACAAGGAGAAGCTCTATGCCCATTACTTCAGCAAGGCCTCCTGGGACGGAGGCCTCATCGCCTTGATTCAGTCGAGTCCCGAGGCGCCGCTTATCTTCTCCCTATTGCATCGCATATTTGTGGCCGAAAAGCCAGCTGATCTCAAGGCAAAGGCTGAAGCTGCGGGTGTCACTTCGGAAGAGTACACTGTAAGAAAGTGGTAATGTTAACGTGTTCTTTTATTTAATGATATTTTTCTTCGCAGGGGTTCCTCGTTTATGCTTGTGGTGTCTTTGCCAATGCAGGCAACTACAAGGGCATGGGTGACAGTAAGATTGTGCCGAACCTGCCCGCAGAAAAATTCGAGGCTGTCGTAAAATCTTCTGCCGCCTATGCTGCTGAACCCCGCGTGGCCAAGATCTTCGAAAGGGTTAAAGGGCTGATCTATGCGCTAGAGTCCCGAAACGAGATTCTGGGCTTTGCCCCCGACGGCGTCACCACCTATTGGTCAGACAATTGCACTAAAGAAGACTCTGAGATTGTCAACTCCTGGCTGACCTCGAAACGCATCGAGCCCTATATGTGCCGCACTTTTAAGGTTTTGGAAAACGGCAAGACCATCTACGACGTCAAACTTGGTTCAGTGGCGAACTCTTCAAAGGACGGAATCACACTGCCCCTGGAAGAATTCAAGGGAAACCAGTTCCGAGTTACCAGAGGAGACTACCAACAGTTGCTAGAGCGTGTGAATCAACATTTATTGGAGGCCCAAAAGTATGCGGCCAACGAAAACGAATCAAAAATGATTGAGCATTACGTCCGCTCCTTCGAACAGGGCTCGCTGGCCGAGCACAAAGACGGCTCTCGCTGGTGGATCAAGGACAAGGGACCCGTCATTGAAACCTATATTGGCTTCATCGAAACCTATAGGGATCCAGCGGGAGGTCGTGCTGAATTCGAAGGCTTTGTGGCGATGGTGAACAAAGAGAGTTCCGCAAAGTTTTCCGAGCTGGTCAATCGCGCGGAAAAACTGGTGGAATATCTGCCCTGGACAGAACCTTATGAAAAAGACTCTTACCTGAAACCTGATTTCACTTCCCTGGATGTACTTACCTTTGCCGGTAGTGGAGTGCCTGCAGGAATCAATATTCCGAATTGTATGTCAATATTCCTATCAACTGTGAAGCTCCTAATATATTTTCATTCTTTCAGATGACGAAATCCGGCAAGATGAGGGCTTTAAGAACGTCTCTTTGGGAAATGTTCTGGCCAACATTAACCGAAAGGATCCCATTCCATTCCTTTCTGAAGAGGATCAAACTCTGATGAAGGAGTACAAAGTCAAGGCGTTCGAAGTGCAAGTGGGTCTCCATGAGTTGTTGGGCCACGGTAGTGGAAAATTGTTCCGGATTGACGAGAAGGGCGCCTTCAACTTTGATAAGGACAACACGAAGAACTTGATCACCGGAGAACCCATTAAGAAGTGGTATCTTCCTGGGGAAACTTACGACACAAAGTTTGGAGCTATTGGTTCGTCCTATGAGGAGTGTCGTGCTGAGGCTGTCGGACTGTACCTTTCCCTGCAGCGGGACATCCTTGAAATCTTCGGCTTTAAAGATAAGACTGAGCAGGATAACATCATCTACGTCAACTGGCTGAGTCTGATTTGGAACGGCATGGGTGTGGCTCTGGAAATGTTCAACCCGAAGTCCAAACTATGGCTCCAAGCTCACTCTCGTGCTAGATTCGTCATAATGAAGGTCTTGCTGGAAGCAGGAGAGGGTCTGGTGAAAGTTGAAGAGACTGAAAATGGCAAGAACCTTTTGCTGACAGTGGATCGCACCAAGATTGACACCGTGGGTAAAAAGGCCCTAGGCGACTTCCTCACTAAGCTGCAGGTGTACAAATCTACCGCTGACATTGAGGAGGCTTCTAAGATGTATGAGCACTACTCTGAGGTCAACGAAAGCGGCTCCCACCCGTGGGCTAAGTGGCGGGACATTTGCCTGGCCCACAAGAAGCCACGCATGATTCTCGTCCAGGCCAACACGGAGGTGGACAAGAACAATAAAGTGCAACTGAAGACCTACGAGCCCACGCACGAGGGTTACATCCAATCTTGGGTAGAGCGATACCCCACCACTGAAATAGACGATCTTCTGGAGACCATTGTGGAACAGGACAAAAAATACTTCCCCAAAGCCTTCTCAAACTAAAAACATGCATTTACAAACTTTCGTCAATATTCTGAATAATTTGTTAAAATGGAATATGAAAAACTATTAAAATTGAGTCATCTAATGACTGTAGGATTTTTAATAAAATTGTGTTGAGTTTACTTCGGGAGTTGACTTTTGAGGATTTAAAATTATCTACAAAAACGATCTTTTGTTATCGGCTACAAGGTGTATATTTTAAATTCGATAGCATCGAATCGATAAATTGTATGATCGGCGTTCACAAGGAAACGCCAACAAGGATAATAATTTTAAAAAAATCCAAAAACAAATATTCCTTGCGGTAATTGTTAGAAATTCAATTATTTTAAATCGTTTTAAGATTTTCTGCTGTGTTGTTTATTTTTTATTTGCTGATTTCTTTGTATTTTATTTTTTTATCCACCCAATTGCATCGCTATGGCAACCAATGGACATCGATGTAACCAACAACAGCCATCTAGCGATGCCGCCTCTGGTGTTTTCGCAATTGGAAAGCCGAAATTTAAGATACCAAATTCTGTGCGCATCCAGCACGATTTTGTCAGCAACAAATTCGCTAAAAAGATGGAGTACGAACTGGAGAGGGTGAACCGCAGCCTGGAGATGTCTAAGGAGAATCCAATGCGCCGCGATGCCATTGAAAAAGACGCCATGACGCAGGAATTGAAGCAGATAAAGCACGCCGAGTTCATACAACGGAAAAAACGTCAGCAGTTGCGCCAGGATTGCGAGGAGCTTCGTGACTTAGCAGAGCAACTCCGTCTGGCTGCCATTTCCAAAGGTATTGCCGATGACCTGAAGGAGCGGAAGCGGTTGCGGCAGTTGACGGTGAAGACAGAAGCTCAAGAAGCTGCAGAGGAACGATGCTTGCTAGAGGCCCAAGAGCGAGAGCGGGAGGCAGCTTTCAAGGAGAAGCAACGCCAGTTGCGAGATTCCCTCACAGCACAAATGGAGGAGAACCGACAACGGCGCCAGAAGGAACATGCCCAGGTCATGAACGATCGGGAGTTCATGCTGGCTAGGCAAAAACAAATCCAAGAGGAGGATCGCGCCCAGGAGTTGGAAATGGAGCGTATCAAGATGCAGAAACGTCGGGACATGATGCAGTCCATCCAGGATAAAAAAGACGCCAAGGAGTTCGAGCGAAACCAGAAACTTTTGGAGTTTAAACAGCTGCTGCAGAATCAGTCCGATATTGAGGAATCGAAAAGGAGACTGGACATAGAAAGACTGGAAATGCAACGAAAGAGAGAAGAGATTAGCATTCGCCTGGGCTTTGAGGTTCAAGAGGTCGAGGTGCGTCCGATTGCCTTCCATTACATTCGTATTGTTTGTAAATTTACAGTATCTTTCTAAAATGATTTTTTTTTCCAAAGAACCAAAAACGTCACCGGACCAATCTACTGCTGGACCTGCTGGAGGCAGAGTACATGGCCAAAAGCGACGAACGCTTCCGCCAACAGCTTCAGCAGGAAGTGATGTCTCGGAAGCGCACCAAGCAGGAGCTAGAACTTTATCGCCTTGAAGTTGAGCATCGCAAGATGGAAGAAATGAAGCAGAAGCGCGCTGAAATGAAAACCCGCCAAGAGGAATTTCCTAAAAATCTGCAGGAACAAGAACGGGAAAAGCAGTTGCAGGACTACCGCCAACGCAGAGCTCACGGCTCCACTTTGCTAGCCATGATTGAAGACAACCAGAAGAAGCGAGCGGAGGCCGCGGCCGAAAATGTCCAATACTTCGATATGAAAGCCAAATCTGACGCGGAACTGCAAGAACGCATCAAAAAGGAGCGTCTGCATATGCTGGGTCAGGTTCCAGCTTCAGTTCTTAGGTATCTGCCCAATCATGTACTGACCTCCACGGATCGGGAACATTTTTTAATTTCACAAGATGATAAGACAATGGGAGGTGGCGATTCCTAATATATGGTTTTATAGGCGCTGGCAGGGTTCCAAGTTGTAATACAACTATGTACATATGTCAGTTTTATTTTTACGACCGCACGGCTGACGGGCAGTTTGCATCTCAGCACATATACATAATTTGAAATGTAGCCACCCGCCCGCCCACTCTGCGTACGTGACGTGTCTCATTCACTCCGTAGTGTTGCCACAGTGCTGCCATGCATCAAAGGCTGCCAGACCATTATTAATTAGAAGGAATGTTTAGAACACAATACTAGTATTTTTTTAATAATATAAAATGTTAAAGCCTCAAAATCATTTCTACGATTTTTTATTGGTTAAAATTAATTAAATACTTTGTACATTTTGTTTTTGAGAAAATAATCGGTAGAATTTGACGCAAAATATTTAAAAATAACACTTCAAAACGAATCAAAATTAAATATATATCGATACCGCTTTATTTAAAACACTGGTTTTTCGATTAAAATAAAATTTCATTGCAAAATAACAGCACGATTGTATGCGGGAGGAATACCCCTATTGTTCAATTTAAAAAGACGCCACACGCCCATTCCTACTCATAACCGTCTGGCAACGCCACACATGCAATCGCTGGCATCGCCTTAATTTAATGGCAGACTTATAAAAAACGGTGAAACGGTGGGAGTGATCTTTGTTTTGTATCCAAGCAAACCCTAGAAACGCAAAATAGGCGTTGCACACATTACAGTGTTTTGGCTAAATGCCCGGGCAAGTGATAACCAAGTTTTTGCAATGAATAGAACGCTACCTATGCGAAAAATAAATGAAAAATTCCACGGAAATCAAGTTCTCATGAGTACGCAGACATACGCGGAAGCGTGAAATAGAAGAGACCCCAGTGAAAAACAAATCATACGAACTTTGTACGCGACTGCAGTGGACGGGAAACCCACACAAACACAAACATAAACACACACACACTTTTGAAAACAAAGAAAAAAAAAACGCAGAAGAAATGTCTGCACAGCGAATGAATGCGGTGGAGCGGGATTTGGAGAAGTTTATCAAATACCTGGTGCTGAAGTCCGCCCAGGTGGTTGTGCAGTCGCGCCTAGGAGAGAAGATGCAGACTCAGTGTAACCCGTTGGCAGGAAGCGACTGGTTCAATATAGCCGTGCCGGATCACCCCGAGGTTCTGGAGGAGACCAAGAGGGCTCTGTTCTTGAAATCTGGGGAAAGCATTCTGCAGAGACTGCCCCTTTGCGTGGAAATCTCCCTGAAGACCGCAGAAGGCGACCAGATGGTCCTGGAGGTGTGGTCGCTGGATCTTTTGCAACCGTCTAACGGTACGATTCCTGCTGCAAACGACGCCAAAGGCGAGACAAATGGCCTGAATGGTGAGGGGCAGACGCTGAAGGCTGCCCACGCCATATACAACCGGATGAGCATCATGCTGAAGTCCCTAATCTCGTTGACCCGCACTACACCCGCCTACAAGTTGTCGCGCCGCCAGTGCCCCGACTCCTACGGCATCTTCTACCGCATCTACGTGGACAGACCCCAGGTGCACACACTGGGTGAGGGTCACAAGCACGTGAAGATCGGTCAGCTCAACACTATTGTGGGCTCGCTGGTGATGTCGGTTTCCTATCGAACCAAGCTAACGATTTCGCCAACGACCGCCCAGGCGGAAAGCAATACGATTATGCTCAAGTCCGACCACTTCAGACCCGCCACGGATATTACTTCACCGAACACTCAGCAGCAACAACACAACGGAACCGGCCTGGCCAAGAAACTGGGCATGGGAGCGTTTAATCCTGCCCTGGGATCCGGCGACCGCCGTTGCATCGACATCGAGAAGCCGCTGCGTCCTGGAGCGTTCGCCGATACGGGCAAGCTGAAGCAGTACACGGAGGATGACTTTGTACTGCCAGAAACGCCCCCGTTCGAGTGGCTGCTCAAAGGTCGCGGCTCAGTGGAATCCCTCAACCGCCTCGACAATAATGTGACGGCCAGTGCCCTGAGCATCAACAATAATAACAATCACCATGCCAATAACTTTAATCACAGTGGCCAGAGCAGTAATCTCAACAACAATTCGACTGGATTTAAGAGTTTCGAGAAGAACTCAGGTAGCTCGATATCGCCCATTAAGAGCCTGCTCATCCCCGCCACCGCCACAGCCGCCTATCGCCATCATTCGGAGCCAGCGTTGCAGCCACCGCCTGATGATGATAACCTGCTCAAGGAACTGCACTTTCCCTTCGCCTCACCCACGTCGCACGTGAATGATCTAGCCAAGTTCTACCGGGAGTGCTATCATGCTCCGCCCCTGCGCGGCTTAAATGAACTGCAGGCGGAGATAGCGTCGATTGCCTCGGCTGCATCGACAACGAACGGTGGCGGTTCGGTGGGGGCCTGTGGAGCTACGGCAGCGGCTACAGCGGTGGCCACCAGTGCCGTCGATGCCAGCGCCATGGACGATCTGTCGCGCCAGCTGGAACAGTTTGAGACTTCGCTGGAGGACTACGACAAGCTAGTGTCGCAGTTCGGGCTCACGGGCTCCTCCTCGACGGGCAGTCGCAGCAGTGGCGGCCTGCAGATGAGCAACTGAGTTTATGTTTCTTAATGTGTCATTAGTTAGTCTTTGAATATTTTATGGTGCGGTCATATCCTTGAGGCAGTTCTCGGAATATAGCCCTTATCAGTTTAATTCAATAATTTCAAATAATATTGAGTCTTGATTTTGTTTTATAAATTCCTTTAGGACGTGGACTAACCACGTCAGTGGGTAATATTTCCTAGAATTGTCCAGGATAATCATGAAATCAATTGACCCGCCCTACTATTTATGTATGCCATTGTGTTTAGTTGAGTAATAGGCTGCTTTATGATATTACCCCGCTATGTAAATATAGTATATGTGTAGGCTATTGTAGGCTCTAGTTCCGTCTAAGTTGTACATAAGAGTAGAGAGCTCATGTCACGTTTCAAAGTTTCCATTGCAGCAGTTTAGACCTTAGCCACAAATACATAAGTAGTTTAAGTATCGCATGCAAATGCATATAGGCGTGCGGCTATGTGCGCGAGCATTTGGTAGTAAGTTGGGCGTACTCGTCGCTTGTTTGTTTGTTTGTTTCTTTGTTCAAGTGCCTTTCGCCTGCTTGTAAGTGAAAAAATCGTGTATGTACATAAATAAGTGTAGATAACGCAAATTAATCGGAAAGCTAAAAAGTTTATTTCAGTCCTAAAACAATAAAGGCCCGATGGTTGTTTTTAAAATCGTAAGAATATCAACTGTTTTTGAAATCAAAAAAGCGAAACTAATCGAAAGACTTGAAGCATAACGAAATACATACATATATCTATCCTAAATTAGTTGTAACTATTGGGAAGATGAAAAGAACAGCTTGTGGTGTTTCCTTTTCTTAACTTATGATGCTTACTGTTTGGTTTTGAAACTGCAAATAACGCAAATAACATATGAGAATCGAAATTCGAGTATACATACAAGTAAATTAAACAATAAACTAAGAAAATTTATACATATAAACGAATAAAAGCAATTGTTAATCAAGACACTAATCAACTGTTTACTGCACTCGAGGGGGCTTGTCTTTCCACCTACTATACGCGCGCCCTACAGATCACCTTGCCCGAGAAGAAGCCCCTACCCATGCTGCTTATGCTGCTCTTCGACGATCTAGAGCGTTCCGGATCACACCTTCCACAGGGGCCTTGGGTCATGTGACTCGCGGCAGACACTCCCCCATCCAAAGGGTTGTTGTTTTGGAAAATAATACAGCCGCTTTAAACTGGTTATCTGTGTTTTCATTTTGCATATCAACTTTGTCGCGGTGCTGCCGCCCGGAGTTCTATCATTCAATCAGTCAGGTATCAGGTATTGTATAATGTACGTCACAGTCGAGAGTGTGGCGCTGCACCTGAGTTGCCTGGTAGTCGTTATCAATTAGCATTCCATTAGTATGCTTGATCACGGCTCCCCACAGCTGACGGCTCTCCCAGATGTTTTTGTATCTTGAAGCTAATCTCTGGTACTATATATCTGTTACTGAGTTGCGCACTCGACAGATTGCAATATGGGTTTTTTTTCGCATTTTTTCTATCATTCCATGGCGAATTAATCTCACTATACAGCCAACCATATAGCTAAGGCTAAATAGTTTTATTTTTAAATAATCACATATACTAAGAATTTGTATTAAGGTGGTCCTAGTTTCTATATAAATGTGAATAGTATCTGATGACTCAAACATATATGATTTTAGTATTCAGATCAACTTTTGAAATGTTTATGCCCTTAAAAGGTTATAGCGAGTAGAACCTTAATACCAACTGACTTACAGGGCGTATGAGTAATTCTTTATATGTTTGACACTAAGTATCTAAGTATCTTAAAAAAGATACACAATAGCTTTTGTTCAGGCATTAAATAACTATTATTGTTATTACATTAAATAATATTATATCAGGACGAAGTAGGGCCACCCTAAAGCACTATATATATTATATTATATTATATACCTCACTATTTTGTTTTTTTTTTGCTGATTCGCGCAAGTTATCTGCTATTTGCTGTGTAGCCGATTCTTTCTTTCAAGTGCTAATGACATTGTCGTAGTGTCGCAAAAACATATGGACAGCTGTACACGCTTATAGTAGTCTTCCCGTGAGTGGCCTGAGCTGTTCCTTGGGAGCTTTGTATGAAGTTCAAGAGGGGGTAACATACTCGATTTAAAAAAAACAAAGGTTTTCAATTCCCAACTTGTAATGTGAAAAAGAACCTGCTATTCGATTTCATTTCTAAAATCTAAAAATCCAAATAGCCTATCCCATTTAGGGTACCTTGCTCCCCGATAGCGAACTTTGTAATGGGCTCGAGTGATAAAACTTAACGATCGAACCTTGGCGACAACAGGTCGCCTGAGTTGCACCAGCCGAGTGTTGGGGAAAAGACTCGTCTATATGCATACAGATTTTGTGTTTGCTTTCGGTTTTAATTGTCCAACATTTTCGTCGTCTGTATTTGCCTCGAACTGACTGTTGCTAGGCGTCCTAATGGTGACGCTTTTGCCAACAATTGAATATACGAGCAGTACATACTGTATGTATTTATTTGGCTTTTGGCCCGGCGGGGACTGCATATGAAATGCAAACATTGGCAGGCGGGAAATGGCTTTTATTTTGGTTTGCCGGTGCCAACGCTCTCGATTCGCTGCCCACGGGAACCAGATTGGCTCGCTCCCCTCCTCCCCACCAGTGTCTTGATTTTTCCGGCGCCCACGCACCTAAAATTGAATTATATACAGTATACCTTGGTCTAGGTAGGAATTTTATTGAAAAAACCAAGATTTCAGAGGAAGAGAATTATAAATTCCTAAAACAAATACAGGTTTTTATTAAACCGCGGATTAAATGGAATTTTTTGATTGTATTCACGTGCCAGTTCGAGTAATGGTGGATCTCTGTTTCGAAATTGCTTGATAAGCTGGGCAGCAATAACGATAAACAACGACAACGTCTAAAGGGCAAGGCCTGAAAAATGCAATGCAGACGCGGTCAGCGCTATAATGGCGTTTTTATGCAATGCGGCCGCATATTTGGAATTTTAATGCCAAGCTATCCGCCCAGAAAGCCGACCAAAAAGATGAATGGGCGAGCTTCGAAGCTCCACTTTGGAGCTTTTCATGCAGCTGCTGCAACTGGATGTATGCTTGTATTTATGTGTGTGTGTGCGTGGACTACAAAGAAAAACTAAACCCAAAATGCAGTGGCGTGCGGGAGTGGGATGTGTAAGTAAATTTTTCCCACATATTGTTTTCAAACATTTCTTCCATTCAGTATAAAATTTTCCATATAATCTCTCACGCACAAAACCCCCTCCCCTACGCTTCTGTCTAAAACTGCATTAAAGAATTTGTTGTCCATCTGGTTTGCCGGCTTTGAAAGCCAGCTGCAACAATAATAATATAATTGAATTTATTTTTAGACACCCACTGCAACTCCAACATCCGCACACACACACAGACACCCATGCATCAGTTTCTTGGAACCAAGACTGATATTACTCATACGCCCTGGGTCACATTGGGGGGCTGCCTTGGCGAATTTTTGGTAAACAAAAGCATAAAAAACATGCGTAGTAAACTTTTAAGGGTCGGCCGCCTGTTGCTACGTGCCGAAAGTCTCGTTCCCCCATTTCGTATGCCCCCCTTCCACCACGTGAGCGGGTGACAGTGTGTGGATGGTGAGTGGATCCCATGTCGTTCTTAATGATGTTGTTGTTCTTGTTCTTTCGACTCGCGGCCTTGCCGCCACCCCGTTTGTTTTTGTTTTTTGTATGCTGGAAAAAACCTCATTTAATAATAAATAAAAATGACAGACAAAAGAGTGAGATTGATAAACAAAGGCCGCCTGATCAATGCCTGGCAACTGAATTTTGTTATTGTCGGTTTAACGGGACAACGCTCCATAAAGTGATACACATAAAGCAAACTGAAGCTGCAGTGTTGTACATGCATTGCGGAAGTGGGCGAGGGGTGATACAAAAATATGACACTCGCGCCCGTCAGCCGGAAGTTTGCCCAAACCAGGCAAACAACAAAATATGTTCACTCACACATTCGGAGAAATGTCTTAATAATTAAAACAAACAAATGATGCAGTTACATGTTACACAGAAAGAAAATATCTAAAAATATAGTTAATTAATAAAAAATTGTAAGTTATCACGATTTTTTTAATAATACCTTTTCAATCTACTTTGTTTACTTTTTGATAGTGAGTTTCTAAAAATATCAAGGTGTTTTTAGCTCCATAATCATAAATAAAACTTATCATAGCAATGTTGCGATTAGAGAATCGATTGGTTTTGATACCAAAAGTATGTTTTATTAATCAATATTAGTAATTAAAGAAAGAAATAAACGCCAAGCATGAGAAACAATTTTTCTTGTGCAACTTTATATATTTAGCTTATATATCATCGTTTTGCAAATCAATCAAGTTCAATGTCATAGGGGTTTCCTGCCAGCAGCTAGCAGTTCCAATTTACATATGTACAGTGCTTGTTTATAAACAAATAGCACGCAAAGATAGTAAAGCTGATAAGACAGCGTTATGAAACGACTTTTAGAAGAACAGCAGTTTGGTCAGAGGCTGATAAGGGTGAAACAAAGAAAGAAAAAAGGTATAAAATGATAAGCTGATTGAGAGCATGGCACTATAAGACCCCACAAGTAGTCAAAAACTTAAAGATTCAAAAGTATCTTGTAATTCAATATTGTAAGAGTTCTAAGAATGTACTATACATTTTATTTTAAAACTCGCGCCTAGCCATGTTAAAAAAAAATATGGCATCATTTGTTTATTTCGTTTTCTCTTTCGATGCCCGGCAGAGGGCGCTATAAGCCAAGCGCTTATCGATGCTTGCTCACCTCTAATAAAGTAAACAACAAAATGGTTACCCGGGCGTGCGTCTACAAAGATTGCGATTTCTACCAATCTGCAAATTGCCAAAAAGTTCGTCCCCTGTTTTCATGCTCAAAGAACCCTGAGCGAGCACGAATCTGGCGCGAAAATGGCAGGGTGCACCCGAAGATCCCGCCTCAGCAATTGTTAATGTGCTCCAAGCACTTCGATCCGTCCTTCATCTCAATGACCAAGAATAGGGCGCTGCTTGTTGGTGAGGCCGTTCCGTATCCGTACAAGGAACCAGAAACGGTCACTACCTTAGACCAGGTCCTCCAGTTTGAGGCAGAGGATTTCGATCAGGTCGCCTCGACTTCGACCGCACAGGAAAACTACTACATTAGTCTCAACGACGATGAGCAGAGCATCATTACTGTAGAGTCCACCACGAAGAGCAAGGATAAGAGTGAGTTCTCTTCACAAAGAATACCTTTTTCATAATCTTTAACGTCTTTATTCTTTAAATTTGTTTTAAGAAGACATCTGCCTGGAATCATCATCTCCCAAGCGCTCAAAAAAATCACCAACTGTTCCCGCGGTTAAAGAAACACCATCAGATTCTAAAGAAAAAGTTTCTAATGATGATGGGATCGATACTTCTGAAGTCTCACTTTTTAATTTTAAGGGAGAGCAGTATGTACAAATGTCGCTGGAATATTATCTCAAAGAAAAACGCGAATTGGCAGATCAATTGAAAGTTTACAAAGAAATCTTAAGGAGTATTAAGAAACAAATATCGCCCCTGGATGTGTAACTAATGATTTTGCAAAATTTTATACTTATTTTCAAATATTTTTTATTTCTGTCAATACAATGTTTCCTATAACTTTAAGAAATCCATTTAAATAGGGTAACCGAAAGTCCAAATTTATATTTTTATCTTCTATTTAAGGCAATATCCTGGCCCAACGAAAAACTATTTAAATAATTATTTTAATCTTTATTTTATGAATACTTCTTGTAATTTCAAAAATAAAATCCATCTTGAACCTCAGACATTGTTATGAATTTGTCTTTTTATTCAGTCACTCGTATCCAGCACTTCCACGTCACTGTCCACATCGGGGCCATCACTAAGATCATCATCCGCCTCCTCCTCATCCAGCAGCTCCTCTGGCACTCCAAGTAGAAGACGTTTCCGTTGAAGCAATGCTGACCAGCTTAGCCGCGTTTCGCAGAGGGGACATTCTCCGCCCACAGGAATGTAGTGCCCAGGCTCGTCACCCAATAGATAATTGGCCAGGCAAATCATATGGCATGTAAGTCGGCAGGTAGGGTTAGTGCACCCGAGTCGCGATCTCTCGGGCTGATCGATGCGCTTCATACAAAGGTGACATTCCGGGGCCCAGGCCACAGGCACCGTTGCCATCGCATCCTCACCTTTTTTACGCTGAGAGCTGGTTATGGACACTTTGCCACTCACTATCTCCATTTGATGAGGTATGGGCACTTCGAATCCCCTCTCGTAGTCTGTTTCCAACCATCGAATGGTGAGTGCCAGTCGATTCCACGGACCTACCCCCAGCATTCGGTTGAGGATCCTAAAATTGTAGTCAAAATGCGATTCTCTGGGATTCTTTCGCTTCAATTCGGGAAAAATCTTCAGTCGCGTAGAAAGCGAAGGCTGTTGCCAAGCCCACTCGAACTGGAGAGCCACTATATTATTGGGGAAGCCATGTACTATCATTACCATTTGCCAGGGTCCTTTGCGGCTGGTTTTTCTGGCGCCTCCAAAGTCACAGCCTCGATTGTGCTGCTTGATGCGTCTCTTCGGGTTGACGGTGAAGCCCACATAGCACTTTCCACGGTATCGACTATCCAAGCTCTGGCTGCAAAGCAGATAAACTCCATAGAAGTGCCCCTTTCGGGCAACGGTTTCATCCTTCTCTGGATCAGCTGCTGCTGTGAATTTATGGAAAGACATTAATATGATGATCCCAAGAGAAAAACCAACAACACAAGGAAGCGACGGCCAATGTCCTTAAGAAAGATACAACGCTTTAGAATAACCCACTTTCAAATCACAATAACCAGTTCTGTTTCATTCTTACTCTACTTTATTGGTAAACTTTCAGTTGCCAGAGCTAGTTCAACTCCAGTTTCATATTGGCCCCCGTGCCTAGCCCGTTAACTTGTTGTTGCTGCTGCTGGGTATTCCCCGCCTGAGTCTGGGCAGTTTGAGATGCGGTGGTAGACGCCTGCCCTTCCGCCGAGATGGCTGCCGCAGTGCCATTTCCATTGGGCGTGGCTGCCGTCGCTTCGCCTCCTGTTGCCGCTTCGCCGCCGTTACTTTGCTGTTGCTGTTGTTGCAGTTGTTGTTGCTGCTGCTGAGCGGCGTTTACATTTTCGAGCAACTTGATTCTTTTGCGAGTATAGTGCTGCCACTGCAGTATCGCCTGGTCGTCTATAAACTTGCAGCACTGTGAATTGACAATCTCCCGTCGAAAGTGCTCGTATTGCAGCAAATCCAGGAAGTAGAGGCACATGGGGTACATGAGGTACTTGGCATAGTCAGGCTCCTTCCAGTACTGTAGATACTTCAGGTAGTTGATGAACGATTGGTCCTTAAAAAATCCACGCTGCGCAAGGACTGTCAAAGGTAATTAACACGGATTAGTGCATCTGTCGTGGGTTTCAGTTAGGATCGCGTAGAGGATTATCTCAACTGATGGGATTCGGTACCTACAATTCAAATAGTTTGGATTGGACAGGCATTGGACGAACTCCAGTTCAATTTGCCAGCGGCGTCGTTGCTGCTCCTCCGACTCGATCGCAGCTATGAAAAAGACATGTCCATTAGTTGGGGCTTGCAGATCTGGGGCAGTTAGTTTTCTATACATATTCTTAGCATGCCAAGCGGGTGTCAGTACTTGTTAGATTGCATTTTGAATGCTTAGTGCGTGTCATTTGGCGGGTACTTACTCTTACCCTTTCCGTACATTTTGGCCATTTTGGACTTGTTTTTGGAAAGGGTCTCGGTGACAATGGACTTTCTTCTACTCAGTTTCGGGCTCGGGTTGGGTTTCGTTCAGTGTGCTATGTGGATGTGGCTGATTCAGTGTGTTCTGTGCATCATCGAATATTCAATTGGAAATAAACACGAAAACAAAAACACACAAAATAAAATGCACTGAGCGAATACAACAACAAAATGTATGGGGCGCGCGGCAATGGCGGAAACTAAAAAGAAATTCGCAACAAAGCGAAATCAGAGGAGCTCGAAAAGTGCTCCACACGTTTTCGGGCGCTTGTGGCAGGCTGTCGCTCCTCTTGTGTTGGTGATTTTTTGTGGAAAGCGGCTAAATACAATATTCAATTTGTCTACAAACCGTAGGAGTTCATTTGGATTCTGTTGGCCGGCGAACACCCTGTGCTGCGAAAGCCAGGGCTGCTGCAACTCTAGGGGTGGAGCTCGAAGTTAAAGATGACCGATAACTTTAGTATTTTTTTTAATATCTAATCGTTTTAAAAAAATCTATTTAGCTTACATTAGGAAAATTAATTGCTTATCTACATTATAAGAAGTTATTACTACCATGATACAATCAATTGTATCACAATATAATGGTACAATATAATTGTATCATGATTACTACAATGATTTTTATTTAATGATATGATTTTATTCAGGGGCACGATTACTTTTCTACCGATATTTTTGATTTTCACAGAGTGGCTTTTCGAGACTATCGAAGTACTTTCATCTCTAGCCTCATCTTGCGTTGAATTCTTTGTCAGACAGACTGCGATTAAAATCTGAATTTACGCCTATAAAACATATCCAAACGAAAATTAACCAACGAAAGTACAACGTTCGAAGGATAAATCTCGCGTCGTTATAAAATTCATTAGGTAAAAACTGAAGACTCTTCAAGGATAATCGATTGCAATTTTCGCTTGCCAATTTGGAGGATTTCTTGCCACCCCCATCATAAATATAAAAAGCGACGCAACGACGCAAAAGGAACTTTCAATGTGAGTATAGATTGGTTTATGTAATTTGAGTGAATATAAATACCTATGGCCCCATTTGTGGAGCGTGATTCAGCTTCCCGTCGCGGCTATTTCATTTGTTATGGCAACTAAAATTAGAATACAGTGAGGCGTGCTAACAGTCGGTCCCCTCCCTTATCTCTTTGTGTTTATGTATGTATACATATTGTAAAAATGGATGCATCTGAAAGATTAAGATTATATATGGTTTAATTTAATGACGCGCAGTCCAATTGTGAATCATATAAAACTTTGTTATAATTGTTATATATATAATTCTTAGTACATTCAAGTTTTATTTTAAAAAACGTACACCTTTGACCTTAATAGTCAGCCATATCAGCGGGGTGAAATATTGGTCACCCAAGAGGGTGTTTTTAAGCAGGCCGTACTGTTGGGTATTCCACATGCTTGAACGGCTCGTACATTTGGGCTGCAAGCAGCTGCAGATTTATTGGGTGGATATTGAATATAAGGAAAATGGTTGCGTGAGCTTAGCGTTTATTGCTGCCAGCTGTCATCGGCTGTCCTTGAGCTACCTGTCCCTGCATTATAACATATCCTTTTTCTACCTGCTCGCATTTAAAACTCACTGACTTTTGTCTTGTCTTTCAGTTGCAAACGCAGTTTCAACCGACTCAGTCAACCAGTTCAACTGACCAGAAAATAATAGAAGTAAACCAAGTTTACCGGATCATTTAGAAAACAACAGGAAAAAAAACAAGAAAATAATGGTGGCTACCGGAATTTCTCTGAACGATCGCTTTACCCAGATGCAGTCGCAGTCCAAGCAACGACAGCAGCAAGGACGTGGACGCAGTCGTTCCCGTAGCAGGAGCCGCCGCATTGTGGATAGCCGGGCCGGAAATACGTCTATCTCGGCGGCCAATTCCCGGTTGCTCCAGGAGTTCAAGCGTCGGCATACCGTACAAACGGCACTCAAACTCAAGCGCGTATGTGTCCCCCAAAATCTCAACCTAAACCGAACAAACTGACACGCGCACAGAGCAGAACATTTTGAGTTCGGGCAGCAGTGGCTGGGAGAAACTCGGAGGAGATGGAGCTGAACAATGCTGTAGAGATTATTGCGCCTTCTGCGTGGTCCCTAGACCTTCCTCCAGACTCTCAGGCTCTTTCTCACTCTTTTTAAACTTGAACTGCAACACTGAGCAGCATTTTGAATGCAATCAAATCAAAAATCCACCCACAACCTATTGCCTCCTTACAGAGAAGCTTACGGAACGCGAGCGGACGAGGACCCCGCGTCGGCGGCGTCAAGTCCCTTCGTCTGGCGCCCAATGGAAAACCCGTGCGGTCGAACAACGTGACCCGATTAGCAACGTAAGCATCTCGGCAAGCTTTTCCCTGCCACTATCTGTAGACACTATCTTCGTTCATCTCTGCTCAGGATGCGTGCCGATCTCGTGGCCAACAATCGTGGCAGCAACGTACGCCGTTATTCGGGTTCACAGGCGGGCGGACTTCGTCAGCGGCTGGGCAACCGACGCCCGTCCGTCGGCGGTGCCGCCGAGCGCGTAGAGCGCCGCCAGCGTCAGCAGCAGCAGCAACAACGCGGACGCTCTCGTTCCCGTTCCCGATCCCGATCTCGCTTGCCCCCTGTGCAGCGCATGGAAAGAGGACGCTCTCAGAGCCGTGGACGCTCTCAGAGCCGTGGACCCCCTCAGAGTCGTGGACGCAGCGTGGGACGCTCCCAGAGCCGCAATCGAGGACGTGATCGCTCCGCCCAAGGACGACTTCCGGTCAAGCAGCGCCTATCGGTGAAGCATCGCTTAGGCGTGCGTCCAGGCCAAGACAACCAAGCCAAGAAGCGTCAGGGCCGTGGCTCGAGCCAGATTCGTGGCGTAGCCGGTGGGCGCGTGGAAAAGCGTCGCAATGCACAGAACGCCCAGAAAAAGGGAATTTCAGCTTCGCTTGCCGGAGGAAGGGGACGTCCTCGTGGAAGGTAAGTTTCTATTGATTTTCCGGGGGAGAACTTTTAATATTAAATTGGAAAATATGATAATTACAAGCTACTAAAAGGGAATTTTTGATAAATAGTTGGCGGTTGTGATTAGTAAATTATTAATGCTAATTTCAATATCAATGGGGCTAATTATTAAACGCTACTATTACTAGTAATTGGTTAAAAACTGACCAATATTTAGATATTTATTTTGTGATCAAAAGAAAGAGAAAAAATAGTAACAATGTATTAATTTAAAATGTCTTACTTTTTTATTCAAGATCTGCTGTTCGGGATGCTGCTGCTGCTGGACGAGCTGCATCTGGCTCTGCTTCAAGGCCTGCGCGTCGCTCGCGCTCCCGCAACCGCGCCGCCGACGGGGCTGCTGCCGCTACAACCGCTCAGGGTCGGGGCAATCCTCGCCAGCGTCGTGGACGCAGTGCAGGCGCTGTCAAGGGAAACAACAACAGAAATGGTAACAACAAAAACGCCAAGGGAAAGGCAGCGAATGGCGCCAAACAGGGGCCGGGACAACAGCAACAGGCTCGTCGGGGACGCAGTCGTAGTCGTACTGTTCGAAAGCCCGCAGGTAAAAGCGCGACAAGTGGCCAGGAGACCAACCGGATCGGATCTGGGCATCGGCACTTGCAACATAACATATGAATATTCATTTCCCATTATTCTCTTTTCACTCAAAAGCATATTAATTATCTTGTGTATTTTTCTTTCTTAGGAAAACAGCAGCGCCCAGAAGTGAAACGCGAGGCTCTGGATAAGGAGTTGGATCAGTATATGTCCACCACAAAGTCTGAGATGGACTACTTGCTAAAGTAGACACAGATCGGTTGGACCAAAGCAAAATACATTTAGAAGAAATTAAAAAAGAGAAGCGTGCTACCACCGGCTATAGGCAGATAAGTTTCTCTTAGGACACTGAAGGACACTAAGATGTCGCCTAGTTGATAATTAGTTGTAAGAAGTTTATCATCACTACGTTTATAAAGCGCATCGGGGCGCGCATATCCATGTCTCGCAAGAAGATAACATAACCAACATGTTATTTTGTAAATATATATGTGGCAAGTTCTTAAATTTTAAGTTTACCCCAAAAATATTTGCTTGATCAATGAAAATGTTAATCTTAACTTTGAAATACATATTAATCATTGCTCAAATAGTAAAACAAAACAATGTCTCGTATTTTTTAAGGAGAATGTATCATGGTTTTTGGTTTTCTGGGTAACTCAATTCAAAACAGTAAAAAAGAAATGAATTTCTTCCCTTTTTCCTGCCGGAAATTGACAATCGAATGTGGGATACAGACAGTTCCCTTTTCTCTTTTACCCATTTCCCTGTTGGGAGATGAAGATTAATCTTTTTTAGAAGTCATTTTTTGTGGCAAACTATTCCATTTTCATTTGATTGAGTTGCAGTTTCAGTGTTGATTTTAGAGTTGAAAGCTTCTCCTATTCAATTGTTATACTTCTGATATACCTCCCTTCTCCTTTCTTGGGGCTTTTAAGTGAATATTTTTCATTTCTCTGATTAGTTGTCTTTCAAGGAGTAGTCTTCCTAAGACAGGAGATTGAGTGTGGCACTCTAATTAGGTTTTTGCAGCTTGCCATCCCAACCTCTGACATCTGTTTAGTTAGCCAGACCACTAACTCAATCCAAATCAGGCTTGTGTAAGCCATTAAGTAGCCGAGCACACTTCAACAACCGGTCAATGCGATTAGTTGTCAATTCTAATCAACCGCAACAGCAAAAGCAAACCAATTCGCACACCACCCGTCAGAAAGCACCCAGCCACACGAAACTGAAGGCAATCCGCTAATTAACACAAAATGGTCATTTGTTTCGCCTGCTAATTGCCTGAGCCCAGTGGAAGGACGAGTGTGGATACATCCTTGCTCGCCTCTTGGGATGCCAGAGGGCGTCATTAACCCTTTGTCGCCTGTCAGCTGTTTGAAAGCATTTAACAATTTATAAGCAATTAGCAAATGTGGCTAGGCCAGCCTAATTAGACAATTCAATTCAAAGTTAAGCACAATTTATAAGCCTGTCCTTCAGAAAGGGTTTCTCGCCTTAATTCACCTCAAGGTAAAACAAGATTTAATGAGGATATTAAAAAAAAGAAAAGCGAAAGGTAGGGTTGATTTATTTTCTAAAATTTTACAGTTTTATGTTTTCTTTAAATTAATAAAAGCAAGATAAAAATTTGCATTTAAATTCTTAAAATAATAGTGCCTTTAGCCACCATTTATATATTTATAATACCCATCCCCAGGGTTAATCAGGGTCTAGCAACATGTTGCCTACTTTTCTGGGTCTCATGTTGCTTCGGTGTCCTGTCTTCGCTCGCCTTTGTTGCCCTTAATGTAAGGTCTTCAATTTGTCAGCCTTGGCAGCTGTGAATGGCTCTAGGGCTTGGAAAGTAAATAACTTGGCCATCAGCGGCCAACTTGAGGCTGTCGCGGAGTTGATCCCTGTGGGTGGGTGAGCGACCCTCCCAGCGACGGGGCCTGCAAAAACCAATTTGACTAATCTGCGCAGAGCACACAGAAAAGGTGGCTGAGCCCTGACGGGCAGGTGCCAGCGTCTTGAGTTCTTCCTTACCTTTTCTGTTCGGGATGGCGGATTACAAGGCCCAGTACAAAAACCATTTTGCGGTAGTTAATTCGCTCCTAAATGTGCCTATGTTAAAAACTAAATCACTAACGTATTCGAGGATTCTACTCCTATTTAAATCTGGTAATTTAAGGATTAAGGATTAAGTTTTATGTTCCTAAAAAATTTCACATGCTTTTGAAGAGGATTATTTAGAGGATATTTTCATAAACTAAGTAGTATACTTTTAAAAGAATTTTTTCTTCTGGTGTAACATTTGTGCTGCCGTTTGCACATAAATTCCAATCAAGATTTCTTTTTCGGCTTGGCATAAATTTGCCTTGCTAATGATTTGAGGTGTTCTGCGAAAAGGCTTATTCTGGCTCGCTAAATTGTGAACAACACAAATCCTTTTATCAATTACATATACATGTGGTAGTCCCGGAGTCGGAGTTGGAGAAGTACCTGTGGTAGTGGGTGGTAGGGTGGAAGCTTAATGGCACGTGCGCTGACAGCAAACAGCAAACAATGAGTGCAAGAACAACACGAGGAGCGTGCCAAAATCAACAACAGCCAAGTCAGCCATCTGTCCATCCCACATACGCACCGTTGACAGTGTTGCTTCAGTGGGATTTTGCTTTTCTAGTGTGCCAAAATCTTTGAAGCCACCACTTCTCTTTCATGGTTCTTACTAATAGAATTTATAAAACACCTATTAGTTTTAAGAATTTTTCATGCAAAACCTTAAACTAAATATTTTGAAAAATATATAATTAAATAGTTTGTTGCTACCTTTCAAATTCACAAACAATACACATTTTGTTTGATGTTCTTATTGTTTTTTGTCTGCAGCACGTCAAGAACAATACAAAAGTATGACATAAAAGTTCGTATTGTAATCAATGGGCTTGAGCCACTTGGCTGCGGCTAATGAAGCGGCAAAGTGTTGAATGACAGACTGTCTGCCACACACACTGAGGATTGAATGAGGAGTGAGGGTGTGCGTGCGGCATATTAAATAGGTTGAATGCTTTTCTTATGAAAATGTGCTTCAGTGAACAATTGAGCGATCAGCCTTTTGTCGTGATTCGCTGTGAATAATCATTCCAGACAGGAGAAAAATTTAAATAAGTGGCAGAAAGTGGCGCTCCAGAGTGGCGAGCACAGCGATTCGTTGCATCCTCCCGGATCACCGCACTTGGGTTTGCGGGAAAGCATCGGTGAAAAGAAAGTGCAAGACTAAACAGCAAAATGCCAGCGGTGCAATCAATTTCACGGTGAACTAAGACAGCTCCGGGCCATAAACAACAGCAAGTCAGCTGCAACTTAATTGTTGCCTCAACTTTGTTGTTGCCACTGCCGTTTGGCGCTCGTCCTGGCGCATTTGTGGCATCCAACATTTGAGTCGTCTTAGCGAATTTACCAAGTTCCTAGAGTCAGGAGCTAGCTGCATGCAACAGGGGGAACTTGGTGTGGCAAGTGCATCTGGATTATAGGAGCAATTGTCGACACAATTTCTAGCAGCCAACGTTTTCCAATTCCAGTTGACTTCACGTGACAGGATAAACAAGTAAAAACTACATAAGTAACTGATTGTGAGTGATAAGAAAGTTCTAGTAAAATATAGAAATACCTTGAAGTAATATGTAAAAATGTACTATCTAAAACATATAAGAAAATTTTGATACTAGAAAGTACTTTCTGAAGTAATGGTATATTTTAAAGTCACTTCAAAAAAACATCGAAAAGATACACCACATACTTAATGGTCTGATGAAACTAAAAAATTATAAAAGATTCAAGAACAAATTTCGGCAGAAGCAAGAGCAATTGAATTGCATTAAAATCGTAATAATAATGCAATTTTCATGACATTTATGAGCGAACACAATGCACATGCAGACGCCCATCCACGCCATTATTGAAGTCCGTGCCAAAGTTTTGTGCGGTTGTCAAGTACCCGAATCTGACAGTAGTCCTGTTGTGTTTGTCTTGGTGTTAGCTCGAGGGCAAAAAGCACATACATATATGTGCGGGGGTAAGGTTTGTGCGATTGTGACGTAAAGCACTTAAGTCCGCCTAACACTCGCATATCTTGATTAGATACGCCCCGAGCCTGACATATTGTGGTTCCTCTGAACTTCCTCTGCCTGTTATCATCTTTATTATGTTGGGTCTGGCTGGCTCTGGTTGAGGTCCTGAAAACACAGGCATTATCCTTCTTTATCCATAAGCTGTTGTGGTAAAGGGAATCACGAACTAGTTACGGAATACTTTCCTTGAAAATGATGTTCTCCCTATACTGTAAAGTTTAGGGTTAAGATCTTAAGAAACTGTGTCAGAGTACTATCACTAATGAGAACAATATTTTAAAATACTTACTTCCACATTAAACAAGTCGTATTACATCCTAAAATTTTATGAGTCTTTTAAAAGATTATTATGTTTGCATTACTTGGAATTTATTTATCAATTAATTTACATTTCAAGTACTGCAATTCATTTCATGGAACAGCTTTCTTATTATCTAAAGACAGACACTTATACACTGAGAATCTAAAGGAACAGCAAAGCTGCCCGGTTTTGGAATAGGCATCGAGGGTGGGCGGGAAACCGAATTCCTTGCTAATCGAATCCGCATTAGGTTCTAGGACTACTAATGACTAACAAACACAGTTTAAATACACACATAGGTAGTTACAATTTAACAATGATTCAATATCTTGCTTACTTTTAAACTTTATTTAATTTTTTTAGCGTTGCGTAAAGCTAGAATGTTGGCATGGAAATGAAAAACAGGTACAGTCGCTTCATCATTGCACTCACATCCTCTCACTCTTTAAAAGTATCGGCCTATATATCTTTTCCTGACGTACAATGATATGATGAGTTTTTTTTAAAAGGTTTTAGTTAAGTTGCTTTGTCTAGAAAAGTCGTCCTTTTGATTGTGATTAGTTTTGGTTAGGTTCGCATGAATTATTCTATAATTCACAAGCATGTTGCTCACAAGCTTGCAAGTACAGATGACTCCGTTTGAGTTTTGCTTTTTGTCGTTTTAAATTCGTATTTTTTTTGAGGAGACATCCAATAATGTCCTCAGCACTCGTCGTCGGTGATTGTGTAGCTGCCCCGGAACTCGCTTAGCGGCGTCGCGTTCGCCGTGGAGGGGGTCATCAGAGGCGCCCCCTGAAAGGATATGGCCAGTGGCAGGGCTGAGGGGGCGCACAGGCTCAAAGCGCTTCGTCCTTCTGTCACGGAGCGGTAGCGTAGTGGGCGACCGGAACTGCAATTGGATGGCAATAACTCTGTTATTGGCTTGCCTTCAAATCAATTTTTTTAACTGAAAGGGATTTCTTTGAAATGTTCACAAAGCTATCAGCTAGTTCCCAGAAACTGTCTTTTCTTTTATATGTTGTACTCTGGTTATGGCATGTGCGCGTCCATTCATCCGATTATAAAGCAATACGCAGAACTTGTGCATTTATTAAGTACAGGATCTTCTTTCTAACAAATTCATATTCGAAATGACAAATCCCCAGAAATGCTTTGATAAAAGCTAAGCTTCTTTATTGAAAGTTGTGCTAGTGTATAGCACAACATTATAGTTTTATTAAAATATATATTTTCAAATTTCTTTTATTATTTAATTAATTTTATTTGTAGTACCTAGTAGTCTAACCAAACTAACGTATGCTGGGCTCGATTACTAATCACTTTCCATTTATTCCTTGGCACCCACATATTTCGAATATTTCCACTAGACTTGATTTCAATGTCAGAATACAAATCCCTTAAAATCAATCATACGTCACGTTGCACATCAATTCCCAGCACAATGCACTCCCTGGAGCCATTTATTTTCCCCAATTCCCTGGTCGCTCATTCCCAATTCTCAATTCCCATTGACCCTTAAATGTTCGCCCACTTCCGCACTCCAGTTCAGTCCCGTCCAGTCCACCCCGAAACTCACCGTTCGCAGTTGCATTTGAGCAGCCGGATGAAGGCCGCTCGGAACGTGCGATTGAAAATTGTGTAGATGATTGGGTTGATCGTGGAGGAGACGTAGCCAAGCCAGAGGCAGGTGTTCACCACATGTTCAGGAACCTGGCATTCGGGGCATGCCGCAAATATTATGTTCAGTATGAAGAAAGGCGACCAGCACAGGACAAAGGTGAAAAAGACTAGACCCAGCACCTTAGTGGCCTTTTGTTCGGTGGCCACGGCATTGGCGGATAAACTATTTCGTTTGTTGCGATTGTTAAGGAACCTGTATAAAATAATAATTATGTTTTAAAAGTCAGCTAATAAACACCACAAATGCATCTTATTTTTCCCATTTATTATGCCAAAGTGAATTGAAAAATGTAATTACTGTCGCTTTTTTCCCTCCACTTACCGTAAATTGAGCGTCGGCGTTGCTACGCGATTTAAAGAAAACTTAAAGGGCCGCAATTTGTGGCGCTGCCGTTCGTCAGATTTGGAAGCCGTTGGCCTCACCTGTTCCAGCTGGTGGTTGCCGGAAGATGACTGGTTTTGGGCCAGGCTCTGACCCTGTATGGTGGCGATGTTCATCATGCTGGTGTTGTCGCCTCCAGGAGTTGTGCAGCTCGTTGTCGCCGCAGCTGAGCCATTGCCGTTGCTACCACCTCCTGCGGCTCCACTGCCACTGCCACAGCCACTTCCTCCTCCTCCAGAACCTCCATTACCATTTGTTGGGTAACCCAATTGTGGCTGAGAGATGCTGACACGCACAGAGGCTCGTCGGTTCGGGTGGCTGAAAAGAGAGTTGCGAAATAAGTACACTCAAAAAAGGGCTTTTTTAGGAAAAATATTTATTTTTGGTAAGTAAAGTTTAAAGGTTAAGGTTAGTAAGTTGTTTTCCTAAAAAGAGTATATCTTTTTTTCGCCTGTACCTACAAAGTCGCATATTCTGATTGTTTTCTTTTTTCGTTGAGCGAGTGTTTGATATTAGATTTGAGTCTTTTGATTGCCGGGCCCCTTCCGACCGACACCGACACCAAACTCAACAGTTGATAAAATTGACTTTTAATGTAATGAAGGCGAAAAGAGAAGGTCAGGCTGGGGGCTGTGGATGGGTGGGACGGTAGACAAATGTAATGACTTTCAGTTTTTCGGGGTGCGAGTCCTATAAGTCTCCTGCTTCAGGATCTGTTTGCATATGTATTCTCGTTGAGCCGGGGATCTGGCAATTTAGCTAAATGTTTTGTTTGCCAGCTGGGCAGAAGGCAGTGGAAATGGAAGGGAACTCGTCCCACCCAAGTGACGTATTAAACGAGAGTTATGTTAGTGTCGAGGATAAAATGAGGCGGAAGTGGGAGAAAATCTTAGAGGCCGTTCAACTAAATGCCTAATCTAATTTGATGTTATGTTATGGGGATAAGTTTTTAAAAGGAAAGCAAACTAATTTAGTTTCTTATATATTCTTTAACAAAAAAATCGCCTAAAATGTGGAATTTGTTACAATAAAATACAAAGTAAGTCTCGGCTGTTAGCGTTAACCATTCAGAATTGCTTCCGGCGGTTATTAGCTCCTTCGAAGATAGCAAAAGCCTTGACTACCAAGCCAGTGATCTCAACTCCAGAAGCTAACCCCCTAAATGCAACTTTTTTGGATGGCCACTATAATGTTGCAGCAGCTAGAGCCCTAAGTCATCGTGCCCCTCAAAAAAGAGACTTTGTAACTGTTGCTGCCTCAGCGAATAAAACATAAAGTTTTTCAATTTATGCCTGGCGCTCCAGCGGCACGGAAACATTTAAATATGCAACGCCCAAGTGGCGTCAAATGTCCAACTAATAATTTGCCAAGCAAAAAGTTTCGTCCGACCCACTTTTGTCACATTTTTGTTGTTCCTCGGGAGTTGAAAAGTTTTCCCAGCTCTCACTAGGGTGAGGGCTATACCTGGGACTCCCGGTTCATTTGGAATTCATATATTTATGCGGCAACTTGTTCGTCAAAAGGGGGCAGGGCAGAATCGTGACATTCATCAGGTTCGGTTAAGACCGAGGGCTTACTCCTCTTCTGGCTTTGGTTATGCTAATATTCCGTTGAAACCCAGAAGGGCGAGTCATTTGCAAATTTCTGTGGCACTTTTTGGCTGCACTTTGCTTGCGCAACGGATGCTCTTTTTCGGAGTTTTGTGGCAACAATGTCGGAAGCGACATTTGTTCCCTTCTTGTGGTTTCCCTTTTTGCACTTTATGCGCTACTTATTGTCCCAAAAAAACAACAATGTTGGCAGCAGGGCGACAAACAGTTTCGTGTTTGCATGTTTTTTTTTGTGTCTGCTTGCACCACATGACGTATGAGTGATTTATGTCTCCGGCCAAGGCGAGCCGAAATTATGTATACGCCATGTGTTGCGACAGCTTCGAATGTGCATTTAATTGCCTTAAGATGAATAATTGATTATTCTTTGCTTTTAATGGAAAGTATTTAAGTGTACCTTTCCGAAACTGACTTAAGGCAGAGTCAATAAAAAAACAGCGTTCTCCACTTACAATTTAAATAACAAATTTAACGAAGTAGTCGCAAAAGTTTGCCGTAATGGCGCCGAAGCTGTTTCCCGCAAACTTTTCCCGGCGGAAATAAAAGCCTGGCATAACAAATTTAATAAATTTAAAAGCATTGTAGGTACATATACACAAAAGATAATCATGAACTTGGCTTTTGCTGCTGGTGTCTCTGGTCTGTTGCATTGATTGGGGAATTTGTTTTAATTCAGCCGTGATTTGTCGATTCTGAGTATTTTGGCCACAATCACCGCCATCTTCAGTTTAATGGATAATTTGGGTCTGTGGTTGAGTCGCATTTGAAGTGGTTAACATTATTATTAACTAATTAAATTCCGCTTCCGCTGAGAGACAAATAGGAAGCTAGCGATTGAAATAAAGATACTATATATATACCTAAATACAGGGCCGTAGCTAGCATGGGGCAGGTGGGGCGGTGCCCCAGGGCCCCCGAAGGGAAGGGGCCCCGCCGGGGCAAAAGACTTCCGTATAGGGGGCCCCACATTTACTTGTTGCCCCAGGGCCCCCGAGGCTCTAGCTACGGCCCTGCCTAAATACTTAAAATATACTTAAAAATAATATTTAAAATGTAATGTTATGGTAACTATTAATCATATAAATGTATGCCTCTAATTTAATAGATTTCTTTCCATATCTTTTGCTCTCAAACTTTTATCAGTGCACTATTCCCATCATCTTGAGGCAATTCCAATCATAGTTTGCATTCTGATTGCACCTAGCCCCTAATTAAGTTCTCAAGTGTTTGCCACTCACCTGTCCATTAGGTTCGGATTGCCACCGTGCTTGCGCCAGAAGCTGCTTGATTTGGTGGCAGGAGCGGGGGTCGACGAGTGGCGCAAGATCCCGCCACCTGCCAAACGGAAGCTACTCCGCCCGGCGGACGAGCCTCGGGCTCCTCCACCCCCGCCGTTAGCCACGTTGCGAAAGCTGACCGTCGCAACGTTGCCCCTGGAGTTGGTCTCTCGCTGTTGCATCAACGGACGTTCCGCCACCTCGACGCCGCTGCCCCTTGAGGCACCACCCTCCACCCCCCCGCCGACAGAATTGTTAAAATTGCGATTGCTGTCGCTCAGAGCCAGGAATTTGTTGGTGCTGGAAAAGCTGCTGTGCATCTGCAATTGTTGCTGGCTGTGCTGGGGCCTTATGGTGAAGCGTCCTCCTAGCCTATAGATTGGAATACACGGATAAAAATATAAGAGGCTTATGAAGAACAAGTTTGAATTTAATTTATAAGACTTCTAAAAAAAGTGGGCTTAAAGCAGAGCTGTTCAGTTAAAATCAGAGCTCTTTTTGTTCCCCGTTTTGAATAAAAATTTGTATTATTTTCCTGTATAATATTTTTTTCACTGTAAAAAAGTTGAGCAATACTAAAGCAAATGAGATGGATGGATAAATTGGTGGCTGATTGAGTTAAGGCTAATTTAGCACGCTTGGGCGCGTTTCGATTGCCCTCTACCCTCAGACAGCCTGGAATTATGGACAACTCTGCATTCAATGGAGCCTGTTTAAGCCTTATAGTTGGCTAATAAAAAGTGTGTGTATTAAGCAAGTTTTAATAATTTTATTTTTGATAAACTTTTATTATTATCGATTGCCAGAGTAGTATGGAAGAGACAAAAACTAATTCTTGAGTAATGATTACTATGCCGTTTTTTACTCACCGTCGAAAAAGTTCACTCTCTGGATGTTCGGCTGCAAATCTGGCCTTTTTCCGTAGCAGAGGAATGGTCAGGGCGTAGGTGGTGACCATCATAAGCATCGGAATGTAAAAGGCCACCAGAGACCCAAAGACGAAAAAGGCGCGATTGTTGATGACACAGATATTCGGCTCCGGCATAATATTTTTCTCGTTAACCAAACCTAGGGGGTTATAAAATAATAGAAAGATAAATCCAGTACAAATCCATAATACCTACCCAGAACAGTTATGGAGCTAGAGACCATCATGGCCATCACCCAGACAATGGCTATCTTAATCCCGGCCAGGCGTTTCGTAGATCGATGTCTCGATCCCAGTGGATTCCGTATCCCCAAGTACCGTCCCAGACTTATGAAGCACATGTGCAGAATACTCGAGGAACAGGCCAGCACATCGCAGGTCACATAAATGTTGCACCAAGTAAAGCCAAGTGGCCAATACCCTGAAAAGAGACAGTTTAATTAAAGCCAAACATCATCTTTGACTCAATCCAGGTCCTGTGGTTGGTTGAGTTTTCAAAGCACAAAGGATAGTGCGGCGGAAACTCGTTAAAGAAGCCATGAATGTCAAAGTAAACGAAACAAAATGGAATTGTTTATTGTGGTTTTTGGGGAAAGACAGAGCCATGACAATTGTCAGTGGTTTACGGCTCAACCAAAATTGAAGGTAAAATGCAGTAAGTCTGGATAAATGGTAGTAGCAACGGCCTAGCTGAGGACTGCTTAAATATCCTTCTTTGAATATTATTTCTAAAGGTTGTTCAGCTATGATTGCTTCCATTTTCCGTTTCATCAACCCGCCACAAAAATGTCCTCTTCCCGCCTTGATGTGTGTGTCGCTTTAATTCAGACTATGAGTCCTGTGGATCCTTGGGTTCACACACGACTGACTCATTCACCTTGACATCAATAGGCGGCGGACAATCCAAAGGACTGAAGCACTCGCTGGGAAACAAAAACTCAATTGCCGCTGCTCTGCCGGGAGTCGAATTCAGTATTAATTAGTACAAATTGCGCTTAAATGCGTTGGGCGATGGATGCTGGGCGTGGGGCCTTTACACGCTATTTGGCCAGAGATAGACACATGAGGGTCCTTGCCACAGACAAAGGCCTGCAAGTTAAGTGGACGTGGGTAGGGGCAGGGGCTGGCCATCATGTCGTATTTAGTTTTATATGCTTGTCAGTGACACACACAGGCAGACGGGCACACAAACATACGCACACCCCCACAGACAGGCAGACACAGAAAGTGTGAGGGCATGTCAATGTATTTATTACGCATACGACATGTTGTGCGGGACGACCTCAAGTGGCAAAAACAGGAGCAAAAGCAAATGCCTAAAACAAATGGTATCAGGCCCGGAATTCGATGCCTAGGCCTAGGATTCATTTTAAATATATATTGTTGGTCGAGTCTGCGGTAAACTCGGTTTATTTTATTTTCGCACTTTTCCGACCACCTTTCAGAGCCGAAAAATTTTAATGGCTTTGGCTAATGCTCGAAACTTGGCTGTAAAGTTGGAGTGTGTGAGGAGTGGGTGAACTGAACAATAACCTCTGTTTATTTAAACCAAAATCTCCGCAGAGACCTACTTGGAGGACTGGCTCCATTTTCGGCTTAATTGTTGGCCCAGACAGGGGCAGCTGTTTGTGTTATTGTTGCTTCTGTGGCTAAAACCACACTTAAGGCTTTTAGTTACATTTAGTTTACTCTTGTCGCCAACTTTTCGGGCCAAAAAAAGCGAGAAAAGCCTTGGTGCTGGAACTCCGAGGGACGGGCCAAAATAAGTAAAAGCCAACCAAAACAAGTTGCATGAAACGCGGCGCAGTCAAAGTGCAAACGAATAATAAACAATGAAATCTAGAAAAAAGGGTAAAACAAGAGCGAAAAGCCAAAGGGTTTTGGTAGCTTAAAAGAATTAAATTTTGAAGAGATGTATTTTTATGGTGCTTGGTAATAGTTCAGTTAAATTTAAGGTAATATTTCAAATCAAATATAGTATACTTTTGATATTTTAAAAAGGGTTTCATGATTAAGGGTATGTATGTCGTTTATGTATAATTAAATTTATACTCCTCCTCTTCGTTTAGCTTTTCTGTTTTAGTTTATTAAATTCCTTCAAAAATTAAATAAGCATAAATAAGTGGGACCTGTTGAAGATCGTAAAGTTTATAAACAGACCTCCCTTTGCCGGGAGCCGCGGAACTAATAACCTAAAAGTAGACTTTCATAAATAAAACGTCAGAGCGGGAAACTAATGCGCTCGAAAGCCAAATTAGTTTTCCCCCAATGTTGGTAAAGAGCCCGGACCATCCTGCCTCTCAATCCACTTACATGTGGTGGTCTTTGGCTGGTCCTGGCGGCTTCTGGTTCTAAAATCCGGCCAGGAGGATGAATTTACGCTTAATTTATGCGAACGTTTGATCTGTTTATGCAACGTTGAGTTCGCTTGGGGAGGTGGGATTTTGTTTTAAGGTCTTATCAGTGTCATATGCAAATTGGCCGAGTTTGGGTTTGTTTATTGAACATTTTACATATTTAACACTCAATGAGTCGGGAGACTCCTGGATTTTTTCGCTTTAAAGACTGCACAGGAAACAAATTAAAAAATGGGCAGCGTAAAGTGACTTCCCGAGACCACTGGTCGAGAGTACGATTTTATTGCCCACTCTAGTTTTTACAGCTGCTCTGAAAAAATAAAACTCTCCGCCAGCAGGGGAAAAGAACAAATTCCTAATTCAAACATCAACAGAGAGAGTCACGCGTTTGTCATTCCACCAGTAGTTTGTTGCTTCTGCTTTAGCATTCGGGGCTTCCAGCCAACAGCCATCTTTGCTGCATTTCGCCCTAAGTGAGCCAAACCGGAAGCCCCCAACGAGGCTAACAACTCATGACAATAGCGCCGAAGGGCGTTGACGGAAGTGGGGGCGTGGCAGACAGAGCTGAAGATGAGCAGAGCCTGGCAGAGCAGAGGAATTGTCGTCGAAATAATTCATGTGCAAATGCATTAGTCGCTGACTTGCATTGCCACTTGATGGCTGAAGGACTATGCACTCGAAGAAAAACAAGTGCTAGATAAGTGGGTGCTGGTTGTGGGGCCAACAAAGACACAGAAAGAAATTTACCATTACTAAGATTATTTAATAATATTTTTAAAAATTTATAAAGAAAACATTAAAGTCTTAAGTCATGACTCTTCACTAAATGAAATTAATGTGAAGGTAGTTACAAGTTTTGCAATAAAGACTTTTCATGAAAGTCTATAACTTTTCGTTCATTCCAACGTTAAGTTTATTGGAGCATAAAATAGTCAATAAATGTGGACGTTTTTATGAAATTATAACTGAACGAACTCCTTTGCGTAATAGTTGAAAAAGAAAGGTTTTTGTCGAAGAAGATGTATTTTTTAACCCAGTTATTTGGTGTATTTTTGCTATAATGAAATATATCTATGGGGAATTGGGATTAAATCCAAAATATAACCATAAAGTTAAAAAAGATCCCATAAATATTAAAAAGTCTTTTTAAGGACTCTTAATCTAAGAGTAATTTTATCTTTACTTACCCAAAAAAGCCGGTATGGCGCCCATGGGCATCACAAAGAGGCTGACCAGCAGGTCGGCTATTGCCAGCGAGAAGAGGAAGTAGTTGGTGACATTCTGCAGCTTCCTGTCCAGAGCGACCGCCAGGCAGACAAGAATGTTCCCCAGCCCGCCGGCAAAGATGAAGAAGACCACGAACAGGAAGAGCCAGTCATAGCCGTGGGGACTGTAGTCCAGAAAGCTCCTCGACACCCCCAGGTCCGTGGAGGTGACTGCCGTCGAGGCGGCGGTGGTGGTGGCCAGTGCTGTGTAGTTGGACAGAATCATGTCCAAACTAGAGCTGGTGGCGTTCAAAATGCCAAAGGTGCCATTTTTGGGCTCAATTAGCTCTGTGCTGGCGTTGAGCAAAGACCAGAGGCTACCTCCCAGCTCGATTTGATAGTCGCCGCTGCCAAAGGACGCCTCCAGCAGGCTGTCATTGGTGGGGCCAGTTAGTAGGTCCTCCTGCTCCCCCAGTGGCAGTCTCTGATGTGGCTTCTGCTGCTGCAGGTAACACATGAATGCATCGTCCCGTGGCCCAATCTCCTCACATTGCAATAGATTTCCATCCTCGCCGTGCTCGCATCTCGAACTATCACTAAGTGTACCACTCCCATTATCACTGAGGGCCTCGTTGATTGCCAGTCGAAATTGCTCATACGCCGCTTGTGGCACTTGCAACAGTCGGGCCTTCAGTTTCAACGCGCAGAGCCCAGACAATGATTCCTCCTCTTCCTGATCGCATGAGTAGAATGCCCCCGTCGCATCGAATGTTTGTCGAGTACACTGGAATGTGTGGATGATGCTGCTGTTGCTGCTGATGGTGGGCAGGATGTTGCTGTTGTTGCCGGTAGCTGTTGTGTAGCTGCTGCTGCTACTGTTGCTGGTTGCAGGATACGTTTCGCAGCTAATAAACGGCTGCCAGACCTCAGGCTCAGCCGCCTTTTCCAGGCGACAACTGAAAGGAAATTCCGACAATGTGGCTGTTGTGAATGTTGCTGTTTCTGTGTCTGTTGCTGTTGCTGCTGCCGTTGGTCCATGACCAGAGTAGCTTTGCATCTCCATTTCATTCTAAAGCTGTGCGACTTTATCCAGGACAACGACTGTTGTTGACTTTGCAACGATTGCCTGTAAACATTAAAAATCAAAGTAAACATTTAATGTATTTATCTATTTTTTTGTAAAATGTGGGAACATGGGTAATAACCGCACTTGCAGCTTCAGCAATATGTTTTTACAAAGTCCCTTGGGAGGAGAGAAAGTGTTTTTATTTAATTTTATAACTGAACTGAGTTTTTTTCTTGTCAGCAAACAAATCATGAGGGAAAAAGGTCACAGATTTTTTATTTTTATTGAAAGAGAGGTAAAATATACGTCCTATGTTAAATATTTACTTTGGTAATGTTCCGTAAGAGCCAACACTGCGGATGAGTATTTTTTACAGAGACCGTAATTAGTGCCAAGAAAATGTATATTTATAAAAAAAGGTACAGCTTCTATGGGTCGGAAAATATCAAAATTTTGTATGCGCCTGTCAATGGATGACAGCTGAAGAGTTGAGCTCAATGGGATGCATCCATCGGATGACTATGACGATGATGTCGAAGCGGCGATGGCAATGTCAACAAGGGGCTGAGGGCCCGATTTGAATGTGCTTGAAATGGCACGGCCAACAAAGGACGCCACGTTCTAGTGTCTTCCTTTGACCTTCATCCATCCAGCCTAGAGCGTGGGGCCTTTGTGCCTGTGTCAGGACCAAATTCTCCCGTCAGCTGTCGCTTCACCCACGCGCTTCTAAAATGCGGTTCCCTTTTTTCTCGCCTCCCTCCATTTCCGTCAATTCCGCCATCTTTTTTGTTGCTTTTGTCCATTTTCTGTTTCTATTGGCGGCTGCAAAAATTTGTTGTCGCCACTAATAATGAGAATCCTGCATCCGCCCACTCACAGACACACACACACTCCCACTCACCACCACTCTCACTCACACCAGCAAAAAGTTAATTAAAATTGCAGTCCGACCCCAAAGATTTATGCAAGCACTGAGGTCGACAGATGACTTTTTGGTTAACTTTGTGCGCCGCTAACCATTTTAAATTATGGCCCAAAACTTTGACGGCAAATTGCACGACAATTTTATCACTTTTTTTTTTTGGTTTTGTCACACCACGTACAAGGTCAAATGCACAGAGTCCGGATGGGCGGCAATATTGTTCAATCACAAAAATTTTATATGTAGAATGTTCTTTCTAAAACTATTTTTTCGGAATGCACAAAGTGAAAGGCATCACCCGGGGACCCTACCCGTTCTGGTTAGAGTCCGCCAGAAAGTGCTCAAAGCCAGCCGGCAAGTGATTTGGCCAATCAACCGCAACAGTGGCGGTCGGGTGGGGGTTGTGGGGGGGTTTTAGCCGCAGGCTGGCAAACACACATGCAGGATGCATTCGCCATTTCTGCAATTTTCGGCGTTCGGGGAGAAATGGGAAGTTTTTTTTACTTAAAGGCAAAAATGAAAATAAATGGGACGTGGTTACTTTGTTTGTTAGCCACGAAATCATGAACAATATTAAGGATTATGGGATTTTGTAGAAATAATATTATAGACAAAATTTTGTTTTACATTTAAACTTGAAGTATTCAGAAGAATACTATTACTTCTATTTTTAATGACTCAGATAAGAATCCTTGTATAAATGTAAGCACCTCAGGTTTTTAGACTATACCATTATTATTAGTTATAAAACATATAAGAAGTTTCAATTTATATATGTAGAGTATTCCACCTTAGGCTCGATTTTTCTATTGGGCTTTTCACAATATTTCATAGAAGTTACTTTGCAATTTGGGTCTAGATTGCGTGATGTTTGTATGGGGTTATTTTTCGATAGGATTTGTCGCCTGGGATACCGTAACCCTGGCCGGCCCCAAAGTGGGGCAACCGCAGGCCCCCACCATATGGCGGGCAAACATCGTGGCAAGGTGGCGATGTGGAAGCGGAGAAGGATGGGGAGGAATCCCTTATGCATATGAAATGCGCTTTGACAGTGCACTTTTCCGACTTAATTCGAGTGGCAACGGGGCTGCCTAGCCACCCAGAGCCACATCCACGTGCTGGAGAGGCTTTAATGACGACGCTGCATTTAAAGTCGAGGCCTGTCACTGGATGGGTGGGAGTCGCTTTAATGAGTCCGCGCCACACATCTGACGCCTTTGTTGCCAAGTATGTTGAGTGTTGGGGGTTGTGGGCGGGTGGAACACACACAGAGATACAGTCGAGAGCAGGCCGAGTGGCATAATTAAAGTCTCTGTTTGTTGTTAATGGCTGTGCTATAATCATGATATTTTCCCTGGTTTTCTGAAAGCGAAAACAAATCATTTTCACAATGCCAGGATGCGGAGGAGGTTTTGAGCCAAGAGTTTCTAATTGGAAACAAATAAATTCTACACAAAAGATTTCAATTCTTAGAATAGAAATGATAATTGATAATTTAAATACAAATGTTAGGGAATTACTTTTTAAATGAAGAGATTAAATATGAACTGCTACGCTGTTTTAATATATCTGAAAAATAAGCAACAATAAACGTTTGTTTTAAATTTCGATAAGCATCTTTTTTAATCTTTAAGTCTAACTATGAATCGTCTCTTGACAGATTAAATAGTGTAATAAAATAATCTACCATAATGTTTTATGAATTTCAAAGACAAGGAATTTAAAACCCCTTTCCCTGTTATGAGATCCAATAGAGCTATGGAGGCAAATTGTGAGCAAAACTTGTTTCTCTGCCAATTTTTCTGGTCCATGATTGCAACAAACAATGCGAGGCAACTGCAACAGCAAAAATACCAATAATAGAGGCTGCCATAGCTTTTTAGAAAAAAGCAAAAAAATAGCAAAAACAGGAAAAATAATATTTGCTTGAAATTCAATATTTGTTTTACGGTTTTTTATTGCTATGCCTCTCCTCGGTCGACTGATGAGCCAGTCCGGTATCGATGAAAAGTGAAATAAAACTGCCAAGTGATTCCAAGTGATCTGTGACGGCAAGTCGAGCCTGATATTTTTATTTATCTGGCCAAGTGGTCGGTCGGTCGGCCAACTGTGTTAACAATTTTTCACAGATGCCATTATCCACTGTCATCACTCGTGTGTGGCTTAATTTGCGGTTAATTATGCAATTAATTATTAACGGGGCGTTGCATTTTGCATTTTTCATTTTCCTCACCTCCAGCATCACTTTTTTTCAGCACTGGTCTTGAATTTCACTTATTTATAGAAAACATTTGATGGGTATGTTTACATACACCATGGTGCACCATGATACCCTTTTCTGCCCGACAGAGTCGAAAATTAATTGCAACACGTCTCAGCTGTGGTAACAGTAAGCCTAAGCCCTTGGAAATATGATCTATGAATATTATTACCCAGAGCAACGACTTAATTGGAAATTGTTCTGCGTTTAGTGATTTGTCAAAAAGTGTCGCTGGGTAAAATCCTCCTGCCCCTGTGGCAGTGGGGTAGCCAGCCTCTCTCATCCCTCATCATCAATTACTCCATGTCCGACAATCAAGTGGCCAACACAGAATTTGGCCAAGAACTTCATTAAGCGGTTTCTTTGGGGGCCCAGCAACGCACTTCCCAGCCGTAAATAAAAAGCAACGGAGATGCCTTTGAGCGGAAAAGGCGGGGGAATTTGGTAACTATGACTGGGGCGGGCGGGGTGAGAGGATGCGGGGGCGGGGATGATTCAGCGGCGGGGACTTCCTTGGGGGAGGGGTGGCCTTGTTCCGCTAGTAGTCTCGCCTGGTATGCAGTTAATGAAGAGAAATGGCCAAAAGTGTTTTATAAATGTTTTCCCTTCCAATTGCTTTGGCAGCTCTCAAGGGGTATGTTCAAAATGTTATTGGGTGTGTTTTTATGAGAGATATAAGATAAATTTAGTAATATTAAACATAATACAGCCCATTAGAGTTTGAAAATTCAAATATATTTATATTAAGTTTTGGATATTCTTTATAATTTATTGGATATTCTTTATTAATTTAAAGGAGAAACATAAATATTTTGAAGTGTTAGGATAAGGCATAAGTAAGGATCAGTATTTTTAAAACTTGAACTCTATATATTTTCTAACCTTGTTAGGTATAACTAGAATATACTTCTAGAAGATCAACAAAGAGTATCTTCAATGTCGGTTTAGGACTTTGTATGAATTTTTAATGCTGTACTTCTACCATTGCCAAACACACAGCTTCCTGCAGTTGGTGTTGCTGCTGTCTAGCCTTTTGCGGTTGTTTGCGGAAGTGCGCGTCAATAAATTTTCGTTTTTTACGCTTTCGTGTCGGTATTTTTGGTATTTGGGAATGTTTCCCTGCCAAACCGGCTCTCACGCATTTTCCTAATAACTTGCAGGCTTTAATAGCAATGTCAGCCCTACGATATGAAGTAATGAAAACGGAGGCATTACTCCCCTAAAATATAGAGGGGAGATGTATGCCCTGCCATTAATCTGGCTAGTCTGGCGACCCCACGGCCTTAAATGTAAATGAACTACAAGAGTGCACTAACTTTGGAAAAAAAAAACCCTGCCTTGGGTTAGTTGGCATCGAAAAATGCGAGGCACGTTGCAAACCGAAACAAATGAACCCAAAACCGAGACAAATAATCTAGGGTTCGCAGCAAGATAAAATGTGCAACGTGCAATGAACTGTGGCAAGTCCGATTGCCTTTTTGGTTAGAATAATTGTCATTGGATTTCGCATTCGCTTTACTGGCGATTATGAGATTATAGAAAGCAAAGCCAGTGTTTAGTTTTGCATATTTTAGCAAATTAAATAATTAATATTTGCTTTCGGGGATATCAGAGATAGTGGTAATCAATTTTCAATTGGATTAGTTTTCAGTTTGTGTGATTAAATATTTGATACTTTAATATACTTTTTATATTAGTTTGAGTTGGTGTTAGATCAGTTAGTTGTAGTGTATTAGAGCAGTTATTTAATGGAATTAATATTTAAATTTTTTGACAACAAGTGACACATTTAACTCAAGCTCACTGAGAGAAGGAAAAATAACTCTATAGACTATAGAAGCTGTAAGAATTTGGTCACTGCTGTGTTATTTTTTTCAGTTTATGCTGCCTTGATGAGGGTCAATCAAAATCAATTTGCATCTATGTGTCTCTCTCTACACACACTACATGAAAATTGCATTTAAAATACAAACGCCCGGCGTCGCCGACAGCTCTCAACTAGCTGGCTAGTTTATCCAATAGCTCAATCAAAAAAGCATCAGATATCGCAACGCCAACGATTCTGTCATTGGGCGCTAATAGCTAATAGCTGGCTGGCACTCGACCTCGGGGCCACTTGACTGGCGGTGCATATAAGCGATGGGTTTTCGAATGTGTGGGTTGGTTACTTCTCTTTTTCGCTTGAATCCAATCGAATTTGCATAGGTAATTGCGAAAAATCTCTCCTAGCTGGCTCTGTGAGCAGTTTGGCAGTGCCACTAATTCATTGCTCAGAATCTAATTTCCCTCATGGAAACAAACAACTTTTGGAATTTGGCAAGTTTTTTTTTTTTTTGCGAGTATGTGGGAACATTAGTTGTGAGGATTTATGGAGGAATATGTGAGACCGCTTTACAACGTGAGCTCTACCCGAAAGAATTTCACTTTATGTATGTGGCAGCACCGGAGCAAATAAGGGCCAAAAAACACAAACCACCCGCAAGAAGTTGCAAGATGATTTAGGGCCTCCCATTGCATGCGAAATGTAGGTCTGTGTTTCCACTGACTGGCGATATACTCTTCAAAAATGCATATGCGACAAGGTAAGAAATGAAATAATATTCTTTAAATGTAGCAAAGTACTATTAAAAAAAATTCCCATTTTCTCTGGTAGACTTTCTTGGGTAAACTTGTAAGACTGTTAAGAACACTCAGAGGATAAAACAGTATATTCCACGGTTGCCATGGAGCCCTTAGCCGCGTCATCTGCTTACCGCGGTGGCAAGTGCAAGTTGCACTAATGCACATTAAGCCAGACATTGTGGCGCAAAGTAGTTCAAGGCAGTAGTTGCCGGGCCCAAGAATGTGTAATGCTCGTGTTGGTTTTACTTTCTTTTTATCAAAACACCCACCTGTCCCACCAGGTCAAAACACACCAACCACCCATCTGGCCACTCACTTAGCAGAACATTTTCACTTGCGATGCGTTCATAATGGAAAGGCAGTCCTCCGACGGCGTCAGGTATGAAAAGTGCAAGCGACACATCGCGCATACGTCGTGTGGTGCACAGAAATAGTCATTCACAAACAAGCCCAGTTTGATGGAGAGGAAACGGTGACGCTGACAGAACTGTTTGTTTTATATTTATGCATGTTTCACTTTCTGTCTTGCTGGCTTTCATGCTCTGCATGTTTCCATTCATTTGTTCGACGACTTTTGTTTGCTGGCAATCAGCCAAGGCTAATAAAAGAACGGCCTACGTGTTCGGAATAACATTTCAACCGAATGCAACTAATTTTTGTTGGATTAAGCATTTGTTAAACAAATATATGCTTTATATGTTTATTTAAATTGCCATCAATTGGCTTTATAATTGGATCCATTCACTCCGTGTGGTCGTCGGGTTAATGGAATACAATTGATTGGCTTTCATGTGAGTGGACATATTAACCTTCTGAAAACAAAAGTCCAGGGACAATTGAACCTATGTTAATTAATGTTTCGTGTTTTATATTCTGTATATAGATACTTTACAGATTATGGGTTTGACAAATCGTTAAACAATTAGCCACAACTTGTAGACCAAAATCCGATTTCATATCAAAATGAATACAATAATTAATCAATGATGGCAAAGCACGAAGCCGATTCGATTGCTTTTATTAAAATGAATTCCAACAAACCTAGGTAGATTCTATCTTGGCGTCCTCAATATTATGGAGCTTTTTAGAAGGATCTCCGGTGTTCGGGTTTTCCTTTCTCGGCCTGTTTATCTCGGCGGCCTGCTTGGCGAACACATACCGGTGATACTGGCTGGCCAGAGGAGCGCACTGAAGCGGTTCGTTGGAGTACTTCTGGTAGCAAAAGACCAGGTCCTCCTCCAGCTTGGTGATATCGGCAGAGCACTCCTTGGCCCAGTAGATCGGCTTGCCAAATATGTCCTGTACCCGTTGCAGGGACTGTCCGAAGTGGGCTTCCTCAATCTCCGAGGAGCGTCTTTTCCAAGGCGAGACTACAGGCACGGGATTCTTGACCGTCACCTCCGACGGCTTGTGGTCCATCGTCTTCGGTGGCACATCCGTACTCGCGGAGGCGCCTCCGCGTTCTCGCTGCTTGCACTTCTCGCAGTAGTTTGATGGCGACATGGTGATATTTCCAGAGGACTGATCAATTCGCTCCATAACCTCGCGAGTGATGTGAAAGGGAATGGGATTTGGCATCTGGACGGTCTGAGGTTTGCTGTTGTGGGCGCCCATGATGAAGCATTTGCTGGAAGACTCTGTTCAGGACTTGCTTGCTTTTCAGTTTCTATTTAATGCTCGTATTCGTTTTCGAGTGACGGATAATTTATAACGTTTGATCTACATTTTTTTTAATTTTGCTTAAAATTTAGTTTGCTAAACTGTGACATTTAACGAAAATGAAACTGTCTCTTGCTAACATTTCTGAAGATATAATTGGTTTAAACTAGAAGTTAATGCAATATTTATAATAAGTTTCAGAAGATTGCCGCGTATAATCTAGGGAATAAACTAGATTGTATCAGTCTTTTTTCGTTTCACCTATTTTTAAAATTTGTCTGATGAGTATATTTTTGTTATAATTTATTGATTTATCTCGTTTTCAGTCTTAGATCAATGATTAATTTAGAGATAAAATGTCAATTATGTTTGAAGTAACGTTACACTTCAAAGAGTACTATTATTTTACGTATAAATTAAGCGACTATTGTTTGCCGTAACACATGTAAGGCAACGCTTTAGAAAAAAGTGAAAACCATAAGTTTGCAGCCATATAAGGTTGCACTAGCCACGTGCCCCTGCCCCTCGACGCCGCACAGGTCGACTCCCTCGTGCTGCCGCTTCTTAATTGTGCTGTCAATCATTTTGCATATTTGCACAGATCCAGGGGAAAAGGCGAGTAAAATCCAATTTGAATGCTAGCCAGTGATGGTCAAGCACATAGCGGAAATAGACAATTGTAATGGGAAATAAATTTAAATATAAGCCAGGAAAAAAGCACAAGATGCGTTCGGGCAAATGACAAATCATGCTGCCAAGAGGTCGCACTTATTGAATAATTTAATATTTATTGATTGCCAATACTCGACTGCTACACAACAGTCAATTAAATGATAAGCCAAATGGGAAGCTAGAGGAGGGACTTTCGGAATGCCCGTTTGGCATAAGAATGTTTCAACAATTGCTCAAAGTCAGCGAACAAGACGATTAATTACAGACGTCAGTTTATTGATCGAATAAACGGCAGTGGACTAGCGAACTTCTCGTTTTTTGTTTTGGCCATTTCATAGTCTCTGACTAAACACACATTTTTTCTGGGCTAAAAAAAGGAACAAAAACAAGGCAAATTCTTCAAGAAGAAGCCAATCACAAGTGATGCCCTGTCTACACTAGAAAATGTTTAATTTTGTTTCAAAATAGATTTAAGAATAGTATCTCTAATCGACAATATCTCTAAAAGATTCTTCCTTTCCGCCAACATATTTCTGGATTGTTTATTTAATTTTTTTTTTAACTTGTGCATCATATATTTGATTAGAACTATGTACTTCAAAGCATTGTGGAAAAGTTGATGAGGAGGGTATTGATTATTTTGCACTGCTGGGATCGCTCGTAAAGTATTCTACTTAACTGTAAGATGATTATTTGGACCAAAGCTAAATAATTAGAAAAGAGAAGAGGGACTCGCCATGAATGAATGGAAATTGAATGCAGTACGCGTTTCAGGGCTTGCCAGTATAAAATACATAAATCTATATGACCAGATAAATAGAATGGAATCGGGCCCCCGAGAGAGATAAATGCTCTAACTTGTGCTTGAATTTATTTATTGTTTGCTTTTGCTTTTTGGTTTATTGTAGCTGTTTCTGGCTCACGCCAAGTTAAGCATGAAGACGATGATGGGATGGCCAAAATATTTAAAATATTTGATTGCCGAATAAAATATGGACTGTGTTGATTGAATCTTGATATATGTAGAGTACACGCGCTGATCAATTGCCATATGAAAGATTCATTTTTATTCCGAAACATGAATGGGCTTGGATGTGATATAAACATGCGTCTTAAATAAACTCAACGGCCGTAAGTGAATTAAACCCACACTGTATACAAACAGGGCTGAATGAAAGCACTTAACGCAAGGAAATAGAACCGCATAAGAAAATAATCACCAAGATAATTAATCCTGCGTTTGAAAATTGTAAAAATAAACACTAGAAGTGGTTGTCTAATCAAGTGATTTTTCACAAAATATAATTTGCTTAGACTGAGTTTGGTTTTCCTTGAAAGAAAGTCACTTCAGTTTCAGGCACAAAACCCAACTAACCACTTTTGTTTATGGTTAACACTTGAGCGGAAAGTGTCATAACTTGTACGCCTGTTGCTGACAGACCCTCAAATCGGGTTTAAACACCTTGGCAACACAACCGAGAGCAGGAAAGCCAAGAAAAAAAATTACCTTCAGGTAATCAGCGACAGTTTATGTTCATTTGGCCCACTAAACTTTTACGGCCTTTCCACTTATCTGGTTGAATTTGTCTACGGAACCCACGCAGAATGGCTTTCTCTTCATCTTAATGACAGCTGGCTGATAGTGGGATCTGGGTACTGGGCCTAAGGCCGGCATAATTTCGGCATGTCCTTTATGTCTCATTAAAACTTTACGCACATCAACGGCAGCAGTGGCAGTAGCAATGGCATTTCTAGCAAAAAGCTTAATAGTTTAATTTCCCGACCGGCCACGGAAAACCTCAGAAAATACCAAACGGATAAAGGTAGAAAGGTCCTCCGACCCACCAAGCAAGACCCAAAAGGTAAAAACAAAAGGTAACCAAAACAAAGAGAAATGGCAAACATTTGGTTTTCGGTTTCTTGGCCATAAATCTTCTTTTTCTGCTGACATGTGAGTAATCATGTGCAGCTTGGGGTTAGATTTCAGATTCCAGATTCCAGATACGCAAGCCAAAGGGAAACTGAAACATATTGAGAGATTTAACTTTAAGTTAATTTTTCATCGGGCGAAACAAAAGATTTCTGGCTAAAGTGAGTTTCATTATTTGCATAAATTTACTGGTAATGATATTTGCCTTTTCGTGACTAATGGCCAAGACCGGGGAGCTCTGTAAAATTTACTTTTAATTACGTAATCAGTGGCGGTGTGGGGGGGGTGCTAAGCCTGCTTTTTTTTATCCTCCAATGTGTGTTTAACGCCAAGTTAGCTTTGCTTTGATTTCCGCTGGTGCTTATTTTTTCCTCTGGGCCCTATTTACACAGACTTGGTCCATGGCTTAAACGAGTACAGGAACACCAACCAGCTACCAGCTCCTATCAACACAGGTGTAATGGCACTCTGAGCTATTTTTTTTAATTAATTTGCATTTGCTGCGTGCTTTGTTTTCTTTGCATATTACTTATTGTTTTACTTTTGCTTGATTAAATAAACCGGGCACGTAATTTCCATTCTCTGTAAGCACTTTTAAATTAAGGCCACTTCAAGTGTTAAGGATTTGTTGAGGATATTTTTCTGTTCTTTGTTCTTAATTAAAAGTATGTAAACAAAGTTGTTTTTACTTACTCTTGAAAAGTGAAAGCTTGCCAATAAGATCTTAGTTTTTATAACTAATTAACTTTAATTTAAATTCCATATTTTTTCACTGAAATTGATCGACACAAGTTTTCTTAATATGTGTAGTTTTTTTTTATTTATTTTTCTGTTTAGTTTACTTTTTCCGCTTATTTATTTGCCAACTGCAGGTGACAGTTGTTTTTTTTATTTTTTTTAATGACAAACAAACATTTTTTACATTTTAACTTTATTTTTTACTATATTATTTCTCAGCCATGTAGCCGTTTAAAATCGGTTAACTTATTCCATAACACTTAATGGGTTTTTCATTGCACATTTTTATAATTTTTATTTAACTTGGGTTTTTGTTTTATTAAACTTTCTGTTGTGTGATTTAATTTTTTTTTGGTAACAATATGTTTCTATTTTTTTTTTGTAAGCAGAACAGAAGTCTCAGAAAACGAACGCAACGCGGCAAAATTTCAAAACAAACTGATTGTGCGAATTTTCCAAACTGGTCCATTGAGTCTGAAAAGCAAGTGGAAAACGCCAGCAGCAGCAGTAGCTACGGCAGGCATCGTGCTGCTGCCGACTACCGCGTCGTCTTAACTGACTCTCTTACTTTTCCGGCAGGCGCTCTCTTTTGCCAAACATGGGGAAATTTTCGTAGCTTTGTTTGGGAAATTCTGCGCGGAAAACCGTGCCGCCTTTTTGCTTATTTTTCTTTTCTAGGAGCAGATGTAGGGCCAAGGGGCGCTCTGGGGCATGCCACGTGCTCCGGCTCTATGGCTGTCAGCATTCGGTACGTGATTCTGATTCCATTCCCTCTCCACTGGGAATCGTGCGTATTTTATGAATGAATTATACAAGGAACGAAAAAATAATCACTGGCTGTTCTTTTGAAAGTCTCGAGTATGAGAAGAGTGGAGGTGGGCTGTGTTGGTTCCATATATTCGCACAAAATATTAACTATCGTTGAGATCTAGGAAATTAATGAGTTCTTTGGTTATTTATTAGGGCACTATTTTTAATTAAATTGAAGGTTTCTTTGATAAATCAAGAGAAAGGTGGATTTATTTATGAGATTTTAGATCTTACAGTAACCTTATGTAGAATTATGTGATGCTAGGGGTTTTATTACAAAAAATATAAACTTTTCTTCAATACCTAAGAAGAGAAACAGTTGAAGAGTACCTGATAATTTACAGAATATGACTTTCAAATAATTCTACTGAAATGATTTCCTTTTCTTGCACCTAATGGCATCTTATTTTAAATGTAATTTATTGAAACGTGCACTGGTTTCCCGATAAATGGCCAAAAATGGCACAGAACCAGTGTGTCGACGATATATACCACAGGACCTCCAAAATTACGCCGAGATGTACATGTCATGAACGTGTTTTGAATGCTACATGCTGTCCAACAATACTGGCCTAAAGTTGTAAACACTTTCCGGTCGCCTTACAACAGTATTTAATGGCGCACTCTGATTTTGCTGGACTGCTGACAAAGTCCCATGAAAAATAGCTTTTGTCAGGTGGCAAGGATTTGTGTGTTTTTCCCCTTTTCAAATACACAAATACTGAGTAAACAAAATTCTGCCATAACTTTTGTTTGGAAATGGATATGAAGATGGTCCATTGATTGTTGAGCCCCGAGATCGAAACTTATCCGCGTCATCGGTCTGCTTTTTTACGTGCTTGCCACGTACTTGGCTAGAATTGGCTAACATTGTTACTTTGTGCTTGTGACTTTGCACAGAGAAAAATTGGAAGGTCTTACCTTTAACGTTTGTCAAAACATTTATTTGTATCTATTTTATTTAT